GACTCAGCAGCAACAAGACTCAGCAGCAACAAGACTCAGCAGCAACAAGACTCAGCAGCAACAAGACTCAGCAGCAACAAGACTCAGCAGCAACAGGATTCCTGCAGGGCATTCAGGGAGATGAATCATATGTTAGAGAAGGACAGCCATAGTTCATCCTTAGGTAATAAGTTCAAACTCTTTCTCCTTTTCCAGAAGCACGAGTCTGGGCATCGTACTGACAGCCCTCAAGTGATTCCAGCAGATGCCGCTACTCTTCTTCCATCAGAGCAGCACCTAGAATCAAAACACTAGAAGAGATAGGTTGGGCTGAAGACTGAAAACAAAAGTCAAAAATGAGGGGAACATGGCTGAAACGTCTTACCAATTGGGGCCTTGATTTCTTGTGCATACCAAAGATCTAAAGACAGGTCATGCTCAAGGGTGAGCGGCAGTGTTGCTAATGTTATGGGCTGGGCATTGTGGTGAAGTGGCAATGATGATCGCATCCCACCATTTCTCGGATTCAATAAACGCGGAGCATCAATTGCCATTGTTTGGACTTCCTTTCTCCAAGGTAGTTTTCCGCCTTCTCCTGGTGTGTATCGCCCTGTAGCAAAGGACATTGCGTGATAAGAATCTCAAGTCACCTTTGTCAACGCTAAGAGCAAAGGATGGTTTGTGTTTTGTTCCACTTTGCTGGCCACCAACTTGAAGGAGGACTTCCAAAATTGGTCAGGTCCGGTTTTCCGAGGCTGGAATTCCCAGGGGTTCGGCAGATCTTCGGCACTTGTCGAATACACTCGTGACAAATTGCACGTGACCCTGCTCATCAATTTCTCATGTCTTGCATTTCCAGAGACACGTCGTTGATGTTCTTTTGAGCTGTATAGCAACAATCCGTACCGCAAAATTGGCGAGGGTCCCAGACACAACTCTACCGAATTAACACGAGGTGAGCATCGTTCATTGGCTGGATTCGCCCCTGCCTCCCAAATTATTTGGGGCGGCTGGCTGAAAACACCCGCAAACGAAAAGCAACGGTTTTGCTTTTCAAATCTCGATCATGTATATTGAAAAGCGGCATCGTTCGAGTTGGACAAGATTTGGTCTGAAGGCGACAAGGACAATTGGTAAGAGCTTTCGAATCTCCAGGCTACTTTCCGTACCAAATAGCACATGAGCGCCCTAAACACAGACCAAATTCCTTTGCCATCAATCAGGATGTGCCTTGTTCGTTAGTAGGCGATGGCTAAGATCTGTAGCGCGCTGGAATGCGAAGGAGGTCTGAGAACTAAGCAATTGCCAACCTTTCCAACCCAATTTCTGCCAATATGATCGCTGAATATTCCATTGTGCTGTCCATCTTGGTCTTCGCTCCCGCAATTGCACTCCTACACATTTGGATAACGTCCGGCAGAGGCCGTTCGCTACATCGAGCAACATGTGACCTTTTGCTCGCGAGATTAAGCTTATGGGGGTGCTCGGCGGGCGGGCTGCAAGCGATTACATTAGGCCCGAGGGGCTGACTACCCAGCGGTTCGCGCCTTGTGGCATTTTTTAAGGCCCTTCACGACGATCCTTCGCACAAGTAGCGCAAGTGAATTCGAAGCGTCCTGAAAACACGAGATGGGCCTTCAAATCATCCATCTAGTCATGAGTTTTCAACCAAGTGACTGTCCTTGCGATCTATTACGCTACTGGCCCATAAGGCTGCCGATCGAATTGAGGCCCGCATCGACGTGCCTCTTCTACACCTCTCCGACTTTCTCGGGGCTGAAATCAAGGCACGGCGAATCGAGAGAGTGGCGATCCTGGGCACCAAGGTCGCGATGGAAGGAGACTTTGTGAAGGACAGGATTCAGGTCAAGTTCGGGGTGGAAGTCCTCACTCCCAACGCTGAGGATCGGGAGAGGGTCAATTCTGGGATTTTCAACGAGTTGACTACGGGCAAGGTCAGGCCAGAGACGAAAGAGATGTTTCTGAGCGTGACGAGGTCGTTGTTGGATCAGGGTGCGAAGGGGCTCATCCTGGGATCGACAGACCTTGGGTTCGTGATTCGTGAGGACGATATTGACGTTCCCATCTTTGATACGGCGAAGATTCATGCGCTGGGTGTTGCGAAATGGGCATTGGGAAGATGAAGCAATGTATGAATTTATGGTATTTGATGCACTGGTCGGTCAGGAGCCATGAAAATACAATATAATGTATTAAGTGTTGTAGTGTCCCTGGAGGCCATCGCCCAGCAGCCATGCCCATTGCACATTCTGATATTATTTCTGGTGGTTTACAACACCACTTTACATATCGGCATTTGCACCCGGTTCAATTATTATGTCACCTCTGGGCCCCCTGGCATGGAGTGGCCAGATACGCATGGGCAGGGGTTGGTGCATTAGTTAGTCACTCGTAGCTCATGTACATACCCAATAAGTTCTCATGCAGTTGCGCCCCACGGAGCCGAGCGATATGTATGCACCCAAATGAATCTAGATCGTTCAGATCCAACTGGCTTGTTTTTGCTGTCTGTCTGACGAAGAAGAGGGGCATCTGGATGCTATGGACCGTTTTCTGCCCACCTGCCACTTCTGGCTGCGCGTATCTCGACACGGACTACGCTTTGGGAGCAAGGTGCGCGCAAAAAGGGCCGCAATGCATGCGTGATGGCCTTAGACTTTGTGATCGAATGGCATTCTGTGTATCTGGGTACATGAGGTATCTGTCGCCTCCCTGCTTGAAAAGCCATGGGCTGGGATGCCCATTTTCATCCACAGGGTCTCCGCTGCCGGCTCCAATCTCTGGTTTTGTACACTTCAGCCTCGTGCGACCGCCTTTCGTGGCGCCAGCTGAGGATTCTTGCGAGCTTCGCGCATGTCCAGCTACAGCTGACAACGTATGCACGCATTTAGCTATTTTCTTCGGCCGGTTCGAGGCCCGGTGCTCCCTCCCGTGGCCCTGTTCTCGTTTTAAAGCTGAGATGAATTCTCTCTCGGTGCGCTCTGGCCCTCATTCTTCTAACCCTGGGATCCCCATAGGCTTTGGTATTCCATCAATCATCGACCCCAAGCCGGAGCAATGGAGTTCAACGACAACGCCTTATTCAGCACGGGCTTCCAAGACACAACTCTTACTGTGAAGCCAAAGAGGATCATCATCTGCTGTGACGGGACATGGCAATCTTCCGTGTCCAACATCACCAATATTCCCTCGAACGTGACCCGACTAGCCCGTTATCTTACCAAAGCCGGCCGTGACAAGGATGGAAACGAATGGGAACAACTCGTCTTCTACGACGCCGGGATCGGCACGGGTGTGTCCACGCTGGAAGCGAAGCGCGAAGGCGGCACGGGGTCCGGCTTTGTGGGGAACGTCATTGAAGCCTACAATTTCATAGTCTTGAACTACAATCTGGGCGATCAGATCTTCTGTCTCGGGTTCTCCCGCGGTGCATACACTGCTCGCGCTGTCGCTGGTCTCGTCACTGACATCGGCGTCATCCAACCGAGAGACATGCAGGATTTCCCAGAGCTTTACCGGCTGTATCAGGCTCATGGGGATAGTCATATGTTCAGGAAGTCTCAGGCGTGGCGAGAGTGGGTTGAAGGAAAGCCCCTATTTGACCCCTCCCAAAATGACGTTCCTCCAGAATGGAAACAGTCGCCATTTGCATGGGAGAAGAGGCCTCACGCCTCGGCTCTCGAATCGTCTCGATGGGTTGAGGCAGTTGGCGTCTTCGACACTGTCGGCGCTCTTGGGATCCCCAAAGTGGTGGGCATTAAAGGAGCAATTTTGAATCCGGTGATACAGTGGGGCAAGCGTTGGGTTCCCGTGGAGAATGCTGGCTTCCACAACGTCGGTCTCAGTCCCTGTAAGTTGAGTCTATGATACGTCCCTCGGCCGACAGGCCATGGTTCGTACTTCAAACAAAGCATGGTTGCTAATGAAAATATTCAGATATCAAGCATGCGTATCATGCCATGGCTCTCGATGAGCACCGCAAGCCCTTCAGTCCAACGCTGTGGCACTTCCTCGAAAGCGATACGACTTCGAAGCCGGAAGTTTCTAGTGCCGGTTTGAGAGAGGCCTGGCAAAAGCTTCACACGAATGACCAGGCAACAGATGTTGAGCTTGACAAGGCCTGGCACGAACTGGTCGATGCCGAAATACGTGAAGAGCTCAAGGGTCACCGTTCCACTCTTCTTCAAGTCTGGTTTCCAGGAGTACATATCAATGTTGGCGGCGGAAGCGATGAAATGCTAACCAAGAAGAGGGATGACTTCGAACGTAAGTATGAACCCACCGACCTTTCATTCCTTTTGAGCTTCGAACGTTTGAATTTGAAAGAATAAGTGCGTACTGACACATCACAGAGATCGCCATGGTCACGCTCAGTTGGATGGTTGAGCAACTACGACACCATCTCTCCTTCGAGCTCAGCCTCAACAGCCTCATGATATGGGATCGATTCCAGCTCATCAGGCCAGTGATCAGCGATCTGCTTCAGAACAACGGCTCGCACTGGCTGAAAACGGAGGTCAAGGCTCGTCTCGCCAAAGAACCAAAGACAGATCTATGGAACGACAGCAACAAAACAAGATCCCTGAATATCGCGGCCGAGGTCCTCAAAGGCTGGGCAACGGGTCCAATAATCGATAGCTTCGAGGGAGACATGAAGGACGCAGGCACACTCACGAGAACCCCAGGTGACTACAGAGATCGCAGCCCAGGACAGTCCAAGGCGTTCAGGCTAGGGGCAACGAATGAACAAATCCATCCCACCGTCGCATACAGGATGGAGAAGCTTGGCAGCAAGTATAGGCCGGAGGCACTCGCGGGCTTCAAGCGCCAGTTGAAAAAGGACAGCAACGGCAAGGTCACATACGAGTGGGTGAAAGACAGCATCCGCATTCCCGAGTACAAAATCGGGCCGGAAATGTCGGACAAGAATGTCGTCCCAGGTCTCGATGAAAGTACCGAGGTGCTGAAAAGGGACGACACGCTTGATCAATTCGAACGGTTGCTCCTCTCGGGTGATCGGTCTGCTGTGGCTTTCCTCGGCCGTGTCGACAAGGCGTATGGCCTTGATTCCTGGGCGGCGAGAGCATTGGATCCGCAACCCGAGGCTGCCCCGGTGGGGCATGAAAATGTTGGATTTCAGCCCAATAATTCATTTTGAGTTGTAGACTTCTAATGCTAAAGGGGTGCCTGAAAACACTGGCTCGTTTTCAGTGCCGTCGCCAAGAATGTCGGAACCTGATGACACGAAAGAAGTCCCTTCTTTCAGGGCAGCTTCCCTACAGGGGGATTACTAAACACATACAAGTCAGCGGGCATGCATTCACTTGAGGGAGGTGTGAAGAGGGGCTAGACGAAGAGGTCAAAGATGCTAAGCCTTGTGTTTGATTCATATAAGCCGCTGTATATAGTTAGATCGTTGCGATAGCAGCAAGTCCTGAAGATGTAATAATGACCACACCTTTTATGAAATGAAAGGGGTAGGAGACCTGCTAAGCAGCCTCTCGCAGAACCAATGGCGTTGCCTGTCCCAGAGCTCGGACAAATTGGATGATCACCAGATTGCACTAGCTCTCATAATCGGTGGCTCCTCACCTAAGTATGAGATGGTGAAGTTTTGTCACGAGGCTTCCACGCTTCCCTGACATACCCCTCGATGTCGGCGAGCAGTTCATGTGGTCTCTCCATGGCCGGGAAATGGCCGCCATGTTCATGCTCATTGTATGACACCAGATTGCAAGTCCTGACTGCCCAGCTCTTTGGGATCGGGACGATCTCATGAGCAAAGAAGGAATAGCCGGAGGGCTTCTCAACGTATGGAAGCTTTATCGATTTCATATTTAGGATGGCGCTGGTCCTGGCGATCTTTGGGTGGTCACCTGCATTCAACATTTCTCGATTGTGGTAGAGGCATCGTGGTATAGTGTCGGTCAACCAGTACAAAGTGACCCCTTCGAGGATCTTCTCAAGCGGAGGGTCTTCGTCCGTCCATTCTAAGAACTTCTCTCCAATCCAGCTAAGTAAGGCTAGTGGACTAGCACTCAGTGCGAGGCCGATGGTAGCAGTCCTGGTGCCTTGCTCAAGTGCAAAAGCATATCCTGTATCGACAAATTCGGCAGCCTTGGTTAGAGCTTTCTTCTCTAGCTCATCTGGAGGCGACTCGTCCGAATCCCGTGGTGGCATGGTCATCATAGTCACATGCATCCCTTTACAAGCATCATACTTCATGGCGAGTATCCTGCTCATGAAGCTGCCAAGATCGCCGCCATGGACCAAATACCCAGCGCCAAATCCCACGCCGACCATGAGATTGTTTAGTGCTCCAGCAGCGACCTCGAGCCCGTAGTCCTTATCCACAGGAGGGCCGGACGAGTATGCGTAGCCTGGTAGTGAAGGGACGATGATGTGGTATGGCAAGTCTTTGGGAGAGTACTGTCGTTTGAGGCTGTCCAAGATATCCAGAAACTCACAGATGGAGCCTGGCCAGCCGTGGAGGAAAGCGATTGGAACTGCGTCAGCCTTCTCGGAGAACAGAGCCAGGAACTGAAGCTCGACCGAGTTTCCTTCTGCATCCTTGACGGAAGCCTTGAAGTTAGGGAAACTGTTGATTCGGTCCTCGTGATTGCGCCAGTCAAAGTTGTTCAGCCACACCTTTTTGGCATTCTCAACCCAGTCTCTTTTCATACCATATCTCCGACCAGCACTGGTATTCTCAAACACCGCGGGAGCAATTGGTGACAGCTCCAACAGCTTCTTGAAATGCTGCAACTTCTCATCGTCAACGTGGGCCTTGAACTGTTTGATATCAAGAGTGGCTTGGGCGGGAAGGTTCGCATATGGAGCCATGTTGGCGGAACTAGTATCAGATGTAAATGGAATATGTCAGATGAACCATTCACGAATAGGTTTCAGCTCTATGTGTCAAGGTTGACTCATAAGCGCCAGAACATGTTGACTCTGTCACATCATAGAAGTAACTAGGCTGTTCCATCTTAGAAGTGACTGGAATGCTCCATCGTAGAAGTGACTAGAATGTTCCGTCTTCGACAGTTGGCAGAACCAATCCTTGCTTCCCCTGAGTCTGGATACTGCATCAAGTCTGGACATGGGGCATCTAGGTGGCACTCGGTGTTGCGATCACGCAATCAAGGTCTTTCTGGAGCACTGCTCCTTGCTTCTATTCAAAGAATGGACTCGGCAGATGACTAGCAATGCTGCTGTCAATCAATCAAAAGGCCAGCCGTTGGAAACACGGCCAGCCAGTACTGCAGCTCAGGCGTGGTCGTTGTGGCTTGCGAGCTTCGCTACATTGCCCATGCCTATCACTCGTCCATACTTGGGAGCGATGTGGAAGATGCGAAGCCGACGTGTGAATTGTTCATGACTGCAAGAACATCATCTGTGCTAGATTGTATTGTGTACCGCCGTAGATCTATTCCCGTGAGGAACAGAAAGAGTCATGATCCAGGCAGCTGCCAGGAGCTTGCAGGAGACCCGGTTCGGAGCCCATTATCCTCTTTCTGCCTTGGGCGGTCACGTGGTGAAACCTGGATTTGAGAGTTTATGGGACACCTAGCTCTTGACTAAAGCCTATTAAAGGCGTCAGCTCGTTTTGCAGCATCTGATTATAGTAACGATTTCTAGTGAAAACGACTTTCTATGACGGACGACTTGTGGCAGGGAGAGCATACGAAAGTAGGGGGAAGAGCTCTGGCGTGAAAGCCTAAGGGTCACGGGGTGATGTCACGTGCACTGACTTCCACTTCCTGTCTCCCCCGTCTCCAACTTTCATCTTTTGGATAGAAGACGACTTGGAATCCCAGAGTAAGCCGCGAATTTTCTATCCCCATCGACCGGTACAATGGCCGCATCCGAGGCCACGGCCCACGCCCGCTCGCTGTATAGGCGGCTGCTACGAGAACTACCACCACGACCTATGGCCTCTCGCTCCTCGCCGCGCTCCTCACTACACAACTCAATCCGGTCACATTTCTCCCCACCGGCCGAGAATACATCGTCAGAATACGGCCTTGCACGGCGGCAGGAGACGGAACAGTTCATCCAGTATTTGAGGGCGCAGAGGTTGTACGGCACACTGCTCGAGAGATACAATCCGGGTGAAGGCATGGACGAGGAGGAGAGGGTGCGCTTGACCGCCAGGCGTGTGGGCATGGAGATGCCCGTTGAGTTTGTGTGGAAGCCGAATCAGTGAATGAATCAGATCACCATGTTCGAGGATGGTTGTCCATGACGAAGTATTCGAGGTGGAAAGTACGGGTGTAGCCACAGCCGTCCCATCGAGAACCGTGCAGCTCTTATAGCCCCAGCGAAAATGTTAGAAACTGGCTGCACCCTCGTTCGCCGAGAGGGAAAGACTGCTTTCGCAAGCTCAACGGTCTAGCACATCCGAATGTTCGACGGAGCACTCCAATACGGGAGCGACGGCTCATGCCTTCGATCCAGCATCAAATCCTGTGGAGTTACGAATGGTTCCTTGGCTCGGCGTCTGGACAAATGGAGGAGTTGTCCTACACGGTATATCGTTGCCTGATCATCCCAAAGTCACAGTATGAGAGGACAAAAGGCAGCCTCCACTTCCAACCCCTCGAACGAGGATCAGAAAGGAGCCAAATTTGTACTACTAATTTTTTCCGCAATTTGAGTAGCAGAAACATTTGTGAACAAATGTATCGTATCTGTGTGGGAGAAGGACCAAAGAAATCTAAAGCATGGTCTTTCTCATAGACTTCCCTGGTTTACCATGTTCGCGACAAGACAAACCCCCTCCCTTCTACACACTGGTTTGCTTGAGATCGGGACCTCAGATAACGCTCCACAACCAATGCCGGTTTAGCATTTTTGCTCAAAGGCCCCTGCTACAAGTGCCTTGTCGTTTCCCGCTACGTGAAACCTATTTTCTCTCGTTAAGGCGGAGGTGTTCTGGAAACTTGTTCAAAACGCCTGCTCAAACCCATAACCAGCATAAGTCATGTGATCACACCCGGATTTCTGACATCTAGGAAAAAGGGGAAGCCCTCTCTCGAAGGGCAGGCCAAGACCAACAGTTGATTGTTCTGCAGTCCATTCTGGCCACGCTCTCCTCGTGCGGATAGCTGATCCAGTCATCCATGTCAAATCCGTTAAACCGTCCTCTGAATTAAAGAACCCTCCATCAGGCTTCAAGCATTCCAAATCCAGATCAAAGCTAATGTCCGATAGGTTATCAAGGTCGGTGTTCCAGTGCGGCGGTATTTCAGGCAGAGTATTGCTGCACAATGAATCCTGAGTGAGTGGCTGCGTAACATTCTCCTCCCTGCTGAGGAGGTAGTCAGCGTTCTGCTTTAGGTCGCCAGCGGTCGCAGAAACTTCAATTGCGAGATCGCGGCTCTCAAATCTCTGCTCCGGGTCATGCACTGTTTCACATTGACGATCGTCCACCCCATCCTCGAGGGTCTCCAAGTGTGATGCAGATTCCTCTCGCGTTGGCGTATCAGAGCTTGACGATTCATTGTGCCACGTTGGGCGTTTTCCATCAAGCCCTTCTCGTTGCTTGATGATCCCCAGTTTTGATAGGTCGTTCATCAACTCCTTCACTACACTGTCGTCAAATTTGCAGTCTTCAAGTGGAGGAAAACCAGACTGGGCCATTTCCAACTTGAGGCGCATTGATTCGACCTCTGTGGCCAGCATAACCACTCTTGAATCATCGATACCGAATGCGCTCGCACCGACAGAGTGGCCTTCCATATACCATTTTTCTGCAGTTTTGAGGTCACCTCCCGCTTCACAGATCCACCCGAGTAACTCTAGAGCAGAAAGATACGATCGAGTAATCTGGCCGGTATCGCCTCTTGCGCGAAGGACTCGTAGCATGATTTCCTCCGCGCTTTCATCAAAGTGGAATGCATAGTGGCAATACCCAAGGCTGAGTACCATAGACTAATATTTCCAGTTCATTTGCCCAGACCCTGCTTCGTGCCGTAGTACGACGTGCTCGTGGAAATCGATTGCAGTCTGATAGTTGGCCTCTTCAATGAGTCGTCCGCCGTAATTATACTCCCAAAAAACAAAAACAAAAAATCGAGAGTCTTCTTGAATCTAGGCGCAGTTGCCTACCAACATCAACCAGTAGTCTCCCGAGCACAGCTCTCGAACAGTAAATAAGTATGCCTAGAAAAAGATGGGCGCTGGTATGGAATTTGCTAATTAGAGATGGTGTAAGAAGCGACCAGTTGTTGCAAATTAGCTTCAAAGTTTTCAAATGGCCTCCTTTATATGCAAGTTCCATCAATCCTAGGTATTCGAAAAATGCAGCACAAAAGCCAACATCCATGCCACCAACATCGCTTTCAGGACAGAATTGAGGTCTATAGTAATTGTGGGCTTGAATCAACAGTGTTTCAAATTTGTGTGCGTATGTCGATTGCTGGAGAATAATTCTCACGGCCCCAGGGCTTCGCCATTGTCGACCGGGTTCTAAGTATGGGAGGCTGTAAAGGGCCTGAGAAAATTTCACTCGAACGCGTGGCTTCGACATCCCAGGTCTGAGCTCACTGCGAATCTGTCGCTTGACACGCTTTAGCGGCACGGCTTTGCCGTCGATGAGAGCTTCCGGAAGATCAAGCCCAGCATCAGCGAAAGGCCGCAGGCGGACAGCAATTTGTTCATGCTCGCTACGTTGGAAGTTCTTTTTCACGCGCCATTTCCCGATACGCAGCTTGTACATGTAGCTCCAAGGCCTCGAAGGATAATGTAATCTCTTACTCAGCATAGAAGTCATATTCCTGTGCTAAGATCCCGGATGCTTTGCTCAGGGAGAGGTTCTGTTCGATGTAGAGCCGGTGGAGATGATCTTTGATGCGAAGCCATTCTGCTTCGCTTGGTGCACGCTTCCGAAACCGCACAGCCTGCAAGTCCGCCATCTAGACTCGCTTCAGCCTTATGTAGTGCGTTAAGTAGTGGGGATACTGAGAGGAAGTGAAAGTTGAAAGACGACCTGGTGTATCTAGACTTTGGCTTTTTGGATAAACTTGAGCAGATGAGTGAGAGGAACTCGCCGGCTATAAGAATGTCTAGTTCTCAGCGAGGCAGACAATCTTCTGTTACCAAAAGTCGTTGCCCCACCCTCTTCGATTGGCCAGGTGAGTAGACAGATCTCAAAGTGGAATAGTATAAATACTTTTCGGTTTCAAGACTGAGCCAATGATGTAGGGAAGCGGCTCGTATTGACAGAAGCCTTGCAGCTGCGATGAGGTTACACGAAACCTGTTGCGCGGGCTGTGTCTGTACCTCGGACCGGGTTGATGGATTGCAGGCATCCTTCGTGTGCAAGCCTCACTTCAGATACGGTATCGATGAAGTTGATTGAGCTTCCAATCAACTTGTGCTTCTAACTATACATCATCATGTTTATCCGTTAAAATGCTAGAGAATATGATGAATGAGCATCCAATCTATTGTAGCCACCGACCGCACGAAGCGCCCAGGTGAGTTTGAAAGTTGGATCATGCATGGCAGCGGTGGTAAAAGGAGTTGGGTAATAAGGAGTTGCGAGGGAGAAACGACGAAAGATGACACAAGGCTGAGGTTCCATCCATCCAATCAGATCTCGCCTGGGTAAACGTGAGATTGAGACTTACCTCCCACCAGATCCGCATCCTCCTCGCCGAGGCCCATTTTAATTGGAAACACAGTCGATTCGGCTTGAGGGACTCTACAAGCTGGAATGCGGCCGTCTATAGTCGAAATTTTGATGTATATCATTGCCACAAGGTCCAACAGCCATTGCCGTTATTGAAGTCGCAAAGACGAGAACGAATCGCCGCGGATAGGATGGCCGCTTTCAAGAAACCAGCTGGCCAAGAACCAAGCTGGCGCATCTTGCGCCACACAGCTATGGTGCTGCTCGTCATATCGCTCGTTGTTGTCACCACCAGGCACACCCAAGTCCTGAAAACAATCACGAGATGGCCTCCATTTGCACAACCCCCGCCCAGAGAACTACAATTCTCACCGTCTGCCACGTTGAAAATATCCGTCTTCTCTGACCTGCACTTCGGCGAAGCCGAATCCACGGACTGGGGCCCGGAGCAGGATTCCAGGACGCTGCGCGTGATGGCCTCGATGCTCGACACCGAGGTGCCGGACCTTGTCGTTCTCAATGGCGATCTAATCACCGGAGACGATACGCAACTGGAGAATGCTACGGACTACCTCGACATGCTCGTCGCGCCTATGGTGCAGCGTTCGGTGCCCTGGGCATCTGCGTACGGGAATCACGACAATCATTTCAACATCAATACCGAGACGATCCTTGAGAAGGAGCGAGGCTACTATAGTCTAAGTCTCACTGAGAAGATGGTCACGGGCAAAGGAGAGGAGGTGGGTGTAAGTAACTACTACGTGCCAGTCTATCAGATTGGCAAAAACGGCCCCGTTGCCATGCTGTGGTTCTTCGACAGCCGGGGTGGCATGACTTTTCAGAAGAATGGGAAGAATGGGAAGGATGGAAAGAAAGTGCAGTTACCTGGCGTGGTCGATCCCACCGTGACAAAGTGGTTTGTCAGAACATCTAGGAACCTGCGGAGGCAACACCGTGGAGAATCAATTCCGAGCCTTGTATTCGTTCATATCCCCCTCAATGCCATGCGCCAGTTTCAAGAAGCGGGCGTTGACGAGCACCGCCAACCAGGAATTAATGACGATGTCCCGCTGGCCAGTCAAACCGGAGATGAGGAGTTCCTGAATGCGCTCTCGGAAGAAGGCGTGGCCGCGGTGTTTAGTGGGCACGACCACGGAAATGATTGGTGCATGTCGACTAAAACAGCGAACAAGCAGCCGTTGTTTGCTTGTTTTGGCCGCCACACCGGTTACGGTGGGTACGGGCGCTGGATGAGAGGGTCTCGACAGATCTTGTTGACTTCCGATGGGGAGATTGAGACTTGGATTAGGCTTGAAGATGGCGATGTCAGCGGGCGTGTGAGCTTGAATTCGACGTATGGTCAGGATATCTATCCGAAGGCGAGGAAGGCTTTCACGAGTCTTGGTGCCGGCGAAGCAAGATAAGGTTCCTTTAAGGAGGAAATGTGGTGATGGTTAAAAGAGACATTGTCACATTCTCGACGCTCCTGTACCTAGGCGGGTGTGTAGTGATAGACTCAGGGATGTTCAGCCTTGCGGACCCAAACCTTATCCAAATAATCGAAGCATCCACCGTCACAGGCCAAGAAGAACATACGAGTAGACACCCCCCCAGCTGCTTACTGATACCCTTCCGTCCAGAACATGTAGACATCCGTTTGTTGCAGCTCGGCATTGACTTCTGGGACAAAGGGAGCTTCCTCTACTTCCAAGACAGTGCGAGGACCTCGATCCCCAAGTCTACCTGGGTTCGACTTGACAATTGGAAGTGCCCCTCCCTGATATTCGTGCATGACTTGCCCGGGGACTGCCTCGTCAGAGTCCTCCAGCGTGATTTCTTTTACCCGGGACGAAAGGTCAATCAGACCCTTTTCTTTCATCCAGTCGAGCGCAGCGAGCTGTTCTCCAACCTCCACGCAAATGTACCGCTCTGCAACCTGCCTGTTTTCGAGCCAGGATGCAGCAAGGTTCAAGACCTCTTCCGCATCAGCGTACCGGCTCTTTCGGAAATGGTATTTTGCTAGTTCGTTTGCGGCAAGAGGGTAGACGCCGAATAGGCTGGCATCATCAGCAAAGACTCTACCCTGGCTGACAATCTCGTCCAAGTACGCCTCAGCTTTGTCTAAGAGGCTTAGTCGTTCATAAGTAACAACAAGCTCGTGCTTCATGCCGAGAGCATGCTGGTTTCGTGGACCAAGACGCCCCTGCCACTCTGCAAGCTTTTCCTCCTGCAGTTTCCGGCGAGCCTCTAGGCCAACACTTTGCTTCACACGATCTAAATACTGTGTCTCGAGTCTATACATGTTCTGAAGCCGGATAGGACCCATATCCTTCTTTCTAGTCTTCATAAGGTCCAGCATTGCTCCAAGGACGACTTCCCCCGTCCTATCCCAATTCTCACGGCTCTGCATCATGGTGAGAATATTGGATATTGGATGCTGTTCGCCCATGGCGATCTTCGCCACGTGAGCAAAGTATTTAATGATCACGCCGTACAGAGCTTTATGATTTGTCCAAGAATTACTCATGAAGAGCACGAAGAGATCCGGGAGGAGTTCTATGGTCTGCCCACGAAAGACCCGGTGGACCACATCGCAAGCAATCGCTACCTCTTTCCACGCGGCTGCAGAAAAGCCTCGCTTGAGTAGCTGCTTGGCCGCAGGTATCCTTTGCATAATTATATCGGTGCAAGGAGCGCGATCGTGCTGAGGCGAGTAGCCTCGCGTGAGAACGGTGGGATAGTAATACGTGATTTCTAGGAGGATTCGCTCTGTGTCGAGATCATGACCAGCTCCTTTCAGAGACGGTCGAGGAGCTGAAACCCGTGGCTTGTATTTCCTCCGCACGAACGTGGTTAAATATTCTGGATCGTGTCGTACTTGACGTTCGACACGGCCAATTGGGAGCCTTCTGCCTCCCACCATGACGGCTGTGGGAAGCTTTTGACCTTTAACCGAGAGCTGTCTGATATCTTTGGCCGCTTTCGCCTTCTCTTTTGCACTGAAATTTCTAGACAACCCCCACTGGCGCAGTTTCAGTTTCCAGCTATGTATCCTAACCGATTCAGCCGTTGTCCTTCCCAGGTGGAGTGCTCACCAACTTTGCCGTGAAGTGGTGATCTCTCTCGCAGACATTGCGGATTATCGCCAGCTTATTTCCTTCTCTGTGTATTTTTTCGACAACGGGCCGCAATCGTTCCCACTCGTCAGCAGGAGGCCCACGGTCACGCCTGCTAGCTGCATTGTTGGGCTTTCGTCGACAGGTCGATGGAACAAGGGCACCTTGTGTAGAAACAAGACTAGGCGGCATCTTGAATAGAGTGCAGGGTTCGGGCAAGGAAGCCGATAGAAGACAGTATGACAGGACGGAGAGGAGGAAGACTTGAAGGCGAGGCTCTCTTGCATGGTATCAGGAAGAAAGATGAAACAAAAGGCCAGGCCAACATGATGGCTGTCTGGCTAGGAGACGCCGCGTTACCGCAACGGCGCTGTCCATCCTGAATGAGGCTGTGTGTGAAGTCGCACAGATGGCCATTGGGTGGTCGGTGAAACGAGACAATCGAGATCCTGGAAGGAGTATGGAGAGCCGTTCTGATTGGCCGTCAAACGCATATCACAGCCTTGACCAGGGGTTTTGGAGACACAAGCCACATTGCATGCACATTGGGCAATCGTAATCGTGTAAACTCCTGATCCCACTTCCGACAGTGCGAAACAGGAAAAGAGCTCTCATACTTGTCGCTGTAGCTCTTGGAGAGCATCTTCAAATCATGCAGCTCTTAGGGTGCTTCGTATCAGAGCAGAAGTCGAAGTTATTTTAAGAACACAATTGATCAATAGCAGTCAAAGAGGGTATCAATTGCAGATACACACAACTCCATAATTCCACCGTAGCTCGCGAACAAATCGATCAAACAACAACAACAACCATATGCAAAAATATATCTTGGATGCCCTTACCTTTGCATCTTCACCTCACAGACGGCTCTGACAAAGTCCAGGTAAATATACGAAACTTGGTGGATGCAAGAGGTATGCAATGCACTCTTCTGGACTGGCCAATCCAGAGACATATCGTCTTCAATGCAGCGCCATGATAATCCATCACTGATAATATATACATAAAAATCTGTCTATGCGAACAGGGCGACGAGCCCTGCCAGAGCACCTGCTGCGCCGAGGACAAGTTCTCCTCCTAAGCGCCTCTGTCCATTAGCAGTGTTCGTGCTCTGTGCACTTGTGGCTGATGGACTTGACGAACCGCCGCCGCCGCCGCCGCCGCTGCTCGAACGACTAGCCGTGCTTGTTACGAAACTGCTCACTCGCGACGTTGTTGCTGCCGCATCTGTTGCTGAACGCGTCCCTGAGATCGTTGTAACTCCGACAGAGTCAACTGATGCAGTGGGAACGCTGCTTGTCAAAGTAGCGGAGTCCTGCTGCTGGCCAGAGGTAGTGGACACTAGAGTCACTTGTCCATTTGCATCTGTGCTGACCTCGTTGCTCGATTGACCAAGAACTAAGCCAGTGCTTGAGGCGATTGTATTCCCGCCACTAATGATTAGAATTTGATATCCCGTTCCAAAGTTCTGAATGGTATTTTCTGGGACAGTGTAGGCACCGGTGTATGATGCAACCCCAGTTGCAAGAGTCAAGTCCGTAGTCACTCCATTTGGGTTGGCATTGGTAAATTTGATATCAATGAGCGCAGGGTCGTTATAGTCGACGGACCATAGGATGCTTACTGGCTTCGTTGGATCGATACCGGAGCCTGGAGTTGGCGACAGAATCTCCAATGAAGAAACGGTGGAGAGAATAGCCAGAACGAAGGCACCATAGAGGGTAAGGGAGCACATCTGTGGCGGGGATTGTGGTCTGTCAGAGGGTTTCGCGGACCTAGAGTGTCGAAGCTGTTGGAGATTGAGAGGCAGAGGTAAATAACCAAAACACCGATCAAAAGAATGGACGCACCGAGCCTTATGGGCAAGGGCAAGAGAGCGACTTCTTCGCAGTTGGAGTCGTACAAGTAGAATGCGAGAGCCACGAGATGGAAATGAAACAAAAAGACGAGAAGCGAGAAGAGGCGTCAATTAATCAAAGAGAATGAGGTTTAAGGCTGACGGGGATCTATTTCGAGTTAGAGCGGGGACGGGTAGCGCCTTCCAGAACGGATAAGGTTGCACTAGCGTGACTGCTGCGTACCAAGCTCCGAAAAAAGGGAAGCCGCTTCCCAAGAAATCTGGGGCGTAGTAACATTATTGGGTCGACACAGCAAATCGAGTTCATTTCGCATGGTCAGAAAATAAACATATGTCATTCATTACTGCGAACCGTGAGCTCTCAATATCTCAGCAAACGAAGCCGAGGCAGAGTCAAACAACGCCATAAAACCCACAAGCAAAAAGCCGTAAAGACTGATCTGAGAAATGATATGTCAACAATTTCGTGTTGCTTGCAGTTCGCAAGATCCATCGCCGTAGCCTGGTTACGGTTTATTGTACCCACTCTTCCTTCATCTAGATCATAAGTCGATCAGGCTACCGCTCTGTTGCCCGACTGGCCTGGCTCCAAAAGCATTGTTGGGTTGTTGTCCATACCCACCACCAAATCCAGCAGCAGGCCCCGTCTGATTTGGATTCTGTTGACTAAATCCTGTTGCTTGCTGTGAGAAGAACGGATTGGTCCCGGTTTGGGCAGCCCGCAGGCGCTCCAGACCTTGCCCTGATGAATTGACAAAGTTGCCAGGAGCAGTATGCTGAGCAGGAATACGCAGGTCTCCAACGTTGCCGAAAGTATCGATGCCTTCTCCAGTAGATAATAAGGCATTGAGTTTCTCATGATGCGGGTTCAAGGGCTTCTGCTGTTGCTGTTGTTGCTGGAAGGTTGGTTGAGGCGCTTGATAATTGAGTATCGGGTTTGGCTGAGATGGCTGACCGAATTGAGCTGTTGGCTGCGACTCGTAAAGCGTTCCCAGAGAGGGTTGAGTTTGAGTACGCGCGAATGGCGATGGCGATGGTTGCTGCGTCTTTTGTGCGAAGGGGTTGTTTGAACCCGTTGGTAGTGGCTTTAATTGATCGGCTGGTTGTGGCGACTGAGCTGCCCAAGGGTTGTTGGATCCCGTTGGCAGTGGCTGTTGCTGTAGTTGAAGCTGTGGTTGCTGCTGCTGCTGCTGCTGAGCCGGTTGTGCTCCAAAGAAGCTACCATTAGGTTGTAAACCATATGGGTTATTATTCTGGAATGCAGTTTGTTGCGGCTGCAGAGTGTTTTGCTGCTGAAGGAAGTTTGGTTGGCCAAACTGGTCAAACCCAGTTGGTTGAGGAGCACCCTGGAATCCATTTGGAAAACCATTCTGATACCCTGTCTGCTGTGGCTGAGCATACTGATTGTTGAGAAATCCAGTGGTTTGAGGTTGCTGCTGCTGAAGAAGGTTTCCGAACCAGTCCACGGCAGGCTGTTGTTGGTAGCCTTGGTTATATCCAGTGGGCTGGGGCTGCGTCGGAGCTGGCGTGTCATCGAACAAGGACGCAGCATTTTCTTCCTCAATTTTTTGTCGACGAAGGTTGTCTTCCTCCAAACTGAGCATCTTTGCCCTTTGCATCTCTGGGTCTTCCTCAGGATCAGCCTGCTCATTCCTTTGCTTCCGAGCTTGTTCATCGGCCTCTCTCTGGCTCTCAGCAAGGGCCCGTCTGAGCTGTTCATCTTCCTCATCCTGAACACGATCGCGTCTCGGCACATGCGAAGGGGGAGGACCCGAAAATGCCTGTGGGGCATGTTCGTCTATGCCAGTGACACGAGTTTTCCAGAGTTTTCGGTCAGATCGCTCACTTCTGAGACGCTCTTCATCCAGAATCAGCGAGGTGAGCTCCTTTGCGGATGTACGGACTGCCGTCTGTTAGTAGGCTTTCATCAAAGCAATTCGTGTGCTGCATACCATTCTGACCGACGTCTCTGCCATCTTCATCAATATATTGAAATTCCCTCAAGGTTTTGATGATATAAATGTTCTTTCTCGCCCAAGTGACAACCAACTCTGACCCTTCGTGCAGACAGTAATCAAGAACTTTCAGAGACTTCAAGACATGGCGCCAATTTTTGCCCTTGTCGTTCAGGCGCTTATCGAGCATGTCCATGATCTCGTAGAAATCACTTGGGCTGGGTAGCGACGTTAGTGACCACTGAGTTGCTCCCTTGGTGGATGGACCTACTTGTTGAAGGTAAGGGCGGCAATTTCTGCCATATCTGTGCCCGTTGGGCCCCATGGATCGTTCGAAGTAGCTAGATGCGATGAGCTAAAATTCATGATGCCTTGTCGACCGAAACATACCATTTCGCACCTTGACCTGCACCGCACTGTACCCCTTGGTCACATTCTTCACACTTCTTACAACCTTTGACATACTGCCTCCTTTTCTTGAAATCGGGGCAGTCTCTACCCACGATCTCCTGTAGACGTTTGTTGGGGAAGTTTGGCTACGTTCGTGGAGGGAGGAGTGGGTGAGATTTGCTTCGTTTGAGATGCCAGCAACGGTACGACGGCGAGGTGGATAAGCGTCAAACGAGCGGCTAGGCGTATCAGCGACCGAGTATCTGCGTCCGTTGCGATCGGTCACTGTACGCACAGTAGGGAGGTTGTGGTAAAGAAGAGGTGAGGCGAAGAATGCCAGCGCTGCGGCGGAGCGAGGAACGTCCGGAGGGAGCCTTAAGCAGGTGCCGAGCAGCACCAGTACTAGCAGAGTGCTATGTGGATTTTGGGCAGAATAACGTAAGGTGGGCAATGCAAGAATTGATTGCCAGCTAGTGAATTAGTAGGAGTGAGTAGTGACAGTCAGTGCTCTAAGTGGTCCCCCTCGTCCGTCTTCTCAGGCGGCGATGGGCGGAAGGCAAATGCCCCAGGGGACTGCTCGTGGTCCCAGTTCCCGCTGATGGCGTGGCGCAGGCGATGTACCAGGGTGGCTTGTGACGAAAGGGGACCCACCGAGGGTGATTGTCAGGCGTAACGAGGTAGGTAGGAGCTAAGCGGACGTTGGAAGGATGGAATTGATGGCCTTGAAGCGCTCGAAGTGATGAGATTTGCGGGCGGCAAAGGATGGAAGATGAACGAACGATCTGCGATTGAGTGGTCACAAAGGGCAATTAAAGGCGTTTCTACCTCAACGCTGGAAGAGACACAAGACACACCTCCAACACGCCCACCACAAGTAAAGCGGTAATGCTGGCGGAGTAATTGGTATTGGCGCCCTCTGGAGGCTCCTTCCTCCCGCCACCGCCTGCCAAAAGAACTCGCAAGCTCCCTGCTTGGCAGGACAAGGTCAGCAAGACAACCGACACTCCCGCTTTTCGGATAAACAGCAGTTTCCCATGAGGCCATCTTGCATCACAACCTGCAGCTTACCCCGGGACGAGGTACTGGTGTTGACAAACCCTTCAAAAATCCCTCGTCAAGGCTTGAATCTCCGTCAAATACTGAAAGCCACGTCTGACTAACACAGCCATACGGGTCAGAGCCTCTTGCTGCTGTCCTTACGCCTTTGGATCCACCTCCAGTCTCACCGCGTGTTTGATGTCCGCCCCAGCAAGGTGATCACGGATCAGGGCATATTTCTCGAACCCGTCAGTCTTTGCGAAATCTCCGTGTTGTTCAACCTCATGCCATCCGGTAAATAACACAAATTCATCATCTGGCTCGGCCTCGAGTGAAGGGTCGAAGCCCTTGTCCAATCTGTACCCTCCGACAACCAGTTCCTTTCCCCCAATGAAATCTTCAAGGTAGTGTTTGTTCTCATCGAAGGCCTTCTGAAAGTATCTCTTTTCGTCATCCTTGATGAAATGCCGGCCGATGGCCACTGCCGCGCTTCCCAGTGGCAGGCTTCGCTCGGTTTGATCAAAACTCAAATGAAACATCCATTCGACAGCAACTTCGTCTTTCAAAAGACTGAGTAGGTCTTGGTTTGCTTGGCTTGGGATGAAGTCTTGCATGTGGAAATCGATCGATGGCCATGCGCCAATGATAAAGACCCGCTCTGGGCTCTCAAGGCAATGGTAATAGTGAAATTTGAAGCCACTTGCTTTCTCCATGACCGATCTCGCCGTGGCAAGCTTTGCCAAAAGCTCTGGCGAGAGAGCCTGGCCTGGTCTCAGACGGAGACACGCAAGCTCTGTGACTGCCATTGTATGGTGCGAGCGAAGAAGGTGAATGCAAAGTGCATCCGAGAATACTAACTAAAACACTGCTTCTGCGTGTTTGCGCATTCACCTGGCTTCTCTATTCTTTATAGCTCTAAGCTTCGTCACTCATGTTGCCTGGCCTTTTGGAAGCCTCACAAGGAGCAGATTCAAGGATGCAACTCTACTTTAATCGTGTGCACCTCGATCCACCAACAACGCGCTGTTGGGCCTCTACTGTGAACTCGAACAAACATTATAATCCATCCAACGAAAACTTGGATAACATACAACTAGGAATTTAGCCCATCAGGAATGAGTCAAGCCCACAAGATCTGAACGCTGTTGATCCGTCTCTTGGCAAGGAGATATCGGTCTCTATCGCAGTTCGGAGCCACCGCGGACCGAGCAACGCTACATACGCACAGTCTGGAGGGGAGCAAGTGCAAGTGCTCCTCCGAAACTCTTCAAAAGATGTTCATTAGATTTATCCATCATTATATGTGATATCTAAAGTGCCCTTCACAGCCTCGTTGGCTCCCCATTTCATTCAATATTTTGTGTTCCCTTGCAGGGAGCCAGGCGTGACCTCGTAATAATGCAGCGCGCCTGCGGCTTTTGCGCAACCACTGTTGGACGTAGAATTCACTGGCAGCGAGTTCCCATCCTGCGGGCGTCCGATAACCTATTTTTGCCCGGATCCACGATTAGTTCGTGCTAGACCTTCGATATCATCGGGTAAGGAACAGCAGAGAGCACTTACATGGTTATAATACCAAACCTCACTGACCACGGTCCTGCCCGTATCGTTCTTACCTTGCCCGGCCTCGGTAGTATTATACCGCGGGCCCGAGCACCCGATATAAGGCTTCGCACCGGACTTCTTCGTCAAGGCATTCTCGATATCCGCGAGCGAATAAGTGGTCTTATTGCTCGGCACGATGTCCGCTTCATTCAGCCACTCCCAGGTCGGGTAGCGTTTGTAGTATTTGATCGTGGTCTCGAAGAAATCCACCACATCCTCGTGCTCGACGTACTTGGGCCCGTAGCAGGGGACGTCGAAGGTGGAGTAGCAGGTCGCGTGCTTGCTGAATTCATGGGCCCAAAAATCGGTGTTGGGCGCGCCCTGGTTGATCCAGTACGTGTTCATCCAGTCGATCAGGTCATAGCGCCCGAAGGGCTTCAGGAACGTGTCGATTGTGGGGCCGGTGTACACGGGTACAACGGTGCCGTTGGGGAGGCCGGTGGTCGTGTTGGGCGATGGCACCGGGTCGTATTGACGCTTGAGGTCGCAGTATTGCGTGTAGGAGCCGTTGCAGAAGTCCGGCCACAGGCCGTGCAGCGTCCACGTATCAGCAGGCAGTTTTTGGCCTTTGTCTTCAAGTCCCGTCCATGTTGACCAGAACTGTGTGAGCAACACGAGGCCTCCGTACGTCTCGGTGCAGCAGCTGTCGACCTTGGAAGGGTCGGCGCCGGGCGAACATGAGAGGACGGACGGGTCTTGTGTGCAAATTTCTGTCAGCCTTAAAGTCCATTTACATCCGAGCTATTGATAGAGCATCCCACCTAGTATGCAAGTGTGGTTGAGCGGGCTCTCCGCGTAGAGAGAAGCATGAGCTGCGCCGAGAAGAGTCACAGCAAGTGCTGCGTATTTTGTGCGCAACATTCTGGACCGCAGATTTGATAGACAGTCGTGGAGCGAGTGGCGTACAGAGCTCTCTCTCTCTCTCAGCTACCCTGGCAGGAGCTCAAGAGAGCCTTTTTGTACCAAAAAAAGGAAGACTCACCTCTAGACTCACCCGAGCGAAGCTGCACACGTTTTCGCCTCTTGCATGCGCATCATTGGTGATCTGACCAGAGAGCTCGATACTAGTAACATAACGATGTGCATACCTAGGTACCTTTCCCCCACGTTGAGGCTATTTTGCACAGCAAGCTTCGATTCTCTCATTTGCTTATCAGCGAGTCGGAGGTCATGATTGAAGCACCTGCCCAAAAGGCATCTGGCTCGGAGAAGATCAACTGGAAGAGCATTGGAGATTATGGGTCCAGGGTAGCAGCAGGATGGCCCTCAGATGCCTGTACCTGCACCGAAGTATATGCTCGTGCAGAAGTGATTGGAGGATGTAAAATTATGATATAAGTGGTCAAGGTCATCGGCGAAAGTGGGGATATGGGCGGTTGCATTTGCACAAGTTAAAAAGACAGTCTTGTCGGCCTAAGCGAGGAAGGAAACAAGGGACAAAGGTTCGGAAATTGGACGTCAGACGCAGAATTATTCCCAACTCGGTCGATAGGTGTAATAAGAGTTCATGGATTGCTCGGCCATCGCCGAAACTTGTCATGGTGCAGTGGGAGCACCACAGAAAGAAGGGGCAGGTACCTCCGACATTATCAGCTGGATGTCGACAAATCTTCCTCAGGCTGATAACTACTCGGAGGTGTCGGATCCCTATGCTTTGGTACTATGAGCGAGCTCTAGATGAAGAGGATCTACGAGGAACATTAGACGTATTGCATGGCAGTCGTAAAGTATTAAAGAATATCCAGGGTAATGTGAGAATTCCACCTTCCAAAAGTCCCAGATACTCGGCAGCAAGTGTCCACCGCCTATAGGTCTGGACGATAGTCGGTCTGTCCTAGGATCTCATGTCCTTTGGGTAGATCTGGCGCACTAGGTGTAGCTGTTGAAGGAGGTGCGCGGCTACTCGCTGCATTCAACCTTTCATCCAACGCTTTCAGAGCCAGTGCGCGTCTCCGTTCAGCCTCCTCACGTTTACTCATCCCTCGAGCACCACGGGCTTGTCGGTTAAAGCTTGGCAAGCCGGATTCTCCGCGAGCAGCGGCTTGTTCATTGCCACTGGCAATCTCCGCATCAGAGAATGATTTTAGAATTTTCATGTTGCATAGCAAGACATAGATCTGGTTGCAGAGAGCCGCGATGGGAGGCTGGACGACATCGGGAAAGAAGGTGGCGAACGCGAAAGTCTCGCTTGCGTCGCCCTTGAGCCCCCGACTCTCTGTAGTGGCTCCAGACAGATCTTGCTGCCGTTTGAAGAATCGAAGATAGGTCCAGGAGGTGATCAGGCCGTACCAAGCCAATATGAGAGCGGTGTCGGTCCCGAGAAGAATACCCGATAGTGTGTTCACGACCAGAAAGATGGCTGGAAAGTGTTTGACCCTCATCTTGATCATGCCTTTGTATATGCTCACTGTATGTTCCGGGACGAGTTGTTTGAAGGCGACGAGAAAGGCAGCTTGCGTCGTAACGCCGCCATTGATAGGAGTGAGCGCTCGGTCCGGGTTTCCTGTGACCGCAGCCCAAAGAATGTAGGTCGGCGCAACCAGTAAATTGGGGATAATTGAGGAGACGAGGATGACATATATGAAGCCCTGTGAACCCCAGGCTCTTTCAAGGTATTTCCCGCCAAAGAAAAGGTTGGCTCCGTTGACAAGCAGAGTGATGATATTTTGTTCGACAAAGGTGGCAATCAAAAAGGTCCAGGGATACCATATGCATACGGACGGGATCAGGGCCAAGTATGGGACGTATGGGCGCAAGTATGGATTGACTGGAGTTGTCGAGGTTGGATCAGGCTGGGACAGTCGCCAACGGGCTATGTTGTAGAGAAAGGTAAGGGCGATGGCGATGGCGAGGAGGCCGCGAGTGGCGGGAGGGAGATTTAATCTGAAAGCCATTACAGGAAGCAAAGAGCGGTGATGGACATAACGTGGAGTACACTATCCTTCGCGAAATCGTATGAAAGGGTAGTGACGGCTTCGTCGGTCGCGTTGTATCAGCGGAAGGATGAACGAGATGGCGCTGCAGGAACACGGAGAACCTTTTGGAATGGGAGGAATAAGAATAGTCGAGGCTCCAAGTTCAAGGCTGACTGGCCGGCCACCTTGTTAGCCAGTTGCTACAGAGTACGGAGGACTCGTACACACTACTACTCGTAAGTACGGAGTACTGGTAGCACGAGCTAGGCGTGCAACCACCCCTAAAGGAGCCTAAACTTGGACGGAAACTGCCGCCACCAGCACAGAAAGATAATGATCGCCTTGCAAGGAGGCTCCCCTGGTGGTGTGGTTGAAAAGATTGCCGACCTGGCTCATGGCACTCCCTCAGTGAGAATCCTCCGGATGGTCAGATGAAGGGCACGCCTTTTGTGAGCAACTATCAAGGGCACTTGAACTTGATCAGTGCCAGAGTCGCCATCCAGGTTGATTGATCGCGTATTCTTTGAGGTACAGGCCCGTCTGGTTATCCCTCGGTGAAGAAGCCAGGGTTGACTCTGGGGATTCGGATTATTTTTGAATCTTGACGCACAAGGAAGAACACTATGTTTCATGTCATGCGACTCTTGAGTGCCTGGAGGCTAGGCCGCTAGCTTAACTAAAATGCTTATAGAGTACCTAAGAAAAAGACACCATGGGTGCGGCCACTGCAGCGTTCGGCCATATGCTACAGACTAAAGCACCCGAGTATGCTGGTGCCCTGGCGGCTGGTGCCCATATTTCCCAGTCGTGGCGCCCTTCTCGGCCCCTCGGAGCGCCAGCACAATGTAAGTCCCAGGTCCCAGTGCCCACCACACGCCAGGAAGAAGACAACACCCACCCGTTGTCGACCTCGCTTGCGAGCCCTTCGTTCCAATTGATTGTGATGATTTCCATCCCTGTGACCTGCTCGGTACCAAGCCTACCGCAGCCCGTTTCTGCAAGGTGGCTGTCTGCAGCTGGCTGTGAATCTGATGCACAGCTCCACTAAAGTACTAACCCACCTCTTTACTCGTAACTGTTAGTACTCGTAGTATCCTCATAATAATCTTCGTCCTGGCCTTTGCCTCGCCCGGCCTTGGCATCGCCTTCTTGCCCATTCCGCGACTTTGTCGTCCGTAGACACGTAACAACTTTCTGTCGCATTCATCAAGAACTCCTAATTCGATTCCTTTTACCTTGGGCCCATCAAGGCGGTTTGAAGATCGCTATTGCTGCATTGTCTAGACCGCCATTCGACCGCCCCGTCTTCTGTACCAAAAACAACACCTCCTAGTTTTCCACTTCGACTTTCGGCTCTGGGGCTTGTCTTCTCCGCCCTATCAGAACAAAACCCAACAATCGCACGCCACAACTCAGCTGGATGCGCATCGCCAATTCTCATTTCATTTCAGGGACTCGATCTTACACCCTGTCCCGATCCTATCCGCTTTCATTGTGTTTTTTCGGCCTTGTGGGTGAAGTCTCCTCCAATTCAACCTGAAGGCCCCCTACCAGCTCGTCGCGCGCTGCAGCGTAATGTCCCATGGAGGCCGATAATGCCTCGACGTTTAGCGCAAAGCCGCCTCCGCTGAATTCAGATCAACTCAATTATCTAATATGGAGGTGCGTCTTTTCTTGCATCCATTCTAATCCGATGTATTGTTAACCAAATCGCGCCAGATATCTTCAAGAATCCGGTAAAGCTCGTGACACATCGGTCCAAAAATTCTCCGTACTGACACTTCTCCAGGCTATGCAGAGGCTGCCGTCAAACTGCAGCGTGACTGGAAGGTTGATGCAGAATCTTTGCCCTTTGCGAAGAGTATCAGAGGCCATGCCCTCGTTTCACTGGTCCAGAAAGGTCTTCGTTACCACCATCTACAGCTGACCATCGACGAGGTACCTGACCTGATCCAGCCCGTGATCCCATGCAAGATCCCTCACTGACGCTAATCCTCTTTCAGAACGGCCGACCGTCCAAACAACTCAACCCGTCAATGTTCTTTTTTGGACCCGAGAGCGACAAACCCCGGCCAGAAGTAAGTCAAGACATTCCACCTCAAGCATATTCGCCCGAGAATTCGGGTAGTGTACCTCGGAAGCATCCCCGCGACAGCCTTATCAACGGTTTGTCGGAACCTACCACTCAGCCAGCCCCCAAGCGGAGTCGAAAGACTGCCGCTGGCTCTGAACGAAATGGAAGCTCGACGAGGAAGCCCTCAGGTGCCGCCGCCACTCAGACGCCGTCGGGTTCTGCAATGGATGTTGATATCCCCAACGGCCATCCGCCTTCGATCAGTGATGTCAGATCACCTTCTGCTACTGAACCCGGTCTCGATGAGAATGGCATGCATGTCAATGGCATTAAACACGATGATCGTATGGACGTAGATGACGATCCATTGGACGCCGACCGTCAGGCCGTTGAACCGAGTGCCGAGCTTATTGCCCTTCCTTTGCACACATTGTCGAACGGTGCCAGTGTCGGAGTTCAAGTTGCGCCCGCTAAAGTTGCCAATCTTTCCCCGTCAACACTTGTACTTAGCACTCAGGACGTGCCCGCGGCAGGATCACCTCGACCCCCTCGGCATGTTACAAGAGTCTCATGGCGTCCTGGTCACCCGAATGTTGTCACCGCAATGGGTGATGATTTCTGCGGGACTTGGAAGCTCGAAGATAGGACCGCCAAAACAGAAAATGGAGTTCCATTCCAGGCCCTTGTCGAATCTGCCCAGTCTGAGTTCATGAGTGCGCTTGCTTGGGAACCCAATGGAGAAGTTTTCGCCCTGGCCACCTACAGCAACCAGACCGGCCAATTGCATCTCTTTGATGGACAAGAACTTGCTTTGCTGGAAGCTTTACCTGCCTCACAAAGAGCAATCACATCCTTGCGATGGCATGGACGAGGTTTGCGCCTACTTGGAATCGCGCCATATGACACTGATGGCAAGAGCACCACCGACAGCAGTGGCTCATCCATCCTCTTGTGGGATTTGTCCAAGGGACCGAACTTGGGCGGGCCATTGTCGATCTCGGTCCCAGAAATACTGGTAGACATGGACGCCGCCTCCTACGGTGGAGAGGGCATCGTGTGCGCCGCCGGCCAGCACTCGGTCTATCTTTGTCGAGCATTCTCGAACCTTGAGGTTGCGGAAAGATGGACATCCGACGCCAATGGAAACGACCAATGGACGTTTATCAGATGCGCCTGGCACAGTAGTGACGCTATCCTTGTCGCTGCATCGGCTGAGACTCGCTGTATATGGATGCCAAGTAAAGGCGTCACAAGGAAAGATGCACACGAAGGTCCCATCACTGCACTAGAACTACGCCCCAGGGTGGCTTCCTCGACAACATCGGCATGGAAACAAGAGTTTGCTACGTCTTCCATGGACGGGACTGCCAAAGTATGGAGATACGACCCAGACAACTCCGCAATCCTGTGTACCTATAAATTGACCATCGGTCACGCATCACCTCTTATGACTCTGTCGTATTCACCTGATGGGTTCTGTCTAGCAGGTGCGAGCTACGACATTATTCGCATCTGGAATGCTGAACATGGACACAATCATATGGCGACTTGGAGGGGTGAATCGGACGGTTGGAATGGTTCACAACTGAGAGACGATGACATCATGAGCGTGGGAGGCGTTTCAAGCCTGAATGGAGATGCGCTTCAGACAAGTGCAGACCACACTTTGACTTGGGATTCTGAGAGTAAAAAACTGGCCTTTGGCCTGGGTTCACAGGTGTGTATTTCTTTCCTGTTGTCAATCTATGCTAATTATACAGGTTGCCATTGTCGACTTCCAGCGATGAACTTCTCCTCCTTAACTGATCCGGAACTCTTGCGGCAGTGCCGTCCCCTCGTGATGCCGAGAGGAATGTTATTGACCCACCGAGTCGGATGCTGATTATGTTTCAGATACCGTCTCAAATTCACCCCACTCATCTTCGTCGAGCCGTCCGTGACGATCGCTATCCTGCTCCAGGTGGACATTCATCTTTACTGGAATCGACTCCAGTTCTTGTTCAATGTCGTTGAAGCCTCGGAGCCAGGCATTCACACCTTCATATATGGTGCTAGCATCGGGGACAGCGTCATTTCCAGGTCCTGTAGGACTACTGCCAGGTCCGTCGACGTAATAGCGCCCGCGAAATCTACCTCGTCCGCGGACAACGACTTGCCTCGAGGGCCGGTTCGGTGTCGATGTGCTGTTAATCCATCCATCCAATCCAGCAACTGCACTCGACATGGCGTGCACTGCATCATGTCTCTTGCGAGATTCTGCTCTGCTGTGTTCGAGCTGATGGTGAAGTTTCGCATTCTCTCGAGTCAGCTGGCGATTTCGTTCCCTCAGAACAATGGTTTTGTCGCTGAACTCCTGTAGACGGGTTTCCTGCTGTGCACATCGTTGTGCAACAGCTTCAAGCTTTTCCATCGTCAACTGATGGAGGTGGCTCTGCTCTAGTTGGCGCATACGCATGGATTTGATGGTGAGGGTCAGGTTGTTTCGAATCAACTCGAGTCCACCTTCCGGAAATGCATCCTCAGGAATGGCTGAATGGGTGGGTTCGTTGGTGTCGTCGTCTCTAGAAGCGGAGGTATCGTCTTCAAGGAGGACTGCTTCGATGGTGTCCATGGCTGTCTCAATTCTCCGCCTCTTTTTCCCGCGTAAGGCGCCATCTTGTTCACTTGCCCAGATCTCGGAAACAAGTCCCCTCAAACGATCGGCTAAGTGGCTGATTGGTTCAAAGGTTCCGGAGGTGATTGCTTCATCGTCCAAGGGCTTAGGGGTGGCAGTTCTGAGGCTGATGGCAGAGTCGGCAAAGAGCGAATTGCTGGTCCAGGCTGATCCTGGTCTGGTTGGGGATTTGGCTTGGACTTCGTTGGCCGGCGGGCTATCTACCAGTACCATCTTCTCACGATTTGGTCGAGAATGCCGTCAGCATCAACGCGATTGACCTGTCTTCGTTTGGGATCGACCGGAATGTAATGTGCTTATTGTTGGGATAATATTGGGAAAGTCAGTCTAGAAAGAATGAGCGCAGGCAGTGCGCAGGCCACAAGTTTATGAATTGGCGCAGGTGCAGGTGCAGTCGCAAGTGGCTGGGAAGTGGCCATGACCACGTGACTCGAATACGCCTGGGTCCGCGTCAGCTGAGCCGCAGAGTGCCATAGATGAGATTAAAGGTCTGTACGATTAGAATTATCAAATTCGCTGTTCTTATAGCTATCACTAGGAGTAGTGAAGGTGTAGATGAGACTGCAAGTGTAAAATACCTGGTGTTGAATATTAAGAGCCTGAGAATTCTTACCCACCATTATCAATCTGGATGGCTTGCCTTGGGTATTATTACGAGGAGGGGTGAGCAAGTGGGACTCGGGGCATCTCCAACTACATCCCCCGACAATTTATTCGACCGCCGCGTCCGATGGCGGTGACTCAGTGCTCACAATTGTCTCGATATTAGCTACTAGCCATAGACTGACCTACCGGCTTCCATTAATCATGTTGTATCCTACCCTGAACTCAACCTATACACATCTATGCTAGAAATCAAGGTGGAACTAGGATTTGATACGTAGCACCCAATCCTTGACCCTTAGCAATATCTCAACTCTTTTGTTTCAATATGGTAATATTCTGCTTGGATCACTTGATACTTTCACGAACGTAGCTCACAGACATACAGGCGCAAATCCAACCTTCTCTTGAGGAGGTAAATTCTATACTTGCCAAATCAAAATCTTCTCAGTATCCTCCCAATCTCGTTCCTTTGAGCGCTCAAATTGCTGCCGATCTTTTTACTCCTACACAGGCCTATCTCAAGGTCTCTGAGAACTCAAAACTCTCCTTTCTCTACGAGAGCGCTGCTACCACTGGAACAATTGGCCGGTATAGCTTTGTGGGGGCAAATCCACTCAAGGTCATCAAATCTGGCCCTGGTCATGGCCCGGAAGAAGATCCTCTTCCTAGGCTCGAGGAAGAGCTGTCCCAATACCGGGTCGCAACCGTTCCTTCGCTTCGACTTCCACCCTTGACAGGTGGTGTGATAGGGTATGTCGGCTATGATTGTGTGCGATACTTCGAACCCAAGACAGCCCGACCCATGAAGGACGTGCTCAATTTGCCCGAGAGTTTCTTCATGCTTTATGACACTATTGTCGCCTTTGACCACTTTTTCAACGTTTGCAAAGTTATCACATATCTGAAAGTACCTACCACCGAATCGAAGTCTGATCTTGCAGATGCTTACGCCAAAGCGTCTCAGACAATTCAGAGGACCATCTCAATACTTCAGGCCGAGCACATACCACTTCCCTATCAACCACCTATCGCGCAAAATCAACCCTCGAAATCGAATATTGGTCAGACAGGATACGAAGCACATGTTACACAACTTAAGAAACATGTGTCCGTCGGTGATATTATCCAGGCAGTCCCGTCCCACCGAATATCCCGACCCACTACACTGCACCCATTCAACATTTATCGCCATTTACGCACAGTGAACCCTTCCCCTTATCTATTCTACATTGACTGCGAGGATTTCAGCATCGTCGGAGCATCGCCGGAATTATTGGTCAAAGAGGAAGCAGGCCGTATTATCACTCATCCAATTGCTGGCACGGTGAAAAGAGGTCGAGACCCCGAGGAGGACGATGCTCTGGCCGATGAGCTGCGAAATAGTCTAAAGGATCGGGCTGAGCATGTCATGTTGGTGGACTTGGCAAGGAACGACGTGAACCGTGTGTGCGATCCTCTGTCTACCAGAGTAGACCGGCTCATGGTGGTGGAGAGATTCAGCCATGTCCAGCATCTCGTCAGTCAGGTCTCTGGAGTGCTGAGACCCGGTGAAAATCGATTTACAGCATTCCGAAGCATTTTCCCCGCCGGGACAGTTTCCGGCGCACCAAAAGTAAGGGCCATGGAGCTCATTGCGGAATTAGAACGCGAAAAGAGAGGTGTCTATGCCGGCGCAGTTGGATATTTTGGATTTTCGCGAGTTTCACAGGACGGATCAAAAGTCGAAGATGAGGGCGCAATGGATACTTGTATTGCACTACGTACCATGGTGGTTAAGGATGGAGTTGCATACCTACAAGCTGGTGGTGGAATTGTGTTCGATAGTGTCGAGGAGGATGAATGGATCGAAACTATGAACAAATTGGGCGCTAATATTAGAACGATTGAGGAGGCGGAGAGGAAATATATTGCCCAAGAGAACCGGCAGGCTAACGGACGCTCGAAATAGACTCAAGCCATAGTGAACATTGAACAAAGTGATTGTTTTATTTACGACAACTCCAGCGGCCGATGGTCCCCGACCTGAAGCCAGGTCGAACTGCCTTGCGTTTATGACTCAGCCTTGAGATAGTGCTCTCTGCAGGCGAAAAGTGAACTGGTTTACTGATTTGTGTGGAGAGCGATTTTGGGTGGTTCAAGACGAGTCGGAGAATAACGACCAATAATGTGGCCTCAGGACCTGTTAGCGTTCAAGAAGTCTTGGCTCCACCGCACGAAAGTCGAAAATCCCTATTGACAACCCGTTGAGTTTTGAACAACGCCAACAACTCATCATTCCCACTACAATTCAATCGCTGATATCTGTCAGGACTTCTCGCCAGTCTTGACAGCCTAGCTCAGCTCACCCACAAGATGAAGTTGAACATTTCCTACCCGGCCAATGGGTCGCAGAAACTGATCGAGGTCGAGGATGAGCGCAAGCTGCGTATCTTCCAGGAGAAGCGTATGGGCAATGAAGTGCCAGCCGATAGTCTAGGCGATGAGTGGAAGGGCTATGTATGAGAGACGGGCTTATTACTGTGTGCGTTCTTGTGCTGACTTGTCTTCCAGATCGTACGCATCACTGGTGGCAATGACAAGCAAGGCTTTCCCATGAAGCAGGGTGTCGTATGTTCAACTCCCTGCCCTTGAAAGCGCCAGCGAGTCGCCCGCTGAGACTTGATTCATTTAGTTACTCCCCACCCGTGTCAAACTCCTCCTCTCCGACGGCCACTCCTGCTACCGACCTCGCCGAACCGGTGAGCGCAAGCGAAAGTCTGTTCGTGGCTCCATCGTCGCCAACGACCTTTCCGTCCTTGCCCTCTCCATCGTCAAGCAAGGCGAGAGTGACATTCCCGGTCTGACCGATGTGGTCAACCCCAAGAGACTTGGACCCAAGCGTGCTACAAAGATCCGTCGATTCTTCGGCCTGACCAAGCAAGATGATGTCCGGTAAGGATCAATCTACAGAACCATACGCCGTTATTTTCTGACAGTCTTATTTTCACAGCAAATTCGTTATTCGACGTGAGGTCATCCCCAAGAAGGAAGGTGCAAAACCCTACACCAAGGCCCCTAAGATCCAGAGACTCGTCACCCCTCAACGCATGCAACACAAGAGACACCGAATTGCCATCAAGAGAAGACGTGCGGAAGCCGCCAAGGATGCTGCGAACGAGTACGCTCAGCTGTTGGCTAAGCGTGTGCACGAGGAGCGTGAGAAGAGAACCGAGCTCAGAAAGAGACGTGCTTCATCTCTCAGAAAGTAAATGCTTGCTATTAGAGTTCTAGGGCCAGGATCAGACAACAGGCGCTGGAGATGCTGGGGCAAAAGAAATTTCTAGGGAGTGGGAGTGGTGGGAGATGAGAGTGTCATCTAATACTACCACAACCCGGACCACTTGATTCCATAGGCGTGGGAGAATGGGTGGAGAGGAATGCACGGGACGATCGTGTGATCATGCATTTAAATGCTGGCCATGTGTCCCAGCATCTTGCCCTTTTGTGCACCCGTTTGACCACACAGAGATAGATGCCCAGACAAAAGTGTCAGACCACCCAACAACAATCAAACCCATGCGCTGCAAATGCACATTCAACCAATATTGCTTTAACGCTGACGCTGACACTGATGACTGCTGGCCTTGATCTTCATTCCTATTTTCGTACTTGAGGTATCTTACCATCCTCCGAGCCAAGCCCATCCGTTCGGGAGGTGATTTATCCTGGTGCCTAGGTAGCGAGTAGTGATTGGCAGTGCTCACTGACTTGCCTGAACAGTGCCGCCCGAAACTTTGGAAAGGAATCTGCCTCAGAAATTACCCTTTCGGAGCGCGGGGCAAGCCAGCCTTATTTTTGGGTTTTTTTTCGCTGGGGTTTTTGGCTCCCGTACCTAATGACTGAGCCGAGCGGGAATGACTTTTCTTCCTCTTCTCATCGCCATGTCGACTCTTCGATAACAACTTCTTCGCTTAACGACGCTGGCATGGCGACAAACTCCATTAAGCTCTTGACTGGCAACAGTCACCCCGACCTTGCTAGGGCCGTGGCAGCCAGGTCAGTTCCTGCGGCAGGGCACAATATGCCCCGTTGCTTTCCTTTCCTCGGCGTGCTTGCGTTGTAGATTCCCATGTGCTGACATGAGTTGTTCCGCTGGTCTAGGCTCGGCATCGAGCTCACCAAGATCATGGTCTTACAGTATTCGAATCAGGAGACCAGTGTTACGATCGGAGAATCTGTCAGAGACGAAGACGGTAAATATGCGATCCTGCATTCCCCGGCGCCTATCATCAAGCCCTCATAATACGTACACTTGAGCTTGCCTGACCATTTGACCCATAGTATTCATCCTGCAGTCCACGCGACCCAACGACATTAACGACGGGCTCATGGAGCTGCTCATCATCTGCAATGCGTGCAAGACCGCCTCTGCCCGACGAGTCACCGCTATCCTCCCCAATTTCCCCTACGCTCGGCAAGATAAGAAAGATAAATCTAGAGCACCCATCACTGCGAAGCTGATGGCGAATATGCTGCAGACTGCTGGATGTAACCACGTCATCACGATGGATCTCCACGCTTCACAAATCCAGGGCTTCTTCAACGTTCCTGTGGACAACCTCTACGCGGAACCCAACTCGGTCAAGTGGATTCGAGAAAACTTAATGCATGCCACGGAGACAAATGCAGAGATCAACGGTACGAAGCAGGACTGCGTCATCGTGAGCCCAGATGCGGGTGGTGCAAAAAGAGCTACCTCTATGGCGGATCGCCTTGATCTCCCTTTTGCACTCATCCACAAAGAGCGCTCCCGGCCCAACGAAGTCAGCCGGATGACTCTTGTCGGTACGGTCCACGGGAAAGTTGCAATCCTTGTCGACGACATGGCAGACACATGCGGTACCCTGGCCAAAGCAGCCGACACCCTGGTTAAGCATGGGGCCAAGGATGTGGTAGCGCTTGTGACCCATGGCATCCTGTCAGGCAAAGCTGTTGAAATCTTAAAAGGTTCCAAGCTATCCCGTCTCGTGATCACCAACACAGTGCCGGTTCCAGAGGAGAAAATCGAGGCGTTACGGGTTGAAGACGGGCAGGCTGGATGCAGGCTGGAATTCATCGACATTGCTCCAGTGTTGGCGGAAGCGATCAGAAGAACTCATAATGGTGAAAGTGTGAGCTACCTGTTCAGTCACGCTGTATGAAGGAAGCATACATGGATGTATGTTTCCACAAATGCGTTTCTGCGATACGGCGTTTGTGGCGCACACACGTTGTGCCCCATTCATATCTGGATATTGGTTTCTGAGCCAGTCGAGCATCTCTTCGCTTTGAGATAGCTAGCGTACCGTGAACTATGCCTTGTTCTGTAAGACAAGTCTCGATTTGCAAGGAAGTGAAGTCTCCTTGCTGGCCGATCCTTCTCTCGCAAGGCTGTCCTAGATGGCCCATAAAGTCAGTGGAACTTAATAGGACCGGTACAGAGGGGATCTTCCCGCTAATTCCCGCGGGCCTGCATCGGCGATAGTGTCGGTGTTTATATCCCAACACAATGGAGGATGGTTCATTCTATTGCATCCGAGATGCAGGATGAGTCGCACAAGCCGTTGGGACTTGGAAAATGATCAGGGAACCGGATTTTTGTCCAGAGTAGACAATGTTCTTGAGCTACGTCCACCTTTTCACAGTGCAAGGCAATACACCTCATGCATATTGTGATGTGGACCGCTCACGTAGAGAAAAGGTTGGTGGATGGATGGATACAAATGTTAGATCGAATTCGTTGGCTTTAGACCTGACGTCTCACATTCATCCATCGATAATTAATTGAACCTGCTTGAAGCCCCAGAGTTGTTGTTGTTGTTGTACCACCTTGAGAGCATGCCAGGCAGTGTCAAAATAGCCCTGCACGTGATGAGCCCGGATTCCAAACCTTTGAGGTCACTCAAAACCTGGGCATCATTCAGCCTCCCACCTCACTGATGTATCAACGACGAGGCCACCTTCACCATCGTGCTTACCCATGAACAACCATACAGATCGCCACTTCCGGCCCTGACAAATCCTGCCGTGGAACGCGCCTGGCTGAACATCGAAGAGCCCTTCGATTGTCCAAGATGAACAACCTCGATTCTGAAGCGGCCTGCCAAGAACGCGGCAGGACTTCAATTGAAGGACTTGGTCCAACAACATCGCTGTTCTAGAACTGGAAAGCGACATACCACGAGAGCGGAAACTCCCGAATGCCTCCAGGCATCATTGTGGCTTTGCGCTATTGAAGCCTGCCTGGCACAGCATCAGACTTTGGTAACAATTTACAGCAAACCCTCAACCATCAGAGAGCGAAAGTCCAAGCGGTATTGAATTTCCTGCGGTGATGATTGGACGCGCCCGGTAGGAAATAAATTCCGTTGCTGTTTCTGGGATCGCTCAAAAAGACGCGCGCCGCATCGCTCCCATCCACTGGAACCTCTGGGTTCACACCCTCAATTCACGAGTTGGGTACTGGTCACGGAGGAAATCTCCGTTCAGTCGTCATTTGCACCTCTGAAAAGCGTGGAGGGGTCCTGTCAAGTAAATACTTTGGTCATGATCTGGGCCCTACGGTAGTGGGTTTGAGCACCACCTACAGTTGACTACTCTCAAGTGTACCATACTCTCCTGGTGCCTTTGCCCCAATAATGATGGCCCTGTGGCTCCCTGACCGAAAAACTCGGCGAGAGCATCCGCTTGTTTTTATTGGGCTATCAAGGGTCCGTAACTTATTTCCGTCGCGTGTCTTCAGATCTTATCACGTGCACTCGAACACAAACATTGTCTCATCAAGAACTTTTTAGCCTCAGGCATGTCATTGTGGCATAATACGTACCCTGCTGGTTAAAAGGAAGTCCTGGACATATTTACAATGTACAAAACTAGGGGCCACGCAACTTTCCGTGGTCGATGATCCAGATTCCCCAATTCTTTTCAGTGCCTTGCCCTTGGAGGATGAGGCTTCGGTGAACGATCAAGCCTGTCGCATGACAAACCACATCCTTACCACATAATGGCTGGAAGGAACCGGAGGCCGTTGGCACCTGCTGTGCCACCAGTATCACCACCATCCACGACCCAAAGCTTTTCCATGCCTCATGCCTCCACACAAGCCCGCCGCAATATCACAACAGCATGTGGGGCGTGTAGGAGACGTAGGTCCAAGGTGCGTGCTTCTGATCAATTCTGCGCAGGGAGATGGGTTCCAATCAGGGCAAGTATGCCCGCTGCGTACAAGTCATCGAGTCTCGAGTCCCGGGGACAACGATTTGTTGTTCCCAGAATCGCGGGTCATCTCCTATCGTTCGGACTTGCATCATCATTTGCTGCGTTTGGCCAGCCCGAACAACACGACACTGACCTGATTTGATATAACAGTGCGACGAAAACACTCCATGCTCAGCTTGTGTGGCAAAGCAAACAGAATGCATCCGCGACCACGCTGAGGATGGCCGACGCAGATTGGCCTGGAAACGCAAAGTTGAGGAGCTGGAATCGGACAGCAGGTCTTTACCTGATCTCCTGGCTGCCATACGGAGCGGGGAGGAAGGTCAAGTTGACAAGCTCGTCGCCTTCATACGCAGCCAAGCCTCACAGGATGAGGTCATTGATTATGTTGCAGTCAACTTCACACCCCCTGCTGCTCCCCTCGAACATGAAGAGGGACGCAGCAAACCGTCAACCCGTCAACAATCCCCTTTGTCTCAGCAGCCTCGCCTCCCAAGGTCTTTGCAGTTCCTCCAACCGCTCGTCTTAGTACCCGCAAAGCCCTGGACAACCGTCACGGACGACGACGAACTAGTGTCCCACCTGATATCTTTATGGTTCACATGGCGCCATTGGTGCTACCCCTTTATTGAAAAGGACGGATTTGTCAGTGCCATGCAATCCATGGATGTCAACAGTGGTGTTTGCACACCAGCCTTGGTCAACATGATCCTTGCAGATGCTTGTGTAAGTGTTCCCAAACAAACATTTCTTTGTGTACATACATTAATCATCAAGCCTCCATGAGGACGAAGTCGCACAGTCTGGCTTGGGAAGGTCCTGCTTTCCACTGATTTAAATTTGTGGAAGCTTACTCCCTTGTCAGACTGTGCCATGTTCGCTCACACTGGCTTCGCCTTAGTAGTTCGATTATGATATACCTGATGGTGTCCACTCCATCTCGTCTAGCGAAAAGCCACTTCGAGAATTGTTCTTCGAGGAAGGAAGACGGCATATGGAAATTCCAGAAAGCAAGAGGTCGGTGCCGGCCATTCAATCTCTGAGTTTGGAATGGATGTAGTAAGTTGGTCCCTGGTGTTGAGGAGCTTGAGTCTCCGACTGACAGACGTCGTAGTCTTGGGAGCAGCGGCTTCGACTCCATGTCTGTTGCCGTTATGCACGAAGTAGTCTATCGTGTCAGGCAGCTGGATAAGCCCGGCAAAACAGATCGATGGAAGCGTCGATTCTCAGCTGAACAAGCTACTCGAGCAGAGAAGACCCTTGGCTATACTACGTGGGCATCCTTTGTTTCAACAACAGCGGTTACTTTTGCAATGCGAAAAGCACCATTAATGGGGCCGCCTGATCGAGCAAGGCCTGGTTTATGTCATGGGGAGCCTGGCGAATTGTGGATACCATATCCGTTGGACAATCCGTCTGTTGTTGCTCATGCCGATTGTCACCTCCATTGTCTGGGAAGATTGTTCGAGATCTGTTATAGTATCAGCGAGTATCTCTTCACTAAGGACGACAATGCGTTCTTCATCCAGGACACATTGGAGGATCTTCATCGCGAGTTAACGTTGTGGTATGATGGTCTGATTGGTTGCCTTCGGATCGATGCTGTCAAATCGCCGCATACATTAAGCGTACAGTGAGTTGCATCATTACCCCAACACTGATTTTGAATCGACAACTGAAGCAAACAGCGCTCAGTATCATTGGTCCGTAATGGTCCTCTCAGAGCTGAGCTTCTCGTCTAAGCTGGACGATGGGGACGACGCTACAGTCGCCTTGCTAGTGACGGTCATACAGGCCCAACACATGGCCGCTGCACTTGCCATAGCAGAGCTCGTACACCGCCAGTGCATCCACTGGGGCGTGGGTCATCTCCCTACCAGTTTCTTACAACCGATCAATGCTGCCATACACGTCATCACCAGCGACCTCGAGGCTGCAGAGCATAGGTCAGCATTTGTCAAGCTCGCCATAGGACTCCACAGCCTCGCACGAAGATCTGTCTCGGCAGAGAGTGTGCTCCGCATGTTAAGGCTACGACTACGTCAGAAACGGCTTATGGCTTCTTCGGATATCGACCGACTCTTCAATGAGGCCTCCCAACATTGGGAAGCGAGTCTGTGGAGCCCTACACCGATGAAAAGAGACAGCTTAGCCATCACCAGCAACGAAAGCGTCATCGATGGCGAATACAAAGACGGGAACTTGTCGCAACTGGATGGTGCTGGCACATCTGATGAGGGATACGACTTGCTAATTGGGAAGTGGAACAACTTCAACCTCGGCGCCCAGTCAAGCAGTAGCTCCTCATCAAGTTGACATCAAGGGCTGTCGGGGAACAGCCCAACCTGTTTCTGAGTGTCCGTCAGCTAACCATGATAACTACGGACCTCATGTGGTGTGAGCCCACCAGTCTACCAACCTAATCCTATGTCTTTCCCGATACTGATAATTTTCTGGAACTGAGATATACATCGCAACAAGGATAGCCAAAATAATCCCTAGAGCACATATCCAATGACGGAAATGTTACGTGTTCCACAACGGTAACATCGCGACAGCATTTTCTTGACAGCATCATCTACGATAGACATGGCATGAATGACCGGTAACTGGAACAAGTTATGCGATACTCCTTCAAGTGAAAGCAGTGATTCCTGATGCTTCTATCATATCTACAGCTCTCTCTCGCGTATCCTGAGAATATCGCTTTCCCAGGGCAGCATCTCAAAATGATTGGGAACACAGGGGCAAATTCTTTCTAGAAGACATAACTTTCTAACCAAAAGGCTCGAAATTTCTATCCTCATCCAGACGACTATATTTCTTCTACAACAAACCTTTGCCGTCCGAATCCGGATTGACTGCCTACTCTATTTTTCGAGTCCTCTTGCCTTTGCTGCGCGGGACATTTGATCGTTTTCGCTTTTTGCTTCTTTTCTCTGTTTTTTCCATGGACCTCCAATTTGAGATCCAGTTTCTGCTGTCTTGACCTGCTCCCCGCTTCTTCCATTAGGTACTTCCTCGGCCGTGAGCGGAGCGCTCATTTTCGTTCTATTATTTCATCGTAGATGGATGTTCTCTTCTCTTTACGCAGCTACTGAAATCCGTGTTGCTCTTTCTCTCTCTATTCACGTGGCCCAGTTCGAGTTCCTGCCGTGGCTTCCCCCCCGTCTATTATAGACCTCCAAGCGCCAGCGCTCATCCCACCCATTCTCAGTCTTCCACGCACCGCTTTCGTCGTGCTGTTGCTGCTCTTGCCGTTGTATTTGACTCTCACCGCCACTCCCTCTCTCACTCCCATTCTCTATCGTCATCAAAGGCATCTGCTTCCTCAAGAGAATCGGATCCGTGCTCTCACGCCCCCTCCGCGGCCGCTCGTAGCACGACAAATCCATCACGTGGCTGTCGCGCCCTTCCCGATGTGACGATGCCGTGGGAATACTTACAGCCCCGCTTCTAATGTCGTCCGTAGACGTGAAGTCGAGTTGGATCACGTGGTTCGCAATTCCGGCGTAGATGGTCGCGGAGGACGGAGACGGGCTGGACAGTGAGTATACGGATCCCCGGTAGCGCTCGGCTCGGCTGGACCTCAGGGACCGCTGGAGCGGCTCCCATCGTCTCTCGCGGTAGTTTATCAGCGGCGTGAGGAAGATGTTGATGTCGCGTTGAATGTCTGTTGTTGGGTAGCGGAAGTGTTCTTGGTGATTGGCTGCGTTTTCGGTGCCTATGCCTTGTGTGACTTGGGGTGGACGGGTGGAAAGGTATGAGTATGCTCTGGCTCCAGGCATGCGGAGGTCGAACGTTTTCAAACATCCATTCTGGGAGCCTCCCGCCACGAATCTTTCGAGACCGATGGGCAACAGCGATAGGATCTGTCCGTCATCAACAACGTCCATGTATGATGCGACGACGTTTCCAGGAAGGCGCAGATCGTGCAGTCGGGTAACTCCATCTGTCCATCCGGATAGGAACAGCTGCGTCGGCCGACTACTTGTGGAGCTGGCGTTGTCCAGTAAAGGAACAATCACGTTCGCGTTCTGTCGACCGAGCATTCCTGATAATTCCTGATCAGCTCCTACGGTCTCCATCAGCGGTGAACTCGATAGCCCTGTGGGACTGATGTCGTAAATGCTGATGGGTGCCTGGTCACGCCCTTGGAGATATTGAGACGCGACTGCCAAGGTACTGTCGGAGAGAAACTTCGCGACCCGTTTCCGCTGGGGCGTTTTGGCGGTACCTTGAGCTAGTATGGTGTCGCTTGGTTTCACAAATTCGTCAGAGCTTCGCACCGGGAACAATTGGATCGATTCAGGGTCGCAGATGGCTAAGAGGGGGTGTGCGTTCTTACTGACATCCATGCAATTGGGAGTGGCTGAGTCAACGAGGTAGCGCGAGATTGGCGTGATTTCATCTGGTTTAGATGAAGACTCAACCTTGGCGACTTCACCGTTGGCCCTCCTGAGTACAATGGATTCTCCATCGAGATTATCATGCTGCTCCGGTAGCAAAAGACGGACGTCCAAGATATCCATGGCCTGCTTGTGGTCCTGATCCCCTCTGGAGGAAGTCCAACTGACGACGCCGTCCTTTGTTGTACGCAACCTAAGCCTGCCGATAGCGCCCCAGGCAAGGACCTCCTTCCGGGCAGACCAGGATGAGCCATGCCAAGTTTCATAACAGTCGATGTTGGGATGATACCCTACAGTGGGCGTATGGGGTTGCTGATACAATCCGTCAGCAGGGGAGGCTGGTGGATGGCACTCTCTTGCGACGAACGCCTTGCGGTCCCAAGCACGAGAGCGGGATGTCAGACACCGTGCGGCATCCCGCCAGATGGGAGGCGTTGCAATGGTCGGAAAAGCCCGTTGTACGAAGGAGCGGAATATCGAGTATTCATCCTGCGAAATAATGGTATGCGTTGCGTGACACGTCAACCCAAGATTGACGATCGACGACGCAGTGGGTAGATACCCGACAATCTGCTCAATGACCTCGACCGGGAGGTCTCGAAAAGTTATCATGGCGTGGGTGTCCTCCAATCAAGGAGGATAACAGGAGCTCTGGACATATATCGGAAATTTCTCTTTAGTTTTGAAGAGCCAAACAGATGAAGGAAACTCTGAGAAGAGAAAGCACCATTTTTGATATCCAGAAGACCACGCTTTGAGTCATTCGTTCGGTGATCCTTGCGAGCGTTGATTGTTAAATGAATCCCATTTTCATCAGGTGGCAATTCAGCCAATTGCGTCATGTTGGCGCCGGCAGGGGTTCCGTTTCAGCCTGGTGCCAAGCCCAGGCTGGCATCTAATACTGGGTGTCAGACTGAATTTTTCTTTGCGGTGCCCACAGTTCCCCCTCCGTAGATGGGATGTCAGACTGCGTTATTTATCCGCGGAGGCCCTTCATTCCACAGTGCAGATTCGCAAGACCCAGAGTGACTCCTTCTCGCATTCTACCATTGGTATCCCAACATCTCGCCTAGCTGTTTCTCGCCGCAAAGATCTATACTATTTCTCTTGCTAAAATATGGACATCAAGAAGTCTCCTCTATGAGAATGATGGGTCGACATGGCCACCATAAAGGCCATCGAAGCCAAATCAGTACATCAAATTCAGTCAGGCCAAGTTATCGTCGACATCTCCTCTGTCGCCAAGGAATTGATTGAGAACAGTCTTGATGCCGGGGCCACCTCGGTGGAGGTTCGTTTCAAAAACTATGGCTTGGATGCCATCGAGGTCCAAGACAACGGATCTGGCATCGCTCCGGCCAATTATGAACACATCGCGTTGAAGCATTACACCTCCAAACTCTCAAGCTACGATGAACTGTCCAACCTACAGACTTTTGGGTTCCGGGGTGAAGCACTTTCATCTCTCTGTGCACTATCCAGGTTCTCAGTCACAACAGCACAGTCCGATGAAGTTCCAAAGGGGAAGCGCCTGGAGTTCGATATCATGGGTAAACTAAAATCTACAACAATAGTCGCCTCGCAAAAAGGCACCACTGCTTCTGTGGAGGGCTTGTTCGAGAGCTTGCCCGTACGCCGGAAAGAACTCACCAAAAACATCAAACGCGAATATGGAAAGGTCCTTGGTCTGCTTCAGGCATATGCCTGTATATCCGTCAACGTCAAATTTACAGTCAAACATGCTGTGACGAAAGGTAAAAGTATGACAGTGTTCTCGACCAAAGGCAATGCAAGCACACGAGATAACATTGCAAACGTCTATGGAGCGAAGACTCTGAGTGCTTTGGTGTCCCTAGACTTGACACTTGAATACCAGTCGACATTGACACAAATGGCCCGGAAAGAGAAACACACCAACATCCAAGTGCAAGGCCACATATCGAGGCCTGTCTTCGGTGAAGGGAGACAAACACCGGACCGCCAAATGTTTTTCGTCAATGGTAGACCTTGCGGGCTGCCTCAAATTGCGAAAGCCATCAATGAAGTATACAGATCATTCAACGTATCGCAGTCGCCATTCATATTTGCGGACTTTCGAATGGATACAAATACCTACGATGTGAATGTGTCTCCAGACAAGCGAACTATACTACTCCACGACTCAGCGTCACTTATTGAAAGTCTCAAGGGCGCGTTGACCGAGATGTTTGATCAGCAGGAGCAAATCGTACCTCAATCACAGCTCCGAGTCCCCAAGCTTCCAGTGTTCAAGAGCTTGGCTTTACAACGACAGAGTTCCAGGCTGTCACCTGAGAATGATTTTGGGGGAGCATCCGCACTTGAAAAATCTGCAGACCAAGGAAATAGCGACGATGTAGACTATGAGGAAGACTCTCCTAGACCCTTGCCGCGAGAACATTTCCGGACCTTTACTAGCACGAAAGAAAAACCAGAGCCTGGCGGAGATGAAAAGTGGGACGCCAAGGTGCAAACGAATCGAGAGCGAAAGGCTACAAATGCCACGGAGAAGCTGGCTGAAGACGCTGAGAGAGAGACAGAAGAAGATACAGTGGACATCGTTGGTGAACAGACCGAGGAAGAAGGAGGAGAAGAAGAGGAAGACGAGCCATCACAGGTTGGTCCCAGCAAGATACATGTCAGAGACTTCAATGTACGAATGGCCGAACAGCAGTTGAAAAGCCCCATTGACAAAGCCTCGGTGGCAGCTAGGTACGAACAACAAATTTCAAGCAAGCCAGCAGTTCATCCACCACAGAACGAATCCGGCCCTGTCCCAAACGCATTCGATAGAATGAGGCCCAGAAGAACGCCAGCAGAGTTGGCGACCATCACCATTGGCGACAAGACGGTGACGACGGTGTTGGGGATGCAAACATTACATCCCTCCGGTGGCGAATCAGTGGCACCTCGTCGTCGAAATGATACGGCCTCAACAATATTTTCACAGAAATTACAACGTTTTGGAGCTTCTAGAGCTGAAATCACTGAAAATGAAGACTCTGACGAGTCTGACAGAGAGGATCACCCGGATGCCGAGGATGAGTCTGAAATCGACGACCAACCCGAACACGCCTCAAGCGCGTCGGAACCGGATGAGCCCGATGGGACTGGATCTGATCCTTCTGCGAACGAAATCGGTGATCACTCAGATGAAGACTATATCGACGAAGATGAGAAGAAGAGAGCGGAGGAGGCTCGAGTGGCAGAACTGGTTCGAGCTGCCGAAGAAAGCTCCAACATTCCAACCAAGGAAACCGTGAGGCGAGCAAGGAAGGCTTTAACGAGTGTTCAGGCAAGGAACTCAACCACCAACCTTGCAACAACTGTTGACGTTTCAATACCATCCATCAGTCGACAGATGTCGAGGCTATGTGAGTCCAAGGCTGAAATTGGTGACCAGCCTCAATCAGCATCCGATGAACAGACAGAACGAAATGCGGAAGAACGACTATCATTGACAGTTGCAAAAGCAGACTTCGCTAAGATGAAGATTGTAGGTCAATTCAACCTTGGCTTTATTTTGGCTGTGCGGCCACATGAGCCTACTTGCGACCTGTCGAAGCCGTCGAATGAAGATGAGCTATTTATCATTGACCAGCACGCTTCGGACGAAAAGTACAATTTTGAAAGGCTCCAAGCAGAGACGGTAGTTGGCAACCAGAGACTAGTACGATCAGTGATCCTGGACCTGACGGCAGTTGAAGAAGAGATTGTTCTCGAGAACCACGAGGTGTTGGAGAGGAACGGGTTCCTGGTTGAAATCGACACAAGTGGTGAGAGTGTGGTCGGTCAACGCTGCAAGCTTATCAGCCTACCTTTGAGTAAGGAGGTGGTCTTTAACACCAAGGACCTGGAGGAATTGATCCAATTGCTCGCAGAAGCGCCCGGATTGGGCGGCTCGGAGGTAGTTCGCCCAAGCAAAGTGCGGAAGATGTTTGCGATGAGAGCATGTCGATCGAGTATCATGATTGGCAAAACATTATCGTGGAAGCAAATGGAGAAAGTGGTGACACATATGGGGACCATTGACAAGCCTTGGAATTGCCCTCACGGTCGTCCCACGATGCGACATTTATGTGGGCTGAGCCAGTTTGAGCCGTGGAGAGAAGGGAATAGCGAATACGGGGAAGAAGTGATGGGTCTGGGGGAGGTGTTGCAGACATATGCGTCCGGCCACTGATAGGGTAGGGTAGGACAGGATATGATATACAGGGAGAGGGATGAGGATGGGGGAATATAAATTTGGAGGATGGTCAATGGAGCGGGTCAAAGGGAGGATTTCTTGATATGGCATGTGGAAGCAGAGAAGCAGAGCTCACGCATGGTCATCCTTACGGCCCTTAGGGGACCGACGGCTAGAGGTGATGTTTTGTTGGTTGGTGTGAGTTGCTTCTTCCGAGTTATTCCACCGGAGGAGGGAAGCCGATGAATTGCCGTACGAGCATGTTTTCGCAAGTCAGAAATTTTTTTAGGCGGGTAGGTCTGTATGTATGTACGGTCTGAGCCTGGGACTGAGGGCCTCTGGTGCAATGACAATTAGGTACGTACGGATGGTCAACGACTCCGTACGGGGGCAGTGACTGACTGCCTTAGGGGCTGTCCGTACCGGTGGCTCTGGGGCAGCTCCCCTGGGACGTTGGCAAGGGCAAAGGGCGGCTTCTCCAGTGGGTGCCAGGCCAAGCGATGATTGGATTGGTGGCGGCGACCAAGAACTATTAACCTCGGCACTCTCACATGGCTAAGACGCTCCTTCCCTACCCACCAGTTCCTATACTCCGACTGCTCCTTCTTCGCCGCGGCAATTCCACCCTCTGCCAGTTGCTGCATTCGTTCCTTCCCGAGTCCTCTCCGACCTAAAAAAGTCGCGTGAACCTACGTCTACGTCTACGTCTACGTCGCTGTCTGCATACGTTCTCTCGACCTTGGATTCCCTTTTCTTTCCTTTCTGGCACCGTCTCTACTCTCTGGCCTGGGTTATGTTGTCCACACTCGGTCGGGCCTCTCTATCATTCCGCCCAATTCCTCGCTATTCCAAGTCTTTCTCGACGTCGTCGTCGTCATTAGCTGTCAAGGTAAGCATTTCTTTCCCTTGGCCCGAAATTGACGTCAGGTGCGAGGAGAATGCTAACGGCTGCTACAGGCTTTCGCCATGGCCCCCGCCAACAAGAGGAAGCAGTCAACCAAGACCCAGTTTTGGGTCACTGAAGGTATGGACGTAGCCTCCACCAGAGCCTAGAAGCCGGGACTCGCTCTAACAGCATTCCAGAATACCGTGAGGATCCCTCCAAAGGCCCCATGCTCCGATTCGAGGACTCTCTCCCTCGACTACCTGTGCCTGCGCTCGAGGAGACCTCCGCCCGCTACCTGAAGAGCATCCATCCTCTCCTGACCAAAGAGGAGTTTGCCAGATCCCAAAAAGCTGTTGCCGAGTTCAACAAGCCAGGAAGTCTTGGCTCAAAACTTCAGGAGCGCTTAATAAACAAGGCTCAAGATCCCAAGGTCAAGAATTGGATAGCAGACTGGTGGAACGAGGCTGCTTATCTGGCATACCGCGACCCCGTTGTGCCTTATGTCTCTTACTTCTATTCCTTCCGCGATGATCGACACAGACGGAATCCCGCAAAACGCGCAGCGGCAATAACTACAGCCGCCCTCGAGTTCAAGCGCCAGGTCGATACCGGCTCTCTGGAGCCTGAGTACATGCGAAAGAAGCCTATGGCCATGAGCAGCTACGAGTACATGTTCAATACCTCTCGTGTAGCTGCCCTCCCCTCAGACTACCCCATCCAATATCCCGCTGAAGGCAATGAGCATATCATTGTCATGCGAAACAATCAGTTCTTCAAAGTCCAAACACATGTCGCAGGACAGCGGCTGAACACCTCCGAGCTCGAACAACAATTCAACAAAATCTATAAAAGTGCGGCGACTACCACCCCCATCGGCGCCCTTACTTCCTTCCCTCGCGACCAAGGCGCGAAAGCCCGTGAAAATCTGCTCGCCGCCTCCCCACTCAACGCTGCAACACTCAAAGAAATCGAAGCCTCCTCCTTCATCGTAGCACTGGACTCTGCTAGTCCAGTCACTCTCGAAGAACGAGCGCATGCCTATTGGCACGGCGATGGTGCCAATAGATGGTATGATAAGCCTCTCCAATTCATCATCAACGACAACGGCACTGCAGGGTTCATGGGCGAACACAGCATGATGGACGGCACTCCCACCCACCGACTATGCGATACTGTGAACGCTTTGATCGTCCACAACAAACTAGACTTCAACAATCCTTCCATCCGCTCCGATCTTCCCGATCCAGTTGCCTTGAACTTTGAAACTTCTGCAGCGGTTCTTGAAGATGTAGCAACTGCCCAAGCTCAATTCCGTCAAGTCATTGCTTCTCACGATCTCCGAGTTCAAGCTTATCAAGGCTATGGCAAGGGTCTGATCAAGAAATTCAAATGCTCCCCTGACGCGTATGTCCAGATGATTATCCAATTGGCATACCACAAGATGTACGGCAAGAACCGTCCCACCTATGAGTCTGCTGCAACAAGAAAATATCAGCTTGGCCGAACCGAGACAACAAGAACCGTCTCCGACGATTCAGTTGCCTTCTGTGATGCTATGGCAGATCCTTCTGTCTCTCGCGAAGAAGCTGAGCGGCTCTTCCGCGAAGCAGTCAAAGCTCATGTACAATATACTGCCGATGCAAGTGACGGATATGGTGTGGACAGGCACCTTTTCGGTTTGAAGAAGCTGGTCCAAGAGGGCGAGGAACTACCGGAGATCTTTAAAGACCCAGCATTTGCCTACTCTAGCTCTTGGTATATCTCATCAAGCCAATTGAGCTCCGAGTACTTCAACGGTTATGGCTGGAGCCAAGTCATTGACCAAGGATGGGGTATTGCATATATGATTAACGAAAACAGGTATGGCTTCTCGTTCCTTTTCATCGCAGGGGATTCGCGCTAACTGAGTCACAGTCTACAGTTCAACGTTGTCTCAAAAAAACTCGGTTGTGATCGCATGAGCTTCTACCTTAATGAAGCCGCAAATGATATCCGAGAGTTGCTGACGCCATCACTTGAGCCACCCAAGGCTAAACTATAATCGGTTCATCCAGAATTGGCAGCGTCTTCGCCCTCGAGCAGTACTGGTTTCTTACCGACGTCAAGCTTACCCTCCCTCTAGGAGAGAATTGGCTTGATCCATCTGCGTGAGCCTTGTTCTTTTATGGATTAGACTTGTGTTATACAGTACAGTCAACAGGCATTGCACAGCGCGCGGGATCGGGCTTGTGGGAGCCCCAACACCTGGGATAGACAAATGCCGGATCTAGCAACAAGTGAGAATGGAAGCTAGAGTTTAATATCGCCGAATCTGGGGGTTGATGTGATATGAACGTCAACCCGAAAGTGGTGGAAGGATGTAAGATATCACTTGTTGCATTTTCGGCCGCCAACCGCCATTTGCTATGTTTATACTTATTTAGCTCCTATGAAGTCAATTTCATGTCGTGGTCGAGACAAGTCAGTGCCCACCATCAATTGATGACAACTACTGAGTCTACATAAAACGCGAATAGCATATATCACCAAAAGTAAGAGAAGTAAAAATCTTGTCTAGTCCGTTGTCAGTCAGATATTTTGTCTTGCATAAAATTACGTGTATACATACAGTACAGTAGTTTCTTTATCGAGCCTAGAAGCACAATTAGAGTGCATCGACAATCGTCGATCTCCCAACATTATACTCCGGGAAGTAACACTACCGAGTATGAACGAGTCAGTTAACTTAGGGTACAGAACGATACAAGAGTATCGCAGCCCAACAGGACTTAGCCGAGGATAACGCGCCCAGCTCGACTGAGGACGACTTCCTCTTCTTCCTCTTCCGGTGGGGTCTCAGCCTTGTTCGCGTATACGCCATTCGAAGCTCCTCTGCCTCTGCCTCTGCCTCTGGCCCTGTTGGAAGGGGCGCTAGAAGGCGAAAGAGTGATATAGCGCTTGACGACATCGATGTCCTCGAGCCCCAGGTTGCGCGCCGCCTGGTTCCAGATGATTTGTTTGATCCGGCCTTTCAAGGGTGGGTTCGGAGTCGGGAGCGGCAGGGGCATCGGGTTCGGGACGCCGGTTGTTGTTGAAGATCCTGATGAAGCTGACGACGACGACGGCGGCGACACGATCTGGAAATGCTCCAGGTCGGTCTCTATGTTGATTTGCTGATCTGCATACGCGGTGGGATCTCGATGGCGGTTGGATTTGGGCTTTTCTTGTCGTCGCCGTTGGTGTGCTTCCTCATTTCCTGCCTGGCTGATGCTGCTGCTACTGATTGTTTGCGTCGCTGTCGTTGCGCCCTCAGTCTCAATTTCAGCCTCGCCATCGCCTCCACGTGGGGCAGGCCAGTTGCTGTTGACGTTGGCAGCGACTTCCTCGAGCATGATCCAGACCAAGCCTCTGTTGGAGCGCTGCAGACTCTCGATCACGCCTTTGGTCGCTGGGCGCGTGCCGACCAGGACGCCGATTGCGGGGTTGCCTCCGTCGTAGTTGCTACTGTCTTGAGAGATGCTAGTGTCCGCATTGGCGTCAGCGTCTGCATCGGTGTCTGCATCGGTGTCCACGGCAGTATTTCCCGCGCTCCCTCTGGCGGTAGCGTTCGTCGTCGTAGAGGAAGTAGTATTGCCACAGGCGGTGGTATGGCCACGAGGGGCGAGAGAATCAAACAGGAACCCCAGCCTGGCGCCGCGCACCGCACCGTCCAACTCGCGTATGAGATTCGGGCCTATCTTCGCGCCCTTCCCGACCAGCCGTTTGCACTGGACCAGAACTCTGAGCATCTCGTGGCTGCTGCTGCCGCCGTCGTTGCCAGTACCATTGCAAGTAGTATGAGCGTACTCTCGCCCTCTTTTAGTTGCTACATCCGCACCCTCATCCCCCCCCCTCTTCTTCTTCTTCGGAATGGCCCAGACGCCGACGAGGTCGACGCCGCGGTCTCCGCGTCCGCCAACCCGGTGCAGTTCGAAGCCGTAGCGGCGCAGCGTGTCCTGCGCCAGGTACTCGTAGAGCGTGCCGTTGTAGACGGTGCTGGAGGTGGAGAGGCCAGAGCGTTGGGCGTAGGTAAGGAAACTCGTGAGGTCGTGGTGCGCTGCGGTTGGGTCGATGGTCAGGGGACTTCGAGGAGAGGCGATTGCTTGAGTGGAGGAGCAGGCGGAGGAGGAGATATCGTTTGGGATTGGGGAGGAAGACGTCGTAGAATATTGCCGCATCGTCGCCGTTGTCGTCGTTGTCTTAGCCTTGGTGCTTGAAGGGACCCTATTGCCTCGGAGGCGACCGCAAGTGCTTTGGCTCGTCCACTGGTGCAGAGGGTTCCTTCCGCTATCGAACCTAGCCGTCAAGATCTCCCTGTTTGCAGTCCATGATGGTGGCGGCGGCATCAGCAGCCTTACCAATGTCGAGCTACTTCGTATTTGCCTGTATTGAGCGCAGTCAGGGCGACATCTTCTCACCAACGACATGGCAATCGTGGAGGTGGGCCATCGTGCTGAGCCGAGGGCGCGGGTATTGATCAAGGCATCCTTACGCAGGTAGACGCCATGGATGCGGCGCATCCAGCTTGCGTGCTGGAGGTTCACTCCACACCCTGGCCGGTGAGTTTGAAGAGCGGTCGAGTTTGCGGGATGGGGAAAAGAAGTGATTGACAAGGCTGAGCCTACGAGTATTATGTCGTATTGTTTCTTGGCGAAACCTCGGATGGTCCAATAGGGAGGGGATTCAAGGCAAGGCTTCGGGAGGGGACGAGCAAGTTCAACCAGACAACGTCTTTATGGAGTAGAGACCGCATCTACGGGAGCGCGCTGTAGGGAGTACGGTCGTCTGAGATCTGTGGCTGGTGAAACGGGTCAGACTCACCACTGACCAGGCGGTCGATTGATTTCATGCATGCTGCAGGTTGAGTCTGGTGCCGTGACACTTCGTTACGATTACAGCCCCCATTCAATACCCGCTGTGTAAGGCTGTTGCTGGCGTCCAAGGCTGAAACAGATATGTATGTCTGTATGTCCCACTTCTATGGAATACCTTCAAGGGAAGCGAGTACTTGTAACAACACCTCCTGCCAGTCTCGCCATGTAGACATGTTCTGGATGATGTTCCTTTCAATTGCTTTTTGTACATTACGTTATTTTCTCCTGCTAACGTGCCACGTACAACACAAGTTTATGCTTTTAGGTTACAACGTATACATATGTATGTGTGTGTATACAAGCAAACCGAGGCAAGACCGTTTGCTTGGCACCCGCCGCATGTACGTAGGGTAGGAGTCTACCGTCTCCTCTGCATCGACCGTCGGACATTCGCTCTAGCAGAGATACTCAGTTTGTGTACCATGCCCCTGCGGTCCCAGGCACCACTCCGGCCCTCGACGACATTGATCATTTCCTTGGCCACCCGCTCTGCCAGTTTCGTCTCTTTGCGGTTGTCCGCCGAGGTGAGTATCCACTTGATCGCCGTGCGTCGTCGCTGTTTCATGTTGAGTGGCACGGGGATGGGCAGAGAAGCTCCACCTCCAAGGACACCCTTCTGCTGTCGGATCTTGACTAGGGGTGCCACCGAGTCAATCGCCGTAGTTATGTACTGCACCGGAGAAAGTGGAAGGGTCTCGTGCGGGAGGACGGTGGCCAAGCTTCGATCACCAGCCAACGCGCTGCCCTGCGGCTTTGGAGCAGTCCGTAGGATGTCTAGAATATCATCCATGGTCTGTGAGGGTGCGTCGCCGTCAGTTGAACTGCAGTCGAACAAGAGCGAACCTCAGAATCTCATACCGATTGTGCTCTGCTCAATTTCCCATGCCGCATTAACATCTTGGTGAGCTGATTCAACACTGGGTCATAACGGCGTTTAAAATTGTCCATTCTGTTCCACTGCGTCATGTCCGGCAGAGGGAACTTATGTCCTAGTCCGGCATCAGGGTATTCTAACCCCACGGCTTGAGTCTCGACAAAGTCTACTTTGGCGAGGTCTGCAGGTCTGCGGGCAGTCGTCGAGTATGACCGTGTTCCAGAAGGGTTTCCAGACTGGTTGTTCTTGAGAGCCTGCTTCAACACCTCGGGAGCCTTTTCCAGTGCGTCTCTGTCGCGTTTGAGGATCTACACCAAGCGCTGGAGGTTAGAACACTGTATCCAACGTCTCGTGCCCGCAATTTCATCTCAACTCACCTCTTCCACCGGTGTACCCTGCTCAATATCCGGTGGAGTCTCTCCCATAGACTTGTCCAAGGCAGCTTGTTCCTCGCTCACATGTGGCAATTGATCCATGTTCGGTCCCTTGAAGTCGGGATCGACGGGTGTAGTAGCGGCTTTCTTCGAGGACGCATGATCGCTAGCCGCTCGATGTTGCAGAAGACCAGGCGCGAACCTTTTCTGCGGGATAGAAGGTTTAGTCCGAAAGGCCACAGATCGGGCAGTAAAGAGATGTAACCGGGGTGGCATTGTGGTTGTGTGTACCAAATGACAACATGATTTGCTGTGGTCGCAGATCCGCTCGAAGTGAAAGTTGGGAGAAGCTGCACCAAATGCCAAGTCTAATCACGTGATACTATTGAAACGTCATAGCTGGTAATTAGCCCGATGCCCGTCTGAGTGGGTTAGATGGTCAAAGCAGGGCCTTTTTTGGACCAGGAAAATACGTGCTCGGTGCAGGCGAGCTACCCCTTTTCCCGAGATTTTTTCTGGGGTATCTAAGGAAGACTATTGGTAACAAGATGACTTCAAACAATCCCTTAAGGAAATCTTCCAACTCCGAACACCAAATTGATTAAACAAGTCTCCACTGCCGATTTTGATCCGCGTGCTCTCCAAAAGACTTCCCAAGGCCAGATTCCACCCAATGGAATGAGGTTGAGAACAAAATACATATGAGAACTTTCTGTGTTGGTGTCTGGCGCTCGTAGGCAGACAATTTCAATCCGTCGACCACTTCTTCACCATCCCCACTGCTCAACTTCCGGCATTTCCGCTGAACAGCTTCTTACCAAGGTGCAGATTCGATTCTGCGTCATCTGGCAACACATAGAAAGCTAGAGCGATGATGATGTACATGCCCAAGCAGAGTAATCCTTCCAAGTAATTCGACTTACCGTCTTGAATCAGGAGAACGACAACGAGAGATGCCAAGAAGAAAGACACGGTCTCAAAGGTCTCAAAATGCAGGCTCATTGGCTTGTCCATGATCCAACCAAGTACAACCAGGAATGGGGTGACGAACAAGGCAATCTGAAGACTCGAGCCAATAGCAACACCAATTGCCAAATCCATCTTGTTCTTCCAGGCCACAATCACGGCAGTGACATGCTCGGCGGCATTTCCCACAATCGGGATCAAAATCAAACCGATGAAGGTCTTGCTGATATGTGCTTCCTCCACAATCGCAGGGATGCTGTCAACCAAATACTCTGCGCAGAGGGCCACCAAGAGAGTGACTACAACCAGTGCGACACCAGCGGCCCAGGGACCTAGTAGTTCGGGCTCGTCACCTGCATGCTCCTGGGACTCGGGATCGTCGAAAAGCTGGGCGTGAGACTTCAATTGGAAGTAAAGGTATGCGATGTAAATGAGCAAAAGGATAATAGCCGTACCCCGTGAGAGAATCATGATATTAGCTTCCTGTGACTTGTTCTCAGACGTGACGGCGTAGAGCGTTGCAGGGATAATCAAAGACGAGGTGGCCACGGTCATGAGCGAGGACATTGTCGATGCCACAGTGGAGTTGAAGGACTGCTCGGGATACCTGAGACCGCCGGCCAAAAAACAGCAGCCCAGAACCAGGAGAATGTTGGACAGAATGCTCCCCAGCATGCTGGCCTGGACGATGCGGATTTCATTGGCGCGAAGCGCGATGATGCTCACCTACAGGGACGCTGTTAGCCGAATTCGCAATGCAGATAAGCATATACCAAGAGAGGGGTGTCATACAATGAGTTCCACAGCGTTGCCAAAGGTCGCATTCAACAATCCTCCCAAGGTTTGCCCGAGCGGAACGGCAAGCTCTTCAGTGGCAAAGGCCAGAAGCGAAGCGAGAGGAACAATGGCGACGAAGTTCAAGGTAAACTGGGCAACGGGGTTCCAGTCCAACACACCGGCAATGATGCCGATGGGCACAAAGACAAGGAGGACATTGACGTAGTTGGTCTTCAAGACCTCCCAGGTGGTATGTAGGACCAGGAAAGGGTATTTTATCGCAGGGTTATGGTGCTGGTAGTAGGGAGTACCGCTGTCGGTAGAGGCATATCTTGAGAGGAGATTGGTTCGCTCGTTGGGTTCGGCGTCGCCATTCAGGCCAGTCTGCTCGGAAGGCATACTGTTGGTCGCAGTCAGAGTAAACTTCTTGCGAATATTACTAGCAGCTATAGTGTTGGGCGTCGCCGACATGGCAACCGTTCCGTCAGCGCACAGATGCTAGAAAGCTTTCGGGAGACTCTTGCAACAAAACAAAGAGGTGTGACGAGGAGGGGAAGAAGGCGGGTTGCAGAGCGGTGCAGAGACAAAGCAGGAAGAGGCAATTGGGGAAGAGTGGACAAAGGAAAGTGAGATGGAATACATACCCATGTGTTTCGGACCAAAGTATGGTGGACCCAAAAAGGGAAAGGAAGGCAGAGTAAGAGGGAGTGATGAGGTCTTGTTGGTAGGTTGAGTTGGGTTGAGTGAGGATTCCGCTGGAGAAGCTCGGGTGCCCTGGAGGCGTATTAGGCCTAAGCAACGAGCGGCTGCTGGCCAATGAGCAAGGGGGATGGAGCTGGTTGCCAAGATGCTTGGCACAGGGTTTGGAGGAGCTTCAATACCGACACCGTCACTATCTCGTCAGAGATGTTAGAGTTTTCGGACGAGGCGCAGCAAGTGAGGTGATAGACTTGATACTACCACTACCACTACTGTGCTTGTATCCCGAAACCTGCAGTGCGGGAGTTTGGAACAAAGACTGTGGGTACGCGAGGATCTGCTGTGGACAGCAAGTGGATGTGGATGTGGGCGGCAAGTCGACGTGCAAGGACGGAAGACCGCGAGGAAAGAGCAAGCTTGTCTGGGCGGCGAGCCTCTCTCACCTGCCTGCGCCTTCACCCCCAGAAGGCAGGGCAGGCAGGCACTACTCGTACTGAGGGGCTCGGGGAGGCTTCCAAAGAGCCGCTAATGCAGCACTGCCACAATTTCCTCTCCTTGGCGCCTGTCCACCTCGGCCATCATGTCACTGACTCAACCACCAGATCAAGAAAGGAAGCACCAGAACGTGCAAGATGGTTCATACAACTGGAGTAGGTACTCCGTACTGTAAGTAGCGGTTACTCGGTAGATATCCTCGGATTGTGCTGTTCTATACGTCGTTCTACGGAGTACTCGTACAGTAATAGGCCACTCACCCATGCACAGACTCCAAAATGGCACAGCGCCCAGGCCATGCATGCTCTCCATGGGTATGATTGCCCTGCAGACCAGAGATTCGAGCCAGATTGCTGATTAAGGCTTGTCTATCTCCCGCGCTACGGCGTACCGGACACAGTCCAAACTTTGGAAGTTTCTTTAATCGTGAGCTGCCGAGCAACTCCTTCCTGCTTCATGCGAGCTTGGATCCTCCTCGGGGATTTATGACGTCGTTATTTCCGAATATCGCCTAGCCACGGAATAGCTTGTTAGTGCCCCTGGAGTGGATGGAATGATCACCACATTATTTCCGCATTGGTCTCTGATGAGCAGGAACCCGAATTTGCTTACACGTTCACTCTAGTCATCATGTTACAGACGACTAATGGGTGCTTATTGTCACATAAATGCGCAGTGATCGCACTTCGCGTCTGAGTGAGCACGACCAGATGATATCGTCGGCACGGAGCACCCCAAGGCCAACACTAGTCTGCCGCCTGAGGGCAGGTGCGCCCAATACGCAACACTAATAATATACAGCAGCCCGTAAGATGCCGACCACCGAGTCGGTCTTACACGCCGAGCTCTTCGCATCTTCCGCAGTAGTGGCTATAATAGTAATAATACATGCATGGCCAGCCAATATCACTAGCAAGATCTGATTTCTCCCCATGAATACGTATCTGATGCAAGTATGCACTGCTAGGACTGAGGGAAAAAGGGCGCCTTGCAAATCTGCCCACCAGCCTGCCCACCAGCCTGCCCACCAGCCTGCCCACCAGCCTGCCCACCAGCCTGCCCACCAGCCTGCATACAACTAAAAACGCAGGGCCGCCCAGGAGCAGCCAGGATTGTTGATCATGATCGGTTTGCCTCGCAACAGAACCCCAGGTCGAGTTCTCTGCATTCGCTAGCCGTTCGTTCAGGCTGCGGCGCTTTTTGGGTGTAGGTTTCAAGGGCGCAGACTGGTCGAGAGCGAGATTCGCACTTCCTGACCACACGAAAATACTGTATCGTTTGCGCGCCTGATCGGGGCTTCGGTTTGTTCGAAAACCGCAGCAATGCATCGCACCCTCAGGGCCAATATCTTTATACTATCATCTCTCCAGCATCCATGGTGGCTTGGTTGTCCTGAGAAGCGATGGCAACATAATTGACAGATATATTGATGCCAGCGAAATGGGCCTGTATATCTGAGTTGGAGCAGAGCAACACATTAAATATGCTTGCGAACTTCCTTCATCTGCACCATTTCCTTGGTGGCAAGTGTTTATGTACCTGGGACCAAACGATATTCTACACACAGTGCAGGACATTGTACGTTTTCAATTCAATTGTACCAAGAACCCTGTTGGGGTGGGTCGTATTATACCGAAGCGGAAGCATCAAGCCTTGTCTTTCAGGCCCGTGCACACTCAAAAAGGGGCTACTTAGTGTAGCAAGAACAAATTCGGTTGGCCTGCCCCCTTTGGTTAAGAAAGCCGCTCCAGGAAACGACAAAAACTTAATTAGTTCTGGACAATGCGCACCCCATTCCCGGCAGACTCGGTCTCCATATCAATATCTTCCAGCACAGGGAGTTTCGCCAATGGTAGTCCTATGCCGAGCCTGGGTACTGCGAAATCATCTTCACGTGATGACCGGCTCATCAGTCTTGCTCGCTTCACCACATCGGTTTTTGCTTGATTCCATCGCTCGAGATCTTCTTTTTGCCGCAGTAATTGATAAAGCGTGGTGTCCGACTCCGGTCTCCACCAAGACATGTGTCCCTTGGCTTCTGTAGCATAGATAGATTTCGCCTTCAGTTTCACAGGTTTCGCCTGTTTCGCCATGTGGATCAGCTCCGTGAATATCTGCTTCGAATCAGAACGCATCTCCTGAACTTGGCTTGTGTCTTTGGCTGGCTTGAGTTTGTCTGGATCAAGCCATGAATTGCTGATCGCAGTCACGCCTGCTTCGGTAACTGGGAGGCGTAAGCGCTGATTTTCAGCTTTCACAAATCGGACTGCCGCCTCCAAACTGGCAAGTTCGACTTTCAATAGATCTGCTTCAGCCTTTAGACGGAGCGACAGCGATTCATCTGCCACTCCGAGTGCAAGACTCTGCCCATCGGAGAGCTTGCTCTGCTTGATGGCTTCCAACTCGATTCTGGAATCTTGCTGACTCTTGAGCAAGGTGTTGTATTCGGCTTCCAGCTTCTGTAGACTCTCATTTGCATGCTGTTTTTCTGATTGAAGATTTTCAATTTCCACTTTCATTGCTTTGACTCCATCGTCCTTGGCTTTGGTTTCTTTGGCTCTTGACTCTAGAAGCTCAATCTTGACCTGCTGTTCCTCGATTTGTTTATCTCTCTCACTCACTCTGATGGTCTGCTCTTGAATTCTTGATCTCATACGCGCCATCTCTTCCTGCAGAGCTTGCGACAAGATCTTCTGAGACTTCACTTCTTTCGCCCGAGCGATCCATGGTGCGGCGAGCTTCTCAAATTCAACAGCGTTGTTGACATCGCTTGATCTGCTGTACAAGTCATCCACCCTGGTCTGAAGAACCTGCAGGTGTTTGGCTAGGATGCTGAAGATGTCCTCCGAGGTGCCAGACTCGCTTTCATCCCTCTGGAGCATTGGCACTGCTGCGGTCGCCATCAATTCTACAACAGTAGAATAAGAAAGTTGCTCATCGTGGTCAGGCTTGTTCAGGTCCTCAATAACTGCCTGGCTTATTCCTCGCACTAGGCGGGCTAACTTCTCAGAAAGCTGCTCAGCTTCGGAAAATAAGCCCCAGCTCGCTTCACCGGGTGACATTGACCTTGTTCGAAGGTCACTGAGTGACTGAATAATTTTACTGGACACATACTTCATCGTCCTTGCTTTAACACCGAGTTGATCCATCTTCTTCTCGAATACAATAGAAGGGTCGTCTTCATTTTCGGATGGTCCCAATCTTGTCTGTACGGCTTTGCTTAACAACTGAGCTTGGCTGCCTATTGTGTCAGTGTAACACTCGATCATGGACATCGAAGCCAGGAGTTCGGTGGACTTGGACTCCTGAGTTTCGAGGATGAGTTTCTCTGCCATGTCAACCAGTATACCCGCCATGCGATGAAGGTGTTCGGCTCCATCGGGAGCGAGCTCATCGCGGCGCAATGCTTCAACCCAGCTTGTTATTGCTTGTTCAACAGGCTCCAATTCGAAGGGAGCTCCACCGAATTTCATGAAATTTTCAGCGGAGCACGATGACATGTGCTGGACAAACCGTTCACAGACATTCGCAATGTAATTCATCTTCTCCATGACCGCGAAGACCGTCGAAACGCCATCCTGAACAAGTTCAGGCCTCTCCCGGATCCTCTCGCCAAGGATATTCTTGCTCAGTAGCGCCTTAGCCTTTATCCTCTTAAAGCACAGGAGAGCAACGATGGGCTGTTTGTCCATCTCGAATGTATCGGGGATGAAGAGCTGAACGATTTCCAAATGTAAGCTGGCCTGCTCTGCACGCATTTTTCCGAGCTCCAAGTCAATCGCCTTCAACTGGCTTTTGGCGGCGGAATTCTGGAGTTTGAGATTGAGGTCCATCATTGCTCTCGACTTGCTGCTCATCTCATGAGCCTCGAGCTCACTAATGTCACGGGATCGGCGAAGTTCGTCGATATCGTTTTGCAATCCTTGCACCACATCTCTGAATTTGTTGAGGGTATATTCAAGATCTTCGATTGTCTTGTCCTGCTCTGTTGTTCGCCGCAGTCTCTCATTCAGCAATGCTTCGCTTTCATCCAGCTGGTGATGGAGTCGCTTCTCCTCCTCGACATGGAATGCCTCGAGCTCATCTGTAACTTGAATGTGTTCCTCAAGGTCCTGGATCTGGCGTTTGAGATTTTCGATTGAGTTTCGGTTCTGGTCTCTCTCGGCTCCCATCACTTCCAGGATCTCATCATTAGTCTCAAGTGCGTCCAATTGCTCTCTTAGGTGCGTATTGGTCTCTTCGGCGCGGCCGAGTTTGGTTGCAGTATCCTCATATTTCGAGGCGACTTGTTCCAACTCGTCCAACGTCTCCTGCAATTCTTTGATCTCGCTTTTCAAATCGTTTTCATTTTGGTGCGACATATCCCTTAGCATGACCAAGGCCTGTCTCAACCGTTCTGTTTCGCGTTCCATCTGAAGCCAGCCCGAACCAGCTCTTTCTTCCGGAGTCATGACAGACGTCAACTCCCGATTTTCTTCCCTGAGAATGTCAACTTCGAGTTCCAGCTCTTCGTGCTTTGATTTTAATGCTTCCAGCTCGGTCTCGAACATCATTGCACGTTCCTCGGCCATTTCTTTGTCGAGAGTCGCAAGCTCCAGCTCGGACTCATGTTCAGCACTTGGCTCTGCAAGTTTAGAAGCACGATCCTCGGCATCCTCATACTTGGCCTTCAATTCAATAATTTCTTGTTGATTTGTCTTGAGTTTCTTCTGTAGAGTCTGGATGATACCTTCGTATCTTGCTGTCTGGTTCTGGAGATCCTGAATATTCTCAAGTTGACTTTGGTCCTCTTGTTTCTGCTTCTGCAATGCGCGAATCTTAGTCTCCAGCTGTTTGATCACCTGAGCCTGTCGTGATCGGTCCTCATGGATAGTGCTCGGTGGGGCGTTTCGAGGGACTGCAATCGAGTGCGGGCGAGGGGACAGGACAGGTGATGTGGTGTCATGGCCAACTGGTGATCCTTGATGGGGATCATCTTCGGCATGGTGAATTTCCTGTGTCACAGCCTCCTCTTCTTCAATGGGTGGAGAGTGCTGGTCGATAGCCACGGCAGGACGTTGATCATTCTTTTCAGGTCTAGCCAAGGTTTTGGACGACATTGACAGCCTCGTACCTGCTGTCGACTGCCGAGGGGGCATAGATGTTGGTCTGGTGATCGTCGGTTTAGGTGCAACGCCAAGTGACTGTCTGTTTGTAGCTGTTGTAGTAGTCGTCCTAGAAGTTGATGCAGGAGGCCCCATCAGGGGCCTGCCAGTTATACTGGAGCGAGACTTGGTACTGGAATCCGATGTTCGTGCGGTGGTTGCAGGCGTGCCGGTTCGTGGTGTCGAGGTGGATGAGCTGGCAGCAGACTGGGTGGGCTTTGTTGGGGATTTTGTAGGAGACTAATGATCCTGGTGTAAGTAGCAGATCAGTCATGGTCGACAATGAAGACATACTCTTAGTGACAACCGTGACCCAACTGTCGACCCAGAGCCTGCGCTCATCATGCTCTGTCTCTTTCTTGCTACATCGGCTGGAACTACGCTTGAGGATCGTGATTTTGCTGTAGCGCCATTTGACATGGGTTGCCCAGGCGGCTTGGAAGCTTGTGGTTGTTGCTTCACAATCCTAGCTGCCGACTCCTTTCGAACAAAGATGCCATACCCAGGCGTGCACTGAAAGTAGCGCTCTCCTTTCACTGAGCCATCATTCTTTCCAGAGTTCTCTGGAAGCTCAAGTCCGAGCCACTCTCCCGCAGCGATGTGCAACGGGCCTATGTACCGAACGATTCCTTGCTTTTTATCTTGGGTCTCGATGGTTTGCCCAATCTTGACATTGAGATCGGGCATGTTGAATGAGGGCTGTATTGGCGTAGAGGATCATGACAGGGCAAGAGGATGCGCATGCGATACCGGGGTGACAATCATTATCCTGGAGGCAACAAAAGGACGATGGACTAAACCAACATAGTCGGTGATGGAAAATAGACTTGCTGTTTGCTAGAACAGGAAAGGCAACCCTCAGTCAGAGACTCAAACGCGCCTGCCGTCGCGCCCCGTTTCCGGTTTGGTTCACAATTCAGGCAGGAGCCTGAGCCACTTCAGAACAGCCACAGGGGCTCTTCCGGCTGTGGCGCAGCGCAACCACACAAATGCATGCGGTATGCTACTACTCCTCCTATTCCTACGGCGTACAAGGTATACGGAACTTGAACTTCCACCGTGGTTGTTCAGGTAGAGTCATTCATTAGCAAAGACTCTCGACGAAAATAAACGCACGTGCCATTGCTCTAAATATCATCCTTGGGGTATATCTCATATTCTTTTCAATAAATCAATCCACAGAAGTCTTGGCTTTTCCAGAGCAGTGAAAACAAGGAAATGCAACGACCACCTGCAGCTGTTTTGCATTCAGGGTGGTGCAGGGTATCTTCCAAAAGACTAGGGCGCATACAAGATGTGACAAAAGGAGTGGAAGTATCATTCAACGTGTATGAAGCAATCATCGTGCACCCTCATTCCAAACAACCAAACCAACAGAGAATCGTTGCTTCACTTCCACCACGAGCACACGCACCCAACATAGAAACTGCTGAAACCTCCACGTTCTTTTCTTATACTTTTCGTTTTAGCATCAAAAGGGTATCTCGCAGGACATAAGAGCAGTCAGTAATCATGATTTCCATATCGGTATCAGGGTATCATTCGGTCGTTTCCAGCAAACATAGACCTCACCAAAAAAGTCTAGCGTAAGGAAAGGTTCAAATTGTTGGCAGATCCATTGCCGTTGTTATGGATCTGGTTATGGTGGTGTGGCCCAATTGGAGCCGGATAGGAAGAGAAAGAATGCGAGGTGGGTGGACGTCCGGAGTCGAAACTTGCCCTGGGTTCGTGTTTGGGTGTTCTATCCCCAGACAGACTGATACTGTTTGTGCCAAAAGGGAACTTTTCGAATCGTGATGGCCAGCCACCACTAGCTGAGGAGGGTGCAACCTCTTCTTCGGGAAGGTTGACACCACTGTCATTCCAGAAATTGCGGTAGCCACTCTCGCGACTCTCCATAGAGATAAGGGACGCTTTACTAGCATTTGACGAAGCGTGCTTGAAAAACGTTCCTGGAGAGTTGTTCTGGTTCTTGCGACTCATGAAGGACGAAAAGGACGACATGCTCCCCGGCTTGCGCAGTCTATCGAACAGAGACGCTCGTTCAGAGACGGGAGTATCTCCGTCCGTAAAGTTGGCCCGTGTTGGTGAATCCGAGTGTAGTGAAGGCGCATTCTGCAACAGCTTGGAGTCAAAAAATGGCAGCGAATCCTCGAACGAATCCGACTTCGGCCGCGGTATTGCTCCCTTGACAGTTGTGGCATCAAGTCCATGTGGAACGAGCTGTGAAATGAGATAATCAATGGCGTCCTTGAGTCCACCTGCGTTGTTCCGCGTGTAAGTAAGAACCAGTCGTCCTTCTGAAGGCCCCACAATGCGCTCCACTGAAGCTGTGGCAGATTTGGGCAAGCTACTCAGTTGAGGATTGGCGTGAACGTCCACCTCGTACTGGCTTCTCAGCTTCTGCCGCAAGTCATTGAAGAATTCGGGGGCGGTGAAAAAGGTCTCCAAGTCTGTTGATTTCTGGAAAGCAATCTCATGGCTTTCAGGCACCATTCCCAAGAAAGCGTCAACGGCCTGAGGAACTTGGTATTCTGGTCCGGAAATGCTGACAACGTCACTCGCTTGTTCAGTATTCGGAAAGTCGATCTTGCAGTTCCACTGCTTCTCTAGATCCTCGATTTCGGACAATCTAGCGATCAATTCACGATGGTACAGTCTATTAATGACGACGGTCTCGGAAACAAACTCGGCGTCCTAGCGGGCAGGAGATTATAAGCACACGAACGTACCGGCCAGGGATTGAGGGTTGCTTACGACTTTCTCCACCATATCCATAATCTCTTGCTTAACCAGGTCCAAGCTTTGTGCATTACGGGCAGGCGTTCGGCAAATGACATTATCAACCTTGATATCATCATCTTCCTTGCCCATACCACCTCGATCCATTGCATTGGAGAATTTCACAAAGACTGAGTATTTCTTCATGATACGTTGAATATGCTGGCCACCAATCCCAATGATACGTTTGTGGTATTGATCAGGGACGTGAAATGAAATTGAGGCTGGCATTTCCTGCTCGACCAGATCAAGGCCATTCTTTGTGGCTTCATATTGGCTGCCTACCACGTCAATGTAAAAGTTGTATTCGTTGAAACCATCGAAGATGATCTGGACATTGCCTGCTCGAGTATTAGCGTCTGCCCCAGACTAATATCCATGCAAGCCCTACTTTGACCCATGATCTTGTTGATCTTGCCGTTCTTCTTGCCGCTGACGAACTCTTTGTGTTCATTAGCAAGTTCAATTTTCACACGCATTTGGTATGGCGATTGTTTGACAAAGGGAATTTGATTGATGACCATCATTGCGGCTTTGACAGCATCGTCGGATCCATTGAGAGTAAAAGTGAATTTCTCGAAGCTTAAATCAGCACCGGAGTTGGTACAGATGTCGCTAAGCATAACTCGAATTTCATCAGGCGAAGGTCCTCGGAAGGAAGCACCTTGGGACGGGTCCGGAGTCATGATCCACCATGAAGCACTGAAGAATTGCCCTGCCTAAAGTTTCATGTATGTCAATATAGCTTCAATTGAGCCAAGGAGGGATATACGACGCACTAGAGCCATGATCTCCTTCACGGTCCGCTCAACATGAAGAACCTCGGTGCCTTGAACGCGAATAAGGCCTCGCTGGCTGCCAAGCTGAGGGAAGAGAACATGAGAACCATTTGTCTCCATGATTCTCTGAACCTTATCCAATCGATCGAAAAGGATGTTGTCGATTTTGCTTGCCGAGACCACAGCGTCTTTTGAGTATAGCTTTATGCCCATGACCAACTCTTTCAGCCTCTGCTTGGCTTGATTAATACGCTCTTGTGTTTCACCGGTGATGAAGATTTCGTCCGCCGCCCGGCGGGTCGCGTGTGGAGGCACATAACCAAACACCCCCGGAAAAGGAGGTGGGAAGTAGATGGCGGTCTTTGTCGCTGATTCGATCTGCTTGATGTTCTTTCCAGTACGACCAGAGACCAAGGTATGCATTGTCACCTCTAGCTTTATCACGTCGATCTTGTGCTTGAGCTAAACACCAATTAGTATTCATACCGTGGAGGGATTCGAGGTAGCGTACAATTTGATCGATCATCATCAAAGCCCGGGTTTTAGCATGTTCAACACTTTCCATATCTCCAAATATGTTGACACGGAAACGTTGGTCAAGACCACTATCTATGGCGCTGCCATAGGAAGCGCCACTGGACAGAGGTTCGGCGTTACGGGGCTTGAGAAGGAAGATGTCTGTACCCGTGTACTTCGCACACAGATCAATATGGCTGAGAACACTCGATCGAATGCCCGTTTCAGCACCGTCGAGTATCAAGTCTGGATCAATGTCCACAATAGCAGACCGCTTGTTCCTGTTAGTAGATGTCAAGTGACGCAGAAAAGGCCCTCACCATCATTATCGGCGTCTCATTCAGGACTTTGGCTCGCATCTTGTAAACCAGATCACCATCGCCGGAGATACAGACATTGGTTACCAGTCCTTGAGATTTTCTATGAAGCACAGGCCCTGCCTTGGGTTCTGAGGAGGTGACAGTTGCTTGAATGTGGCCAGCACTCTGATCACTAATGTACGAGCATAGGGACCGGAGTCGTTCCTCGTTCTGGACGTGGACGGCGAGCTTGTGAATAGCCGTTCCGTCTTCGGTCCCTGGCGGGAAGGTCCATCGTTGGAAGGCACCAGGACTCGAGTGTAGGACGTCTTCAGGATCGGGACCGGCAAGATTGGAGGCGAAGGGCACATTGAAAGAAAGGTTGACAGGTGTAGCATCGGCAGAGGATGGGGGTCCGACTCCGGGAGAGCCCTGAGGACGTCTCAATGGTTGCGGCGTGGACATATCTTGATTGAATCTCGACATTCCAAACGCTGCTGGAGTCATCCGTTCCCAGCCATGACGGGCCTGGCCGGTGAAGTTGCTGATCTTGTGCATCTTCGAGGCGGACGACTCCCCAGGTCATCGACGTGGGGGATGAAGACAAGGGAGCAGGATAGCTCTATGATTGTAGCATCGAGAGGGACGTGGGTCGAAGAGAAGAATTTCTCAACGAAGGTGAAGGGGGAATGGGTAAGGAGCAGTCGTGGTTTAAGGCGTGAGAATAGGATGGTTTGTCTGCAGAGAAAGAGTTGTCAGTTGGGTGCGCAGGCAAGTGGATCGACAGGTTGGTGTAGGAGCAGGACTCGCAGTGTGGGTTGGTTTGGCGGGCAGTGTTCGGTGGTGGTGGACTGGCGGATAGGTGGTGTACGTACCTCGTAAGTTGTGGCTAGTCCAGGTATTCAAACCACGGAAACTGGGCTGGCGTCCCTGGGATCCCCAGGGGTGCTAGGTAGTCTGTGCCTCTGCTTACTGTACTGAGTATGGACCAGGCACGGAGGAGGGAGTACTGACAGTGTGAGGATTGCAGCGGTTGCAGCGCCCAGGCAGAATATCCCTAGCTACGGAGTAATCCAACACCTATCTACATACGAGGCACAGGCTAAGAGGTCTGTACCTAAGTCCGGTCAAGGCCCGAGTAACTAGGGTAACTTCAAGCTGCAATGCAATGCGAGGATGCACCTGGAGTATGTAAGAGTTCCAGTGTTCCGTAATGGTGGTCAGTAGTGGTCACTGGTCAGTGGTCAAACTGATAGGCCGAGTGGCTTGGGGGACGGACACGCACACTGGCATCGGAACGTTGGCTTCTGGGGTGCCGCTTCAGCTAGTTGTCACTACTAACAAGTTTGGGCGACTTGCTAGGCCCGAAATGTCCAGGCGTCGGCTGTGCATGAGACCAGATGACGGCACCACCTGAGCAACCCTGGGATGCCCCCTATCCAGGCTGAGGGGCCTTCCAGCCAATGATTAAGCGTTGGTTCCCTAAGGTCTCCGCAGTGTGTTATCCTAATACCTGCTGAGACGTTGGCAAGGGCATGAGGGCAGCTCGATACGCAGCTCCCTTACAATAGGGTCTTGCCACAGCAGCGAACGGGACCAGAGTGTCACAGACATTACTGTTGCCTCTTTGCGCGAGGAAGTCGCGTGTCGCTGATACCTGATGGAATCCTTGTAGGGTACTGACACAGTTCACGAGACGAGATCTTTTGCTTACTGTAGATTTGGAGTTGTGTGGGACGGCTCACCACCTATAGAATAAACATCGACGGATACAAACTTAAATCTAACATAGATTGGATGCAACAACCACTCAACTAGAGACTGTCCAGAAAGCTAATCCTATATAGACAGGATGTAGCCCCATGGTGGTTAATTTAGATAGTACGGCTCTGGAAAATCTCTCCAGGGCATCTGCCTCATCACCGTTGTAATTGACCGCTGAGTTCTCGCAGTTTGCGAGATATCAGACCATCTCCAGCTTCAACCACGGGCGATGTACGTGACGCCGCCGCCCAAGGAACGGGAGAATTTCGAGATGATGTTGAAGGTAAAAAGCCAGGAATGGGAGACACTGGCCGATGAGTTCCGACTGGAAGGTCGTCTGGGTGGTGATCACCTGTTCCGTTTGAGTCTTGGTGCTCTGGTATGGTCCCTGGAGGGGTATGGAATTCATGATGGGGTTTCCTGCCAGAGTTAGATGGTTCCGCGTCCAACCTTTCTTCCGTTTTTGAGTTCTCTGCCACCCTGTCATTTGGTTGAGACGACATTTTTTCACCGATACTTGGACTCGGCGAACCACCCTCTAAAGATGGCTTGTAAGTGCTGAATTTGGGCTCCGGAAGTTGCACTTCGTTCCGCAATTTCTCCTTGTCATCGGGTACTCGGTGAGCAAAGACCACACGAATGTTCTCGTACAGGTAGAAACGGCCCTTCGAAGTACAACAAAATTTGAGATGAATTAGGTAGCGAAGAATGTCCTTGCCATTCGCTGCGTCATGTACTGTGCAGGCTGGTTGCTTGTCGGACAGAGTGGTCTCCAGTGTTGGACCAGAGGAAAAGCTGCGCTGCCGAACAAAGGTCTTGGTTCCTGGGAGCATGCCCTCTAGATCGTACGGCACGAGGAAGAGCTTCACCGCCGTCTTATTCGGGTTCTTGATGATTATTTGTAGCTGTCCTGCTTGAGGCACTCGATAAACGCCCCCATGTGGGACCTTCACTGTGGGCGTGGAAGGGGGTTTGTCCCTCACTTCACAAACCAACGCCCGACCGATGTGAGTGTTCTCAGGGCTGGTGAGCTCAGCTGCCAACGCCTCTGTATCGAGGGTGGCTTGGGTTCGGCGTGAGCGTCGGGGTTGCAGTTCGGCAGGTTTCAAGTTGTGCTCCAAGTCTATAGTCCCAACATACGGACTCGGATTGTCGTCATAGACAGATCTCGATTGATTGGCGGAAGGATAATTGTAGAACACCGCCGGAAACTGGATCGTGACATGGGCAGGACACTTTAGACTTGATGGGCAGTTACCTTTTCCCACCACTCCAATCTGAGCAACAAAATCAAGAGGTTTAGAAGGCGGGGTTGACATGCGTCCACGGAGAATAGATTCCTCGAACGATCCTACCATCGGCGCCCGTTGCCTCGGAGAAAGATCCGAGGCCAGAGAAGGTCGCCGTGATCTGGCCGAGAATGAGGTGAGAGGAGAGCTGGCGGGTTGGTATGTGAAAGAGCTCAAGGAACGGCGTGGTTTGTGGCGCTGGGAAGAACTGGAAGCATCATTTGGAGGCTGTGTTTGAGGAGATATGTGCGCTAGGTCAGGCAAAACGTCGTCTATCGGAGACATGCCGAACGTGTCAAAAGCGTTTGGTGGCATGGTCCGTCGTCGGACATTCTTGTTGACTTCAGAAGATCTCTCTCGCGGGGAAAAGTCTAGCGAGGGATTGTTCATGGCATGGACCAGAGGGCTGGTGGGAACCCTCATGACGAAAGTCGAAGACAAGCTGCTGCCTAAAGATGGCGCACGAGGCCGTCCGAGGGGGTCAGTGTGCAAAGACCGTGTGGCAGGCGGGCTGTAAGAATGGAGGTATGTCGGTGACCAGACATAGGCAGATGAAGAATTATAGTCTGAGTGATAGAAGTCTCTATCAGATGGGGAGATGCTCGATGGGCGGAGATCATTGGGGAGATTTGGGTCATGAAAATCTCCAGTATGCAATGCCGAAAGCGAGCGACGCAAGGCATCGGTGCCAGAGAGAGAGGTTGGAGGCGGCAACGGGCTCTTCTCTGGAGTGTGGGGAATAACCCTTTTAGAGGCAGAAGCAGAGCCACAGGCAGAGGCAGAGGCACTAGAGTTCTGTTCCGCATTTGTTTCCGCACATAGCGCTTCGAGACCAGGCTTAGGAACCCAAGTTGGCCTCTGGCCACGTTTGATGCATTGGATGAGTTCTTCCCGGTCGCTGGTCCTTATATCAAGGTCATGGTCTGGACGATAATGCTGTCCTTCCTTCGAGACATAGGCAGGCGCAGGCGCCTGCCTATGATCCCGGGTCATGTCTGGTAGATGTGAGAGTTTACGACGTTTGGTAGGATGAATGGGGAGGCTATCGAAGCCCAACGCAAAGGGCATGCTCCTGAGACCCGACCAGTGGCTACTTGGGAGGCTGGGCAAGCAGTGAAGAGAGGGAGTTGTAAGAAGGGAGACATGGCCGGGAAACGGGACAAAGCGGAGGAAAGGGTGGACAGCGACTACCGTTGCATGGTTGATTGGCGGCGGTGAGCTTCCGGGGTTGAGGAGGGAGAACAGCAGATGGCAGCAGCTTAGTTATAGTTGTATTGAGCAAGTTGTTCGACGGTGAACAAGGAATGCTGAGTTGTTCAAGTTGTGGCGGAGGTTGCGGTTGGGATACGGTTTGGGCAGAATGACTCAAAGGGCAGTTGCCAGTGGAAGAGGCGATGATGCAGTTGGTGGGTCCAACCTTCCCTTCCGTCCTCTCTTCAAAGTACAAGGTGTGGACACCACTCACGGGCCACTGCACCTCTCCGCAGAGATAATTGATACGAGGTCCATTCTTCCACCCACCAGTCCGGCAAACATACCATAGGCAGATTACATTGTGCTCCGTACTCAGCACCAGTTACTACCAGCCTGCCCGTTCTTCTTCGTCGACAAATCCCTTTCTCCAATGGCTCTCAAGAGACCTCGAGATGATTCGACGGCCGAAGGGATGTCCACGAAGAAACAAAAATCTACCGGCTTTTCTGTTGGACCTGCAAATCTTCCAGATGGCACCTACAGAAGAAAAAGTACAGCTTAACCTCTCCCTTCCACTCGGGTTGACCTACTGACTCTCTTCCTAGCACAAAAAATTAAAAAGGACCTCATAGCAAAAGCAAAGGTCAAGAAAGCCTATGCCAAAGTCAAAGCCCAAGAAAAGGAAAGGGAGGAGGAAGTACAACACCGCTTAGCCAATGCCGACTCTTCCAACGATGCAGTTGAACCTATCCCTGCCAGTCTCGAACTTCACCCAGATCGCCAGGCTATGGTTGATGCAAGTCAAACACGTGAATCTTATTCTTACTCCAGTCGAGATCCCTCTTTGGACAAACCATACTTTCGTGTCCGCCAGCCGAGACAGTCACGCTATCAGAAAGAACTAGAGCTTGGTGCACAAAGAAGGGCTCAGATAGAGTCACAAAAGAAGGCCAGTGAGGCACGGCACAAGGATCGCAGAGCCATGGCCAAAGCAAAGCGTCCTGGCAAGGATGGCAAAATGAAACTAGGTCGCCAAGGTACAGCCCTATTGAGCCGCATTAAGAGACTGGCCGATCAGGGTAACATATGATGGCTTGTTTCTGCTCCACGTCCAGCGACGCGCAGATTTGCCTATATCGGCCCAGATACATGAAGGTATCAGTGGCCGATACAGCTCTACTTGCCCATCCTCAAGTCCAAGAAAGAACCAACAATGAACTTGCTCATGATCAACCCCAAAGTCTCCATTATTCGTTGTTCTCGACCTTTCTGCTCTCCCTCCATAAAGACTACAGCCGCAATCACTCATTGTTCAAAAGCCATCAAACAACCGATCCAACAACCAGTGAGCTTTGTCTCGGCTCAATGGTCCTTGTTCTGCCGTGGACACAATTAACCCGGTATAAGGGCAATGCCTTCCCATCAGAACCTGCTCCTGCCAGTCACAATATACCACTTGATCACCGTCACTGCACGCTTTCCTTAGAACTTAGAACTTTCCAATTACTACTTCTTCTCATCCAATCGTCACACTATCAATTTCGTTCAACTTGTCTAAAATGGCCAGAGGTGCAAGAAATGGCAATGACCGCGGTGACCGGAATGGTCGCAACGATCAGAACCGCCGAAACCATCGAGACCTCATGAAATATGATAATAATCAAGATCCATTTAATAACCGACAGCATAACCAAAACAATAGAAGCAACCAAAACCAACCCTATCAGAAAAATGGCAATAAACACCGAAAGGGCCGTAACAATCGGAATCAGCAATCAAACGATGACTGGAACCGTAATGACCATCGCTCCAACAACGACAATGTGCCCAACAATCACCATGACCATCACAAGCACAAGAATAACCATAGCCGCAGTCGCCGCAGTCGCCACGGGAATGATAGGCAGAATGGTACTGTTTACACACATGACCTCAATCAACCACATGGCTCTGGGCAGTACGTGTGGGCTCAAGGCGAAGCCGTTGACGGCCGAATGACAGAGACACAATATATCTTTAACGAAGGCGCCGATCCGACAATTCTAACAGCACCAAACTCGCCCATCAAGATGGAGCCAAGGTCTCCCATCGATGCGATCATGTTAGATGCACCAACCGTGGCAGCAAAGACGTCATGGCGACAGAGAAATGATAACATGATCCTAAGACTTTATGAGACGAAGCCTCCCGGCGTGAATGGTGACCTCACCGTGATAAGACATGCGCTCGACAATATGGACAAGGATTTCAGCAACTTCCTTCGCGCTTCCATGAGGGAGGATGCGAATGGAGACGAACTAGGCGTCAATCTACAGGTCCTTCAGCTCCACTTGTCACTCTGGGTTCACTTCTTTGAAAGTGATTCCGCAGAAATCTATGCTCTCCGGAATGGCTTCAATCCAAACTGCCTTGGCCAAGATAGCATTCAGCAGGTACCGATGATTGTTGGTTGGTTCGCCTCGGACTCCATTCATTCTCAAGAAGCCTATCGTGGGTTTGTCTTGCTTTGGAGCAAGACGGGTGCCAAAAGAAGTCGTCAACTAGGGCTGGCAACTGTTTGCCAGCTGTTTATCAATTCTCTCAGTCGACCTGAGCTGCTGGATCCCAGATACCAAGAACCTAGTTCTCCACTATCCAGTCCAGCATCCGTGTTCTTTGAGAGACCATTCAAGACGGTAGGTTCGATTATCAATCCTGGCCCAAGGTGGTATATGTGATAGGACTTTGGAATTCTTTTGCAAGGTAGGTAAGATGTTGTTCACGTAATTGTATGTTTGATATGCTTGATTTGCTTCACTGAGATATGGCACCTCGCCCTGCCATGTCTTCTTTACTGGGTTTGACTTATTCGCAACGCCTAGAGGTGCGTTCCCCGTCGATTCAGGAAGTTCAAAAAAGTTCCGTGCGCTCTTTCTCTGTCTCTCTCTGTCTCTCTCCCTCCCCCGCCACTATCGTGGCATTTCTTCAGACCAATCGAGTTGTAACCATAGGGTGTCATTTTTGTTCGACAGATGTTGAGAAAGCATTGCAAAACGTAGTTTCGGCCTTCACACTGCGTGCGAGGCATCAAAGCCCTCCAAGCCCCTCATATGACTCTAGAGACGCCTTGTTTACGGACGGCGACCAGGAATAGTCGCGGGTAGCGCAACAAGACTTTGCCATCATGCGACATCGGATATAGCTGCTTCACACGCTTCAAGTACTCTCCCAGGAACTGGGCCCTTTGCTCAGGAGCAAGAGGGTCGATGAAAGGCCTCAAGCCGGTGCCCTTGACCCATTCAACAACCGCTTCATGATTTTCCAGTACATGCTGATAGTACGTATGCCAGATGTTGAGACTTGACGCCAGCGGAGACAGCTCGTCATAAAGCTCCTGCGGCGATTGGAACACGTCTCGCGCAGGCTGGTGACGCTTCAACGTCTCTGCCCAAGGCCCAGACGCAGCAACGGACCTCATGGCCTCATGTGACGGCTCATTGAAATTGTCCGGAACCTGGAACGCAAACACCCCTCCTGGAGCTTGCGTTTCGAACAAAGTCTTGATCACGCGTATTCGCTCGTCCGCCGAAAGCCATTGAAAGACCGCGTTGCTAAAGAACAGATCCACGGGTCTGTCCGGCTTGTAGGTGCCCAAGTCCGCCAACGTGAACTCCACAGTTGGTAAAGTAGCCTTCGCCTTCGCGATCATGTCAGGTGACGAGTCCATGCCGGCGACTGTGGACTTGGGGTACTGAGACACCAGCACCTCGGTCGAGTTCCCCGGTCCGCATCCGAGGTCGACGACTTGCTTGGGGGCGCTCAACGGAACGTGGCTCAGCAGATCTCGCGATGGACGCGTGCGCTCTACATTGAACTTTAGGTACTGTGCTGCACTCCAGTCTTTCTGTTGTGCATCTACCATCGCGGCTATGCTGGATCTGAATGTCCGAGTCGTTGTCAAGGTCCACTGGACTTGGTGCTGTTGCTTCGGCAGCAGTTGTTTTGTGGCAGCTGTAAATTGAAGTCCGAAGCGGTTGCGGCTCACGACATTCATCATGTGCATTCTTCAGGTAGATATTTATGGGCTTGTAACCACGTTGGACTGCGCCGTTTTTGATACCCCCTCAATGTTGGCTGTGGATCAGTTCTATTCGCGGCCCAACATTATCTCTGAGCATTTAATATGCAGAGGAGCTGAATAGTAAGTACAGACTTGCCGATAACGCGCCGATGCGTAAGATCCACCAAGGCTGAAGCGAATGCGACTTGGGTTGGTGTTAACTAGCATGATACCGCGACCCGAGTCCGTGGTGACACCGATGAGGGGTTAGATAAAGTTTTGCCTCATCCATGCAAGTTGAGAGATTTCAGCTGCGAGCAATGAAGCTTCTTTGATCCTACAGGGTCCACTCAAATCCCCGCCCTTTACTAAAGTCAAGGATCCAAAGAGACGAAGTTACTTGTACTCCCGCCGGAGTCTTTCCGAAAGACTCTCTAATGGCAGAGTCACAAGCGGGCAAACCCACACCATGTGATCCATAAGAATTCTACGGAGTAGTGATGATCCACGGGACACAATCGGTAGCTATCACTGCCGAATGGGAGAAACAAAAGTTGACATAATTTTTGCATTTGTTTGCGGGGCCAGCGGAGAACGCTGCACGGGCAATGCTGGAATGGTAGATTTGTACTACTATGCTTGACGGCTTCCACGTCTCATTGATGCGCACTGTATGAAGGGTATATCATGTCTCTCGCCTCTTCAGCCGGCAGAAGAGGTTTGTTTGTTTGACGAACCAATTATCCGTCAAGATCCATTCAGCCTTGGGGTCCGACAGCTCGAGTTGATATTTTCGAATGACTTGAGGGACCAGTTTCGACATCTCGAGGAGAGAGATGTTCTTGCCTAGGCAGGTTCTCGCTCCGGCACCGAACTACTTCGACGTTAGCTCTCCAAAACTTGGAAGGGAAACCTCCACGGAGGTGAAGTATCTTACAGCCAGAAAGTTCCTGTCCATCAGTTTAAGCGTTTCCTCGCTTGCTTCCAGCCATCTCTCTGGTCTGAAGGCCTCAGCGTCTGTGCCGTAGACCGACTTATCTCTGCTGGGAATCCACGGATTCATGCCGACAATTGTACCTGCCGGGAGGTGGATACCTGGGGCGATCTCCCATCCATCGGCTGGAACTACTCGCTCGAGCAGCTGACCTACCGCTGGGTGTAACCGCATGGCCTCCTTCATACACGCCTGGAGGTATGGCATACGATTTGCTTCCGCAAATGTCACGATCGGGGATAGCTCGGCGGCCTGCTCCATTTGGTCGATCTCGTCTCGGAGAAGATTGTAACAACGCGGATTCTTGCACAAGTAGTAAAACATCGACCTGAGTGAGATCGCTGTAGTGTCACTCCCCGCAAGACTAAGTATTCTTGTTAACATCATCTTCCAGGTCTGTAAGGAGAATCTCACATGTTGCTGGATGCATGACTTAACAAGTCATCACTGGACATGATTTCCTCACCATCTCGAGACCGCCGAAACCTTGCCAACATATCCCGCAACGAATCTAATGACTTGTCCCGGGTATTGTAGCGCTCGAGCTGCTTAGCTGCGAAACGAATAATATGTGAAGTTGAATTTAGCCACGCCAGGATAGGAACCCGGCCTACCAGAGACGCCACCAGACGGTTGCCCAGTAGGAATCTATGAAGATAGGGAGCCTCACCAACGACTGAGTTGTATGCCAATCGACCTTCAATAGCTTCAATGATACCTTGAACGTCCTTTTCTTGCTCCATGAACCCCATGCAATTGGAGAATGTCACAGATGTGATGACATCAAAGGAGTACCATTGAAGCCACTCTCCAAGGTCAAAGTCCTTGTCTTGCATACCGTCGAACTTTCTCTGCAGTATCTCAATGCAGTCATCAGTCATCGGCTCGAGTTCAACGAGGGTGCTCATCGAGTATGCGTTTGCTACAGGCCTCTTGAGGCCCTTGTGTCGCTTTTCGTCACGCACAGAGAATACTGTGGGAATGGCCTTCCCTTGTTTTGATCTCACGTCGAACATCGAATAGAAATCGCTCTGGATCACCTGTGTGTTAGCAAGGAGAACCATAATATCTCCTGTGTCTGGTCGAACAGACCTTGAGGAATCGGCTGGTGATCCCATAAACTTGAGGGATCAAGTCTGAATTGGCGAAAGACACCTGATTTGGTCCAACGCGGACCAGGGGTCCATACTTGTCATGGTATTCCAGATGTCTCCTAAATTGCTGACCTGAAGCGGCAGTAATTATTCGATCGAGAGAAGATATACTAGCCAAGAAAGGTCCTGGCACCTGTTTAAGCCCTCGACGATATCTGGTCATCACTGCTAGCACTATCCCGAACAGGACAATGACGCAGATGACCACTGCCAGTCGCATGGTGAGAGATTGACTCCCTGTGAATTTCGGCGTCGATATCGTGACCAGACCCATGATCAGTTGTTGTTTGGCAGATAATCTCCCTGTGTCATCAAGTCATATTGGATTAAAGCTCTTTGATACAGTTTATGTAGAAGCGACAGTAAGAGTTCGAGTGGGGTTGAATGCGATGCTTCGGCATGGAAGCCGTTACAGCCCCGCGAAGGGAATCTGGGCTGCCCACGTCTTCGTCACACATCTGGCGTTCGCCATCAGAGGAGACGAGAATGTTTCTCGGTCCGCGTCCGCTGAATCCCCGAGAAATATGCCATTTTTCTCCAATAGTTGACCTTGACTGAGAACGGAAATTCCCTTTCATTTGTGGTTGGCGTCTTCGAAGGCAAGATCTAGCATATCTCCACGCGAGCGCTAATTGTGTGTGATTGTGCCTTTCATCGCTGTCACACTTGGTGCCTACGAGTGCGTTTGCTTCAGCAAATCTATGGCCAACTGAAGGTCTGAAGCCTATGACGGGCCCGGTCCTACGTGGATCACGTGGCATAAGCAAGGGTCAATGAGGCTGAGTGCCGAGGCTGGTAGGGGCTGAAAATTGGCTCCCTCGTCAGGGACGACTCCATGAGATTCAAAGAGTAGACGTTCCTCCTTCAATCGGCTTTAAATCGCAGTGTAACTCACACCTGGGTTTCTTTTGGGTTGTCTAGGTACCTCGTATGAACAACAGACCGCAAACCGACATCGACCCTTTCATTTCCTCGCGGGCTATCTTCTTGAAGCAACAGCCCTACAATCCCCCCCCCCCAACGAACTAGCATGGCTGTCTCTTAGTCATCATACTTGTAGTAGCTAAAATTAGCGGGTTACATCAGCCAGGATTTTGCCATATAATTGAATGGGATCTTGTTCAATCAATATATAGGCCACGCGTTCTACAATTTCGTTTACCTCTCCATCCACTCATTCAAATTCCGGCAGCCAGAAACACTGGCTGTGGGCCACAAGCGATGAAACAAAAGCAAACCCAGTATCATGGATTGGCGGCAGAGGATAGAGCAGCCATTCGACGTGAGAAAGTCAGATTAAACGTCAAGGCTTTTCGGGAACGAAAGAAAATGATTCAGCAAGGCCACCGTGATTCTACTGAGACTGAAATCAAATGTAGCTCAGCTGTGGAACTTCGTTGGATTCCAGAGAAAACGTTGGAAGCACTATGCGTGAACAACCACAGGAACAGAGCCCCTGAGAAGACTCCGAACGCGACGAAGTCTGCTGAGATGATCAAGAAGGAAGCCAACCAGATTTCCACGATGAGGCCCTGCCCAATGCTTGAATTTAATCTGGAAAAAGAGGACACGTCTGCGTTGATCGACGACTTCCGATCTAGATTCCTTCCTTGCCACCAGTTCATGCCGCCACTAACATGCGCTCTCGAACGATCAGCGGCGCCTTGTGCATCTTGGATCACCCGCGCGTTCAATATCGCCTTCTACAAGGAGAGAGCGGTGGTTAGAGCGATGATGCGTTCCATCGCGCTTGGGTTGATCGCGATAGAGGATTGCAGAGAAGATGTTAAGAGAAAGTCCCTTGATTCCTACCAAACAAGCCTGGTAGCAGTCAGGCGGTATGTCGTCTATGTTGGGAAGAAGAGGCTGGACCCAGCCGATTTCCTAGCCTTGCTCTTATCCTGTCATGTCGCTGCGATGTATGAACTTGCGGTCAACGTATCACTTGTCGACATGATTCGTCATGTCGACGGCATCACGGCATTGATCTTGCATCAAATATCTGGTCACAGTCACCTCCCGGAAACATTTTACGATCTAATAGAAGAGTTTCGGGTAATTGAAATGTGCTTCTGTCTGCCCTTACGACGAATTTCCCTGTTGACAAACTTTAAAAATCGAACAAATCGTGCCGGAGCTGATGGCCATTCGCTCAGAACTGCCGAGAAAAACACTTCCTATATGGGCGGGTTGATTGACATTGCTGACCGGATCTGTACGGTCATGGTAAAATTCGACGGCCTGAAGCCCTTTAAGGAGACTGGTCATACAACTGATGCCCTGCGGGAGGTAGTTGGAGACGCATATAACATCCTTGACACACTGAAGACATGGAAGGAAGACTTCCTCGCAGTTTACGGCTCCTCCATCTGCAACCTGGGATACCACCACTCATCAACCAAAAGCCTGGAGTTCTTCTCTTTGCCCATCGCTGCTACGTGGGCGTATGGCCTTGCATATAAGCTGTACGCCTTAGATATTCTCATCTCCGCGCAGATAGCGCTATCTGAAATTGGAGAGACTGACGGGCGATTGAGCCATGCTCGTTGGATTCCTGGTCAGGACAGTCTAGCACACGCTGCGGTGGATATGCTCGATACTGCCCGTCTTCTGCTAAGGTCTCTGCCGTGGTTCTATCAACAAGATATTGGAATCACCGGCCGCACACTTTCTATTCTCCCATTGGGAGCAGTCAATCACGCATTCTGTAATGACATCTGGCAGGACTTGGTGGCAGTCAACGTCCATTTCGGATGCAATGACACCCCAACCACTAGCTCCGTTCCTCTACTTCTGAGCAGAGATTTGGCCATGTATGAAGAAATGGCGTTGAGAGCAAAGGCTTGTGGGCTTCCGATTGTGTCTGAGCAATTATTCCAGAGTCTTGAGACATCCTCTACAGGAGTGTGAGCCAAGTCGGGGCTCGATTCTCTGCAGTCAAGTGCCTCCCCTCACAATGGACATTCTAAGGGAGCGAGTCGCCTCAGTCGGCTGACTATACCGCGGAGCGCCCTCGCACAAGCCCTGACAGTGATCCATCATCAGCGTTGGACTTGGTGCCAACCTCACTCGCTCCTTGCTGGTAACATACGTTTATCAAGAATGGGCGTGATCAAAGTTGCGACCCATTCATATGTCGTGAACAGGATGCCTCCTGCGAGCACTGTTCTCCCTAGCCTCATCGTACTTCCTCTCCACAGACCCTTCACACCATAGTCTGCGATGACGCTTGTGAATGCTTCGACAACCCCTGCCCCTCGTACACTTTGCGCACGAGTCTTCAGCGTGTCGAATGGTTGGGTTGCAAACACCACTATTGTGCCGGCCACTGCACCATTTGCAAAAGTTGTTGCTGTAGTCTGTGGGATATTGCGAAGCCGTTCAAAGTCTTTGAGGATATTATATGTTCCCAGGCGGACGGAAGTAGTGGAGGCTTGTTTCAAAGTTGTCGTGATATAACCCCGGTACAATGCACGGAGAACACCGTGCTCCGCGATTAGAGTCTTGGTAGCATGCCATGGTGAGGTAAAGCGTTTGGAAAACCTTGCATCGTCGATGATAGCTGTTTTAATTCGTTCCGTTGGAGTCACGGCGAACGTACTCGCTACCACGCCAGAAGCGATGCCTGCGAGGAGATTTCGAGCTGGTGATAAAGTACCTGTTTCAGGGTCCTTGAATGCGAGTTTGATGCTGTCAAAGGAGATGAAGCGGATGGCATCCTTGGCCACTGTTCCAGCGACGAGAGCTTCACAACCCTTGTACAGGGCTCTAGGGCCTTCAGTCCGGATGACATTCCGGATCACACGAAAAGGGTTCTGCGTCGGACTGTCGTCATGTAACTGGACCCTGGTCTTTGCAAATTCAAATGCTGCACACATAAGCTGAATTAGACGTTGAATGAGATTGAGAGTCATCCTCGGTAACGTACGGTATGTAACAGTCGCTTCAACGCCACCAGCTGTGCCTCCTGCGATTAAAGAAACAAGAAGAGACTTGTTTGACCCCTGCATGGAGACAAGTGGTTAGTGATTGTTGTTGCTACCGATCGAAGCGAACTTTGACAAATTGAAGGTAGATTTTGCAGGGCAATTCCAGCGTCGTGGGCTTCACAGAAGAGGCACTTACATCGTCCACAACCATTTTCCTTTCTGTTGCTGAACGACCCGACACGTAAAAAAGGCAGCGGATTAAAAACAGAAGAAGAAAAGACTTTCTAGACAAAGCAAACTCTAAAAGTCTAAAACTCTATGGCACATAAAAGAGAACGACTGAGTGTATAGAGAAAGACGGTCCGGAGAGGTATAGGTAGTAATGAAAGTAGTCCCTTCGAGAAGGGAGGTTCATGTGAATTCTTTGATGGCAAAGAGACAAGCGGTGCAGCGGCCCGATTTCGCTGGCACGGTTTACCTCGGGTAATCTCGGCTTTTGAGGAGTACATGTTCACCAAAAATTGGGTGCAGCCTTGTCCTCCGAAGTTCAGCCTTGCTTGAATTCACGGGTTGGAGACTGAGAGTTGAAAAGCTAAAATAGTATCGCTGCTAGAACGATGAGAGAATGCATATCAGATGGATCTGCGAGCGTATAATTTCAGACACAATCAGTCTTTGGTGGGATGTTGTCGCGCGAATCATTGAGATCGACACGGGACCCAAGCCTGGTGAGTGCACTCCATAGCCCATACATCCAGAGAGCCGTTGTACTAGTAATTTTCACGTTCCGTTCACCTTCACGTCCTTTCGATCGAAGATGCGAAAGGATCCTCTTGCCTTCAGTTCACAAACGGGGACAGGGACCACCATTAGTGGCAGTATATTTCCTTATACCGTCTTTTACAAAGCACCTCGAGGGAGGCCTTCAATTCTCAACCATGTCATCATCTTCGAACAGTCAGCCTTGTTGTTCTCCCTTTTGAAGTCATTGGGCCACACCGATATGACAAATACATTGACCATTTCGAAGTGGCTCACGTTTTTTGCTTTCATTGGTGCTGACCTTGGATGAGCCACGAGTTCTCAAACGGATCTGGCATTTCGATCGTGGATGGGATTTACGTTGAAAGAGGAGGACGACACCGACCACTGCCCACTCCCTTGTCCCTCGTTGGCACAATCCAGAGCCTGGGGAGTCGGTCCTCACGAGACATTTTCCGGCAGTCCTGGAACCTCAGGTGACAGACATGCAAGCATTCCGATGGTTCCCATTCGACCAGAGCCAGATGATCCCGACACAGCCCATGCCAAAAGAAGGCTTTCCCTCCTTGCAAAATTGCCGGACCTAGCAACCTCGTGTCAAGATGTGCATGCAAAGATCGACGACGCTTCCCAATACATCGACACACCTGCGTTCCAAGAGACTCGGGTATTGGATGTCGATGATAACATTGTACTCTCGAGCCTCCTTGGAGACCATCAATCTGCGGATATCTGCCGAAACTCTCGAGATCCATCGTTTGTCCAGCTTCTGGGTCCGAGCTTAGAAAGCGGTCTATGAGCAATATGAAAGCATTCGCATGACTCGAGAAGCCATGGAGGACATCCGCGTTGATCATGAAGCCAGAGCAAACAACATCACCCACTCACAAGATCTGATTGATGGATTCTAGATACAGTTTTTCCGAACCAAGCTCCAGAGCTTGATGGACCATTACGGAAGTGCCGTAGAGCAGATTCGAGATGTCAGTCGATTTGCGTCTGGGGAACACAAACGACCGGTCCGGAAGGCCCAGTGGTGCATTGTGAATGCGAACAGCTTTCAGGCACCGTAGAAGAGATGGCGATGCGGTGTTTGGTGCCTCCTAGTATGCAGGAAGAATCCGAGCAGACATGAAATCAGTTTGACAGGATCTGAGAGTTCAAACCCTTTGCATAGAACCTGAGACATCGGCACGAAATCTGGATCATTCATTGCCAAACTCATTCCCCAGATGTGGCGTGATAGCCTTGTCCCGCTAAAATTTGGCAAGAACTTTCGCACTCGACAGCCTTGTAGCCACCGAAAACCTAGGGATTCACCGTGACATTATGGCTGAAGTTCTAGAAAGGTGTACGCCTCACAACCTGTCGTGTGGTATGTCTGTCCTCCCCTTCTTCTCTTCTTGACGAAAATGCGAAGCATCACACTCTTGCCTCGCCGACTTACCATGAAACTTACGGTAACGATGAGCCTGAGCTCCTCACTCAACGGATGGACTGCATTTGACCCAATCACTTTGGGTTATTGTAGAGTATCTTCGACGAGCAGTCGAACAACTCGCAAACGAAAGCAAGATATACTTTTACATAAGATGAAGTCTACTAAATGAACAGAAATGATGATTGCCTGGTACAGGGATTTGTGTCCGTTCTTGGCAGACTCTTGGACTTGATATTTCGGGGCGGGGATGGCTTGCGGGTGGTCGGCAAGCCTATCCGGAAACACCCTGGGGCATGCGAGGTCCGCCTAATATCCCGCTTTGTCCCCGGATATTGGGAGATGCTCTTGGAACTGGACATCGGGTAGCGATCGATTTAGCTAAGAGACCTCTTCATCGCTTCAACTAGCCCTATCCCGCAGCACTTCCGCCCCTGCTGAACGTTATGTGTTTTCGGGCAATAGACTACGGCCCGTAGTCCTAGCTTTGCATCATGTCTTCCCAAGGGGCCAAGCATCCAAGCGAAGAACGAGAGGGAGCTGCAGATTCCCAGCCGCCTCGTCAAAAGCGCCGCCGTATACCAGTTGCCTGCAATGCATGCAGGACGAGAAAATCACGTGTGAGTTGAGCTGGTCCATGAACCCAACAGTTCCTTACACCGGATTGCCAGTGCGATGGTGAGCATCCCATCTGTGGGGCTTGCAAGGAATCGCGAAGGAAATGTGTCTATCTCCATGCACCGCCTCCAAGGGCATCCGAAGATAACAGGTAGCGAACGGCTCTTTCCGTCTTACGTTGAGCAGGCACACTATACTAAGCGGTACTTAGTGAATACTTGGAGCTCAACGTGCGACTGCGGGCCCTGGAAGAGCTCGTCGCATCATCCGCGATTGGGCATGAACAGCTGGTCAATGGTCAAGCGGCAATGGGTCCGCCGTCAATCAAGGAACTGGCTCCATCCACTGTGAATGATACCAGCCCATTAGGGCTGGCACAGTCAGTCAACGATGAGACCCCTAGCATGAACTCACCAAATGCGCCAGTGGACGGGATGGGAGCGGTTCTTCTTGAGAATGAGGAGATCTTGACGTTCTTTGGTAAGAAGATTGCCTTCGGATTGAGAAGTTTTCGTGCTCAACGCCCTCGCTCATAGGGCCATCTTCCAATATTTCTTTCACCAGACACATTACCCAAATGGTAGCTCGCTTGAATCACATATCGAACCCATGGGGAGCCTCCTTGGATACTGCTGGAATGGCGTTCTTGAACATAGCACACTCGCCACTGGACCTGCAAAATTCGCAAAAGACTCAAGCAACAAATGCTTTGGACAGATTTGCGCTTCCAACGGAGGGGAAGATTGAAACTCTTATTGACAACTACTTTTCCGATGTTGGTCTGCTTTTTCCAAACCTGCACAAACCTACTTTCCTTGAGTGTTATGCGCAGATGAAGAGAAACGGGCCGATGAACACGCGGAAGATTTGGCTGGGTATCCTGAACATGATTCTAGCCGTGGGCGCTTTGACCGTAATGCGGAGCGACTCAGTGCTCCAGAATCGCTCGCTGGAAGCACAAGAATACTACGAAAGGGCTGTCAGTCTTTGCGATCCCCTTGTCCTGAGCGGCACAACTTTAGAAGTGGGTAAGGAGTCTACAAAATGCTTGCTATGTTCAATACCATGGCCAGGCTAATGTGTTCCTTCAGTTCAATATCTCCTGCTTGTTACCCACTATCTCCAGGCGACCCGCACTTCTGTCCAGACCAGTAACGCCCTGGCAATGGCAATCAGCACCGCTTTCCGCATTGGATTGCACTCACGACAAGCCTCCCTTACGTTCCCTCGCCTCGAAAGAGAGATGCGCAACCGCACATGGTATGTCTGCGTCATTCTTGACAGGTGCGTCATTTCAATGATCTGCGTCTGGCATTGCTAAGAATGCCCCAGAACGCTTAGCATGACGCTTGGCCGCCCATCAGCAATTCCATACAATTACGTCAAGACAGATATGCCCATGGACATTGAAGCCATTGGAAACCGTGCCAGCGACGAAAGCACCACATATAGTCTAGGTGTCTTCAATGCTACAATGTGAGTCGGCAATTTCTAAGTACAATCCGGAGCTAACTTGGACTTAGAAAGCTCTATCAGATCATGTGGAAGGTTATTGACCAACAGTATGGGCAAAATCTAGGGTTTGACGCTCCCCCCAGTGTGGTAGATGTCCTATCCCCCCTTTCAAGCATTGATGGAGAACTTCGAGAATGGGACAGGTCCCTTCCGCTGTGGCTAAAGACGATCACCTCGAAAGAGTTACCAGATCTTATATCAACGTACGACACGCTGGCGCCTTCTGGTAAGTCCAACCGTTTCCAGGTTGTTCTCACTTTACGGTCATTAAATCTTACGATCTTACTCCATCGACCTGTCTTGGTAAAATACTTCGAGCTAGCTAGCAATCCAGCGTCAGGCATGGCAGACACCACTCTCCTAAGTCGACTTGGTCGGAACAGCATCGACGTCTGCCTGAGGTCGTCCATGGAAATCATCTCAATTGTGCATAGGCTTGTCCACAATTCAGGACCTGCCAGGAGGCTGCTGAATGTTTGGTGGTATACACTGTATTATAGTAAGATGCGATCATTCCTATCTAACCCGAACCAGACTTCTGACCTACCCATCAGCTTTCAATGCCGCCCTCGTGTTATCGGGCATTATATTAATCATGCAAGAGGGCTTTCACAACATTCCTAACCCTCCCTCGGAAGAAGAATGTAGGACATATCTCGAAACGGGCATTTCAGCGTTGGCTCTGCTTGACCAAGGCAATAAAATTGTGAAAAGGTGCCACGACTATCTACAAAGACTCATGTCGGCAATTGATGGCCTATGTATGGCGCACCTAATCCTCGGGATCTTCACTTGGCTGATATGGTGTAGTGTCGAAAAGCTCGGCATTTGCAGCGCCTGATCTGCAAGGCTCTTCAGCCTTTGGAATTGCCTCGAACATGATCTCATCTGCATCGAATTCAGCTCCGGTCCAGTCGCCTCCGAATAGGTATAACATTTCTGGCAGGAATGTAGGGGACCTCATGACGGGAGACGATCTCAATTTTTTGAATTTTTATTTCGCTCCATCACCAGAGGGGCCATTAGTTGAGTGAATCAGTGACTTGCTCAATTTACTCAAAAAGAAACACTGCATGGGATATATGATGGCTCTCAGCATAGTTTGGGTATTCCTAGCTTACTTATGAATACATTCAAGAAGACAAGGGAACGACAATGGGCTGCTCATCGGATGCAAGGCTGCAGCCTTGTATCAGAATAGTCATGATTGGTGCCAGGCGCCACTCACGTGATCCGGTCGCGTCTTGGCAAAACGCAGGAGGGCAATGTTCGTGTTGGGGGGCGTGTCTTCTCTGGATGCATCGCGCAGTTCAAGTATCGCGACAAGATTTGCTTCGAGTGCTGGCTTCCCCCAATTCATTGTCGCAACTGCGAATCTCGATCTCTTCCACCTTCTTCATGTATTTCATACCTTGATAATAATTTCAAGTTGATTAAATCGCCTTTTCATTCTGTGCGCCTGCCGCTGTTCTTGAAAGGGCCGAACCATAGGCTTCTTTAATCGTTCTACTCATCGAAAGATGGATGAGACTCAGACCCCTACGGAGTTGAAGCAAGAGGCTTCTGATGTTGCCACACTCCCTCCAGTCAGCAGTGATACGCCGGCAGTTGCATCTGAGTCCCAGCTACCGATCTCTCAAGGTGCGCATCACAATCTTTCCTTCGCTTCTGGCGATTTTCACCAAGCGCTAGCATTACAGTGACTCTACCTACTGACACGATTGAGCAAACACAGATACCCCTACCGAAACCGGTACTTCTTTTTCTGCGAATCCCTTGGATGCGCCCAAATCACCCCCCGCCCAAGACGATCCAGATGCCGAACAGGAAGATGCAGAGATGGGTGGAGTGGAGGAAGATGCGAAGGTCGAGGATGCAGACGTAGAGAAGGACGCTGCCGGAGAATCCCAAGAAACACCTGCCGCCGCGACTGGTACAGATGGCCAGACCGCGCAATCGAAGTCAGCCCTTGAAGCTTCGGCCAACTCGCACCTGATCTCACAAACACACCAGATCATCCTTCCCAGCTATAGCACATGGTTTGATATGCATACAATCCATGCCTTGGAGAAGAAATCTTTACCCGAATTTTTCAACAGCCGAAACCGCAGCAAAACCCCCGCCGTGTATAAAGACTATCGTGATTTCATGATCAATACCTATCGTCTCAACCCCGTCGAGTACCTTACAGTGACTGCATGTCGACGGAATTTGGCAGGCGATGTTTGTGCCATTATGCGCGTGCACGCGTTCTTGGAGCAATGGGGTCTCATCAATTACCAAGTATGAATAAGTCGTGACTCTAACTTTGCTTTTGCTGATTACAATAGGTCGATCCCCAGACTCGACCTGCAAATATTGGACCCCCTTTCACTGGGCATTTCAGAGTAATAGCCGATACTCCACGTGGCCTCCAGCCCTTCCAACCAGGTCCGAATACGTTCACCACTCCGGGGAAACCACACGCTTCTACCGATCGAGCGAAATCGGCAACTCCTTCGTCAAAAGCAGACCTCAATCTCGAACTTCGCCGCAATGTTTACGACGACAAGGGCAAGGAGATAAAGACAAGTGAGGAGCCAGAGAAGCAACCCAATGGTGATGGGGCAACCGCTAACGGGTCAGCTTCTGGAGATGCCGCCACCAAGGCCATGGATGAAGCTGCTCGAGAACCACTTAAGACCTTTAATTGCTTTTCATGCGGTATCGACTGCACCAGATCACGATTTCATTACGCAAAATCCGATCCAGTCACCGCCAATCATGTTTCGGGTGAAGGCAAGTATGACTTATGTGCAAATTGCTATTTCCAATCCAGAATGCCCAGCAATCATCGATCCTCGGATTTCGTCAAGATGGAAGAGCCCGAATACAATCAAATCCCGGACAAAGATGCTCCCTGGACTGACTCAGAGACACTCTTGCTGTTGGAAGGTCTTGAAAATTTTGACAACGACTGGAACGAGATTGCAAAGCATGTTGGCACGCGGACAAGAGAAGAGTGTGTCCTGAAATTCTTGAAGCTTGACATCCAAGATCAGTATCTTGAGGATGGTCCTTTGAGTGGCGCAGCCACCCTGAAGAGTCTCACTGGTCGAAGTCCAATCAGTCAACTGGACAATCCTGTCATGTCCGTGATCAGCTTCATCTCTCAACTAGCAGATCCAAGTGTTGTTGCAGCTGCGTCGGGTCGCTCAATCGCAGTGATGCAGAAAGAATTACGAGCACAACTAGAGAAAGGAATTGGTGGCCCGTCAGAAGAATCTGCAAAGGAGAAAGAACCGGTCAAATCTGAAGATGCCATGGATGTGGACGAATCTACTGCACCAGCAGAAAAGACAACGTCCGATGTAACCGGATCACCAGCAGTGATCAATGATATTGCTACCACAGCCCTAGCAACCACAGCCGCCCGCGCCAGTGGTCTCGCGTCTCATGAAGAACGAGAAATTACGCGTCTGGTCGGAGCAGCCGTCAACCTGACGTTGCAGAAATTCGAACTCAAACTTGCCCAATTTGCAGAGATGGAGGAGATTGTACAAGCCGAACGAAGAGATCTAGAGAAAGGACGTCAACAACTCTTCCTCGACCGGCTGGCTTTCAAGAAGAGAATGAAAGATATGGAGAACACTTTCAAGCAAGCGAGCATGAAGGGCCCTGAGGAGGGAATGCGAATGATGCAAGAAGCAATGCACGCTCATTCCGGTCAGCGAGTGGGCTTTACAAACATCAACGGGGCAGCCGCTACTAATGGCGTCGCACCAGTTGGCGCAGATGGAGGCGAGCCTGCCAAGGGGATTGAGGTCTAGTGAGCCGATTCACCAACACTTTTGCGAAAATGGGCAATACTTCTTTCCACAGATGTAATTCATGCAATGGGCGTTCAAATTTGTGTGGGGAGGTACTCGGATCGTTCGGTAGGCTTCAGGAGGATAGGTGGACGATCGTGATCTTGCTTTCGTCGGGTCGGGCCGTTTGTAGTGTGCTATGGTTATGCGCGCAACGGGATGGCGAAGGGCTTAACTGAAGCAAGGCTGGCCCTCTCTCCCTCTCTCTCTTTTGCGATCCTCACGCGCAGACCCCTGTGGTTTCGACATGAATTGGATCGAGGACGGGCAGCCAAGTTGATTTTGCCAGCTAGGCGAGATTAAGGCAAGCAACCTTTTGTAGAAATAAACCAGAATTTTCGTTTTCAAGGAAAGAGGAAAATGAAATGTCGTCCTAGTGGTCGTAAGGGTGGTAAAGCCTTAAAGGCGTTATCGTTGAGTTCTCCAGCACGTAATATAAGATGCAAACACCTATGTAGGCGTGACCACTGACCACACAATAAGAATGTAACCTCTTAAGAGATGAAACAATTGGCTTCTACAACAAGAGCCGGCTAGAATCTACATAAATACTAAGTCGTCCTTCATACATTGCTGCAAGAGGGTCTGACACGACCGATCTCGCTCCAGTCTACAAACTCGCCATGTCCTTTCAGCGGACAAGGCTCTATAGTGGGTTCTATGAAGTGAATTCAATCTACTCAACACAATAATGGCCCACTAGCTACGCGTTGATCAGATCTCACAATGGTGAAAGCTGGACTATGAAGGGAGACGTACTGATCCTTGTCCATCCTTTGCAGACGGAAAAGGCAGCTAGCGAGGTTCATTTTCCAGGCGTTTAGTGTTCATATGTTGCCGTTAGCTTGCCAATATGATTGGGTTCTGTCAATCGGTACTTCTGGAGGCTACCCTTTTGGGAGGGGAGCGGGAAGTACTGCTTAGTGGTTCGGACTACAATAAGTAGTCACATTTATCAGAACAATCTAGCGTATAACGACATGTAAAACCAGCGGGAATTCAAACCGAGCCTGGGGCATGCGCCCGCTGTCTCTTCGAGTGCAGTTCCACAGCGCTATATAGAGCCACGCCTATCATGGTGATCACCAGGCCTGTAGCATTGAAGAAGCCGACTTGGACGTTGAAGAGCACCACAGCTAGGATGATGGTGATACATTGTTTTAAATTGCCGCACACGGTCATCGTCAGCGCCCCAACGAGTTTGTTGGTGGTGAAGGAGGACACGTTTAGACAAAAGGCCAGGAATCCATTGCATAGAACGATGACCAGTAAAGCTGTCACTCCGTACACCCGCTGCGTCGTAGAGAGGTTCCTGACTGGGGCGATGTCGGCCATCAGATTAGAGACTTCGCCCGACCAGACGCCGTAGATGAAGGACTGAAGACAAGCAAGCGGTGACATGCGGAAAAGAAACTCTAAGGGCGCAAGTTTGAGACTACCGGTCATGATCTGATTTGTGACGATCGACTATGGATTGATGTGGTCAGTGAAAAGTTTGAATTTCCTAGAGAGAGATGAACTGCTAACCTTTAACGCTCCCAAGACCACACCTAGGAATGTCATCAAGAAGCCTGCCGTCGTGAAAGAGTAGTCTCCATAAGTAGCCAGGCCGACACCCAGGATGATGGGAAGCAGCGAGACATATGTCGGCGTAGAATACGTGCGCGAGTAGAACACACGGTACATTGCAGTGGTGATCAGTGGAGTCGTCGCACGGACGACCTGATGAAACGGTATCGATACCATAGCTCTGCATGACGCTGGTCAGCAAACGATGGCATTCACTAGCATCGGCCTAGAATACTTACAAAGACACGTTGGAAATGGCAATATTGACAGTGAACAAGAGCGAGAAAGCACACAAAATATAAGCTTCACGGTCACCTAAGGGTTTGAGCTCGAAGCGACCGCTAAGTAACAAGATATAACATCCGACTGAAGCACACCCAGTGTGCAAGGCTGTCAGGAGCCAGGGATAGGGCAGCTACAAGATATGGACTGTCAGTACTTGGCTTTCGATGCGTTGCGACCTCCGGCCCTGAGAGTCTGAAAGGGCTTCACTCACGGATCCGAGAAACGCCTTGTTGTATAGTGTAAGGCCCACATTGCAAAGGAAATATATGCCCAGCGCCATCATCTTCTGGGTGGTGGGAACTGTATACTCTAACGCAATCTTGGGTTCTGTTCCACGGCCTTCCTTCTCGGCATATGGGGAAAGCGACATGGCTCGGCTAACTTTCTGGCCGTCCTGGCAGCAGACTTCGTTTTGGTACGGCATGCTATGCGACTTGTCGTGGAGCTCAAAATTTGTGTCGTTGGAGGATGAGGATTGAAGTGAGGAGTCTCGATACGGGGAATGTTCTTGATCTCTACCCATTCTGCCTGAGATTGACGTCTTTCTGTCAAGTCGTGTGGGTATCGGTGGCTCAAGGGCTCACTTTTGTCTGCTGAGACAATTGTACCAGACGCGTTGGGCCAAGAGAGTATTGTTGGCTTTTGAAGACTCAGTCTCGTACCGGTCTGAGGCAATAGTCGAAAGAACTGACAAAGACTCTGGTATAAAGCGGAACAATGGATGATTTGGCATGTACTGTGTGTACGTAGTGTGCACATGACTATACTTCAGTGGACCAGACCGGAATTGAGATTTACGCTCTTCGAAACATATCCAGCACTCATTCAGCACTGTCTTAGAGCTGCCACGCAGGTACGGTTCTTCGCTTCTTGAGACCAGAATGGGGTGGTAACTTGGCTAGGCTGTGCCGAGTACGGATGCAGTATTGGACTAAAGAGGCCATGGCCGTTTAGATTCTGCATGACCGGCAAAGCTAACGCGGTGGAGTGGATATCAGCGCCCGCAGGATGAATCCACACGCATTCCAGGGGCATGGAACTAAGATCAGGGCTACAGACAGGGACTGGGGTGGGACCAGGGGTCATAGCCCCCAATCACCTTTGGCAATCAACTGTGAAAGCCTCTGTTGGCGTGTTCGTGTCATTTCCTGTCTGTCATTTTCGGGTCATCGAGCCGTCCGGGACCATAAGAAGTCCAGGTTCCTACCGTAGTTAGATTTGGATGCAACTGGATAAAAGCCACACATACATGGACCATACTGCGTGAAAAGAGGAGTGCCCTTACATAGTACACTGTAGACCATCGGATTCGGGGCAACTAGATCAGGGGGTAGCGTAGGCTGGCTGATCGAGGCCGTTCCATTATTGAGGTGAAAGCTTCTCATCTCATTAATTTCCTTCTTGTACGGCATCGCTGATTGTGATAAGCGCTGCGCCCTCGTCAGTCCACTCTACAACTTCTTGGGCAGAAAGCGGACTCAGAACTGTAAGGATATTGAAATTACACAGCCATACCGAGTCGTTTGTCCCACGGTAACTTATGGACCGTTGCCTGAAGGTGAAAAGCATTGATCACGCTTTGTATCCACTGACAAACTGACGCTGAGAGGGAGGTTACGAAAGCAGGCGATAATTCGGCCTGGTCTGAACTGAATTCATCCAACCCCTTCTCGATCAATGCTCCACTCTACCAAAAACGCAGATACGTTGCAAGTTCAGACAGAGCCGCCGTCAAACTACACAGACACGTTCCTCATCTCAAATGGGCGAAGCACCCGTGATGCAACGCAAAGGTTCGTCTGAGATGAGAAGCTGGAAGACCACCTCAACGACAGAGACCTACATGGGAGCTCTCAAGGTAGGCGCTTTCTTGAATCGGGGGAGTGTTCTTGATGGTCGATAGTTTTGGATCTGAATTCACCTCCCTCCAACATGCTAAATGGACGCCGAATTGGCCCGGCAGTCCGAGTCAACTGCTATACAAACGATTCGGATCAGCGTTCCCTCGGACTCCGCCAGCACTCGCATAAGGCATGAAAAGGAATCAGCTTCACCGCTGCGACACGGGCAAGACAGTGTAGCGCGTCAATAACAAATACACCCCGTCGAATCCTGGTTCCTTGTTTTCAGTTATCTGATTGACCGAGTCACGCTTGTAAAACGGCGACACTCGCAACTGCGGTGAATTGCATCGTTTCTTTTTGGGTGTCTTGCCGTCTTTCGATATCCCGAAAACGGACTGCAACTCAGCATCAAGTATCCTGGGAACCCCGGGGAAGGCGATTCCCAGTTGACCAGATATTCCCACTAATCCTAATTGCTCGCATTGGCAACTATGAGACGGAACTCGTCGTTATGGACAGGGAAATTTCGACCAGGAAATTAGGAACATTCGGACCCAACTGCACTCTTCGAAGGCGTAGGTTAAGTTGCGCAGAGCACACACGACAGGAGGTTGTCGGCAAGGATTTACGGTCCTATTTCCCTTAAGGGGGTGGTTTAAGGTTCGAGCCACGAGAACTTTTGTCCTTTATCAAGGACGGGCAAAGCGAGCTGCATGACTGGAGCGCGGTGATTGATTTCCTGAACAACTTCACCCCAACAAATAGGGCTGGCTTCGAAGGAAGACCTCTCCGTTCCTATCCTTTTCAGCTTGTATCTTGGTGGTGTGGTGCACACCAACTTCAGCCTCTCGTTTGGGGGTAATGGAATAGCTTCTTCACGACAACACTAAACCAAAAGCTGCCATTGTTTAGCTTCGCCCATCAACAACAGGTGGAGGGTATTGTTCGCTCAAGATTGGGTTGTTTTTGGGAGCGGCCAGAAAAGGATGCTTCTGTATTCTGCCGGTTGAGATGCCATACTCAACAATCGGGTAGACCATATACCGATTGATTGTCTTCCTCACAGACAATATCGCCTACCATCATTCCTCGGCACGTGTTCCTGAATGCTCTGTTCATCCCGAAACGCCTACTTGCACACAAAGCACAACCTCTGAATCTGAGACTGAGCGAAAGTTTCTCAAGGGCTGTTCTGCACCGGAATTGAACCTGCGCCTGACTGGTGTGCAATTGACAGTCCCTTGCAACTGACCAACAGGTGTAATGGAATTCCTCCACTGAGAGAGACAATCTTGGATGCGTGGTAGCACCCTGTAGCAAGCCTGGGCATTATCAGCTTCGGCATTGGTAGTTAATCTGTGCTCACCAACACTCTTATCGTGAAAGTTGTCATACTGTCAGCAGTCGGCTTTGTATCTGGGAAACTGCGAGTCATCTGTAACCCTGCAACGGACTATTAGATCCACCGATTATGGTGACCAAAAGCCTCTAAGGTTGAGATGCTCTCCCTGGCCATTCAAATCACTGCGTAGCTCAACGAGGGGGGCCTGTGTTATTAGACGGCGTATATATTGACCACGTAGCATCGAATTGAAAGTAGTCGGAACCATTATAGTCCGGGATTATATTGCTATGGTCGCCGAACGCTGTAGCTGAACCCAAAGGTGGGCGGGTAGATTGGGCGCCACCCTGAATTGGTGAACTTCGCACTGGCCAAACTTCATCCATGGCATTTACAACGTCGAACAATGTCCGAGAACTCATGTGGCTGGGAGAAGGTGTCTCCCATGGCTGCTTCTGCTGCTCCCGTTGATGGTGAGGATGTGTATGAGGACTCCACGACTGAGCAGGTCTAGTGTGTGGCTTGAAGACTGCAGCTTGTTGTAGTTTGGCCAGGATGCCTTCCCCATACGTCCGCGCACTGTGATTGTTGTCTATGCTCAAATCGACCATTAATTCGGCCACACCACTGACGGTTCTCAGATCAATTGGCTGCACGCATTCCACGCCCACCGATATGTCTTTGGCCCGGATGACCCACTCGCAGGCAAAGGCGATCATGGAGAAGGTGGACTCGGGCACAAAGCGAACAGAAGACTTCTTCAGTGGAGACAGTTCAAGAATGAGGTGGCACATGCTCAACGCCCTCCCGACGGACTGAGCGATGACCTCTCCTGCCGAGGCCGCCACGGATTGCTTGGAGGACGAGGTGTGGAAGAGTCTGTTGACATGGACGCTGATGAAGAACCGTGTGAACCGGTACGAAAGCTCAATGGAGCTGTTTCCTGCAACATCTATGGCGAACTGGCCACTGGGATGGCGATCAGCACGAGCCCATTTTCGGTGCCACAGGTGCGAAGCTTCGTCCAAGCACTTGAGTACGGAAAGCATCGACGCAGCATGAGCGTCGTGGGGCATGGAGCACCACCATTCTCCGAGCTCGCAGTCGTTGAGCTTGGCCTGGGACCATATCAGGCTTAATTCTACATTGGCTAGAATTTGACAGATCATCTTGTCGTCGGCGTACAGGTGGAGAAGTTGAGCCGCCCTTCTTATGGTGGCATCTTCTTCAACCGTTGGAGGGGTCCGTGTTAACAAGGATTGGAAGTGCGCCGACCCAAATAGCCAGAGCCAGTAGCAGTATTTGCGGAAAGCAAAGCTTTGGCGAATGTGGTTGCCATCGTGCTTCTGATTCTGCATTCTGGCCACTTCTTCTCCGGATCTGTGCAAGGACCAGCGTCTCGCGAGCGTCTCCATCGACGCCCGCAAGGCATCTCGGCTAAGATCGGATTCGTACTCGCCAATGGCGGTGTCCAGCTCGACGGTTTCCCAGGGGGACCAGGTGGATAGGACTGCAAGTGCCTGCAGGAGCGTCCATTGCTGCTCTTCACTGCGGCCAATCGAGTGATCGAATCGAGTCTTGAGGATGGAAAGGATCTCTGGAACGAGCATGGCCCGTATCGATCGGCAGCCTGGAACGAAGCGCGCTGCAACATATGCCATGCTATATGCGAGCGGCCGTTTGTTCCTCTTTTGCATCTCTCCAAAGTCTCCTACATCCGACTCTGCCACGACTGGTATATGGGCTATGAGATTCAATACGAAGCTGGAAAGCTGTTACATTGGGGACGTGGCGCGGGCAAAAAGATGGTGCAACTCACAATCGGCACAAGTGCGACAGCTCTTCGGCACTTGGTAGTCTTCGCAATGGCTGGGTTGAGACCGCGCTGGGATGCTGCAGTGGCGTGACCGGGACGCTCAAGCTGGACACCGCGACATCGGGGGCAGGAGTTGTTGCAGAGGCTATATACTGCATATGTGTTTGCGGCATTGTCAACGGCGCCTCTGGCATGCTGGGCACCATTGGCTGCATCATGATCGACTGACGCTGATTTGGCTCCCATGGGAGGGAGACTGGAGCATTGTGTCCCGTAGCAACGACCGGTGCGAGACGATAACCAACCGGCTTGGCCTTTCTCTGACTTGCTATACCTTTGATGCTCTCCGTTGAGCTGCAAGGTGAAATCGTTTGCGGAACCAGATTGGCTGACGGTACGACACATTTTCTTCCCACTTTCGAGCACCGCGCGCACGGTGGATTTTGTGCTCCCACGCATTTCATCTGAAAAGCCAAGATAAGTAAGTCGAGGTAGGGACAAGAGAGAGGGCCGCTGCAATCACCTTGAGGCGCCGACATGGCAGACACGCCAACTTGGACACGCGACCGTTCGGGGGGTTTGCAGGTGCCGCCATCTTCCGCAACGTGTTATATGATAGTGCTGCGGCTGCTGCTTTCAAAGCAGTCCGCCCAAATCAGAGCAGTGTATACACCTGCTGCTGCATCCTCAGAATGATACGTGTTCTTGAACGCAGACAGAGTAGGGACGAGATTTCGAATTGAATGGTGCGGCGCCATGTGCGCTGTTACTCCTGGGTACGGCGGCAGTAGCATCACTCTGGTCCAGGATGAATGGCCGAGAAAGCTTTGGAGCAGCTGGCCAGATGTCTGGATGGTTTCGGACCTGCCGCTGGCGCGATAAACACCCGCAAGCCGTAGTGTGATTCACACGCTAGTCAGGGACCATGGAACGCCACAGGATGCCAAAAGCTAGCACGGCTAGACTGCAGTCCATTCCAGGTGAGCTCGTTCTGAGGGTGGCGTAGGCTGCGGGATGCAAAATGTCGAATCCGGCGAATCCAAGACGGATGAAGAAGACCCAGGGAGAGTATCATAAGGATGGAAATTTCGCGGACTACAATTCAAGGGCGTTATCGTTGTCGCGGTGCAGCCAATCAAGCGAGCCAAGCGCATCACCGCAACTGACATATCTAAACTGATGGTCCCGCACAAGAACGGTGACCGCTCCACAGGTATAGTCTTTGCTGTCAAAGGGTTGAGCCAAACGGCGATCAGTTGCATTGACTACAGAACTGGGCCTAAGGGGAAAAAGACAGTCTGATCAGGCCACTACGAGGAGATGGTTTTTGCTTTCTGAATATGCCATGAATATTGACCAAAGAGCTAGCTGAAGCCCTTCGCGAAAAGATCCACCGATACCGGCGATCTTATCCCAACCGGGCCGACCTGAAATCATAATAAGTTCGGGAGTGTCCCAGACGGTCCCCCCTGTCATCGCTTACGTACATACAGTACCTGAGGGATGTTGATTCTTCGGGCTGGCTATGCTGTATGTGGTCTAGTGGTCCGGGCTATTTGTTTCATACAACACACAGGTCCAGGCTATTATTTTCATGGTCTTGGACGGCCAAGATAACGCCTACCCAGCCCTACCGCAGCCAGCCATCAGCCAGCAATAAGACCAACCTAGCGCTGTGAATCGTCAACATTCCCAGAAGCTACTTTTAAGGTTGAAGCTGATCTGCCACTGACGATGATTACGCCGGCACGGACGACGCTCCGGTGTCGTGGCAGGCGTCGAAGACGTGATTCAGCCAGCAGTGGACGTTTTCTCTTTCCACAGCGATCTCCTGATTTGAAGTAAACACAAGAACTGGTCTGTGTCCTTGGCAGGCTGTCCGAGCACACTCGACACACACTTGTATCTGCAGATCCGCGTAAGTAAAAGATGGCTTGCGGGGTTTGGAACCCTTGGACCGAGTTTATCGATACACATGTCTCAAGTTGTGTTCAAGATACCTCGATCCTGGGAGCGACCTTACTCGTAGGTACGTCACGAGGAGGTCCCACTGGTTTTGACTTTGGACATGGGAGCTCGCCTTGTGTCCTGTGGATTCGCCCGCTAACCGGGACCTGTGGATCGAGAATGGCCTTGTTGTAATCGCCGATTTCTGATCGATTGTCGAGACAATCGTCTGCTGAAAGGGGGACCCGTGTGGAGACTTAGGGCAAAGTGGTGGGAGATCAATCAGTGGACATTCTGTCCTTCCACGAGGGACCTGCCCCACAACAGCATTGATGATGTTCGTACCATTGTTATGTATTGGTCCTAGATCCACGTTTATATTCTGCTCCTCATTCGCGTCCTGTACGGCAAGATGGATGTACCGAATGGGACAACTTCGAGCATCTTTCTGAAGCTCAGCAAGATCTAGCGAGCGTCTGCTTTCGTGAGCAAAGTCGCTACGCCAAAGGGCGCCATTCCATACCTATTACTTCCGGCGGTAGGAGGGTAGTGTTGGGTACCCGGTGTCTTGGGTGGGGCTTGGCTTACACAGTTCATTAGAAGTACTCCGTCCTGAGGCACAGCCAAGCCCCCTGGCAGTTCGCCATGTTCTAGAACACCAAGGGTAATAGTGACCCTGCCATAATTAATGCTGGCACGTTCCACCTTTTGCATCGGCCTTTTCTTTAGATATTGGATCTATATCTGACAAAATAAGCGAGTTGATAGGGACGATGATTGAGATCTCTGCACATTGTCACTATAGTCACTATTCTAGTGTATATAGAGATTCTATTGGTCTAGGAACCCCTTTGCCATGATTTCGCAGCATTCTGAATGCCAAAGCAGTCGCTCTTTTGGTTTCCCCCTTTTTTATAGCGGTTATGAGGAAGGCGTTCTGGCCAGCGCCACAAGTCTTAGTATCCGAGATTATGTTAGCGCATGACGTGCTGGGGAATCAGTGCGCGCTAAGTGGGCTCTGAAGCCAACACCAAATAACATAACTGAGTATTCCGGAATGTACGCGAGGCCCCAGCTGAGTGTTCCCAGCAGCGGATTCGCCGTCGCGACACGCGAGTCGCGGGTCGTGGCCATGCAATAGCTTTTCGGGCACCCCTGCTACAAGTTCGAGGCATGGTAGTCATTAGGCTCCAAGCGTGTGGAACTGGGCTGACGACCCCTACCCCTGTCCATTGCTCGAGAACCGAATTGTTGGGTGCCGAAACAAGAGATTTGTGGATTTCATCAGCGAAGCTATCGACATGTGCCGTGCAATTATGAGGGCAAAAATGGATATCTGCCCGATATCTGCCCGATATCTCAGTTCCTCGTCAGCCCTCCATCGCCCAGCACAGTAACACATGACAGCAATGCACGTGACACACTACTCGCCGCTGGCGGTGAATTTGGGGACAGCTCTGCAGTATGCCATATCTCGCAATAGGTCGCTAGCCAGCACGTCGATGACACCCGGCTTGGAGTCTTCAATCCCAAATGTAACAAACAATTCATCATCCATATAGCCATGATACTTCTGACCATGGGTTTTCCAACTCATGCTCGTAATGTAGAACATTTCGGAGTGGCCAGCTGGCAGCTGCCGGCCCTCCCACTGCACGGCCATGGTCGCCTCGGTCAACATTTGGCGTCCCTTGACCCAGAAAGGTTTCTTAGCGATTCCGTGCACCGCAAAAGGAGCTTGTTGTTGGAACAGGACCACATACGGCTCGTAAACACCATGCCACTCATAGAAGGACTTAAAGTGGAATATGTGCATAATAAACGTGTTCTCCGGACCCGGCTTGCACGTAGGATCGGTACGCTTGCACATGGTCACGGACAGCGAGTTCGTTGCCTGACGAATGGCTTCATACTTGGAACCAATCACTGGCATGTATCTGGCTAGACAGGCATCGTCAGATTCCGCAGCCTGGGGGGCGAGGTTCTGGCCCACATGGCCGTTGGAGTCCACAGCAGCAAAGACACGGCGGGGGGACAGACTATGGTGCACATAAAGGTTGTGCTCCAAGTCCCAGAAGACAAAGTAATTCTTTTCAAGCTCCCCAAGTGGTGGCGGTCGCTGGAGTTCTTTGGGCTCAGTGAATCGATGAGATATGGTCGATTCGACGGCATAGTCTTCGAGAAGCAGTCGTAGGTCTTGGATCCAGACACCCAGACAGGTATATTCCGAATGGGCACCGTACAAGATGTAAGGTGCATCTGGCCCGTGTACGACCCTGGCGTCACGAGGCCCCGGTTCGAAGTTGAGATAGGCCAGAGCACCTGTGCAATGAGGCTCGTGGATCGTCAAGGGCACGGGCAATGGCACTTCGGCACAGCTCAGAGCGCTGTTAACAAAGCCCGCGTTGCAAGTCAGCTCCTTGAGAGGCCCATCGCCTTCTTTGAGGCTTGCTCCCGGATGGGCGATAATGATCCATTGGTCGTACTTTATAGGGTGTGGAATAATGGTTGGGTTGTATGCTTCAACGCCGCCAAAATGAATCGGAATGAACTGTCCATTGACCGAGGAAAGCGAGCTGATTTCATTGTACACGGACTGGTAAACAATCGGCTTGCCATCATCGTCGACATCAGGTGTCGGTCCGGGAGGAATGGGCAGGTGTCGGCTATCCTTGCTATCTGCACTCAAAGGTTCGTGATCCCCGTGTTCGGCGAAAGCCTTCTTCTTCCACATGCGACCGAATTGGTTGTTCTCAAGCTTCTGTGCTGACTTGTGACTGCTCAGGAGCCAAACGACAAAAAGAAGCGGACAAAGGAGCAAAAGCAACTTAGGTATTGCTCTAACCAGCATTGTGAAGGGTCGAAAGGAGTCGCGCTAACCCGAAAGTCGGTATCCTTAGGCAGCGGACTGAGGCATACATGGGATGTAAGGGCCAAATTGACAAGACTTTGCAAAAGGTAGAGCAGCCATTCAGCCTGGCGTTTGGACTGATGGACAGGAGACTAGTAACAGCAATACAAAAAGCAGTTTCCTGTGGCCAAGGTTCGATGTAAATAAAAAATTAACTTCCAGGTATAGGAAAGCCCCGACAAGGCCGTTCTAGAGACACTTTATGAGGCGAAATGTGCACGTTGAGGGGCACGAATTCTAGGGCAACATAGGGGAGGCAACCAGTCACAACGGCCCGAGATCGCCATGGCATGGGCGTGCACCCCCCCTCCCCCCCAAAGAGTGCTTAGCCAGCCGCCCACAACAGGGGCCGATGGCCCTTGGGCACTTGGCTGCCCCCAATGTCAGGCACTGCTAGGTTCAGGAGATACGCTTCCCAACGCCTCCAAGTCGGCTAGCTGGTAAATGCGCCATCCTTGCGGAGCCTAGGGGCTTGATTGTCGCTAGGCTGTAAGACCTGGTCTTTAAGCTGCGAAGTCATAACTCCTGCTGCAACGCTACAGCTGTCAGAGTACCTCGGTAGCGGGTAACCGATATTGACAGTAGCAAGATCGACTTGTCAGGATTCTTTCGCCTATCCACTGAAGTCAAGATGTCAGACCCGCGAGGCGTGCGAGACGTTATCTTGACAGCGATTTCTATATGGGTACCGCTGTCAGTGCCTGTACCACTGTCTTTCCTTTATAGTATAATTCAACCCCGAACACTCCAAAGGTTGACTCAAAAACCCAGTAGGGTATTCTACCAACCAAAGACAAAGCGCTTCAATGCCAGAAAAGCCACATCATATATACAAAATAGTCGTAGAACTCTTTCATGAAAACTTTCACAAGAGTTTGCGTAGTTGTTGTATGTGCTGAAGTGATTGCGTTTGACCCATGGATTCGACCGTGGCAGGTATCACGAGCAGCCTCTTTGCGCTGTCGAGTCAGGTTATTTTCGGCGCGACGCTTCTGCTGCTGCACCTGCATTTTGGGCGAAGGAGTCTGCTGCTCTCATCGAAGTGAGGTGTTGAAGGATTCAAGCCGTTTAGTCAGTGTTTTACGTGTACTGGGTGCTTTTTTCAAGCCAGCCCAAGTTTCCCGTCAGACAACGGATCGGCTTGGATGCTTATATTTCGCCATATTTTCACTGTGCAGCGTCCAACTCCTCCATTCGTAGTCCTTCCAGCGTCATGACTTCATCATTTGAGCCTCTGGCGAATTCTCAGTCAATTGGAGTCTCCTCGTCAGATGGCCCGTTTCACTCGTCTTCCTCGCGCTTGAATCATGACCCCCGCGGTTGTCACCCTGGTGTAGCCAACTCATCTCACGCATCTAGCGCAGCAAGAAATGGTTCTTCTTGGGTAGGCTTACGGGCTCCAAGCGGAGCTCTGCCACCAACTTGTTCTGCTCCAGAAAGCCGGCGTTCGTCGGGAGGCAGCTCTACGGCTGCAGCACGGTCGGCAGCACCCACAGGACTCATAACGCCGATCAGACCTTGGTCATCGACCCTGAGCGGGCGCTTCTTATCCTCGATCTTCTTGGCAGCAACCAGCTTGAGTTGGTCTTCCTCTGGTAGGGAGTCGAAGAAGGCGGTGTTGGAATCCCACAACTTGATGCACTCCGCATTCCAATTACACCTCTCCACTTCGTCATAAATTGGATGCTTGAATCTTGGGTGGTTCGTGGGCCATGACGAGGCGTGGAAGTGATGTCGAACCAGGGCGCCCTTACCAGCATGAGTCCCGGAATCTGAGTGACCAGTGCCAGCAGCGAAAGCTTCCGCGGTTAGCACTAGGATACCAGCAACGACCTTGGAGTCCAGTATGCCATGGAACTCGTTCCAGGTAACCTCTCGTCCTGTTTGGACGGACATCTCTGTCAATATCGCCGTCGTAAAGGCGGACGGACCTGTACCGACGAGCACATCATCGAAGTCTAACTTGATATCCGAAATCGGCTTGCCCTGCTGTTTCGAGACTCGGTCTAGCCATTCAATGATATTTTCAATTAGTCTCATCATGACTGACAGCCTTGGTTTGCCCATAAACGTCCACTGGACAAGCGACTGAGCCTTTTGGCCTAAGATAGGATGGTCCTTGAACTCTGGCATGTCGGTCTCAACTCCAACAACTAGGTCGAGCTCCTTCTCGTTGTAGCGGTTCGGAACGAAGAGTTCAATAGGTTTGAGGCATTCTACATCAATGTCGGCATAGAGGCCGCCCTCGACATACATAACAAGATATCGGAGGAGGTCAGCCTTAATAATTTTGGCGTTCAACGTTTGGTAGACATGAACAATGTCAGGTCGATCGAGGCCGGTAGGGCCGAAGTGATGCTTTACGTAGCTTAGACTGTTCTCATCGGTGAGAAGCTCGTATCTATGCATCGGGTTTTTCCTGGTCCACGTACGGACTCTGGCGGCATCCTTGGGGTCGAGACCAGCTGCGTCCGTCTTCCACGTTTGCCAGATCTTCCGGGGAAATTCACCCCCAACAGGGCGGTACGATCTGGTTCCGAATAGCTTATGAAATAACACGAAAACCATAATAATAACCAGCAGAACCGGAATTCTTTGGACGTGTCTTGCACGGGGCTTCGCCAAGGATCGTTCAAACGACTGTGCCGCCATCACTGCTCTGATCTAGAGGCTTGTAGCCAGTGGAGGGCGGCAGGCAACATGCGCTGTTCACTTTCGTGAGTTGTCTAGTTGGTACAAATTGCTTAGGGGTTATTGAAAAGGGTTGGTTAACCTGTTGGGCAGTCAGTAGCCCTGAATTTTTCTTCCTCGTGAATCTCAGGCTGGACAGTATAACTCGTGAACATGAGTCTCGGCGAGTCAGCGGATGGCACTGTGCGTCTTGCGCATCTATGGTCCACCGGAAATGTATCGCGTGAATCCTAGATCCTGGAGATGTACTTTACTGCGTCTGTACTGTGCAGTACATACGGACAGCACCTCGGTGGACAACATAACCGTAATAACCTGTGAGGGGCAGCGCTCTGCCTAGCCAGTGGCCCGAAGCTGATGAAGACATCGACCACATGCTCCGGAGATAGAAGCTACAACGCGATATCAATCCCCGGTATGACCTAGTCTACTTCCCGGTATCCCGGCCAAACCGTGGGCAGGAGGTGCTTTACGGAAGACTGATGCAAGGCTATAGGGGCGCTTGGCTACCAAAAAGTGTGACGTTTGCACAACCTCAGCCAGCCTCGAGAATAGGGTTCCAGACCGTTGGTAATCCATGTCTGTACTCCGTAACTTTATATGCATCAGACTAGTGGTAATTTCCGGACTTGCATTAGTCTGACGCTAATATCGTCTGATGCAAGCGATTAGGCGGCTTCCGGCACGTGGGATACCAGCCGTAGACCTTGTACAGTACATACTTACTCCGATAGGCTCTAAATCCAGAAGACTTTAACCGATTGACCCCTCCAATACTATTCACGGATTAGCCGATCTGCCGGCCGGCCGTACTAGTCTCATTTCAGGAGTCTCGCTAAGTCTATCATAAGTACTGAGCACGTATGTGTCGATCTTCTTTTCACCAGCCGGAATCCAGCTCGCATTGGCAGGCGACTTCTTCGTCATCTCAGCCTTCGCTCCCTGGCAATCCAGGGAAAGCTCGAGATTCCTACTCATTCGCACCGGGATTACCACCAACTCATCAGGGAATTGTGGAACCATCCTTTTCCGGCCTTTGCTGGTGGGTCAGGGATGTCCACAGAGCCACGTATCACAGATTCACAGCATGACGCATTTTGAGGTGTTCTCCTGGTTTTGAGCCTAAGGTTCCACGAACCCTTTGCCAGGTACGAGATGAGCAACATTGGCGATCTGGTGGCTCCAAAGTATAGATACGCACAGCTCGCCATTTCAATACATTGTAGTAATCCGTAAATCTGACCCAGGTAGCTTCACCGCCAGGACGGCTGATTCCTCAATGGCGGCGTCCAAAAGTGCAACGTATAAATTGGAAGGCGGTGGATATTTCGGCTATCTGAACCAGTTTGAGAATGAATAGCTTTGTACATTCAAAACCTCACTTCCAAAACGATCTTGGGCGGGGCTAAAAAACGAACCGGTTTAGAAAGAGCTTCGGCCCGAGGAGGTGGGTAAAGAAACAAATTTGGCGCATACGTTTCGTACGAGTACTGTGTAAGGGGGGAACTAAAGTCATGGCCCCGTCGTGGGCGAAGAAGGCGAGGCAACTTGAGATTGTGCTATTGAAAGGCTCCGCCCCGGTTTTGCAGTGGGGTACGGCGGGCCCATGGGATCCGCCTTCTGATGGAATTGTGTAGACTGAGATCCCACCCAATGCCTTGGCCGACCGCGTACTCAGGATCGCATCATACGTCGATAACCCATGCTACGAGTCAACGGCCTGGGACCGCCATCTGACTGTGGAAATGTGGCCCGCTTTCGAGCAGACTCTCAACTTTTGTCAATTACTGTAGAAAAACACTTTCAGGTGGGGGTACTCCCTAGTCGGTTTTCGCAGTTGTGTACTCGTAATTTAAAGAGGACTTTGAACTGGAGACACCCGATGCCGGTGCCATGATACGCCAATCCTTTGTGGCTGTAGTTAGATTGACTACATCTGTTGCACTGCCTTTGCTATCCGCCTTGTTTTGCCCATTGATACTTGTGGTAGGCCGACGGACCAGGCTAAGCCTGCTTCCCACATTTAGCACCGTAGGGTGAGATATGCATGGGAACATATCCAAGGCCCCCCTGGTATATTCGTTCAATTGAGAACTTCGCTAGTTGATTTGAAGGAAACACTAACCCGACTGAGGCGTGTGATGATTGAAAACAATTCTGCCATGCAAGCCACGGAAAGCTCAGCTCTTGAAGGCTTGCGTGATGGAAGTCAAACCCATTTGTGTTGTGGTGGCTTCTGGAAATGGTTGATTTCTCGCCCTGCCATAAAACTTCTACTCTGTCGCTGTTCCTTCAATCCTACTTCCCGTACCTGACGATCGATTGTCACGCCCACCCACACTCTTTTTCTTCTTCTTTTCGTAGCTTGACGATCGGTTGTCACGACCACACACACTCGTTTTTTCTTTTCGTAGCCACTTGTTGCTGTCGCCATGAAGGGTTTCAGCGTTATCCTGGCTCTTGGCTTGGCCGCCTCTACCGAGGCCGCTCGCCTGCCACTTTGCTCTGTGAGTGGTCCTGTCGGCGACCCAAAATGAACCAAGCTGACCATGCCAAACAGGCTGTGTGCTTGACAGATGCAATTGTCGCTACTGGTTGCAAGGCCAGCTCAACGGAATGTATCTGCAGCTCCGATGTGTTCATGTCCTCGGTGACTGAATGTGTTGAACAACGATGCGGGGACGACAAAGTTTGTGAGTCTTCACGATGTTGTTGGTACTTGTTGTCAATCGTGTACTGACCTCTCAAAGCCACGCTCGAGACTGCCGAACAGTTCTGCTCGGCCACAAACACGCACACGCAGCTGAAGAAGCGCGAATTCTCATCTGATAGTTCGATGAGTGAAGGGGAGGCCTCTGTTGCCAAGCGCTCAGACAACCCTGAGAACCCCGAGCTTGAAGCCAGAGGGTGGAAGGGCTGGTTTGGTTCCAGGTTCTTCAGAGGCAACAGAAATCGCCCTCACTGGGGATGGGCCGCACCTGCCACAACCACCACCGTCACTGCCACCGCTTCTCAGCCAACGGCCGAGCCAAAGCCTGTTGACTGGGCCCCCAACTTCAAGTCCGACACCAAGGAATGGTGGAAGCAACAATCCTCGGAATGGTGGGCCAAAAATGGGTTCGCCTGGTGGAAAGCCAACGGTTGGCACTTCGACGGTCCTAACTGGTACTCGGGTAAGAGTGAGCAGTGGTGGCAAACTAATGGTAATCGATGGTGGCAAGGTCCTCCACGCGGTTACAGGGGGGGCAACTGGCAGGGTGGTCGCCCATGGTGGCCTTCGGCTCCCGCAGCAACCCAAACGGAACCAGTCAAGCCCACTGCAACGCCAACATATACACCACCAGACAACCAAGCCTGGGAGAACTGGCCAGAGAATGACTCTCCTACTGGACCGACAGTCACGCCCACCACTAGTCCCTCATCCCCAGAACATACTCACACAGGCACACATCCAACATGGACTCCCTACACGCCAACAAAGCCAGTTCAGACTGTTGTCCCTACAGGCTTGGGCCCATGGTAAAATTGACGTGATTGGTTGAAGCCAGCAAAACGGGTGCCGGTGTCATGATGGGTACATGGCTTTCTTTCCTTTCTATAGAGATGTCAGGCGGGCGAGTCCTGATTTACTTTTCAACTTGATGGTCAGCATGGCTCGCAATCATCTGAATCTTACGTACATAATACCCTGCTAACTGGGGCGGCGTTGTCATGTCTCCATGGTCATGGATTTTGTGATCATCACCTACAAGGCCTTGACTTTGATTAATCTTTTCCATCTTCTCTCTCTTAGGCTGTCTGATTCGGTTTGCAATAAGTCGGGAGAGGTGCTACCGGCTGAGCAAAGCAATTTGATACCAGAGCCTGTAAGCACCAGTACTGGTCGAAAACCGCAACATAAATGGACTTTACTTCGTTCAAAATGGGCAGCATGTGTAGTTACTTTAACGTTGGCACATTCGAGGTTTCGACTCTAGTCACAGACCAAGTCTGATTAAACTCTGATTGATAAGACAATTGTCTTATCGGACGTATTGATAGAATGACAGCTGTTGGGGAACAACCTATGGAACGTGCTCCAAGAGCTCTATGTCATCATCTCTCTACTATTGACACGCAGTTGATACGAGGGAAATAAATCTCGTAAAAAAGAATTCATAGGGATACGGGGAATCGACAGTGTCTTCGCCACTCACCAATAGATACGAAGATCTGTCCGCATCAGGTCTTCTTAACAGATACTCGTGGATCACCATTTTCTCACTGACGGCGCCAACGGAAAGGAGATATTGTAGATCAGGGTGAATTGCACCCACACATGCCGGCGTCAGGTCCCTAGGCTCTACAAGTGCATGAACAAAAGCTGGCTTTTGTTGAAGTGGGAATTGAATGCTGACAACGATGTCACAGCACGTGCATCTCTCGCAATGCTAATCACGTGATAAAATACCACGTGACTGCAAATTCCCCTTGTAGCCCTTGCTTGAGCATTTAAGGTGCGCAATCTCTGTCTAAATGTTCTATGTCTAACTTTTGTAAACAAGCCTCACAACAGGTGTCCCCCACCGGCATACGCTATCTTGAATAAGTCGGTACCCCTGAAACTGGCTGACCAGGACTTTGAAAAGAAATTCATTGGTCAAAAACCCTGGCTCCGGACCTGCAGGAAGACCCGAACTCCAGCTAATTAAGGTTGGCGAATGCGCCAGAAATCCAAGACCGCCTGTTATGGCGTCCAAGTCCATGACTGGGGGTTCTAGTCCAGTAAATACACGCACAAACCTGCTAAGTGCGGAAAGGGCCCCCCTGTCTGAGACGCCTTACTGCTTTGATCGTCATCGATACAATTACACGGCGTGCGCGATACTGACCCCATGAGATTTGGGCTGGTCCAGGACCCGGAACCTCGAAACACTGAAAACTGGGCCTCTTTCGGCGCCATATGGAAATCCCCATGGAATCTTCCGGTCCTGCTGAAATCTTGCTCGCTTACGAGGATAGTCGCGTTTGTGATAACCAACACAAGGATATTTTTACGAATCGATCGGTGGTAATGTGTGCGCGTGCCTTCAGCCGCCCCTCTCCTCCTCGAGGAGACCCGCTGTGGGTCCCGACTCGTGAGAAAAACATGTTCCTCGTAACATAGTATCGAACTAACCGCTGGACTATGTATCGCAACATCATATAGTCCAGACGGATGGCAAGAGACACGCTTCGTGGCTGGCGGTGACCCCTTTCGACACACATTCAACTCGATATAGTCACACTTTCGGTCAATCCCATCCGATACGTCTAGCGTGGTTCCGGTAATGAGATATTGCTGCTCAGGCCGGCTCGATCAAGCCATGGTTCGTTCACAGATTCAAGGTCAAGAGTGATTTGAACCCCTGGCCTGATCTTCTCTGACTTGAGCTTTGGATTTCTCGAACTCCCTATTCCTCTCCATCACTTGTCTCAGCGTATCATCATTGAGTCCGGTTTTCATCGTCCAGATCTCAAAATGGGAGCGTCCACATATACCGCCAAGGTCAAGCGTGTCTGCTGCATTGGTGCAGGCTACGTGGTAAGTAATATGCACTGAGCAGTACTTTAGTCGGGAGATGAAGAATAGTCGTCTGATTCTGTGTCACAGGGAGGCCCCAGCGGAGCCGTAATTGCCAACAAAAATCCCACCGTACAAATCACCATCGTCGACCTGAATAGCGAGCGAATCCAAGCATGGAACTCGGACACTTTACCCGTGTACGAACCCGGCCTGGCTAGACTTGTCAAGACAGCACGAGATGGTATCCCAGGTGTTCGCAAGCCCAACTTATTCTTCTCCACCCAGGTTGATAAAGCCATCGCGGAAGCCGACCTGGTATTCATAGGAGTAAACACGCCCACCAAAACACGGGGTTTAGGAGCCGGTCGAGCCTCGGATCTGGGATGGCTCGAATCGGCGACTCGACGCATTGCCAAAGCGGCAGAGCGCGACCTGATTGTCGTTGAGAAGAGCACGGTTCCTTGCAGGACTGCTGCAAGTATTCGAGAGATATTAATTGCAAACGGCAAGCCAGGCGTGAACTTTGAGGTCTTGTCCAACCCGGAATTTTTAGCTGAAGGAACGGCCATCAAAAACCTGCTGAATCCCGACCGACTCCTCATCGGATGCCTCCAGACGGACGCCGGATGGGCGGCTGCTAGACAGCTGGCCGAACTCTATGCGACATGGGTTCCTCGCGAACGAATTGTGACCATGAATCTATGGTCTTCGGAACTGGCCAAATTAGCTGCAAATGCCATGCTGGCACAGCGGATCAGCAGCATCAACGCCATCAGCGCCATTTGCGAGGCTACCGGAGCCAATGTCAACGAGGTCTCTTATGCCTGCGGCCTCGACAGCCGCATCGGACCCAAAATGCTACAAGCATCGGTCGGCTTCGGCGGTTCGTGTTTCAAGAAGGACGTCCTTAATCTCGTGTACATTGCTGAGAGCCTGAACCTTCCTGAAGTGGCGGCTTACTGGGAATCGGTCGTCCAAGTCAACGAATATCAGAGAAGCCGCTTCACCAAGCGCATTGTCACCTGCCTGCACAATACGCTCAACGGCAAGAAGATCGCCGTGCTCGGCTTCGCCTATAAGAAAGACACGGGCGACACACGAGAAAGCACAGCTATCACGGTTGTCAACAATCTTCTGGCCGAGAACGCCCAGATCAGCATTTACGACCCCAAGGTCACCGAGTCCCAGATCATGCGCGACCTAGGTGAGAACAACGACCTGGAAGCTCTGAAATCATCTGTCAAGGTTCACACCAACCCATACGACGCCTGCGACGATGCACACGCCGTAGTCATCCTGACGGAATGGGACATGTTCAGCAACAAGACCCCGGCCGTCGTGTCGCTCGAGACCCCCAAGAACAGCGGCCTCGGGCTCCAGCTACAGCTCCCCCCGACCCCTCTCAGTTCCGTGGCCGACGAGGAAAGAAGTCGTTCCGCCAATGACAGCAACAATCACGACAATGGCTCGCAATGTTCTCGTTCCTCGTCGTCTTCTCCTGCCGACTCATCACCGGGTTACTTCGCCCATGCTGCCAGTCCCTCGGCGGGCAAAGCCGACGGCTGCAGCCTTGTGGTTTTGTCCCCCAACGAGGCCAAACAACCCACAAGCCCATTCCTGTGGACTCGCCCATCTTCACCACTCATCGTGGACGACGAGTTACCCAGCCGCTTGGACTGGTCTCGGATCGCAGCCGCCATGCAACGACCCTCATACGTGTTTGACGGCCGGAATATCATCGATGCGTCCAATTTGGAAAAGCTCGGTCTAAGGGTTGAGGCTGTTGGGGTGGCCAGCTCCTGGAAAGTCGAAGCCGCGTCTGTCTGAACGCGGCCGATGCCCGGTGAACAAACACTCGTTGCTTTTCCGACGTGATGCGGACATGGACGTAACTGTTATTCAAATGTATAAAATAGGGGCATAGACAGGATTTATTTAACTTGTCAATCGAGGGCAAATCAAGCTTAAAATCTAGGGGGTGAGCACAGCTCTGGCCCCTCGAATGTGTTTCCTCTCTCTTCTCTTTGGCGAGTGGCGTGGGGGGGGGGGGGGGGACAGATACCAGGAGGATGCAAGACTGTTGGCCATCAAGAAATATCATCCACCTACCTGTCTGTCTCCATACCCATATAGGGACAGGTAGGGGAATGGCAAATACAATTGAAAGTCATTGATGAAACACACTTTACTCCTTGGCATGAAGAACCCTGCTGACATCCATTCATCACCTGCCTTCGACTTTGTCTCCTCCATGCGTTTCTTGCTCAATGCCGCTCGTGCCACCCACCGTGTAATCTGAAGTTGGGAGCACCAGTCGATGGAGCGAGGGTCAACAAGGAAGTCGGTTTTCCACTTGTTTCAGTCACGACATTGTCCTCGTCGATAAGTTCATGGACGCACCAGTCCTTTTCTGCGAATGGTATAACAAATCCAAGCAACCAAACTACCCAAGTGGAGAGAGAACTCAGCAAGGCAACCCAACTGGAGATTCCAGGAACGCGCCGAGCTCCAGGCGCTTGGAGGATGGAAAGGAAGTCGATGCCACTCTATCGTAATACTAAATCCCTGACATCCTTGACCTACGCTACACCCCCTTGCTAGCACGTTGATGACAGACCACGCATTGGCTATATGTACTCAGGAGCCTCTCTAGTCGCGGCACACGTTTTCACTGCAATTTTCCCTCGGTGCTGCATGCTTCAACCTCATCTCGATCAACCACGTAGATATTCAAATCCGAGCTCATATTGGCCATGATGACACATTGTCACCACACTTGGTGTCATCCGGATGGACCAGTGCAGGATCCCGAGGTCACCGCAGATCAGGGACTGAGACGCTGCTTTTTTTGACTATCGAAATATATTAGGTATGGTAATGGATTGACGCCGGTCGGATGGTCGGTGTAGGGTGGGACGATATGACAACACGGATGAATTGATGGATGGAAAAGTATGCATTACGATCCCTTATTGCTGCAATGTAGTACACAAAATCGATCGCTTCTGGATGACAAATCCACAATCTGATCAAAATCTATAATTCCATCATCAATTTTTATCCAGAGCGCTTCGCCGTCTGCGTGTAGGCCCATGCGCCTCCCAAGGCCATGCAAACGCCAACAGTCTCGACTAGACTCAAAATCTTCCCAGTCGACGCCCAGCTTATGCCAATGATGAGAATTGTCTTGACCTGGGAGATGACATTGAAGGTCAAGGTCGAGGTGCGGCCAATGATAAAGAACTGCGACAAATTGAGTAAGCTGGCCACGAAGCCGGAACCAAAAAGGGCGAGGGAGACGCTCGAAGACACAGTGCTAAAATCAGGGACGGTGTCCACCAAGGGCGCAACCAGTAAAAGAAGCACGACAGACACTGGAGCCTGGTTTAGGAGTAGCTGAGGTGGTGAAAGGTTGAGTTCCTCGATTTTCTTGCCGATCCACACTTGGTAGAGGGCCGTGACTGTGAAAGCCGCGATGGCGACAACGGTTCCCGTCGCGTTGGTGTGGAAGCTCTTGGCCGTCACCAGTGCCACGCCGAAGCAGGTTATAACAACGGCAAGGAATGCAGCTGAGGTGATTCTCTTGCGAAAAAGCACGTAGCTCAATGCGACCACGGTTGGTGTGGTCATGATCTTGGCGAGCTGGTAGAAATCGATGTCGTTCAAAGCAAGCGAAAGATTGCCCAGCAACAGGAAGCCCGCAAAGTAGATGCATATCGGGAGAACTTGGCGGATGGGGATACGTACGGCTTCGAACGCACGGAACGGTGGACCAGTCGACGCATACAGCAAGCTAGAGGTGGCGGTGAAATGCCATATCGCTATCGAGATCTGGCATTTGCCCAATTGAGGATCCGAGAAAACACTGTTGGTCAATGTTAGCGATAGCAGGCGGGAGGTCCTTGGTCAGGACAAAACTTGCATCTTGTTTAGAAACACAATAACGACAGTGCTAACCACATTCACCAGCATCCAGATCCCATCGAGATATTGCTGCCAGCGAGACTTGGACGGCGTTATATCGGTACTTTTCGGCTGGTATTCCAGATCCTCGCCCTTCTCGGTGAAAAGCAGAGGGACGTCAGGCTCGCTGTCTTTACCATCATAGGTGAATGAATCTTCAGAGGAAGAGTACGTTGGCGGGCAAGTAACTGTGGAATGCTTCGCTTCTGATGTCAAAGGAAGCTCACCGGATGATCTCGTTGATGGAAACTTCTGGAGAAAACTGCGAGGTTCAAGATGGAACGTCAGCCGACGCGACTCCTCGCCCAGGCCTCGAAGCGCGTAGTCCAAATCGTCGTCGAGGTTAAGGTCGCCCATGGAGCCGGTCATATCAATGACAGTCGTCTCCTGTGGTTGACGGGCGACAACAAGGTGCTGCTACAGATCAACGTCGCTTGTGATGGACAAGAAGTGAAAGATGATCTAGCACACTCCAGGCGTCTGTAGCACAGGCTGACTCCCACCGTGGAAGTGGGTATGGCTGACTCTAGTGCAATGTTGAGCACAAAGAAAGGTGTCGATGATGGTATGTCCGTTCCTGGGCCACTCAAGGCGCCGAAGCTGGAGTTTCAAAGTAATGCTTCCGCGCGGCAGCGGAGGCTCGGCCAGAAAAGAATATGCGTGGTCGAGATCCTGGACGATCTGCCAATTCAGTTAGGCATCTTGAAACATTGAATGAGTGAGCGAGGACGGCCAGCTCGTCTGTCAAGAGTGCCACCAAATGAGGTATGATTGCGCGTGTACACTGTACAGTGATAGCCTCGCAACTCTGCCGTGATCTATAAACGGAGTAGCCGAGAAAGACTCCCCATGGCAAAGGTTTTCCTAGGCTTGAGACACAATTGCTTGTGCGAAGCAGCATCCAGGGTGGAGCTCTCAACGTGCTAGTTTCGTCCAAGCGGCGTCCCTGATCAGCCTTACAAGCACTTGACGATCAACTAGCTTGAGGAACAAACCTTGGGTCTCAATCTCATTTGCATCAACTTTCTTTTCGAGTGAGTCACTGCGTGGTAGGCTGGCTGGACTGACAGGCAGACGAAGCCAAATGTGGTCGGAACAATCAAAAAGGGGCTATACTACAACCGGTTAGTGGTTAGGTCGTCTAGGAACGATTGGGAATCCACCCCCTTATTAATAGTGCAATGCACGACCGGGGAAGTTTATGCAGCTTCGGAAATCGTTCCACGTGGCTTTTAAGCTAGCGAGGCCGAGGCGCCGTAGTTCAATCTGGCCCCTTGTCGCACTCCCTCGCCCTCAACCAAAAGCCCCCCAAAAACGCGCGGACAGCCTTCGGAGCCGGCCAAGCGAAAGACCCCTAGGACTGATTGGCAACCTAAAGCAGTGTTCTACTATCGTTCTTGGAACGGTACTCTTCCACGCAGTGGTCACTCCTTTGAACCTGTTAGGTCTGATTGTGGCGACGGTGGGCAGCGCAATTATAGCTCTGTTATGCTCGAAGCAAGCTTGAGGATGATGAAAGCATTGGCAGTGTGCGATGTATGATATCTTGGCGGGTACTTTTCAAATCGAGGCATTTTCCCCGTCTTGGGACATGTCGGCTCGCCGCAGGTCGTAGAAATCTAGATACATAGACCAATCAGCCACTCGAGAGTTTGACGGTTTTGACAGATTTCGGCAAATATCTATGCCAAGGGCACGATAACTGCAACGTGCGTTTGATATGACCAACCAAGACCACCCGGACGAAAGCGAGGAATTTTGTTTTCGATTTTTAGAGATGCAGACATCCAGTAAATTGTTTTGGCTTTCTCATTCCGTCAATATAATATCTAGTAGATTCGTCAGAGTCTAGTGCCTTTTCCCCAATGTGCCTGCGCCAAAGCTCGAAACAAATAATGAGAAGACCTTCCCAAGATTATATGATACATGATACATGAACTCCGAACATCCAGCACTAGTCCGCCCGCATCGGCGACATGTAAGTACCGTTCAAGCTCGCCACTTCTCTTAGCGATTGACACTTCGGACTGTTTGTCCAAAGGGACCGTTTCAGGGCTGTTCAAAGTCCACTCGGGTCCTGGACTGGTAGAGGGTCAGGCAACCATTCACCATGCCCTGTGCCTGTGAAGGAAGTAATTTCGTCAATGCTCTTGACTCGACCAGTGACATTAGCATAATTGCTCTCAAACTCGGTGTCGCCAATGAGCAGTCGCGGGATGTTCATCCGCGTTGAGAACACCACCCTCTCCGACTCTGGCTCTTCGCGGAATTTTGCGCCGGGATTGCCTCTGGTTGCAAGGTCGCCGGCGCGTCCTTTGCCGCTGCCATCCACAATATCACTGCCGCGACTAGAATTGCCGGCAGGTTTCGAGATGCCAACGTATGCTGGGAAGGGTGCAAGGCAAGTTATGTTGTATGTCCCGTGAGCGCACATTTCAGCGACACCAAGGTCGACGGCCAGTCCGTACGGAAGCATACTCAATTTGTGGAGAATCTTTTCGGCCCCTCGAAGGGACACTGCCCAACCTGCGAAGCAGAATCCGTAACCGGCCTTGTAGATGATGCGTGTTTGCGTATCGAAATCGGGGGCGCCTTCCCAATACCCAAGATCATAGGGTTGTAACATTGCGTCTCGTTTACTTGGTGGTGGGACTGTGAGATCCTTCCTGATGACCCAGCGACGAGTGTCGGAATGGTGCGAGTGGGCCGAACAGTGTCCGATCCACAGAATATCCCAGCCGTCGCCGTAGGGCGAGTACGACGGTCCCGTGTGGTTCATGAGCCAGCGCGTTCCACGAGCAAACTCGGTCATTTGGGCCTTGAGACTGACGTCCCAGTCTGCATCGTCCTCCAAAATCAAGGCTGAGCTGATGCGATTCTCCACCACCTTCTGCAACACGTTCAAATGGGCCCTCCATGCGCCGACTTCTGCAGGAAGCAGCTTCTCCATTCCATAGGGCTTTGCTTTCTCTGATATCGTATCACCACGTACCCCAGGAGAAAGTTTAAATGTTATGTTGGTGAGCGACGCTTGCACTGCAATGGCATCTCTCTTGTCGGTTCGCTCGGGTAGGTTGACCACAAACACTTCTTGAAAACCGAGGGTCGAGTTGGAGATGTCGTTCGAGTTGCCTAATGGCCCCTTGGCTTCTGCGACGCGATTTGTCGAATCGCCCGCAGGAATATTACTCTGCATCTCTACTTGTGCGGCGCTAGAGAAGGAGCCTGTCGTGTTGACGATGACCAGATGCAGGAATATCCCTGCCGCTAGTAGAGCAGAAATAACCATGAGGTACTGCTTCATGATGAATTCCTATCGACCGAAACGTTTGATACGGTCGCATATGTTCTCGATATTGTGCTCGAGGAAGATGAGGTAGGCCAGTAGGGTTTATAGACTAGGTTTCTGAGGGAGGCCTCTCTAGCAAGGGTGTGTAGGTAGAGCTGCTCAACCTTACTGCTCGAGCATCGATAGACGACGAGTAGGTCGTAATGAGGACATCAACTGAAAGCACGTCGAGAAGTTACAGCCTGGCGAAGTCGCAGGAGGTTCCCAAAATCCAGTTTTTGTCGGATTCAGCACAATGGAGAAGTATCGAGCGTCACTCTGGGCCCACATTCACACGCTGGTCCTACCCTTGAATCATGACTTGCCACAAGAGATACACAGTAGCCGCTCTTTCAGACGTTTGTCCAGCCGGACTGTTGGGCTATGTGGACCCAGGCTAGACCGCACTTGATCAGGGGTTGTGTGACAATCACGGTGCCGAGGTTCTGGCGAGTCCCTTGAGTCTCGACGCCGTATCGTCGAAAGCGTTGTCTCGCGAGTTTTACAGGGTGGCGCAGAAGCTCTCGCCCGCCGTGGGCAGCGTAATAGCAAGCTCGACCTGAACTTTAGATCTCGTATCCCTTCCTTTTCACAAGGCGTGCCGCGGAAGAAGTGATAAGGGATATGTCACGTGGGAGGTGATATCTAGCTTTGCATTGTGTTCTCTGCAAAACAAGAACAGTTCAATAATGCCGCCAAAGGGATTAAGCTAGGGAGACTACAGTCGGCGTCCACGCAAGCCAAGTCTTTCTGGGCTCGTGGAGGCTGTAAGATGCGCTCCTTGCTCAAGGTTTCGGCCCTCGTAATCATGACGCGACAACAGATAGATCATGCATGACCGGCCCGGAGCGAAGCCCCTGGAACGTGTATCGATAGAGTTCTCGGCACACGCGATTCAGCTGCCTTCCATGCAATTTACTAATCTACATCTGCGGGAAACCTAATTAGGAGCGCAATGTTAGTGATTTCCTAGTTTTGGCGCGTTTCTACACATGTGCTGGCGTTTCCGGAAAACACTCACCGGCCCAGATCAGCTCATGATGTTGCGACAGGGGCACGGGTACGTACAGTAGTACGGAAACCGCAGCCGTGGATAATGCATAACTGTGCTTGCTCAGTTCCAGAGATAGAATCACTCAAGCTCATTAATTTGTGTCTTAAGCTAGGCTTTACTAACTCTGGAAGAAAACCTGAGGATTCTCAAAATGTAAAACCTCTAAAGGCGTCATCGTGCTATTTGTCCTATACCCTTGCAAATTATAATGACCCGATTAATTACTACGTATATCATTAGCTGTTGTATAAATAAACTCCCGAATCTAGATAGATTGGGCTCCCCTCCCCTCCATAAGGCTGGCTGAGGAGTGTCTGGCCTCATGTTTTTATCTGTCTTGTCATGAATTTGTCTTTCGAGCTTGAGCATGACCGATAGATGATAAAACCAATGTTCATCACTTTCCTGTCCTGTGCCGTAGATTTATGGCTGATGCGCCTGTTGCTGAATTGGAAGTTTCCACCTCAGGGGTAGACCCTACAGTTCGGAGCTTGTCAGTGGCTTTGGCTGAAGGTGGATCTGCTTGACCAGCCAAGCCGTAGTTCTCCACTTCCCGGAAACTTTTCTTAGGCATCCTCCTCTCACACGTTTTGTACCAAGGTATAGACGGTACGAGCTGTCAATGGTAAGTTTCGTGCTGTATGTACTATTGGTTCTTTCTAGTTACCCTTTCAACAAAGTCCTGCGTCGCTAGCAACACTCTCAGGCTTGACCCTGACTAAACTCTCTCTCCCACAATCCCTTTGCTCTGTGGTATGGGATCTGGTCTCTCTTTCCCCTGCACCACGATTATTGCTCTAAATTATTCGACGCTGCTGGGAGAACATGTTGCCCGTCATGAAGTGGGCAAAGGGCCTCTTCCACGACCGACAAGATGTCGTTGAGTACAGGAGTGTACCTGGAGTGGATCATGGCGACGAGTTTGATGGCGATCAAGCAACGCTCTCGAGACCTAGTAATTCGCCGTCCTGGCAATCATGGCGATGCCTTGTCCGTCTATCTGTGACTGCTCGAGTCTCCATCTTCCTATCTTTTGTGCTGGTGGCCAGCTTGCTATATGTAACGCCTGCTCATCGGGTGGCGCTGTCAACTTCTGATTCCACTTCTTCGTCCAGCTTCTTTCACCTTCTCATCCCAGCAACTTCAAGCGGGGCCGGATTGTGCAAGAACATTTTCAGCGCTGCAGCTCTTGACTACCCTACACCCAGACTCATCAACTGGAAAATGCATTACTCGGGCGGAGACCGCTTTGGCGGACTGCATATTGCCAAAATCACGGGGACACTGGACTATCTGAAGTCCCTAGGCCCTGAATCAGATCAAGAATTGGTCTTGATGGTCGATGGATTTGATATGTGGTTCCAACTACCTCCTATCGTACTTCTCGACCGCTACCAGCGCATAATCAATAGACACAATGACCGTATACGCCGCCGTCTGGGCCGAGCCATGGACAGAGAAGGCGTCAAACAGACAATCATCATGGCTGCCCAGAACATGTGTTGGCCGCAAGACAACTCGGAGCCCATCTGCTATGTTGTCCCTGATTCAGAACTGGCCCACGACGTCTATGGCAACGTGACTGACACGGATTCTCGCCACGCACGTGCGCGTTGGCTGAATTCAGGCTTTATGATGGGCCCTGTGGCCGATGTATACAAGCTTCTGAAGGCAGTGCACAATGTTGCTCTTCAGAATCCCAGCCGAGGGTCCGATCAGGCATCCTTTAACGACGTCTTTGGCCAACAAGAGTACTACCGAGAACTTGTGAGAGAGCGACATCTCGCGACACTGCAGCGTTTGATAGCACGTGTGAACAGGGTGTTTGGTCTCGAGGACGAACGCAGCAAAATGGTCCTCAGCGCCAACTCAACCCTCTTCCCTACCAGCGACACAGCAAATTCAGACGACTACGAGTTTCATCTCGGTCCGGACTATCTAGGAGAGCTCACCATGACTATCGATGGCAGACCTGAGGATCTAGCTTGGCATTCTCACTCCAAGCCCGAAGATGCAGCCAGATGGTCAATAGAAAAGGGCATTCCACCTCCAGTACGTGTCACCAACCTACCAGATGACATCGCACGTGCCGTACCTCCTTTTTCCATCCCGAAGGCCTGGAAGAGTGCCAAACACAATAACAGTACCCAGACCGATGACGATAACGATGATGAACGCACTCGTGAAGAAGCCACCCTCGCACAGCGGTCCTGGTCCAGTGTTCCGCTTTATACTCATCTCTATACCGGTGTTGTTCCGTCCACGATCCACTTCAACCTCCCCAAACACAATATGAATACCGACTGGGACAAGATGTGGATGTTCCCACGGCTCCGAGAGCAACTCAGCGCGCGGGTGCTTGCGCCTCGAGCCCCTGTTGCCGTGATGCCAGAACAAAAGGGTATCCGCCGGCAGCGGTGGTGGAGCTCCATTGACAGCAAGGGTGGCATGATGGCTGAGAACGCCTCAACTCCTCTATGGCTGAGCTGGGAGACTCTATGCAATTCAGACGAGATCGAAAACGAGGTTTTCCGCGATAAGAAGGGTCCGTGGGTCGATCCGCGGTCCGCAAAGCCTTGAAGCACCAACTGCAGCTGCGGTGTTATTTTTTTTTTAACGGATTTTCACAGCTGACAAACTTATGGTCCACACTGGAAGCTTTCTGGAGTTATGGGTGCTGTTTTGCTGGTCAAACCAGGAGCGTTCGGCCCTTTTCCTGTTTTCGGGTCATGGCGACCCAAAGTGTAATCCAACCACGTTTGAAGGCATGTTAGCAAGCCATTTCATATCACGTTGTCGTAATTGAGAGATATCAAAGGGACGTCATCAAAACAATCCCAAGCATAGGAAATTTGAAACTCCATCAAAAACGGGGATTGAATTCCAATCAAAGCGTGCTATCTGGCACTCGTTGTTCAGACCAAAACGCACATTGAAAAAGTAAAGCCAGTATCGTATCAGCCAACTTAAAAATAGGTTCGCGCTTGAGGAAACTGCTTATTGCAAAGAAATCACATATGCAAAATATTCTCATTCTGATACTAGAACCAATGTGCTCCGAGAGCTGTTAGTGAGTGGTATAAGTCTACCCTGAAGCCGCTTCCAATCCGAAATGCATCAACGCCCGCTGCCTAGCCGTTTCCATCATGACTACCGCTTCTCCAAGACACTGCTATTGTCCAACAAAACGTTGTACAAGTACTGTGCAGCCTTGGTACTTGGCTCGTCGAATAGCCTAGTGCAAATTTCTGCGATCCAGAAAGTCATAGGCACCAGGGCCAAATGTGGAATGAGAAAATTCACTTCTAACCCAAACGGGCCGTAATTGGGCAGAGTGAAGCGGTTTATCCATGCAGGTGCCATGTCCATGTGGGCCCCGCGTACCCGGCCTACTGCGGCGTAGAGTCGATCACCAATTGCCCAGTGGATGGGTCCATGAACTAGGTAGAAGGCATATGAGATTCGGCCTAGGTACTGGCAGAATGATAGCTCGAGGAATCCTTTAAGAGAGGGCAGTCGGGGTATGGCAGCCATGATGAAAGTCGCACCAACCACGCGGTAGAAGTTGCGGAAATCAAAGACGGCTTGCGGCTTGAGAAATGAGAGATAGTACCATCCGGGAGACTCCTTTAAGTGCTCAATGTCGCTGCTGGAGCAGGGAACTCCGCTCAAGTAGACGCCGGCTAGGAACAGAATCAGAAAAATCCGGCCTCGCCACCGTTCGAGCCGATAAAACAACGAGGGTAGATTGTTCCTTTGAGCGAGCAGATCTAGGTCGCAGAGAAGCAATCCTATGGCAAAGGCAGCACAATACCATCCATCCACGATGTAGAGGAAGTAGAAGGCCAGACCTGCCTCGCAACACAGGCGGGCATTTCTCGAGAAGCGCCCAAAGGCGAGTAGGGCGGTCCAGATGACGATGGAACCACGAAACTCCTTCGGAATGGTCCATAACGGGCTGTTGTATCCGTTCCACGGCTCATTCTCGAAGATGAAACTAAAATTCTTAAAGTCGCAGTACCACTTCCAGATCTCGTCCCTGAAGTTGGATTCGGGTGGGTCACTGAGGTTGTCGGTGTGCCGAAGGCCGAAAACATGCCACAGTGTGATCCAGATGAAGGTGGTCGCAAGGATGGGTAGATAGAGTCGCAACCATCGCCGGAACATAGCAGATCCCAGGTTTTCGGCCATCTGGAGTAGGTCCCCTGCGTGGATAAACGATAGTGATTTGTGAGACAGGACGTAGCCCGAAGTCACGAAAAATATGGGGACGGCTGCGTGCCCACCTGTAAAGAGAAGACGAATTCCAGGAAACCCGACGCAATAGTACTGCCCGTTCCAGCCAAAGGCATCTCCCAAGATTGACTCGCTGCCTTCGACATTCGAGTGACCCCAGCCTTGATGGTGCAATATGTAGACTAGCAAGGCCGCAAAACCTCTGAGGCCATCGAGATACGCCGTGCTTTTCAATGATGTCTGCCTTGTTGGCCTGCGAGATCCGGGCCAGACTGAATGTCGTAGGAAATCGGTGAACGCAACGATTGTCTTTGCGAGCTTTGTGGTCACTCGATTTTCTAGCAGAGGGACCTCGGCGAGGCCCTTTTCTGCGAGTTCGCCATCGAGCGAGGAGCGAGACATTGGAGGTCAGAAGAACCTTGGTGGATTAATCTTGTTGCTGTCTTCAGATCAATGCAGGAAATTGGGCCTCGGGAATGTGATGGTTTGCCTGACAGATTTGGATCCCTCTGTGACGGGGTAAAAAGTTCGACTATTTTTCAATAACCATTCCCACTCAGCAGAGCCAGAAGATGAAATGGATGACTTAGACGTTCTTCTTTCCCTCAGTGAGATGCGAAAACAATGATGGCACGGGCACCAGCTTGTGTACGAGTACTGATACACAAACATAGTACAGAAGTTAGTGTCCATTAATTACCCTTAGCTCGCAGATCTCTGGTCTAGGCAAACAATCGAGGCCAAGCTGAGGTTCCAGGAGTGTCCGCCGAACAAGCCCACTTCTTTTCTCAGGGGAGGGCACTTCATGCACGCTAAACGACACGGTGTGGCCTATCTTGTCGCCCGGGCCGGAGTGGGTCCAACTATCAGAAGTTAGCCTCACAGCCTCTTATCAAGCAACGCACGCGACCGGGAAATAAAAGAAGCACCTTGCAGATGCTTAGAGTTCTGGCCCATCTTTGAGACAGAGCCAATTTTACGGAGCGTCCAATAGTTTGGAGAAACTGGAGCCCAATAATTCTTCTGTTTGGTCAAAGAATTTCCTCCCACCAGACGAGGGGAACCTCTTGCACCGAAGACAAGACAGACAGACTAAGGTATGCCGGGCCAAGCTAGGCAAGGGTTCCCTACCATGGGAAAGAAAACGGAGCTGAGAAATATCCATCACATCGCCCGGTCCACGATTGTTGACGCAGGCACTTCGATGGACCTGCAGAGTCTGACACTGAAGTAGTCGACGTTCACAGCTTCACCACCTGCCATTCCCTATTCTTCAGCTGTCAGTTTTTATGGTTATTTTGACGTCGCCATAACCATTGGTGGCACCACACCAGCAGAATGTCGGGCTTTGCTGCTAAGAAGCTGGTCGTGTTCGTCTGCCCGCTAATCGTCTTCGTGTGCATCATCTTAATTTTCGGTATCAACGATGGAAAAGTCGTTTATCAACCTGCTAGCCAACCAGACCTAGTCGCCAGAGTGCAGGACGTTCTAGTCGTCAACAACGAAGACCCAAACGTCGACAATATCCCAGAAGTGGAAGAAGTCGTTGAGGAGGACGGCCTTGCGCAACTAATTTCGAATCTGCAAATCGGTGACGACCAAGTTAAGAAGACCGCCGACAGCGCTGCCAGTGACATTGGTGATTTCGCCAGTGCAGAGTTCTCCAATGGCGATGGCGATGGCGATGGCCATGAGAACGGCACCGGCGACATTACCGATGTGGCCCCTATAACGACCGAACTCGACCATCGCGAAATTTTCTCTCTTTCCACCAAAAACCGCAAATACTTCCCTCTGAAATTTGGTAACCATATCGTATACAATCCCAACATCTTGCCACATCCCACCAAGCACGACACATGGATCATTGCCGGCCAGCACGAAGGAAGCTGCGAAAAGCATGTGGATCTGGAGGAGATGGTCTGCGATGCTATTTTCTGGGAGGATGTGTTGAGCTGCATCACCCCTCCTACGCTATTGCCCGTGGAGCCTTCGATACAAGGAACTTGCGAAGGGGATCTCGCCGTCTTGAATCTTCAGTATGGACCTCGTGATGCCCGGGTTTTCTATGGCCCGTCGGCGCCGTATATATTGTACGGGTCGCAATCGATCTTTACCTGCATTAGCATTTGGCTCCAGGATGTCCGTATGTTACTCGAGGACTTTCGTCTAGAGCAGCTTGCCTTGTCCAAAATCTTCGAGAGAGCAACCGAGGTCGAACGACCTATGCCATACAAAGAAATGGAGAAGAACTTCTTCCTCTTCTGGGACAGCCAAGAACAGATGTACGCTCATTACGACATCTTTCCAAATCGCGTTTTTGCTCAGCTCTCAGCCAATGGGTCGATCGGGCCAGACCTGGCTACTGCTGCCGAATTCAGCGACAAAATGTGCATGGCAAAGTATCTGCCGACCGTGGGCCCAGATCGCGAGTCGCTCCATCAAGCCACCAATTCTCTCTCGATCACGCTCTGCAAGCGTGTGGACTCTTCATGTGTCCCTAACGACTCTAACACCTTCATCATAACCATCTTCCACAAAAAGGTATCCAAGGACTACCATCCGGTCTACGAGCCCTATGTCATGCTTCTCCAACGTGATGCCCCTTTCGCTATCCACGCCATCTCTCAGCGGCCGCTGTGGATTTCTGGCCGCGGACCATTCACCAATGAGTCAGGCTCAATCCTCTGGAAGGATCAAGAGCCTCCTAAAGGACACACCGAGATGTTTTACATGACGAGCATGAGCTGGAAGAGCCATGTGCAAAAGTATCATGGCCATATTGATGATGATCTGTTTTTGGCATTCGGCATTGAAGACTCAAAAGCTGGTGCCGTCGACCTCAAGGCTGGCGATTTGCTACAAGATCTGGCGTACTGCGCAAACTAGGCTGACGAGTTCTCACTATCTCACGAGAAAATTGGATTCTCTAATATACGCCGATCGAGAAGCTCAATGGACGCCGTTGCACTTTTGAGTGATGCAGCGGCAAGTCTGATCAGCATACGAACATGGAGGCGCCACATTTCGTCAGAGAAACATTTAGCGAGGGAATTATTCAAAAAAGTTAAAAGAACTTGGAGCTTGTGAGGATAATTTGCCAGAGGGCCTACACCAGGCTGGCACTGAAGTCAAGCTCCGGTCGAAGCTTCTTGCTTGCAGTGCTTGAGAGTTCTTCAGAGCTCACTTGTACATAATAGGCCGTCAAAGACGGCGCGATTGCAGGACGACGGATGGAATCCAGGCGATGACATCTCGCCCAGTAAGGTACACTGTGTGGCACACTTATAGTGCCGGTCCTGGTGTTCCTTACGTATGCCCTGGGGAACCATCACGAGAATTCGGCCTGGCCCCGTGAGATGTCAGCGTGTCAGCGTCCTCTGGGGTCTTCTCTCGCGGAGATGGGAAAGCGTGATATGTAAAATGAGTTTCAAGCGGTGGGGCTTTGAGGATGGTTTTGGCATTGGCCATCAAGTAGTTTGTGCTAAACAGGTGACGCTGGCCATACATTTTTGGGTTTGAGCGGAGATTCTATAGAACAGTGCCCCTAGATTTATACTTGTCGGCGACTATCTGTACCTGACATTTCCAGTTTAGCTGTACAAGACTTCCAAATCAATGCAATCTTCTGAGACCAGCAAAGAAGATCAAACCCATCGACTCCTGCTCGTCGCTGACGCATCCTCGAAGCATCCTGTCGTCCCCTGGCTCGCTTTATCTCGAAATCACGTGAGCGATCACATACGTGGCATTCCAAAAGGTATCTTGTTTTCCTCACCCATTGAAGACATGTGATCATGAAGCTACCCCCGATGTATAGGTGTGACGACATCTATCCCAGAAGAGTGACGTATCGATTTTGTTGGAGGCTGATCTTGCTTTCAGTTCGCACCGAATTTGGATGCTGCTTGCGCCTATTAAAAACAAAAATCAATTAGGGCTGTACAACCGGACTCCACAGCGTTTATTATGCCAATGATGAGCGAGAAGATGAGAAAACGCGACGTACGGAGCCTTATATAGCCCACTCCATCGTTCCCCGGCCAGCGGAGTCTATGGTGGAAAATTGGAAGCAAAGCCTGGCCTGATCGCGAGCTGAACCGAGTCAATTGCAGGTACTTGATGTATACTGTGTAGCCGGGGGGGGGGGGGGGGGGTGTACTATGGCATAGTAGACTGTATAGGCTGGTAATACTGGGCCTTGCAAACCTTGGCAAGGGAGATCAGGATCAGTCTCTCCGATAACCTTGGGCCCAGATGTGACGGTACAGGGCACCCTGAACACGACCTTGTTACGCGAGATAGTAGATAAGGTAGTGTGTATTACCTTTGTGCACATGCAAGAGGGCGAGTCGAGTCCGCAATATTCAGGGGTGGTCTCGAACATCGCCCCAGGCACCAAAACCAACGGTTTCCTTTCCATTCAGGGGTTAAAGTTTCAAACGAATAATCGAACAGTTGGAAAACCCTGGTCAGTCAGGCAGCCAAATAAAATGGGTGGAAGCACTGTGGCTGAAGACCCCTGCCGCTGAGCGGATCCCTCCGGTTTGCATCCATCACTAAAGCGCGCCGGGTTTTTTCAAAAGGTGTATTCCACAGGGTCCACATCTTCATTTTGGATGATTTTAGGCAAGTCACACATGGAGACCGAGCGCTCAGCATTCATGTGCCTCGAATTGTCTCTCTAATCGGGTTGTACTGGCATAATTATTTTCCCTTTTCCTTCCCAAATCCCTGACCCGCCACGACTGTAATCACGAGTTGTGTTGGTTGGAAATCGAGCAACCCGATTTTTCTGCATGGTGCATTCTCGCATGCCATTTCGCTTGTTGCTCCTTGGGCGACGACGCCATTCTTCGGCAGCGGCAAGTCATGACAACTGGCGAGCCGCGAAAGATTCGTCCGTCTTGGAGAAGATATTCATTGCCACTTCAGACATGTCCCTAAGAGACGACTTAATGAAGTCCAGACGGCCTCGGGGGAACCGCTTCGGCAGGCAAACTCGCAAGATACTACTCTTGCTCGTGGGATGTGTAGCGGCGTTTTTGTTCCTGCGCAAAGTCGTTGAGTCCTCCTCGCCAGCCTCATTCCTACAGATAGCGCCATTATCACGATACCCCGTCGGCGGAACATTCCCCAAGAAGATCTGGCAGTCATGGAAAGTCGATCCAACGCGGTTTGAGGACAGAGATGCTGAGCGGGCAAGGACATGGACGGTCAAGAACCCAGCCTACCGGTATGAGGTCCTCACAGACGACAACGCCATGTCCTGGGTGGAAGAACACTATGGTCCAACCGGCTTGAACAGACCAGACATTGTCAGCACGTTCATGGCCCTCGAGAATATCAGAATCATCCAATCCGACCTGCTACGCTATCTGATCATGTACGCCGTAGGAGGAGTCTATGCAGATATCGACGTTGAAGCACTCAGGTCTATCGACCATTTCATCCCCAAACGGGTCGACCAACTCGAAATCGATATGCTCATCGGGGTCGAGACGGATGAGCCCCGTCTCAAAGACCATCCTATCCTAGGGTCTAAGTCGCAGTCCTTCTGCCAGTGGACATTCATGTGCAAGGCTCGAGTTCCTGTTATGATGAAATTGATCGATCATATCCTCGACTGGATTAATGACCTCGCCCGGAAACAAAATAAGCCTATCTCCGAGGTCAAGCTCGACTTTGACGAAGTCCTAAGTGGCACGGGCCCTTCTGCATTCACCAACGCCATCCTGGAATACATGTCTGAGCTGACACGGACAAAAATCACCTGGGATAATTTCCACAACCTGGAAGAGTCCACAGTTGTGGGGCGAGTTTTGGTCCTCCCAGCGGAGGCCATGGCCGCTGGGACTGGACACTCGGATTCAGGAAACCACGGCGGCAGAGCGGCGCTTGTCAAACATCATTTCCATGCCTCCTCGTGGACGGATGCTCATCCTCGTTACAAGCACCCGATCTACGGCGAGGTCGAGAACTGCAATTGGAACGTTGACTGCGTGACGCTTTGGGACACGAACACGGCTTTTTTCTCTTCTCTTCCCGAGGAGGTGCAATTGAAGATGATTGAAATCAAAAAACTTGACGACGCTCAAAGGCCCAAGGATCCGGCAGTCCAGGCAGCCAAAGCGGTGCCAGCGCCGAACATCGGCCCTCCAGCTGGACAACCTCCCACAGAGCCCATTGCATTGCAAGACCTTGCACCAGGTGACAAAGATCAGCTTGCCGCAGAATTGTCAGAGACTGATTCGAGAACTTTTGAAAAGTTGGGCCAAGGCAAGGCAGGCCATGAAAAGCCAGCCCAAGGCAAATCGAGCCACGGCAAAGCAGACCAGGAGAATTCGAATCAGGACAAGCCAGCCCAGGGCAAACAGGATCAGGGCAAGAACGGCCTAAGGAGCTAGAAAGAGTTAAATGTGCGGCCACATGAAAGGTATCACGATAACAACTTGTCTCACATGGATCGGGAGGAACGAGACTGGAGTTTCGCAGTGGTCAAAATTTGTCAAATGGCGGGATAGATTACAAGGACAGTAATAACGAGAGGCTTGGTAGGTAAATAGACGGCGTTTAGTCCCAGCAGGGATGGAGATTACAGCTTGTAGGTTCACAAGCCAGGCTCTAAGGCGCTTGTTGACTTTTGATTCTTATCAGATAGGGTCTGGACGGAAGCATTTCTTATAAATACGACTGCGACGACAGTCACTGACCGGACAAATCAAGTCACAGTTCCTGTTCAAATTTTGAAATCAAACTTCCAGTAAAGCGCGTAGTTTGTGTTCTCGCACGCCATGGCCGCTGATGACGCTCGAATGGACCAGGACAGCGCATTTAAACCTCGGCCTCTGTGCACTCCACACGTTGCTAATGCCCCCCCCAGCAAAGACGGATAAGCCTGTTGTTACAACGGACCGGGTTCGCAGTGGCAGCGCTGATCCAGCAAGAGGCGGGAACCATAAGACGCTGAAGGCTACAGGGAGGGAAGGTGCAAAGGAAGCGACATGAAATTGGACATTATTTGGTGTCCCTTATCATGTATATTCACCCCCTGCACACGTACACACCCACGTAGGTAGGTACGTAATGTCTAATCTTCTTCACAATACGCCAAGTCTTGCAATAAATCGCCGGCCGAGACGTCAATAGTGCCGGATTTTGTATCTTCTATTCCAAACGACACAAACATAGGATCGTCAATATATCCGTTATATTTCTGTTTGGACGATTTCCAACTGATGCTGGTGATATAGAACATTTCCGTATGATTTTTGGGCATTGAGGGTGGGTGCTCGTCGTAATAGGCTGCGTGTGTCTTGTTCGTGAGCATATCCCGGCCATGAATCCATAGAGGCTTTTTGGAGATTGCATGGACTGCGAATGGCGCAGTCTGTTGAAATAACATGACGTAAGAGTAGTAAAGAGCATGGTAGCTATGATACGTTTTGTGCTGGAAAATATTCATGATAAAAGTATTCTCGTCGCTCGGGTGGCAGTCCTGGTCGTGGCGCCGGCATAGGGTCAGGGCCAGCGAGTTGGTGGCTTGATGAATACCTTCTAGCTCGGGGCCTGGCCGGGGCATGTGTTTAGCCATGCAGATACTATCTTTCGACGCGCTCTCCGGAGAGAGATCAGCATGGACGGACCCGTTAGTAGATAGCTGAGCGAACGTTCGGTTAGGATATATGTCGTGATGCACGTACATGGCTCCTTGACTGTCCCAGAAAAGAAAGAAGTTCTTTTCGTAGCCGAGCTTATGCGGGGTTGGTCGTTCGATTTCCGTGGCCTCGGGAAACGCAGATGCCTCATCAGAGTCGGCCTGGTTCAGGGCGGGGATCAACTTGCCTGCGTGCTGAATCCACAGCCCCAACCAGGTGTAGTGAGATTGAGAGCCGTACATAACATAAGCATGCTTAGGACCATAGAACATGCGAGCATCTCGAGGCCCGAACACCATTTTGAGCAATGGCGGTGATTCACCATCTATACAATTGACGCAGGGTATCGAGGGGGCCGTTCGCAAGGCCGTAGCAGGCTCAGTACAAGCAAGAACGCCGTGGAGGAATTCGGCAATGCAATTCACCTCCCTCAGTTGTACTGTCCCGTTGACAGTGGCTTGTGCGAGTGCTTGAGCGATGATAACCCACTGATCAGGTCGTGTAGGGTGAGGCAGGACGTTGACATTGTACGCCGACTCGTTGCCGAAAGAGACCGGGTAAAAGGTCCCATTGCTGGTGGAGAGAGAATATATCTGGCGAAAGCCGTTGCCGGGGTCAAAAACGGCGTCATCGTCGTGATGCTTGGCAACTGTTGCATTGACAACACTCTCAGCCGGTCGGTCATCTTGGTGGTCTGCTGTTGGTGTGGCAGGGCTGCTGCTCGATGTAGTGTCGCTGGCTAGCGCAACAGTGGGCGACGGTCTCTGCGCGATGCTATCATCAGGAATCACTTGTTCCACGGAGACTCTTGGTGACTGAGTGGGATCAAATTCCATGTTCATTCGAATCAGGAATAACGAGATAATACAGGTAGCGACAAGCAACGCCGATGCTGCGACCGCTCCCGGCTTCCTTAGCAGGGTCGATATCCCAGTCATGGTGAACGCACCCCTTTACTTGGGAGACACAGCTGACTGATGTTCCAGCTTTCAGTAAGAGCCTCATAAGAAAAACGTGATGAATCCTGGGTGCAGCATCCGTCGTAGAATTGCCTGCTCAAGGCGTTCAAAATTCGTGCTTCACACGACCTGTAGTTCGAAAATCGCTTGCAAGCAAGGCATCCAACAACGAGCGTTATCGAGGATCAGTGACAATGCGCCCCTTTTTCACGCCGCAAAATCGATTAGGCCTGCTTGAATATTAAATCGGGTTGATTGCATCCCATTTGGGCAATCCGACTTGCCTACAACAATCTCGATCCCGAGTTCTTTGAACGTCGAAAGATCTGAGTATCGTAGTTGAAGGCGGACCGTGTAGTTGCTTAAACACGCACGCATCTGGACGACTGCAGAAGTAGTTGACATTACAAAAAAGGATCGTGGAAAACTAGTCGTAATCTGGGCTTCGATTGAGAATGCCGCCCGAGAACAATGCTCCCCATCTCCGTCACAAAATTGCACTCCGCCTGGAAAAAGGGTGCAAGCCGCTCAAGTGATGGAAGACCGCGAGCCATGTTGACCCTGTGGAGATTGACCACCAGAGTAAATAGCGTAATTGCGCCACTCGACCTGGAACAAAAGTGCCGAGGGGTCCAGTGTATCGATAAGCACCTGATAGATATTTCGACAATCTAGGTGGGTAAAATACCGTAGCGACGTCCTGACTGTACCAAAAAGCAATGGTCTCATCCGAGAGTTTTCAGCTCAGCCCAGTAGATTGGACAACGCTCGATCTGCGACAGTGGGGCGGTCTAATGCCAGGGGTATCTGCAGGTCCGGAGGCGGCTTGCAGGGGGCACCCTCCAGGCTGAACCAGGCTGTTGGATAGTCAAACTTTCTGCCAGGATTCGCTCTGCCAGACGGAAGAGGCTTTTTCTGGAACAGGAAAAGAAGAACTTTCACCAAAACAAGAGACGTACTGTCGTTCGTACTGTGTCCGTAATTCGAAAGCATCCAGTTGAGCTGAGGATTTCTGGGCGTGGCCTATTTGACAAGTTATACCTAGACCATACGACATGTCCATGGCCCAACAAGCTCGGAAGAGTCATTCGAAGGCGCCTTGCAGGCCAGCAATATACTGTTTCGCCCGTATTCCGTGGAGAGAGGCAAGCTGCCTTGGGCCCGGTTCTTCTCCTACGGTTGAGCATTCATCACCTCAATACTAGTTTCTCATCACGTGATCATGAGCTTGATATCAATGCCCAGACTTCTACTCCGTACATCCGTGGCAGCATAAGTGGTCAAGTACCTATTTCTGGGGGACATGACTTGATTAGGCTGATTCATAGTGTCCATATTAGCGGATAGGAGCATTTGCTCTCTTTTTGACGGGGCCCGGGACGGAAAATTACCAAAAGGCGTGAGCCCAAGAGATGGCAACGTTGTTCATGGCAGATGGCGTATGGCACCGTCGCCCCTGAGCACGGTGCCTTTCCTGACATGTACAATGCCCAAAGGCCTGATGGGCATTCCAATAAGCGAACGCCTCAAACGCACCATGGGACATGATATGCTGAATTCTAGCCAGGTCTGCCCGCTTCCAGCACCGAACGCAAAGCATTGGTGGAAGGAAGTGCTTCAGTTGACGGACGATAGATTAAACAGCGCATCACTGTGGTCTTCCGAGAATCAGAAAAGGATGACTATACCGAGCCCAAGTCGGACCGGCCGATTGCTCTCCTCAAGACTCTTCTCACTAGACTCAGAATAGCTTTCGAGGCAATCGTCGCGAACCGATCGACGTGCTTAGCTGACACCTAGCATCTCCTCGCTAGCTGACATACCGTGGTTCGAAACTCGCACTGGCGAATCATGCCAAACATCTTCTCCGCCGCCGTATTCACTGGACGTGGGTTGGAGGAAAGGTGGGTTCGCTTCTCCTAACTGGCCAAGGGCCTATCACGAGTCTTCGACAACGTGTCCCGATTAAGGCCGTCACACGATCTTAGGGAGTAACGAATCGATCACACACTCGTACGATGGAACGAATTGTTTCTCAGTGACCGATGATCTACGCTCAATCTTCAAGAATCAAGGGCTCCATCAACACCTATTTAAAGCGGGATAACTCAAGGATCTCCTCCCTCTCCAATCATACCCTTCAGCAACCATTACGACCGTGTACGCAGCGGAGTTGAGATGAATTAAGCGAGAGTGTGAAATCGCAGTCGATTTCCACGCGAAGAAAGACGCTCCTGGCCAGTACTTCGACAGTTTGCTGCATAGCTAAAAGCTGAAAGTTAAAACTGTCGAAGATATGTTCCAAGCTGCATACAATGTTGTGCGGGGCAACGTTCAGCTAGAGCCTGCTCGTCCTATTCTCGTGCTCGATTCATGATGCGCTCGGCGTACCGTGGCTCCCGCTTTCGGCTGAACCTGCAGCAATTCTGGCAACAATCAGAAAGTGTCTTGACGTGGGCTTGACGTCTTCGCCCGTATCACCCTCGAAAGCCTGAGACTGATCTGTTCTCTAATACATCATCTGTGGCAGATCAACTATATGGTGTCACCTGTAGCACAGTTTTTGCCGGTGGCAATATTTCCTTTCCAGTCATGCTCCGCATCGAACCAGAGCACGCAGCCGTGTAAGAGCGGCAACATCCTCTACAACGTGACCGCAGTCTTGAGCTTTCACCATCCAGTCCAGAAGATCATAAAAGGGCTATGACAGCTTTATCGCCGTGAGGTTACGGCTATTGCCAAATGCAGGATTGGTTGTCACCAAGGTGCGACGCGGTCCCGAAATTCTGAGGGTTTGGGAGAGGTAGACCAACAAACTTTGACCCCGAGAAGATGCAGTCTCAGGCCACGGCCTCCACCTCCACGGCCTCCACCTCCACGGCCTCCACCTCTTGTGGAGACAATGCCCTCTCCGATTCTAGCGACCGTCTTCGCTACTGGCCCTTGGCCTCATCCGCAAGCAAGGTCATTCTGATCCTGGAGGTGCCAGGAGCCGGAAGCCGGAAGCGGCATCTCCTTGTATGGAGGAGGCTCCGGGTTTGATGCTGCGAACGCAATCAGCAGGTTCCACTGGTTCTCTAGTGCCTCCTCGAGCCAGTCGAGGTCTGCTGCGTCTGGCTCGAGGGCCAGCTGCCGGGGAGAGGGATGGAGCACCGGGGTACACTCCCGGTCAACATCACCGGGGGTATATGTGCCCATATTATCAGCGGGGCTGGCACCGCCGGAGACAGCCAGCGGGGAGTTCCTCAGAGGGACTCGGTATCTGGGATGTGGCGTGGGGGTCCTGTCCTGCACACTGCGATACTTGGGCGCTCGGGGAGGCGAGTGGAAAAAGGCGATGCTGCTGCGCAGTCGTTGTAGAATCCGCGATGGCAAGCTGTCTCGCTTGCGAGTTTGGAAGTTGCTGCGTGATCTTGAGTTGGCACCCATTTTTGAAGGATGGGCGGTGGTGTTTGGGCAGAAATGTGGTGGGGTTGGTGTGGAAAAGAGGCTGGCTGTCTGTTCGGCGTTGAACAGGAGAGGAAGTGCTGTGAATAGAGAAGGACGGAGAGGAAGGGAGCATAGCGACGGGCTATTTTGTAGAGTTGAGAATACCATAGACACCTGAAGAGGGATTTTTTCGGCTTTGAGGAAGATACTTTCGTCGGGCACACAGAACTTAGAAGAAGGTGGAATGGATGAATCAGAGGCCGCAAATACCCCCAGTATCAACATTCTGTCTTTTGACCAGGGCCAGGACAGAAGCGGATCAGGCAAAAGAAGCCAAAACAATAACAAAAGTCTGCGATATAGAGTTCTTGGGTGTAACTCCCGCAGTTAGAGGTCCTCACCAGCGGGCAACCCAATAGCAAAAGCTTTTGATATAGACTTCTTCCGCACATTTTCGAGGTTGGAGGTCCTCATCCGCAATCAAAACAATAACGAAAATCTTTTGGTGTAGCTTTTTCTGGGAGGGGCACTTTCATAGTTAGAGGCCCTCACCTGCGCACTTACGGTTTGTAAGTCCTCGCTTGGTTAAGTGATAATAGCATGCCACGTTCCTACGCTTCTCTCCATTTTTCTCTATACGGCACTCATCTGAAGCGGAGCATCCCTCAGAATTTTACCGCAGTAAGGGATCTCTAGACAACATCAGTGGACAAGACTTGAGAGTTGATTCCCAATCGCGAGTTTCATCTACGACAGCTCAAGGTCTCCTCTGAGGAATAAGCGCAACAAGATGCAGCGGATCCTCAACATATTTCGTACCACCCAGCCAAAAGATCAATATTGCATTCAAGGAGTAATTACCAGCTTAACGGCGGCCAGGTTAGAGTTCTTTCGTCACAGAAGACTAGTGCCGATTATTAGAGATGGCTGGGATTGGGCGGATGCATATAGGCTCGATCAACAGCTGTGTAGGGCGGATATGGCTCTCGAAAAGACCATATTTGTACTGCAGGGGTGTGGTATCTCCAAGCATGAATGCATGGAGAAGGTGGTGGCCGAATTTGAACAGCTGCCGTCGATAGCTGGGGATGTGCTCCGGCTGCTCAATGTGACTCTTTCCACCGGCCAAAGAATCCCGAGAGCCCTTCGGTTGCGTTCCAGGCAGCTCATTTTCCAAGTCGAGGCTGCATGCAAGGTGCTGGAAAATGTGGAAAGAACCATTACCTTGGAGGAAGAGATCCGAAGCCGAAAAAAGGCTGAACATCGCAAATCATTATTAGACTTAGGGGTCTGGTGGAAACAAGTCTGAGCTCTATCGGTCAACGTGGGACGGTAGTTACTGGTATGGTGTCAGCATTGGACGAGTGGACGGCCTCATCTAGATACAGACCCGAACGTCCAAAACAGAGCAAAGCAGGGATAGTGTCGGAGGAGTTGAACGACGAAGGGACTGCGTTCTCATTCGCAAGGGAGGAGGGAAGCCGTGAAAGTTCTGAGATAGAGAAGCCATGTGACTAAGCACGTGATGAAAGCCAGGTCGGCCCCGTGCTTGTACATATTGAGGAAGGCAGCTAATAATAATTGGTGGAAGTGATACCCGGAAGCAGTCCGACACGTGAGCAAGTGGTAAGAACAGTCTATTAGGTACCAACTGTAAAGTAACAATAACAAGGACCCCGTGGGTGAATACTAGCGATTGCAATTCCATGGGACCTGGGATCAAACACACTCTGTTTTGGCCCGGTGCATACCAAAGGACTGTACCATCGATTTCCGTTCAGCATGGACACAGACGATGTTTGCGGTCGTTGGGATTAGCTGATGCAGTCACAGCACCCAAGTCTTGCCCAGAAATTGCTTGAAAGGCTTACTTGGAGTGCCTAAATCGCCCCAAGCCCGTTCAAGCAGTAGCCGAGTCACGCTTCCAGAGCTTCTCCCGCTATACCCGCCCCCGATAGGCACGCCTATTATTGCCCAGACCGTGATCTGCAGCCTAAGGCAACGCCCAGAAACTTCCAAAATTCAAGGCCACGCTACCAACGTCTGCCAAGGGCAAGTTCCCATCCGCTTCACCCGAAGAGACTGGGAGTTTTGTACCCTCGCCAACATCTCAAATCAACATTCTACAAGGTACAGTTTCCATCAAATTATCGCTGTGCATCAAGAAATGTCGAGTCTAGACTGGATAGGGAAATCTGATGGAACCCTTCGAGAATGTGTTCCGAAAGCTTCCATCGTCGACTCCGACCTGAAGCTGGGGTGACACCGAGAGCGACAGGAGACGAGTCGATCGCCATGGACGTGATTGATCCTGTTCTGTCCGACATAGACTTCTTTAGGGTATTCCATGGCCCGTCGACAGGGCTCTGGTGGCCCCCAGTTTGCCACGATGTTACTCTTATGCTCTACAAGAACATCTGATCCCCTCTCTAGTCCCACCTCATTCGTCGCAATGTCCTTTGGGCCTCCATCCCCCCATGCAAGCATTTGCGGAGTCCCGCCTGGGAACATGGCGAGCCCTCTTTTCCCTCGTCTTGCCCTTCACGAGAACCCATCCCGTCAATTCTTCTCTCCCGCTCATGCGGGAGCCCATCGTTGCCCAATCATGATGAAATTGAGACCTTGTTTCTCTTGCCGGTGCTGCTCCGATCCATTACCGTTCTTACCAAAATGCAACAAGCCGTGTTCCATGCATATGGCATGACCAGCATAGACCACCACTCGTAGCTCCCTTGTCCTCTCCCCGCCAAATAAGATAAAAAGAAGGCTGGCGCCCCTCTGAGTCCTCTCATTATCGACTTCAAGGCATAATTTCTGTTCTTCCTAAGTGGCCAAATTCATCAACATGGCCAACGTCGACATTCATCCCAGCTCCAACCCTTCTTATGAGAAGCACTCTCCCGAGAATGCTCATGATCCAGAGGGAGAATTGTCCAACCGAAATATGTCGGTGGGCAAATATGCAGTCACCAGAATATCGACCTTGAAACCACCAATGGCCAAAGCGCCGAATCCCTTCGCCCTACTGGCCATGTTAAACACACAGCAGTGGCTTTTTTTTCTGGTCGCATTCTTCGCCTGGTCGTGGGATGCCTTCGACTTCTTTACCGTGTCTCTCACAGTCACTGATCTGGCCGAAGATTTCGGGAAGACCAATACCGATATCACCTGGGGTATCACCTTGGTGCTGATGTTTCGTTCCGTTGGCTCAACTATCTTTGGTATGTTCTGAGTAGCCAAATCCAGCTTGAAAAAGGGCTAATGAGAACGTAGGCATTGCTGCTGATCGATATGGACGGAAATGGTATGTATCCAAGGGAATCTATCACAACTGTTGGTGCTCTGCTGACATCCTGAGAAAGGCCGTTTATTGTCAACAATCTCCTCTTTATTGTCCTTGAATTGGGCACTGGCTTCTGCCAGACATACAAGCAATTCCTGGCTGTGCGCGCCCTATTCGGTGTTGCAATGGGTGGTCTCTACGGGAATGCTGCTGCCACGGCGTTGGAAGACTGTCCCGAAGCCGCTCGTGGTATCATCTCCGGAATGCTACAACAGGGATACGCATTCGGCTATCTTCTCGCAACAGCCTTCGCGCGTGGACTTGTAAATACGACTTCTCACGGCTGGAGGCCTTTATTCTGGTTCGGTGCAGGTAATTCTCATCATTCCTTTAACACACTTCTCTGGCCTTACACTTCGATTTAGGTCCGCCCGTCCTCATTATCATTTTCCGTCTTTGCCTTCCCGAGACAAATACTTTCCGTGCTCGTCAGGCTCTGCGCCAGCAGCAAGGAAGTCTTGCTGGTACTTTTATTTCGGAAGGTCGCGTTGCGCTCAAGCGCCACTGGCTTCTTCTGATCTACATGGTGTTTCTCATGGCCGGCTTCAACTTCATGTAAGTCAAATTCTTGGTACTTTGTTTTCTGTGAGATCCATAAGAGCTGGATGCCACATGAAAGAGATTTTCGTCATCCGAGCATGAGAGCTTTAGCTATCCATTTACCAGCCTCGCATTCCACTAACGTCTGCATTAGGTCGCATGGCTCGCAAGATCTGTATCCAACAATGCTGACCAACCAATTCAAATTCTCCCCCAACGCGGTTACAGTCACCCAGGTCGTTGCCAATTTGGGAGCTATGACGGGAGGAACCACGGTCGGATACTGCTCACAGATCTTTGGCCGACGCTTCAGCATCATTTTCATCTGCATAATCGGTGGCGCACTCCTCTACCCATACACGTTCACCAGCTCCAAGGCCGTCATTGCAGCTGCCTTCTTCGAACAGTTCTGCGTGCAGGGCGCATGGGGTGTAATTCCGATCCACCTCATGGAGCTGTCACCCGGCTCTCTCCGTACATTCGTGGTCGGTACTTCATACCAGCTGGGTAACCTGGCCTCGTCGGCATCCTCGACCATCGAAGCCCAGCTAGGTGAGAACTACCCGCTCGAGCCGCTGCACAAGAACGGCAAGACGATCAAGCGCTACGACTACGGCAAGGTGATTTGTATCTTCATGGGCGCCGTCTATGCGTACGTCATCTTGCTCACGTTCGTTGGTCCCGAGAAGAGAGGCCGCAGCTTGAATGTTGAGCACGATGCCGACATGGCCGAGGTCACCCACCGAGATCTGAGGCATCAACAAGCGGATGATGTCCATCACGGCCAGCTTGACAGCAGCGAGGACGAGAAGGTCGTCAGGAAAGAGGAAGAGCGTGTCTAAGCGTGCAAAAGATCCTCAACTATGAGTCGGAGGAAACAGCTGGCTTGGTTGGTCTGCGATGATACTTTGGAGTGATGAGATTGCGTCGGCTCTGAGATACGAAGCCTTGCCCTCTCGAAAATTACTCCCCTGATGTATGTGGATCCCAGGAAAGGAGCGAGGCTTATATCAGGGAAAATGTGTGCTGCGAGAATGGAAATTGAACAAGTCAGGATAAGTCGATATCAAATGCCATGCTGGAATTTCAACTTGGCCATCTATCCAAATTCGCGGTGGTTGCGGTGAACAAGTAAAATAATATCACCCTGCCATTGGAAGAGTACCATGATGCCAGCAGCATGAGGGAGCTTTTTAGAAGGTTGGGGTGGGGGGCTTGGTGCCAGCATGGCCACATTTGGCCTCTTCTTTTCTCTTTGGCCCGTTTTGAGACTATCGGATTCGCACTGCACTTCGTGCAAACTCGGAAGATGGCTGGCCTGACCCTCATAATCTTCTTTCACTGATGACCATGCTTAAATCAGATTCTCTTACTGATTGTTAGGAACATTCTAAACTGTAAGACGCTAGTTATACCTCTTGATGATAATCGATCAATCATAGGCCTGGGGTCGCGCTGATTGTGCTGGTCGGAAAGCGGATTGTCATAAGGCTATGCGACTCAGTTGGTGGGGAGCACAGCCTCGTCACGTGCTCTTCCAATCTTTTCATGATTCTCCCCCAACGCTCGAGAGGGAATATAGATTCAGGTAGATGGAGAGTAATTCGTACCTACCTAAGGTAAGATCGAAATGGACGGTTCTTCCCTGCCACAATCCGGCTTTGCTGGGTTCTTCTCGTATGACCTGCGACAGAGGCCACTGAGAAATCTCACGTGGTCAAGAATTACTTTCCTAAAGGGTGCTGAGGCGTCCAAGTCCACCTACTATCTCATACAGCAGGCGGCTTGCATAATGAATAGCGGCAAGGACAAAACCGGGGGGGGGTTCCACCTACCAATGTTATGCCACCTTGTAAAAAAGTCGCGCAGAGAGCAAGGTTATCCTGACGAAGACGTTCGTTATCTCAGGCGCATCTGATCACGACCCTGGGGAGATCTATTCCGAGGACGTTATTGATGGCGGTGCTGAGCATGTGTATGGATCTTTGCGACCCGTGTACGGAGTACATACATACGAGATACAGATGCCATGATTGGTTTCTCCTAGCCCCGAAGGGGATCGTTCAGGCACAGCATGTATCGTGTTCCTGCAGATAAGCATCCGTAAGCAATCCTCATCCTCCTGTTGGGAGTCTGAGAAGAGCGAGCTGTGGGGTAGTGCCTGATTGGGCTCAAAACACTTGGACGGGCAGTTGATGAGATTAGGATCAGGCTTGGAATGGAAACTTTTGCTAGAGAAAGACTGTGCTGTGTGGGGGCGGAGGTTGTGAAGCAGATGCATCTGCTTGTACGGAGTGCTCAGTATCAGGTAATGTATATTCCAGCACTTGTGGCAGCTCCCCACGGTGTTCCGGAGTCCATCTGAATCGTGTAGAAAGAATATGGAGTATGATGTTAGGTTGTTCCATTGGTGGAGTTGTAAACAATGGGAGCGAGAAGGATTGAACCGAGTATCCGCAATACGAACAAGCAACACTGGAGCCCCTCGCCCCTCGCCCCTTCGTGCTAGGCTAGTGATAAGCTATCTGGTCCGTGTTGCTCGGTATCTGTTCATGGACCAGGTCGTTCGTGTGTCGAGGTGTCATTATTGAATGAAGCACGGCACGCGGAATGTCCGATGCTTGATCGAACGACCTGGACAAGCAGTCGCTGAAGGTCGTCGTTGCTCTGGTACGGTGGAAGTGTCATGGGTCTGCTGAGGCTGGGAAAAGGGCCTCTCGGGCCCAAGGACCGTAGGTAATCACTCAACGGTACGTTGTAACCACTTACTCGTACTAGCGCTTTGCGGTATAAAGCACGGAGTATGGGGTATATCGCTAGCTCGTGCGATATCTCGGTATTCCGTACTTGGTACGGGATAGCACTGAGAGATATCGGCATAATAAAATAACAGCGGGGTCCTAGCTCGCCAGGCTGCACCTTTTTTGCTAAATGGTAAATCCTTATCAATTATGACAACCGAACGAGGCACTTGCGGGAACAGCAAGCGGGCTAGTAGAGCGTTGTAGCGATCAGTCAGCGTGGTAAAACGCGATAGGCCCGAGGAAGGAATTGGGCATTCTCCCCAACGTTGTTCGAGGTAGCGTGTTGATTTTCAACGTGTCGTTGCCGGGGTTCAAGTGGTTCGGTTCTAAAATTACCTGAGCTTGCATCGCGTCGGGAAATTTAGCGACTTCGATCGTCTTACCAGTATCTTGCCTTCGTTTCACCGGTCTCCATCCCGCCCTGCCTGATTCTCTAACACAAAAGCGAAATTGATGTTTTGTAGGAACAGATAACCACCCCTGGCTTGGTTGGCACGAGTAAGTAGCGAGATGACCTTGCTCTTGGATATGATAGCCTTATCTTCGGGCGGCCTCTACCCAGACAACGTTCCTCGCAGGTTTAATCTTTTCCCACCTTGTTGTGTTTACCCTATGTCAGTCTGCTGCTTGATGTGATGATCTGAAAGTCCCAAGGGCTTGGCTCAGTCTCTTCTGGTTTGGGCTAGGCTTGAGGTAGTACATAGACTGCTTTACCGACAAGGGTGACAGATAAAGACTGTAATCCGTATACGAGGAACCCGCCCAGATGAGTACTCCGCATCATTTTAGGGGAAGGGCAGACTGCAGATAACCGACGAGGATCCTGTGTAGAAATCAAAGTCTGGCAGGATCTCCCGACGAGATGTTTCAGTCCGACACCAGGGTTTCCAACTCTCCTTAAGTTTACCTCATCCAGTGACAGCGTTTGGCGAGATGCATTGTATAGGGAGTAAGGCTGGGTTGTCATAATTTGACCTCGTCGTAAACCGGATTTTATGCTTCAGAATCCTAATGCCATCTCATACCGTTGGTGATGAATCTCGATTCTCCAGACCAACGGCAGACACGGAGAGGGCTGGCCTACCAGGATACAGAAACACAGTCACGCGAGGATCTGACGCGATGATTGGTGTGCCTGGCGAGACTGCCCGTCGCGCCCACCATGGGCCCCCGGTCCATTCTGAAATACGGAAGCCGGCACATGAGCATTGAGTAGGACATCTGGAGGGCGGAGTGAGTACCTGGGATCTTGTTCCAGAACTCTACGAGTAGAGCACTCGTGTTTGCCTGTACAGTAGAACCACATGCTTTGGGATCCCGCTCTAACTTTGAGACTATCGATGCGCCATCGAACTTCTGGGGAAAGCAGCCAGCCATTGATCTCTACTCAGAAGAGTTCAGACTTCATTGTAGCATGGAGGCCTTGATGATCGGTGTTGGGTTTAGTTAAGAAGCCAAAGTCTTTAGCGGTGCCGAACTGCCTTAGAACCAAATGTGCCAGGTACAAAGATGCCCTAGATGCCCTAAACCCAAGCCCTAAATCCATTAGCTCGCCTCCCGTAAGGCCATGCTTAAGTCTGATGCCCACGCAGTGCTAATTGAGGGTCTTGGCTGCGATGGCCCCCCGTTGGCTTTTGCTGTGGGCCTGCAGGCGTGGGCGTAAAGTGAGCAGGGGCGTGGGCGCGGGCGGATACGCATGCTTCAGCCATTGTCGCCCTTGCCATTCCCGCAGCCATTGCCCGAGCTGGACTCTATCTTAGGCTGCGCCTCTCGCCTGTTCGAGTTTCGCTCTGACAATTAGATTTCCCGTTTCTCTCGAACTTTTTCCACAATCCGGAGTACTGTACTATTAATGTTGTCCATGCCTGTCACTCGATCTTGTTATCTTTGACGCCTTCCACCCTATCTGGGAGATACAGGAGATACAGCAGTCCCCTCCCCTCTTTGTTCTATCGTCGTACTCCGTAGTCCCTCACCGAGGACCCCGTTATCTTCTCTTCGTTCACTTTCCCTTGTACTACATCCCCCGACCTCCGAAATCAGGCTTGACAATTTCACCCAGGACTCTCGACCAGGTCTCGCACTGCACCCGCCGATGCGCGCACGCTTCCGATCGTTCAAACCATGAGTTGCACCCTTCACTCGTCTTCACACACCTAGAGTTGTCTGAGCGCCGTTCAACGTGACTGCTTGCCTCTGTCACTTCGCCCGGCTTCATACGTCCCCAGTGTCACGCACCATGGCATATGCTTCAATCGCCCAAGCCGAACACTCTCCATCTCTTGCCGAAATATCGAGCCCTCCTTTGTCGCTCGGGTTAGACTTTGGACGACATGGTGATCCCTCAACAGAGTCTCAGGGCAGACCCCGTGTTGCGTCCATTCTCAAGTCACTCAGCTCCAATCAATCGTATGAAATGGTGGAAGACGACGACTATGAAGAGCCCATGCGGACACCTGTTGGACTAGCGCTGAATATGAATGCCACTTCTTCTTATTCACCACCGAGAGACGATGTCGCATTCCGGTCGCCAGACCCTCCAATGAGAACCGCTTCTATCGGTCGACACCTCCCTCTCAATCACCCTACCCCAGATTTACAGGCCCTGCAAGGGGCTTTGGTGAAGAATGTGGAACGCTTAGAAGAAAGTGCGGAGCGTTTGAGCATGACCTCAAGTCTAGAAGATGAACTACATAAAATGAGGCAAGATCAAAAGCGAATCGAACGCCAGTCCTCTGCTCCTGCAACATTGGATCACGCTCTAAGACCTGTTCCTCAAAGACAATATTCCGCTGGCTCGTGGTCGAACTCGATCATTGGCGTGAACCAAGCAGCTCGAACGGGAGGTTATTCACCTTCAGGTTATATAACCTCTCCGACCGGCTCGATACACTCAAATCCGTGGTCAAATCCACATGCACTGGAAAGACACTCATCAAAGGGTAGCTGCCGAGACCCATCCCTGCCTGAACCGCTATTGGAAGGTCGGCCCCTTGAACTCGCCTCACCTCCTCGCTCTGCCGTCATTGTCTACAACCAAGGAGTGACAGTCGCATCACCAGAAGCCGTCCAGGAAACCGAAAAGACTGACCGGCCTACTACGTCGGCGTCCAATGACACATTTCATCAGGCCGAGGCAGCCTTCAACGATTTCGATGGAGTGCATTACAATACAAGCATTTCACATAGCCGAGACGATTCGTTTTCTCGACGGATTTCCTTGAAGCAACCCCCGTTGGCTAGAGATTCCAAGGCATATCGAGAGGCACAACCGGGGGAGAAAATGATCTATTACCCGGCACCGGTGCCTGTGATGCTCAACCTGCCTCAGCGATTGTCCAAAGCCAACTTTGGTGAGAAGGAGAGGCGGCGGCTTCAGGGACTAAGCGGAGTCCCCGATGAAATGCGCAAGTCAGCCCCATGGCTTGCTGACCAAGATGTAAGTAAACTGCACGCTTCAAAGCAGAGCTTGAACCTCCCGCCTCAGCTCCGAGCAAGCGCGTTTTTCGAACAGCCAGGTGTTACGCAGAACCTGCAACTGAAAAATGGTTCCGCGATTCAGACACTGGATAGCATCCTAGACGCTGCCGCTTATGCACCCGTAAGTGCGTTTACGGACCATCCTATAGCTGGCCAACTTGGAAAGGAGGTATATGGGTCAAATAGCAGCCCCAGGAAAAGCATGCAACTACAGGATGACAAAGCCAAGAAACGAAAGAGTTCCTTAAGCAACATGCTCAAAACCAAGAGGTCCCTCTCTGCTTCACGACTCGGGCGCACGAAATCACGAGATTCTAAAGATTTATTGGATGCGGATGAACGTGCAAGTGGGGATGAGTTGGACCGAGCTGCTGCTGCCAGTATAGCACCAGACGACGATGAAGTATCAGAAGAAGCAATTGACGACGACGACGAAGACCAGCCTCGAGGGTTCAACGCAGCACCAACAACACTACTGGCTGAATTGCAAATACGAAAAGAACAGCAGAAATTGAGAAATCGTACCGCTGCTGATGCCTTTCCCAATGGAATGCACTCAACTCTCCTCGAATTGGATGCAGTCACACAGTTACAGCAAAAGGCTCGGAAGACCAAACATGTCACACTGGCATGGGAAGATCATGATGAGGCTTCAAGGCAGAATTTTGTTGATGATGATGTCCCTCTGGGCGTTCTTTTTCCTGAGAAGGATCGAGCAAATCATTTCAATGTCCACAAACCAGTTGGGCTTTTGGAAAGGCGTGAGATGGAGGATAATGAGCCATTGAGCCAACGTCGTGCCAGGCTTCGAGGTGAACCATTGCAATTGCCAAAGTCTGAAGCAAAGAGCCAGGTTGATGAGTCCAGTCGCGCACCAGTCATCGACGAGATCCATGGCATGGCTCAAAGCCCTGTCACTGAGCAAGAGGATGAGACAATGGCGCAAAGGGCAGCGAGAATAAAGAAGGAGAAGGAGAAGGGCACCGGAGGCCAGTTCGCTGAGGAGCTCACAAGCGAGCTCGGACTTGGTGTTCCTCAGGCTCCGGAACCGTCAAAGACACCCGATGCCGAAGAGACTCTAGGTCAAAGACGAAAGAGATTACAGGAAGAAGCTCTCAAGAATGGAGGTGCTACAACCAGCACCTCACAGCTGAGATCAATGCACAGCTTGGCAGACATTCTGCAATCACATCCAGTGGGTGTGCAGCAAAGACAGGTGTCCAATGAGTCCAAGGGGCCTACACTGCAAAGGGCTCAAACTCAAGATCCGCTATTGTCCTTCAATGCTTCGGAATTTCCAAATACCTCAAGTTGGAACTCGGCGCGACAGAACAGTGTATTTGCGAATGGTGCTTACGGTAATTTTTATCAACAGAATTCTCCATATATGAATGCGGCATTCAACGCCACGACTCCTGCAATGTATGGGGCTCCAATGCCCATGTATATGCAACATCAAATTGCTGGCCCTGGGTATGGATACATGGCTGGATACGGGAGTCAGCCGTATGTCCAAGATCCCCTGTCGGGTCCTCCTTTGGATCCGAAGCAAAGGCAAAAGATTGATCTGTGGCGCCAAAGTATTGCTCCATGAAGGGTATAGATACTTTGGCTTTTGTATCTCGACTTTGACAGACCGTCAGAGCTTTTTGTACTCCGATGTGTTGAGGAATCTTGGCTCTTTTGATTGTACCTAGGTACCAGGTCAGTACACGGATAAACGACCAGGAAAGCGTCTGTATCAGTAGTATGACTAGATAATGCTAAGGCCATGATGATGTGAAGTGTTGGATTAGACCTGTTGCCGTCGATCTGTTCTGCTTGGATGTGCAGAAAGTACGGAGTAGCTGCTCGCAAGAAGAATTCGGTCAAAGATGTTGCACTCAAAAGTCCAAGTCATGTGACTTGGCCGAAGATTAGCACGTGACGGTTGCCATAGCAGCCGCGCCCACCGCCACGTAAACATCGGGTCGCGAAGTCGAGGCCAGTGGCGCCCTTACATGAGTTTGTGCACTTCCATGGATCGACCTGCTGTCTGTGCTTCAACAGCTGATAGTTCTCTGCACCAATGATGAACAGCATTTGTTAGGCACCGTGCTCATATATTTGTTCTCTTCCTTTTACCATGGCTCCCACCGTCCACCAAGTCGCTTCAATCTTTGAGGATTCGCAGCCTGAACCGAGAGGACGAAGACCATACCACAGCCGAGTTCCATCTGTAGGCGATGTCCTGAGAGGCCGGCGAAAGGAAAGCAACAGCCCTGTCAAATCCCAGAAGCAGTACCCTCGCGAGGCAAGCGAGTCTGCAAGCAGTCCCCTGGGAGAGCGACATATCAACAGCCCACCCCCGCCGAAACGTGTCCCAACGAAAACCGGTAATGAGACTCGACCCCCGGCAACTCCCACACATAAGAAGACGGCGAGCTCGGTTTCTTTGAAGGGATTCATACTCGGGAAAGAAAAGCCATTGGACACGGGCAGCGTCTCCTCGGCTGAAGGCTGGATCGTTGAAAAGAAACCTAAGAAGGTCAAATCAGCCACGAACCTTGGTGGTCTGCTCAAGAGGAAGTCTAAGAAGGACCTTAAAGAAGATATTCGTGACCAGGAGAACGTTTCGCCCAACAAACAGGTACAACTCCCTAGTCCGACACCTATCTGGGCGCAATTTGCTACACAGCCATTAGAGAACCCCGACGGCACAATGCATTATCCGATGGCCCAAAGAAGGACCGTTGAAGAGGAAATCAAGCTATATACTCCGAAGGATTATTCAGAATTCCGGCCTTCAGAGCAACGAAATTTTTATGGATGTAGGCCATCTGCACCATCTCCTATTGAGTTTCGACCACCCCAACGGCCGTTCCTGGAGCATAAGTCTAGTAGAAGCTCGATCTTTACCGAGAATCTCGATGAAGAATCAAGCACTGAGCAACAGAGACCAAAGAGCAGGGATCAGTCGGTCAGCCGCCCAGGTTCATCTTATGCGCCAGAGGCTCGTCCACCATTGCAGACACGCTCCTCTGAGTCCTCGCAGACTGACCACAAGGCAAAAAGGGGTTCAAGAGTGTTTGAAGTCATTCAGAATTTCAACCTCAAATCCCGCCGAGAAACCCGGTCTACAACAGAAACTCACGGCAATCCAAACACGCCGCTCAGTCCACAAGAACTTGACACGGCTTTTGAGAAAGTTTTGGACTCGCTGAATATCCCAATGAACATGCGCGACAACATGCGAAACCTGAAACCAGATGTCAAAGCTGGGCTGATGAAAGGAGAAAGAATCGGAAGTGGCTCGCCCACGGGTTTGATTCCTTCAGATGGCGTGGACGTTCGATCGGCATCAAGAAGCCCTAAGAAATCCGACCCTGACCGGCCGAAAAGTCAAGGCGAGGATGGAAAAGACGGAAAACGCTCCCGATCACGATCGCGGCCCAGAAGTAGAATCTTGACGTTATCCAAAAGCGATGAGAGTTCACCTACAAAAGCAGACCGACCTGGATCCTCCTCAAGGTCTCGAAGCAAGACCAGGAACAAGTCCACAGACATCTCCTCATCAAGGCCAACGTCGTCAAGAGCTATGTCATCGTCAGTGTCCCTAGGTTCTCTGAGCGTGTCGGATAGCGCAACCACCCCTGGCGACTTCATTCACTACCTCCGCGAGGTGCAGAAACCAGAACTGGTTGAAGTCAACAAAGTCCATAAACTTCGAATTTTGTTGCGAAATGAGTCTATCAGCTGGACTGACCATTTCGTAACCAAGGGCGGGATGGATGAGCTCATTCAGCTATTCTACCGCATTGCCAAGATTGAATGGCGAGAGGAGCACGAAGATAATTTGTTGCATGAGACTTTGCTCTGCCTGAAAGGACTATGTACGACGTCATTGGCGCTTCAACGGCTGGAGCAGATCGAAAAGGAGTTCTTCCCCGCTCTCCTGGCAATGCTGTTCGACCCGGAGAGGAAAGGGCCTTCAGAATTCGCGACTCGTGGGACCATAGTATCACTCTTATTTGCTCACCTCTCCTGCACTATGGGTACCGATGAGGATCGAATGCAGCAGAAAGCAGAAGTGGTCCTCGGATATCTCCGAGATCCAGCACCAGAGGAAGGCAAGCAACCTCCAGACTTTGTGTCACAGATGCACATTGCTCGGCCGTATCGAGTGTGGAGCAAGGAAGTAGCGAACGTGACGAAAGAAGTGTTCTGGATATTCCTGCACCATCTCAACGTAGTGCCAATTGTCGAAGCAAACGAACATCTGGGATACATGCGAGCTCACTACCCGGCACTGAGGCCGCCACATCCAGCAGCTCCTTACGTTGGCGGAGTTGAATGGGAAGCAACGCAATACCTGGCGATCCACCTGGATCTCCTCAATGGCATTATCGCCTCGATTCCGACTGTAGCGCAGCGAAATGGTCTGCGAGAAGAGTTGAGAAATTCTGGTTGGGAGAAGGTGATGGGAGGCAGCCTGCGGACGTGCAAAGAGAAGTTTTACAGCGGCGTCCACGATGGATTGAGGTGCTGGGTATCAGCCGCCAAAGCCGACGGCTGGCCAGTGGAGGATGTTCGAGCAGGCCCCCCGAGAGAGGCGAACAGTCCTAGGAAGAGTCCGGTCAAGAAGAAGGCGGACGAGATACCTCAGCTCGCATTGGACGTGGGAGTTGGCCAAACAGCAACAGCCAAGGACGAGGATGGGTGGATGTGAAACCCGAGGTTGAACGACAGGACTACGACTTGATGACATGGTCTTTCAGACCTATTTGTACCGTGGTGTTGATGAATATGCTTTTTCCCATTGCCGTTCTTCATGGCAGGCGCAGCTGTGACTGATGATTAAGGGATGTTAGTTTTGTACGACGGGTTGAACAATAATGGTGATGGGCAATGGCATCACGTGGACTCACATGACACACTAGTACGGAGTAGAGGCCTCAACTCACGCATAGTACGCCTTGTGAGGACTGGTACTCCATCCCCTTTCCTCCCTTCTCCAACTCCAACACCCCTCACGGAGGGGAACTAGCATCGATAAGGTCTAGTGTCGGGATGGCCCATTGACATCACCGATGGCCACAGCAACAGCCAACTCGCCCCAGCCGCCCTGGTCCAGAAAGGGATCTTGTGCCTGTCAAGCATTTCAAAAGACGAAAAAACTGCCATGCGAATGCTGCTCCCGCCAGTGCGAATTAGCGGAGGTGGAAGTGGAATCGTGATGCGCGCAACCTGCGCCTGACAGACACTGGATCTCTGATTTGCCCGTGCCGCTACCGCTACCGCTACCGTGCTTTCACACGCAGCGCAGTCACTCACTAATTCGCATTTTCAACCACTCTTCCTCCATTCACTATCTTTTGTTCTGCTTCTGCTGAGCGTTCTCCTTCATCGCAGTGCCCTAGTCTAGCCCTGCCTCTCTCGATCTTATCGCAAGTCACTCCATGGACTAACAGATCCCCTCAGCCCACGCTGTTGATCGCACTTCATCAGCTTCTCCTCCTCCCTCCTCCCACCTCGATCCTCCCACCCTCCCTATGTCCACAACTACCATGACCACTATCCTCGGTACCTCGAATTCACGAGGTGGCCCTGTCCGCCAGACTCGTTCAAATCCCACGAGACAGATCAAGGGTTTGGGATCTGCTGTCCGTAACAACTCACTCGTTTCCAACAATGGTCTACCACTTGCTGCCTCTGCCACCTCCACTTCTGTCAATCCGCTCACGAACGCCAATGAACCTCCTGGCCTCTATCCTGCTATCAGCCACTTCGCTGACGCCATAGCTGCATTACCACGAGACTTCCGCCGCCACACATCCCTGCTCAAAGAGGTGGATGCGAAGGCCTGGGCTCCGGAAGAAAATCTACAACAGATCCTGGACGAGTGCCTTGCAGATACCACAGCTACTTCAGAGAAGTTTCTTGCAGCTGCTCATAGCTTCTCAGGATCTGCCATAGCCGATGATGCTGTCTTTGTCAGCGACGCCAACAGCGTTGCTAGCGTCTCAGTTAACAATGCCTCCCTTGCATCTGCTCGTTCTACCGATCCCGTGACTCTGCATCGAAGACGGCAGTTCCATGCCCTGCGACAGAATCTTATGGCGATCATGGTGACTATGGACGAGAAAAATCACGTCATCAACAATGCCAACGAGGATGTGTCAAGGAGCATTCGTCGCATGGAGAAACTGTGGCCGCATATTTCTGAGGAGATTTCGGAGGAAGCGCGTCTGGGAAGCTTGAAGCACTGGGCCTACACCGAGACCAACCCTATCAAGAAGCCTCCCGTCCCAACGACCAGGAGAGAAGCCGCTGCCAGTCTAGCCAGTCTACATGAGAGTGAGACTGCTCATAGGAGCGAAAGTAGAAGAGAAGCCATGCTGGCTAGGAAGCAAAGGGCTGCTCAACATGCCGATTCGGACTTCGACGAATCTAGGCATGCCAAGAAAGGGCCGACAAATGGCAAGAAGAAGGGAACAGATACCCCAGTGGATGCGGCTGGGGTTGGAATCACTGGCGCTGGTACCGGGAAAAGGAAAAGGCAGGAAAAGTCTGCAATCGGCGGGGTTATCATGGAGCGCTCGATTAGCAGTGCTATGGCTGCTGGTGCACGAGCAATGTCAAGAGAAAATTCACAACAGGAAAACGCGAAGAAACGAAAGGCTTCAGGTGCCGTCACTTCAGTGGCACGAAAAAGGTATGTGAACACTCCCCAGCTTCGCCTTAGGCGGTCGACTGACAATCATCATTCCAGGATCAATGCCTCGACTCAAGATTCCCCCAAGCTCGCATCTTCTCCTCTTGCCGGAAGCACTGGCAAGGAAGCATACAAAAGGAGCCCTGCTCTCTCCTCTGTGCGACCCGCCACCAATCGGGGTCGACAAAATTCTACGCAGACTTTGGACACCACTCGGGGACGACCATCGTCCTCAACATCACACAGGAATGGAAATGCCAACGCTGTGGCTGCAAGTATACCAGATGTCAACAATGCTGCCACTACTACAGCGAAGGGCCCAAGCGACACCAAAACCATAGTGAAAGAGACAAAGAAAGAAAAGAGCGATCGTGTTGTTGAGGACGAGCCAAAGGTGGTCAAGAGCACGAATGGAGATCATCCCCGGCAAGGACCTCTTCTTATCGATATATCCGCCGCCAAGCAAGAGTCCAATACTTCGAAGGGCGAAGCAGATCCCGTGGAGGACAACATTGTCAAAAAGGTGGCATCGCCCCGTGTTCCACCTGCTCTGTTGACAAGTGAAACTGCATTGAGAGGCGAACGAACAGGAAGAGGCCGAGTATCTAAAACATCAACCCCCATTGTGGGTACCTTTTCCGAAGCAGAGGCAGGAGAGCCGACTTCTGCAAGCAGCAACCAGCATACGGGTTGGGCGTCTAAACAGAAGCGGCCGGCCCGACCTAGAGTCAAGGATCATGGACTCCATGATTCACTGTCACCGAAGGGTTTGCCGATGAAACGCTCTCACAAAAGCAGTGGCAGTGTGTCAACAATTATTGCCCAGATAAACACTACAGCACAGCGTCAGAAAGATGAGCCGGACGCAAACAAGTCAAGTACTCCTTCGGAGACGGGTTTGGGAAACCGGGGGGACGAGGATGAAGACAACGATGCTGCCGATGAAGACGAGGAACGGTATTGCTATTGTCAGGGAGTCAGTTATGGTGAAATGGTTGCTTGCGACAAGCCTGACTGCCCTCGACAGTGGTTTCATCTCGACTGCATCGGACTCAAAAGTGTACCGAAGAGCGCGAAATGGTACTGTGAGGAATGCAAAGAGGCATTGGCAAAGAAAGGAAAAATGGGCTCCAACGGAGGGAATGGCACCGCCAAGTGAAGGAAGACGATCGTGTTGCCAGGCATAGCCGCACCCAAACTGGATACCCTGCTCACCTCCCTACACATGAAGTAATCAGCGAAGGGCATTATGTGATATCACCCCAGGAAGATGGGCCGAGAAATCGTGCCCTGAGGTACCGGTTTTTCCGCCTTCTAATGAGTTTATGGGCATCTATATCTTTTAAGGCTATTCACCAATGAGACCTGGGAGGACTCGGAGTTCCTCTCAGTCGCGGATAGCCCACAATCAGAAATTCATCACAACCCGCCGTGGTCGTCAACTTAATTAAGCCTTGCGTTATCTAGTGATCCAACCCAGTACACAAACCTCTCCATCCGCGTTACGTAAGACAGTCTGTATCGTTCTATTACGTTCTGACCATAATTCGAGATCAACGTATGGTTACTGTATGACTTATCTGGAAGCCTTAGGGTCGCTCGGCCAGAGCTTAAGTGAAGTATAGTATGCGAGATAAGTCACGGCGAGCCTCTAATTGTGTTTGTCTATCGAAATATGTCTATCAAATGTCCCGATGAGGAGGTCTCGTTTGTGATCTGGAACCAAATCTTTGGTCTGCAATCCCGTCGCCCTGGGGCGTTGATCAATCCCTTCTCCCTGGACCTCCTCACTCCTCAGGCCGCCATCAATATGGGGCCGTCGTATTGACACGTACCCAAACACAATCTCCGACTCTGCAATATCAGATTGCATAGCGGAAGTATTTGTTTTCCTTGTCTGTCAGGTCCTGAAACTCCTGTCCGGCGGGTTGAGGGGGGAGGTCAACGGCAACCTTGTCTCGGCGCTTGTTCTCACGCCAGTTGATCCACCACAGGCCCAAAAGACACAGCAAGGAGGCCACATAGACGCCGAGGATGGTGTACTTGGCTTTTGTGTAGTAGGGAGGATCCCGAAATGTTTGCGGTCCGATCAGAAATCCACCACAGTACGATATGAGGACCAAGCTATTCACGGTCGTCTTCTTCGTATAGCCTGCGACGTTCGTGCTGACAAGACTGAGAATGAGGATCAGCGGGGAGGGAGAGTTTCCTAGGATGATATAATATGCCACCAGCTGGCCGATGCGGTGAGCCGTTGGACCATGGGTGGCCAGACCGGTCATCAGGGCGATGGAGAAGATACTGAGCAGAACAGCCAGACTCGCGGCCAACATGCGATTATTGATCCTGCGAGCGAGATATGGAAAGAAGAGATTTGTCACGATCTGCGTGATTCCGCTCGGCATGCTTACGAGGAGCGTGGTTTTCGAGTCGAAGCCATAGCTTTTGAGAAGCAAGCCGAAAAATACGGTGAGACCTCCGGACGGGATCAGCCAGAAAATACAAAACAGGCAGCATAGCCATGTCTGGAGCGTCTGGTCAGCGTCTTTGACAGTATTAACAGTATCGGGTTGACCACTTACCCGTACGTCAGTGAAGGCCTCGCGGAATTGAGGCCACTTGAAGACTTTGCTCCCAATACCTTGTTGATTAACTCGAAGTCGCTCGATTGCGACTCGACGGTCGTGGTCGCTGAGCCATTTCGCAGTGATCGGAGATTCCGGGAAGTACAGCAGCATCGAAACTCCAAAGATGCAGGTAATTCCACCTGAGAGGATGAACAGAGCTTTCCAGCCTGCGAAGGTAATCTTGGGGTTATCAAACCCTATCGCAACGCCATACGCAAACGCCGCTCCTAGTATCTGCGCCGCAGCGTTTCCGACGTACCAGAATGCTGTGCGTATTGCTTGTTCATCACGTTGATACCATCTTGCTGTGATGAGCACAAAGCCCGCTGTGACTGCACCCTCGAGAGCGCCGAGAATGAAGCGGGCAACCATCAGACTGGCAAAACTAGTGCATGCGGCATTGATACACAGGACGGCACCCCATACGATAATGACGCTTGACAGGTATCGTGCGATAGGCAGCCTCTGCATCAGGCGGTTGTGAGGCCCGACGAACGCCAGATACCCAAAATAGAATATCGACCCACACCTGAATAAAGCAGCGAGTCAGTATCGGAGGAAGACCGTTCTGATCAAGACAAAGCTGGCAAGGGGGCTATACCAGGCATATTCCGACGTCGTCAAGTTTGCGTCAACGATGAGACCCATCACCGAGGCATAGCTCAAGAGCGTCTTGTCGAAGTACTGAATCATGAACGTGAAGAACATCCAGGGAATGAGATGCTTGTCGATCGTGTGGCGAATGCGGTTACTGGTGGCCTCGTCGTACGTGACGGTCTCCCCCAAGGTGAAAGATAGAGCTGCATCTGCATCTTTGGTCGCTTTCACAGGTCCTTCCTCGGTATACTGCTTGCTCAAAGCGTGGCCAACTTCGGGTTCAGCCCGAATCGATGCCGATTTCGACTCCATTGTTTCTGTGAGCATGTAGGATTGCGCAAAGCTGAATGGTGGTTTGTGGAGGAAAGGTGCTCAGCATTTGATGCATCGAAATAGCAGTTTTATGCTTCCTGCGGCCTGTATTAGACACGACTTCTCGCGTGCTATCGAGCCAGCGGGACTGGTGCTGTATAGAATCTCCGCGTTTCTGGGTGGGGAGGCTGCCATTCGCTCGGGCCGATCCCTACTGGCTGGCAACTCAAGGACATTACCTAGCGTTGTCAATTCTTCAAAGCTCAACTCCGTAAACCTTGTTCAACCTTGTCAAAAGCGGGCCACTGCTCGAAACAATCGTAAAGATTCCACGCCGAGGCGAGCAGATCGGACCGTCAACGAGAAGATTATAAGATCTTGCAGGATATGGAGGGTCCCATAGAGACCCACCCAAGTCCTGCCTCTTGCACACCCACCAGGCTGTGCCCATACTTGTAAGCGCCAGATTACACATATTTATTCTCCGGAGCGAGAAAACCTGAGCACTTTGGGCCGAAAGCCGTTATCTCCAGCTTCGTCCCCGCCTTCTGAAGTTGAATGCGGCTAATGTCCTGGAAATTGGAAGGGCATCTATTGGACCCCAGACCCCAGGACAAATTCCCTGATTGGTTCAGTAGCATCGTTCTCGACAAAGCAAGACCGCGACTAGGCCTGCTAAGTGACTCGTTCGAAGAAGTATTGCCTTTACTCCTTCATTTACTAGGCATTGAACGAGATTGATCTGTTCGAGGCTCGCACGTCAGTACAGGAAATCATTAACACCACCAAGGTAGCAAAACAAACAATGGGCTCGATACAGGAATCTCTTGGAAGGCCTTGCGTTGCCCTGTCCCAAGGGACGATAAGGGGTATCGAACAAGTAGACCAGTTTCCTCAGACAATCGAAAGCTTCCTGGGCTTCCCCTATGCTCAACCGCCCGTCGGGGACCTTCGCTTTCGGCCACCAGTAAAACTCGAGCCATCTTCAGACATCATTGATGCCTCAAAATATGGGAAGGCTGCACCTGGAAAGCCTCTCATCCCCCCTCGCATCCCACTTGTCTACAGCGAAGACTGTTTGACTGTCAACGTGTTTAGACCAGCCGGCAAGGTCAGCCACGGCACTCTCTTGCCTGTGGCGATCTATGTCCATGGCGGTGCATTCAACCGTGGACATTCTTCTATGCAAAATACTGCCTCTATGGTAGCCTGGTCTGAAGAACCGTTCATTGCGGTCTCGTTCAACTATAGAGTTGGAGCTCTTGGTTTTCTCCCTTCTGCAAGGTCGGCGGAGGAAGGAGTGTTGAATCTTGGTATGCAAGACCAGCGATGCCTCTTCGAGTGGGTCCAAGAAAACATCCATCATTTTGGCGGCGACAACAACAATGTTACTTTGATCGGGTTGTCTGCAGGGGCAATCACCGTGAGTTTAGATGTGACTACACAACGCAATCGGGAGTGCCACTGACATTGCACACAGATTGGACATTTTCTCTTTTATTACAGTGACAAAACCCCCCGTCCATTCCACCGAGTAATCATGGAGTCGGGCTCACCGACCACCAGAGATTGCCGGCCGTATAATGAAAACGTCATTGAGGGCTATTTTAGAGAGTTCCTATCACAGGCTGGCTGTCCGCCCGATCTTTCGGCCTCAGAGACCTTCGCCTTTCTACGTACATTGCCTTTATCTACCATTACAGATGCTCAAGCGGCCGTTTTCAACAAATACAAACCTACTATGCAGTGGCCATTTCGCCCAGTCATAGACGGTGATCTCATACCTCGACCGCCGATGGAGAGCTGGCGTCTAGGCCACTTCTACAAGATTCCTATCCTGACAGGGTTCTGCACCAACGAAGGGTCGCTTTTTATGGATTTGAAGTTGTCAGAATCCCAACAGTTTACGCAATTCATGCGGACCCTCCTTCCTAGTCTCCCTGATGTGGACTTCGACCGATTGGAGGAGCTATACCCTGATCCATTACTCGGGGATCTGACATATCAAGATGACAGAGTCGGGAAAGACATTGGCCCACAATATATGCGAACAGAAGCAGCCTATGGCCAGTACTCCCTCATAGCACCCATCCGACAGACTGCACACCTTGCCTCGTCGGCTGCACCGGTGTACCTGTACCACTGGGATGTATTCACCACCCTCTTCCGAGGCGCCGCTCATGGCGACAATCTAAAATATGAAACGTTTGATCAAATCACAACATCTCTTTCGGACGGACAGAAAGAGGTGTCGGGCATATTTCACGCCTACTTAACAAGCTTTATCTGTAACAATGGCGATCCAAATCGGATACGAGGGAGATATAAGCATCGCGCGCTATGGAGGCCGTATACTGGCGAACAACCTCTGACTATGATGCTAGGTGGTGGGAACAGGGAGCTCATAGGAGGGCCTGTGGGCACACCAGCCGAGTTGATACATGAGACCTGGGCCATGGAACAATGCAAATTCTGGTGGGACAGAACAGAACTTACACAGAAGTAACTACTGACCAGCTATCGCTGCTAATCAGGCTGGGTTGACTAAAACCCTTCCCTAGTTCTGTCAGATGCGCACGTAAAACTTAGAAAGCCACAAGATAGGCCGAGGGGAAAGAGCATGCAGGATATTCTGAATTATCTGTATAAAATATATATAAACTAAAACCTATAATTCTGCCTAGGTGAATAAACCTGCAGTCCAAAGAGAACGAAACAACGTGCCGGGGGGGCCCAGGTTTTCTTGTGTGACTCCTCAAGAAGCCTCCCTTTCGTAAGGATGAGCTCATCAATGTTTTCGCAACCTGCTGTTGCTGTATGTTAAGGGATTAGCCCTTGAGGGTGTTGGTTCGTAGGGACTTCCGGCTGGTAGTGTATACTGTATAAAGGCCTGTGGGATCTCAATTTGTAGGCACAGTTTGTGATAAGGCTGGAAATTGTTGGCTTTGGAGAGATTGTACGACTCCAAGCCCTGACACAACCTCCAAGTCAGAGTAGTCATTTTGGTGGCAAATACATTCTTACCTACAATGGAAAGGTTCAGAATCATATGCGTGTTCAAGAAAGAGGTCCTGTTTCACGCTCCTGTAGAGCTTTTCTCAGGACCGACTGAGGTGAATACACACAGGTCGTCAGTTAAGCAAGGTCCTGAAGGCCCAGCGGGCGCTGAGACCCATTTCAAGAGAGCAAGGTTCGAGGGCCACTATTTTAATACTGTGCTGAATTGCACCTGTATTGGCCGAGGAGTCTTGAATATAGATGAGACCTATCGTACGCTGCCGCAAAATTAGAGACCCATAAATGGAGAAGTGAGGTGCAAGTCTCGAGTTTCCGACGTGTTTCATCCCAGTTTAATGGGAATAGATGTAGAGTAGTGACGACGAGGCGTGAAGTCCAATAGGGTCTTTAATGCCGGGGATCTACTCGTAACGATAGGCTTCTCATGGAGTAAGGCGATCCTTGCACATTCAGCCGAGCTTTGCTTTACCTCGACCTCAGAATTGTCTAGCATCAGAAATTGCCGCAAGAACAAAGAGGGAATATTCGACGAAAGCTGTAACCATCCGTAGAGTACTCCGTAGAGTGCAACAAGATCCAAGCCGCGCTTGGCCAGGCTAAGGCTCGAATGATAAGCATGGTTTTAGGGCAGAAACATCATGGAGGTGCCGCGCCAAAGTACGAGAGATTCATAGGGATTATTTATTTCTAGCACAGAAATTTGGATTAAAATTCTGCTCTAGAATTTCTGCTTCTGATGGGGAGGATGGCCGAGCGGTTATGGCGTGTGACTCAAGTTTTATCTTGGACTGTAAACCAGTCTTCTCATGGGCTTTGCCCGCGTGGGTTCGAATCCCACTCCTCTCAAATTTTTTCCTCTTCATTTGTACCCACGTCGTGGAATGCATACAGCCAGGAAACATGTAGGGTATGTAAGTTTTTTGCATCAGCAGCAATTTAGTGCTTAGAAAGTGCGCAATGACTGATCACTGGCTGCCAAGGCCTGTAAAGACTTGAGGTCCCACCTCCCAGGGGTCCGAGCCTCGGTTTGTTCCCATTCGCTCATCTTACTTTCAAAGTTCTAATGTAGACCATAGAGCGGCGCTATTGCTAATGGTGTCTGCTGGGGAGGAAGTACCCCGTAAATGCGCCTCGTTACGAGCCTAACCCAAGGTTAGAATCTCGCCTGCAGCCCCCTCGATATGGAGTCGACCAGAACCTTGAATCTATGATTTCAACAACAGCTAGAAGCCTACTTGCCAACCATGCCTCACCCGTGCGAGATTGAAGTAGAGATCTCAGACTGTGGACTGTTAATAGTCTCTATAAAAGAGTGTCAAAAAGCTAACCATGCTAGCTTTTGACACTACCGATCCCACTCATGGTCATCAGTAACCATGCCGACGGCCTTGCCATCACGTTTCCAGATGACACCATCCTTCATGACAAAGTCGACGCGCCTGAGAGCCTTTGGGTTCTCGCGAGGATCTTCACGAACAGCAATAATATCTGCGCGGTTTCCCTTTTCAAACCAGCCGAAGCGCATCCCGCAAAGGTCTCCACCACATGCTTCCCACCCTCCCACCGTGCAGGCTTCGAGAACCTCTTCCCAGGAAAGCCCTACCTCTCGGAGAAGCTCCAGCTCTCGGGTCGACTGGCCGTGCGGGTATGTTCCAGTGTCTCCGCCTGCTGCGAATCGTACGCCTAGTTTATATGCCATTTTGGATTGTTCCATGATCTCGTCGAACCGCTTCGCATGCACCCGCTCGCAGACGGCTAGGGTTGGGACGAAGATGGTGCCCTTCTCGATCATTTGCTTGAAGATCTCCTCATTTGCGAAGTACGCGTGCTCGATAGAGATGACACCTGCTTTGATGGCCATCTGCGCTCCCTCAATGGTGCCTGCGTGACATACGACCGGAATTTGCGCCAAGTCGGCCTCCTTGACTAGCGCATCGACCTCTTCTTGGTGGAAGACGAGATAATCAGGGTTGGGATCTTTCGGCGGATGTGTAGGACTGGGAATATAAGGATGTTGCTGTGCAGGTGGGTAGCGCATAATTCTTCGTCTGTAATCGGCGAAAAACTTGATGACATCGGCACCAGCAGCAATGCGACGCCTCACGGCCGTCCGGATCTCGTCGACACCATCCACGGCTTCGCCTCCTCGTGGGTAGCAGACGCCATTGGCGTGGTTTTCCGTGCGCATTTCATAAGACCCTGTGCTGGCGAGTGCCCGAGTCGCAACGTAGAGACGTGGTCCAGGGATGAGGCCTCGGTTGATGCAATCGCGGATCTGAGCATCCATTTCTCCCATCGACTCTGAACTTAGATCGCTTGGGAAGTTGTCAGTTCCATTCTATCCAATAATGAGGCTCTGTTTACCGGTAGGTAGTGCATCCTGCAAGTAGTGCTGTACGCACATGATGAGTTGCGCGAATAATTCGCTCAGGAATACTTTCGTCCCTTTTTTGAATTAAAGATGCGCGCTCACTATAGAGTAGTTAGACCGGAACAGGATCATGTTGCAGAAAAGGCGAAGATGGTATTGACCTACTCGTAGGAATGAAGGAAGATATGGGTGTGCGCATCGACAAGGCCTGGCATCACCACCTTGCCTCTGAGATCGACATCACCTTTAGGCACATCCTCTCCCAGGCAGTCTGATTCTTTCCTTTCGTAGACATCAACTACCAGCCCTGACTTTGAGTCAACTGTCACCGACACATTTTTCAAAAATTCCTTCTTTTTCGGGTCGAATAACGTCGACGTGTGAATCGTATACTGTGTTGTCATTTTGATGTAAATGGTGCCGTGTCCCCATATTACTTGGGATCCAACACAAAAGTAAATAGTCCTTAAGTAGGTCTCCATTGATCTTTGACTGTGCATTCGCCTTCCATTTGTAGATTTTGGAGAAATCGGGTAATTACTGGGAAACTCCCGAATGGAAATCCCTAGCGCAATGTCTCTGGGCAGGCTTAAACCCGCGAGCCCACAGCGGAGCCTGAAATCGTACAACCACCGTGGACTGCTCCTCAGGCCGGAGAGCCGTCACTAATTTCATTGTTGATGCTCAATACCGAGCCGATTTGCCTCCACCCATTCGTGCTGGAGATAGCAGCTAATCCCGAATTTTCAATTTCATCGTCAGAATGTAATGCACGGAACAAGCTGGGGAAACATGCTGCTAGGCTTGATATAACAGGCTGAGAGATCACAGCATGACTCAAGGCTGAAGCAGTTAACTTCGCCAGGCGTTCAGGCAGAGTTCAGCAAAGTCCACGAACCACAAATCAGCCATACTATTCCACGCTCAATGCAATGGTATTCACTGTCGTTGCCACAGGTGATCTTGTCATCAATGGCCCTCTTCAGCGACCTGTCGATCAGAATCAGGTCTACGATCATGTGAGAAACGCAGATTCGTGCTTTTCCAACTTAGAGATGCCCTTCAGCAGGGACGGGTTGCCGTCTGAAAAATTGATTGCCCTGAAATGTGACCCTATTCACGCCCCAATAATCCGTGATGTCGGCGTGGACGTTGTGACGATGGCCAATAACCACGGGATGGACTATGGCAACGAAGGCCTCCTGACGACAGCTGAAGCACTTGACGGTGCTGATGTTGCCCACGTCGGATTCGGCAAGAATAGTCTTGACAGTTTCGCACCTGTGGTGAAAAAGATCAAGAACACAAATGTGGCGTATATCGGTGTCACCACAACTTTGCCGAATGGTAGCGGTGCTGGTCCCTCGCGGCCTGGACTCGCTGGAGTGCGCGTTTTCACCAAATATGTGATCGATACCGTCACGCTCGACGAGTCCCCGGGGATGTCGCCATTTTCCGAGACCGTCACGTACAAGCCAGATGAAGAGGTCCTTCTCCAGACTATTCGCGACGCGAGAGCTAAAGCAGATGTCGTCTTGGTGGGTATCCATTGGGGCGTGCCCTATGGATGGGTAGCTGCGACACAAGATGAGATCGCAACATATCAGCAGCCATTAGCACACGCAATAGTCGATGCTGGAGCATCAGCGATTTTCGGCCACCATCCACACGTAGTTCAGGGGGTTGAACTGTACAGAGAAGTTCCTGTGTTTTATAGTCTGGGAAATTTTATCTTCAGCAACACCATTGTTACTCCCAACGCTGATTTTCGGAAATATCCTCCTTACAGTTGGACCAGTCTGCAAGCAACGCTTTCCAACATTGGGGCTCTAGCAAAGATATCTTGGGACGGAGGCAGATTGATAGATTGCTCAATCATCCCGTTGACTATTGCGGAGGATGGTGAGCCTTGTGAGGCTACAACGAAGGATACTGAGGTCCTGATATCGCGCCTGAATATTCTGTCTAAGGGTCGCGGTGTGCATTTCGACTTGAGACAGCTCGAAGGCGGATTCGAAATCGGCATAGTGAAAGCATAGCCTGAAGACACTCTGGAAACAAGCAAGACGCTGAAAATTCCAATTTCTTGCATTCCGCATGGGCATTCGTACCATCAAACCATGTTCCATAGCAATTGCACAAATGTTTCCCATGCCTCGGCGTATACCGCACCACTTTCCCATCGCGCCACGAAGGAAGAAATAAGAGCAGAAACTTTCAGGATGGGGCCTAGCGCAAGGCGTGGTTCCATTGCGTAAAACGACCCAGCTTGCGCTGTCTGGTGCCGACACATGAGATAGGTCGCCCAGACCAATCCAGCCTCAAGGACTTGTGATGCAGCCATAGAAATGCTAATGATCTTCTTGTCTTCGTTCAGGCGGGCGAAATGGTCAATAATTGCAGACGCAGAACATGCAACAATCTGAAAGAGCCTGGAGCTGGACAAGTTGACTGAACCACTAGACATCACATCCGACGTCGTGAAGATGGGATGCAAAGCCAGGTATAGCGTCGCTGAGTATATGCTTATATCCGAAGTTGTTAATCTCACCTGTAAATGAAGTGGAATCAAACTTTCGAAGAAATCCTCTGATTGCAAAGGGAAGTGCGTTATGTGCTCGATAATATTTTGTTGATGGGTCAAAACATTCAGGTCGTCCGACAACATTCCGGACGATGTTGAAATCCCCACTGTCGAGTTCAGACGCAGCGCACAATAAGGAGATTGGAGTCGAAAATATGTCATAGTACAGCTTCAAGAGATATCTTAGCATCACTCAAAATTGCCTTTTTGAGACTTACCTCTCGAGTTTCAGCAAGGAGCCCTCTAGCCTTATAAACGCATCGTCCAATTCCATGTTTTGAAGTTGGTATTCTTCACGAAGGTCTTCAATCGTTGAACAGGCTCTTCCCAACAGATCCCATAGCTGCCCCGAACTCGGATTTATTGCTTCACAGAGAGCAAGCGCACACAAAGCGGTACATGTCCATCTTATCGTCGCCACCTGTGTCTCTTGTGGTCTCAGGTTTTGGGGAATTTTTTGTACATCATTAATGCAGCGTATTGAGATGCCGGATAAAGTGGGGTCCAGATCCCGCGTAATCAGCGTGGAGGAAATAGCAAACACTATACTCAACGCAATGGCACCGGGGTGGTCTTTATTCGCGCTACTCCATCTCAAGGGGTTCTCGTGCATCCCTATAACTGACTGCAGCTCGCGGGTGAGCAAAGGGTACTCCTCGGACACGACTTTCATAAAGTGCTCTATGATTGCTCGCTGAGTAGAAGGCGGTACGAGAGACTGGAGCTCCAGTTTGCGCTGGTCCAATAGAACGTGAAACGATGGCAGAGTTGTCAAACTCTGGGGTCCAAATGATGTTGAGGATTCATCCCGCAGCAGACGTTCTGGAATCGGCAGGTGGCTGGCCAGATGCCAGTAAACGGAGTTCTTCAGTAAACGCTCCAGAAAGCGAGCCAGGTTTCCGGGACCTAGATATGCCGTTGGTGAAGGGGACGGAATGCCATCATTTGAGATGGTCAGATGATAGCTTTGCTCAGTGACTTGTAGGGAAGGCACATTGAGGACAGGATCATTCTGCACGGCACGAGATCTGGCTCTGAGATTCCGGATCTCGGACTCAAGACGTTGTTTCTTCTGGCCGAGAGCATATAGGTGACTGGAGACTGGTTGAATGGGCGGAAACCATGATAGATGAGCTGGGGTTCACTTACCCGCAGGATATCTCCTGCTGTAGGGAATCGTCCCAGAAGGTACACTCGACGTCGTTGATCCGACAGCTCTTGCAGGCAGGTAGTTGCAGGTCGCACTAGATTCTTGAATTTTAACTTGCTGAGCGGAACAATGTTGGCTGGTAAGGCGATTACCTTTGTTCGTCTCTTCCGACATCTACTACAAACTCGTAAAGCCATGTTGCATCAATGAGACGATGCAGATGTCCATGAGCAGAGCGAGATGATGGATATTCCTACAGCTGTCAGGTCAGGGACGACGGTTAGCTGGAATTTCCAAGACTCAGAGTGCTCCTACGACTGGAGCGCGGAGGATCTTCTGTTAACAGAGATTCATCCACTGAGTACTGCAATAGAAGCGAGGTTGAATTGGTTACTCAGAACCTATTGGCGCCAAGACCCCACTAGCGCGTACTAACTGTTCAATCACGTGATGAGCTAGCATACCTTAGACACTAAAAGTCTCTAGAGTTGGTGTTGGTAAATATGACCCTGTTTTCAGGTCTATTTTAAGGAGCTAGGCGGGACGCCCTATTTAGTTGGATATAGAGGGCATATCTTGCCTATTCTATACAATCTCTACACAAGCTTTTACCACCAAGATGGCTGTTTGGATTTCGCCAGCAGTTGGCTAGAATGCTCCCTTATCGATCAATAAAACCGCCACTACTTCAGCATTCGGAATGCTTTTGAAAGCATGGAAAATGCCGATTTCATTCATAATCAACTACCCTCGACCAGAACTCTCTCCATCTCTGCAATCAACAACGACATAGTGTGCCCGCCGCTATTGGTCCTCAGCTAGGCTACTCCTTCACCTTGTTCACCAAAATCTTGAGACTCTCTACCGCATCCTCCTTTTCCATAAGAATCTCTGCCATCCTGAACCCCTTTCCATTTCCAAACTCCTGGTCCTGGATCAGGTCCATCAACTGTCCCCAATTTTCCACCCTCCTCGTTGTGACTGGGTATAGTTCATCATTCTCAGGCGCGCCAAAGTAACTGGCCGATTGCAGATACCGCCATGCCTGGACATCGTTGTAATGTGCTCTCATACCGTGGATGAGGCGCTCAATTGTGTAGCCATCGTTGTTTAGAAGGAAGATTGTGACATCTAAGCGATTTCGAATGATGTCCGAGATAGCCTGTGCAGTCATTTGTAAGGAACCATCGCCTTCGAAGAGAATCGTCCGTCCAGAGAAGCATTTGCTTGAGGCACTAAGCTCACGTTGCGCAAGTGCCACACCTTGGGCCGCGGGCAACATGAACCCAATGCTGAGCCAAATGCTACTATTATGCAATTGCGTCTTCTCGGGGAGGACGAACTCTCTTGAGCCTATCGATGCTGTGCCTGTCTCTGCTAAAATGATGTCGTGAGGCCTGAAGAAGCTTGAGATGCGGCGGTAGAAGGTGCATTGATCTATAGGACTTTCGGATGCCGGCGCTGCGAGTGCCTTGAGCTCCTGCAGCGGATGAACCAGTTGCTCCGGATACGGCTTGTACTGCCAGAGCTTCTGCGGGACGATTCGGTCCAGGACAGCTTGGAACACAGACTTCATATGCACGTTGCTGAATGTCGTGGTATTACAAAGGTCAATTGAGTCTTTGTTGAAGGTGATTGTTCTTTCTGCCTCAGGAATAGTACTGAAATTCAGGGTATTCACGTTGCTGTTCAGTGGTGCTATCCGAAGTATAAGGTCGCAGCTATCAAACCACGGCATAGGTACATTCTTTCCTATCACGCCTTCGTATACTCCGTGGAAGTTTGGATACGTCTCATTGACGATTCCCTTCCCAAAGGGTGTTGTTGCGGTAGGAAAACCAGTGACACGCACAAGCTCGTTTACTTCTGATGCGATACCGTAGCGTGAAGCAAAACCATCTACAATAATGAATGGTTGTTTAGAGGCATATATCCTATCAATGATAGCGTTGATCTCGGCATCATTGAAGCCTTTCTCTGTTGTGAGACCAAGGTCTATAGGTGATTTGAGGAGAGAAGCTGGTACTTGAGTAGTGACCATGTCAGTCGGAAGCTCGATGTACACGGGTCGGCTCTTGAGTATGCATTGTCTTAGCGCAGAGTCGATCTGCTCTGGGGCAGTCTCAGCATCTCTCAGATTGGTCTGCGCGATGGTGACGTTCTTGTACATCCGTGAAAATATTCTCAAGTCGCCATTACCGAGTGAATGATGGATACAAGTGCTAGCATCTTGTATGGCAGTAGAGGGTGTGCCGACGATATGCACCACAGGAGACATCTCAGCATACGCTCCGCCGATCGCATTAATAGCCGACAGTTCGCCAACGCCAAAGGTTGTGATGACAGCTGAAATGCCTTTGATCCTCGCGTATCCATCAGCAGCGTATCCAGCGTTGAGCTCATTGGCGTTCCCCACCCAATTGAGACCTGAGGGCTCGATATAGTCAAGAATTGTGAGATTGAAATCGCCTGGTACACCATGTACCGATCCGACGCCGAGTTGGTACAGGCGGGCGAAGAGATACTTTGCTAGATCAATCCAAACACTCATGATGACGACACAACTCCACGTTCTCTTTCGAAGATGGCAGGCTTGCAATCTCAGGGCTGATCCTTATACCGTCCACGTCTACACGCCACACTTGAAGCCTTGAGACGAACAGGATGTCGAGCAGGCACTTGTGTCAGTCGGGAGGGTCCTGCTATTCATACGTCCCGAGTCGCCATTTTAGAGAGGAACAAGGCAACAATTTACCGGTGAGCAAGCCTGGCATCAACCCCGTGAAATATCTGATTTCTTCACCGGCTGACTAAAGGCTTTTTCTGACTGAACTGTTTGGGAATGAACCGATTTCTCGTTTCTGGAATCCATGCTAAATCCTAGGAAGGACCTGGAAATTTCAGATTGCCAGACCAAGGTATATTGGGCTTCAAAGCTGTTCGTTGCGTCGCTTTGCAGAATCTTGGTACGAACAACAGAGAAAGCGTGCCGCAGCTGCAGGCTTCTGACGGCAGACCCTCCCAAATCTGACGCGCCTACTTTCTGACTTCCATGGGCCATCACAGACTCGGAGTTCTGTTTTGATGTTTAAACACAACCACTGAGGATCTTACCTGTTTGGAAGACCGCTGGAAAAAAAGACCTGAGGAATTATTGTTGTGATTAGCTGGTATGTTCTGCTTGATTGCAATAGCCATATATACCCCTGACCTGAAGATCGAAATTATCCAAGAAGACAGCCTCTGCAATAATCATCACAATGTGCGATCAGGGAGGGCGGTCGTGCAACTCATGTGCAAACAACAGCCAAGGAGTTGGAAATGTCGCCGACATTGAGGACTACCTCCTCCAGATTGGGACATTGAGGAGGCAGAATCAGCGATTGCAGCAGCAACTGTCCGAAGCAGGTGTGAGGAGAAGTCCACGTCCGGATACTGACCGATCCAAACTGCGTTCTGCTCGTTGGTTCAATGAGGAGAAGAACCCCGGAGTGTCTGCAGCATACGCCGAGCGATATTTCAACTCCGGGCTGACACCAGAAGAGCTGCAATCCAACAAACCAATTATTGGTATCGCCCAGTCTGGATCCGACTTGACGCCATGCAACCGGCATCACCTGCTGCTGGCGCAACGAGTCCGGGCGGGCATTCGCGCTGCCGGGGGCGTGCCTTTAGAATTTCCAACCCACCCTATCCAGGAGAGCACAAGAAGACCGACTGCGGCTTTGGATAGAAATCTTGCCTATTTAGGCCTCGTGGAATTGCTACATGGATATCCGCTGGATGGCGTCGTGCTGCTGACCGGATGCGACAAAACGACACCGGCCTTTCTCATGGCGGCTGCCACAGTCGTAAGTCCCTGAGCAAGGTTGAAACACTCTGATCTCGCTGATTTTGTGTCAAAGAATATCCCAACCATCTGTATGAATGTAGGTCCGATGCTAAATGGCCATCTAGAAGGCTCAAGCGCGCGCGTCGGGTCGGGAACCATATTCTGGAAAGCTAGAGAAGAACATGCAGCAGGTAGAATCGACAATGACATGCTCATAAAACTTGTGGCAGCAGGGTAAGCTTTAGGCGTCTCCCCGCTCATTTCCTACTGACCTGACTTATAGAACACCATCGGTAGGACATTGCAACACTATGGGAACGGCGTCTACGATGAATGCTCTAGCCGAAGCGCTGGGTATGGCTCTCCCAGGGTCGGCAGCCATTCCAGCCCCATATCGCGAAAGAACCCAGTGTGGATATGAAACGGGTAAGACAATAGTCGAGATGGTGTACTCGGACCGTAAGCCTAGCGACATTATGACCCGCGAAGCCTTCGAGAATGCTATCGTAGTGAATAGCGCCATCGGGGGAAGCACAAATGCTCCAATACACCTTATTGCTATTGCTAAACACGTCGGAGTTACTCTCGATCTCGACGACTTTGATCGCATCGGCTACGAAATTCCACTGATATTGAACGTCCAGCCAGCGGGCGAAATGCTATGTGAGGAGTACTATCAAGCAGGCGGACTCCCGGCGGTAATGGCCGAGCTTCTAGATCAAGGCAAACTACACGCTGAAATACTGACCTGTACTGGTAAGACAATAAAAGAGGTCGCATTCGGGAGACACTCATGGGACAGAAGGACGATAAAGGCATATTGCGATCCGATCAAGGCGCGGGCTGGGTTTGCGCACCTAAAAGGGAATCTGTTTGACTCTGCAATTATGAAGACTTCTGTTATCTCACGAGAATTTCGAGAAGCCTATCTACAAGATGTCAATGACCCCAATACATTCGAAGGGCGAATCGTGGTCTTTGAGGGACCGGAAGATTACGAAAGACGTATCGAGGATGCGCAGACTCGAATCGACGATAGAACGATTCTCGTAATGCGAGGTGTTGGTCCGCTGGGGTTTCCAGGTGCTGCAGAAGTGGTCAATATGCGTGCGCCCAGCCACCTGCTGAAGCGAGGTATTCGTTCTCTCCCGTGTATCGGGGATGGAAGGCAGTCTGGTACCTCGGGATCACCGTCTATTCTGAACGCAAGTCCTGAAGCGGCGCTTGGTGGCAACCTAGCCCTCATACGTGACGGCGATCGACTTCGGGTCGACTTGAATAGCCGGCGCGTTGATCTCTTGCTTTCCGAAGATGAATTGGACAAGAGACGAAAGGAAATGGAGGACCAGGGTGGTTTCCCGGTCCCAGAGAGTCAGACCCCGTGGCAGGAAATCTTTAGAAGAGAAGTGGGCCAGCTGGACGGAGGCATGGTCCTGAGAGACGCCGTCAAATATCAACGAGTGGCACAGCGCTGGGCAGTCCCACGCCACAATCATTGAGATGATTGCATTCGATATGTTTCCCTCTAGGCAGAAATCTCTAGAGCAGTGATGCAATGTATGGAGGACGCGATTCCATCCAGGTCTGGGTCGCTGGCCAGTTTCAGCTTTTCTCGATAGAGTATGTTAATTTGGTAGGGGAAAAGGGGGACCAACCTCGCCAAGTACCTATGATGGTGAGGCTAGCGAGGGAGTGCTTGGTACCTAACCAACCAGTTTATTAGGTAGTTGCTGGGCCGGCCGAGGCGCCTAGGCACTGTCCAAGCCCCTGGGATCCCCTGGCTGACGACCTGGAGATGTACCCGGGGTGCCCAGGTTCGCGCCTGCCAGTGCGGAGGTCATCACCCGCTGTGTACGAAGGACGTTGCTAAAGATCCTCGGCTTGGTTGTCAAAGGCAAGTTGCATGATGCACTTTCCCGGACTAGTTGCATTCCCGCACCTGCCCTTGGCAATGATGCTAACTATTAGCCCCGCCAAGGCTCTTATCCAGGCAACTGGTTTACTCGAGCTTGTCCATCACAGAGCTTCTCTCCTCTCCATACCATTGCATGAACAACAAACGCTCGTCTATTATCGAACTACGCCCCTCGGCTGGATCGATTCATCTTACGGAGTATCACCACTTTGTAACTGTTGACGCCTAGAGGCGTCGATGTGAGAGGTGGCTCACCACGGCTACTAGTACGTGTGGGAAGGAAAACACATGTTTGACCAGCACGTCTCATTGTGGATGGGTGAGGACTTGAACACAGACAACTGGATCGGCGTTTCCGATCGGAAAAAAAGGAAGCAGATTCAAGATAGACTGGCTCAAAGATCGCGCCGTATGTGTTCTGTTGAAGTATTCCTTCCATCTGCTGAACGTGAGTGTATCTATACACAGAACTGATGGCGTCGTAATCTTGAAGGCAAACGACTCGCGAATTTGAAAAATGCTGGCAACAACGCCCAACGGGGCTGGAACGTCGTGGGACAAGCCAACGCGCACGAGCTTCAACAACAGCCTCGTACCTCGCAACCCGTACACACTACAAGCGATTCTGAAGCTGGGTCGGCCATCTCAGCAGTAGCGACAGTGACAGCAATGCCCACAGCCGCAGTACCGGCTTCATGTGGCATGCCCATGACAATGGGAACCAGTCAAGTGCCCTCGCTGGCTGCGATGTCCATGTCGGCGTCCCCTCAAGCCTCTCCGGCATCCAACGCGTCAGCACCAGCTGCAGCCGACGATTGCCTGATGTCTCATTCCAACAATACGGTCTTCACTGCCCTGTTCAAAAATGGCCGTGTCCTGGGCATTCCCTGCGGCAGTCAGATCACTTGGAAGTCGACTTCACGCGGCCCCGCGATACCTACCTCGCTCCAGCCGACACTTTTGCAGCGGACGGCCATGCACACTTCTTGGATTGACCGCTTCCCCTTTCCGCTCATGCGCGATAACTTCATCAGGTTGAATGCCGTCATTGACGAAGAGGAGTTTCTGAGTTGCCTCTTCGACACCCATAGCTTCACCATTGTGCCCGGCACCATGAGCTGGGACCCAAGTGGCTGGATCATTGGTAAGGAATTTAGAGAGAAATGGGGATTTTTGTTCTACTAAATGTCTTTCTGTTCGTGCCTACACACTCTCCCGCCAGAATCTCTGCCCCGAAACTGCCAGTTCGTCAACCTCGAGGATACCCGACGATGTCTGAGGACCTGCACTGAGGCCAATTTCAGCACGGAATAACATAGAGGTTACCTATGCTTTCTCCTGAGCATGGACTTGGTGACCTATAGCTAGAATAGAAATTGTACTGTGACTTTGATGTTGTCTATATCTGCGTGCCCCCTCTAGGAGACCACACCGTCCAACCCTCTTTGTAAGGAAATGTGGACCAATTTTGCCGAACTCTGCCCATCCCTCTACAATCTAGCCTCTGACCTACGCACTAAAAACACGCGGTCGGCCCGTCCACCTCGTCATTTGGAATATTTAGCGGTGACTCAGGGAAGACCGAGGTCCATCATCACCAAATAGCATCTCTGTCCAAATTCCATGGGGCTATAAAGTAGCCCAACACAAAGTCCGATAGATCTTAAGCTCTTAGCACTGGTGCAGGATTCTGATACTTTCAACAATATCGGTCGAGCTCTTAGAATGAAAGATCTCATCACAGTGGCCTTCGGGCACAATCCAGCATGCTTATGCCAGATCTATCCCCTCTTAGAGGCTTAGGTGTTGTGTACCATGTTATTGCGTCGAACAGCCGAGAAAACACCTGGCGCGTATCGCGGTGACCGGCGTCCGTCAAACCATGTAATGCACCTTTCTGACACTTCCCCAGTCCCCGCCAAGTATCTGACGCCACTCCACATTCTTGTCTGACACTTCTCCACCCTCTGACGCCTCCACCGCTCTCCGCTTTGATCTGGGCTGTTGTGGTGACACCTCTCGTGTCAGAAAGTTGCATTAGCATCGCCCGAAGAGGCACAATTTACGAAGTTTTTCCCTCAATCTTTCCCACCTGGTCGTTTTTGGAAAGCCTGGCTACTACTTGCAAACCACCACCCGTAGCACTGTCATGTTACATCTGCTTCGTATCTGGCTCTCAGCGTGAGGTGAAGCCCACTGTGATGGCATCACGATCATCAACTCGATGCAGAGTGTCAGGGACTTGTTTTGCCAAGCTCGAGTAGACAGCGGACAACTGGGCAGTCATTACAGGCCCGATCGGAATGAGCATTCTGACTTTGTGATTGATACTGGTGGCCAGTGGCATGGAGCCTTGGGTCAGGATATTTCGCGCCGGACAGACGCATATTCTAGAAAACACATTTCTCACATCAAGTATTTCCAGCTGGCAGTAGCGCAACTGTGAGTCGTGCAATTAAGTATGTGAAATACTAGTATTTAGCTCTGCCACATCATCTCTGTGTGTTGATCAGGATGTTGGAAACGCCCCCGTCACTGAGACTGTGTGAGACTTCATCAACCAACCTCCAGCGACAAGGACCAGAGCGTGCTTCGCACGCCGTTAAATCGACCAAAATTCATCAAGCATGAGTTCCTCTTCAATTATCTCGGAGCCTCCCAGGGTGCTTTTCATCGATGTGTTTGGCACCGTGGTGAACTGGCGTCTAACTGTCACCCAAACCCTACAGAAACGAGCCTCAGAAGTCCTCCAATCCTCCACTGCCCAACTCTCCCCCACTCTGCGAAAAAGAGCATCGACCACGGATTGGGCCGCATTCACCCAAAAGTGGAGAGAGGCTTACTATCACTTCTGTGTGACCTATGACCCTGCGAAAGTCAACGGCAGTCCAGGTGGCTACAAGACCATTGACCAGCACCACCGCGAGAGCCTTTCCGACAACCTGGAGACTTTCAACCTGACCGGTCTCTGGTCAAAGGAGGAGCTAGATGAGCTGGCCATGGTATGGCATTACCTAGCACCATGGCCCGATTCCCCGCGTGGCCTTGAACTTCTGACGCAGAAATTCATCACCTCGAGTCTGAGCAACGGCAACGTGAGCCTCTTACAAGACCTAGCCACAACCGGTAACTTGTTGTTTACACACATTCTCTCAAGCGAAATGTTCAAAGCATATAAGCCGAATCCGCTAGTCTACAATGGCGCGGCGCAGCGACTTGGAGTACCGGCAAACCAATGCGCGCTTGTGGCGGCGCATTTGGCTGATTTGGAAGGCGCCCGCCAGTGCCAGTTTCGGACGATTTATATTGATCGGGAGAATGAGGAAGGGTGGAGCGCGGAGGATAAAGAAAAGGCGAGAGACTGGGTAGATCTGTGGGTGGATGGGTGTCTGCAGAACGAAGAAGACGGGTTTGTGGAGCTCGCGAGGCTGCTTGGAATTATGATCCACCAAAGCGAGAGGTGAATGTGTCTGTGGACCTGAGCGTGTAACACGTAGTGAACGGCCCCATGGTTCGGCCTGCCCAATGAAGAAGCACACAGAATGCGGTGCCCTGGAGATAGTCTGGTATAATCTGGTGCACGCCCTGGGCAATGTCTACATGATACCACTTCTACTACATACGCGCTTGTCGATTGAATTGAATTTGACTTACTGCCGATCAAGCGTTGCCTTGGTTCTTTTTCATTCTGTCTAGACAAGTCTACCGCAATGCTGAATCTTTCTGGCCGGCTCCCAATTACCATGAGTCCTGACCGGTGGAGGCATTCCTAGAAATATGTATTATCCAGTAGGGCTACTCAGCGCAGATAGCTCCTTTTTTCGAAAGCTTTAATTCTTCGATACCAAGCGTGCGCTGACCCAGTCCACCACGGCCATCTCGTAGTCGACTGTCCTGGACAGCTGAGTGAGTGCAGCGAAGGCATGCGGTAGTCCACGGTAGACGTTGAGCTGAACGGGGACGCCTGCCCGCTTGAGGGCTTCGAAATAGGCGAGACCTTGGTCGCGCAGAGGATCCAAGCCTTCATTGAATTAGTCAGTTCTTTCTTAAGGGAACGAGACACGGTTGAGCTAATACCAGCCACTTGAACCAGCGCAGGAGGTAACCGTTCGAACGATTTCGCAAGCAGCGGACTGTGCCATGTGTTTTCAGTCACATTCGGAACGTACTGATCTACATCTAGGACATCAGCCTCAGTTTGGCCGTTGAGACACATTTTGCCAGCCTTATAGCGTTTATACTCACTCCAGAACCATCTTGTTCTTTCTGCGTTGAGTATGGGAGAATCACGATTCTCCTCAAAACTCGTGTATTTGTATCTGTGTGTTGGGAATAAATCAGGATGACATGTGGCCGGAATGTTGAGCACTTGTCCAATGATGCCTGTCACCTCTTCATCTCTTGCATGGAGGGCGAGAGCGGCTGCCTTTGTCGATGCTCAGCACAATTCAGGCAGAGAATGCACGATCAACCAGAAACTCCTACCAGATTTGCCCCCGCAGACGAGCCACCAAGAACGACACGTCCAGGATCGATCCTCAGTCTGTCAGCATTCTTCAGTGCCTAGGAAAAAAAGGACAATTTCCGCTGTCAGCTTCTTCGACGACTGTTACAGAAGACATTACTGGAGTATTCAATACCCAAGTCAAAACGTCCCACGAATCGTTAAAGGCGAAGGGGAAAGGAAATTCTGGCGCCCTGTCAATCCCGATCAATCCACAGATCCACGCAGCGTTGATCGCACAACATACATCCGATAATCCACCGACACGACTCGACATCGGTTCCTGACACAATTTAATCGCACCATAGTCTCCTCAATATTGTGAGATCCAAACACCCATCTGCCCCCATGGGTCACGAACATGAGTGGCAAAATTTCATTGCCAGCGTCCTCCGGTGAATAGGTTTGTACTTCCACTTTGGCGCCATCAGAAACGGTGACCAGCTCTACATTAACCTCTATATGTAACAAGTCGGGCACATATGGCGCATATGATGGAGCCGGGGTCCTGTAGAGGACTTTGGCTTCGTCCAGGTGAAGTCTCCATGGCTTGTCGAAAAACTGTTCGACAATGGGCATCAAGGGTGGAAACTCAGGGTCGAAGTCGAGCTTGCGTTCTGAACTCATTGCAAAGGTTATCAAGAAATACTAACAGGTAGTGCTCAGTGCAGCAGTGGTATCTATTACACTCCAAAAGAGAGATTGGACTACAAAAGCGGCTCAGGGGAGGAGACGACTTTTAGGCCCTGGATACGTACGGACCAATGCCTGGATGCGGAGATCTTCTTGTCCAACAGTCCCTTGAGCAGGATGGTCAAGAGATGGGTTCACAGTGTGTCAATTCCTTATGCGCATCCAGGTCGATTGACATCTACTTAAGCGTACAAGATGACAGGTAGCTATTTGCTCTTGGCACGATGGTCAGCACGATGCCGAGATGATTTTCTGACTTGCAAGCACCAATGCGAGGTCAGAATTCTTCCATCAAGAGCTTAGAGCCTCCAATACATGAGGCCTTCCTTGGATCTACCGGTATTGATCAAAACCGGATTCATATTTCGTACGACGAGGTCAGTGGCTCGCATTTTCTTCTGCACGACTCCTTATCCAATCGGTTGTGCGTATTATTAAAATTTTCATTTGCTCAGGATCGGTATCAAGCTGCTCCAGGCCAGCCAGTACCGGGACCTTGAGGCCTCTGCGTACAGCAGGTCTCCCTAACATCTGAGCCTGCCGGGATTTGACGTGTGGCCATTCATTGACATCCAATCCGGAAAACCCTGTGTTACATGTGAGCACAAGCTAAGATCACTATATCCGCTCGTAGGCCATTTACCCATGATGTGTACCCAGGGAAAGATTGTAATGTCAGCAATGGTGCATCTATCGCCAACTACATACTGCTTTCCGGATTCTTGCAAGTGCTTGTCAAGCACGAGGTAGAGTCGACGAGTTTTATTACGACATCTGTCCTTCGAGTATTGCTCTGGCTGGGAGGAGGGCAGATAGCGAAGGAAATGGTTGACTTGACCTTACATAGGGCCTATTCCGGCCATGTGGAAGAAAAGCTGACGTTTTGGAGAGTCCACGTCAGAACGTCCATACCCTGGAAAGAGGGCAGAAAGCCAAATGTTCAACTCGCCCAACATTTGGTCTGATAATATTCCCTGGTGTCTCTGGGATATGATAGTGTATTCTCCGTGTCACACCTCTCCACCAGATTCTCCATGATACTTGCGGATTCGAAAAAGTGGACGAAGTGCCGTCTTCCAGTGTGTCGACTAAAGCCGGTATCCGACCATTTGGATTGATAGCCAGGAGCCAAGCTTCTTTGTTTTCCATGGCCGACATGCCAACAACAATCACTTTGTAGGGCACCCAAGCTCCTCGACTGTAATTGAAACTTTGGGACCATGGGGTGACATTGCTGTGTACAAGATAATCCCCTGTTCCTCGAGCATCTTGGAAACGGCTCCCTCTTTAGTCACCACTTCGATTCTAAGTGGTAGGATAGGAATCAACTTTTTTTCGGCTCTATAGAAGTGGTTTCCGGGTGTATGTAAGTGGTAGCACACTTTAAGTGCTGCTGAATCACACCATCCTGGAAACTGTCTTGAAGTCAAAGCGGAAAGTGTTTATGGAAGGAGATCTTCAGTGACGGAGCGGACGGCTCTTGTGTTAGGTCCTCATGGTCAATGTCCACTAGCTCTACTGTGACGAGGCTGGCGCCATAGCTGGCAATGTACATGGTTGCAAATGCCCAGGAATCAAAATATGGCCCTAAACCTGCCGACCTTCATGAAGATCAAGACTGAAAGTCGAGAGCTTTCATCCTGAAATTTGAAATTAGCACTTTCTAGGGGCTATCGAAAGCTTACGAAGCTGAGGACGAGCAGTGCCAAGATGTTATCCTTAGCTTATAGGTCTTCCTTGGCCTTGGAACCAGACCTTTGGGCCTCAATCCAAAGACTGGTCCTTTAAAGCCTTGTCCCTGGCCCTGGAAGACTTGAGCCTGCACACAACATGAGCATATCCATAATCCCATCATGGATCAATCGGTAAGTTCTAGCTGAGCATACGATGAGAAAACATCCACTACTTGTGATCCTACGACAGAGTTTCGCATTGTTCAAGCTTAGGCCGACTCGATGTGACGAGCACCAGTCTCATCTGCGACCGCTGTTCTTTTTGTTTTTAAGTCTTCTGCATGGACTTGCTCGAGTTGTGATTTCACGATATTGTCGAGTTCTTTATCCTCCGTGATCGCCTTTCCATCCTTGGTGATATGCACCACAACTTCGTCACCAAAAAGCGCAGCCAGTTCTTCCATGGGCAGATCTTTAGTTTCTTGGATGAAAAAGTAGACAATTACGAAGCAGATAACACATAGGCCCATATATAATAGATACATGTGCCAACCGCTATACCACAAATCTCAGCACATTGAACTATGAAGAGAGCAAGGGGAAACAAACATGTTTTTGAATGCAAGGGCACTCGGTGTTGTGTACGTGAGCGAAGCCACGAAGTAGGAACAAAGACCAAGGCTGATGCCCTTTGCTCGATACGCTATTGGCCATATCTCAGCGATCCAAATGATGGTCGGAGCGTCCACGCACTGATAGGTGACGATGAACATCAGGAGGAAGAGAAGGCAAGCAGCAAGACCACCGCGGTCGTTGCTGCCAAGGTACCTATTCTGAAGCAGGGATTCGCTCAGCAGAAGGACTGCCATAAGCGGATAGCCGACAACTAGCTACAGTCAATTTCACAAGTCACTCAACTGGTGGGCAAACTACGACTTACCAAGCATGATCCTCCTTCCAACTCTATCGACGATGGAGATGGCGAGAGCAACACCTAGAGTGCCAATCGTGGTCCAAACACCTGCAAGGCATGTTGGCTTGGGACCATAGATAGAGTAGAGTTGGGGTTTGCTAATCCTTACCGTACATAACCAAGGGTAGGACTCCCTCAAGACCTAGTCCGGAGAATATCAGCGGTAGATAGGCACTGATGCCAATAACCTAGAATTTCCTTGTCAGATTTGGAGTGTTCTGAATGGAAACGAACACGTACTCCTGTTGAGACCGACGCCCATCTGCGAGTAAAGTTAGTAGTTGGCGACCAGGAAGCGTCAGACGAAGTACATACGTCGCGAAGATTACCAGCAGAGCTCGCTTCCTGAGCGTCGGTTTTTTGAATAACTGAACAAATCCGCCACCATTCTCTTTGTCATGCTCGACTTGCAGCACAATCTGGGTAAACTCTGCGTTTGCTGCACGAGCTTCGGGGTCGTTTGGGTCATGGTGCAGTCGGCGAAGGACGCTCCAAGCCTGTTCTTTGCGACCATTCCAAATGAGGTATCGTGGTGTTTCTTGATACACTTAGTAAAGACTGGCCGCACCTGAAGCCAATATTCCTACCTGGTATTGTCAGCAACGCAATCAGCATCAAGAGTGGTGAAGCGCATGCAAGAGCCAGGGGAACACGCCACTGTACTGTCTGATTTGCGTAATAGGTTCCTACGGCAATCCATGCGCAGCTGTAGACATTATCAGTCGTTACCAGTGTCCCGCATAATCTTCACTTACACAGAGAACCCCGTGCCGAAGCTCAGCACAGTCACGCCGGTGACCAAACCTCTCTGTCGAGGAGCCGCAATTTCGGAAAGATAAAGTGGGACCAGTGCGAGCAGCATACCCAGCCCAAAGCCTTGCGTGATGCGGACCACAATAAGCATGGCGATATGAACGGAGCCTGCAGCAAGAGCACCGCCAATCAGAGAACACAGCGATGCGGTTGCGAGAGCCATCCTCCGGCCATAGCGGTCAGCAATAGGAGGTTGTGCCAGACTGCCAAATGCTGCTCCGGCCGTGAACAAGGCATTTACAGCCCCAATAATGTTGGCAGCGTACTGTTTAAATTCATTAGTCTGGTTTCTCCTGATGCGCTGTTAATAAGGGGCAAATTCACCGTGCTAGCAGGGTCGAGTTTGAAGTAGCTATAAAAGCCTGGTTGACCCACCGCAGTCACGAAAACTGAGAATCCGAATCCATAGGTGAAGCCACCCAATCCCAAGACTGTGAGTACGTAAAGATTGTACAGACGAACTCCAGCCATTCTAGTCTATCCGCTCTGATTTTCGTGGTGAAGAAAGAAAGAGCAGTGTCCCTTTGAAAGGGAACAGCGCAGGAGCAACTCCGACTACATATTATATGTATTCATTTTAGCCGCCTTGTCGGTATGAAAAGACTATTGAATAATAGTGTCGAAAAGCGATGACTGGAGGGGTCTAGATTTTTTGACTGTCGATACCAAGCAATTGCTTGGTTGCCAACCTTCTAACCTATTCTGATCTTTCTGACCAGTGGCAGCTTCGGCCTTTCTGACGCACTAGCCGTTCTGACTTTTTCTGACCCTAACCATATTTAGCTAGTTGGTTGGTATATAACCCGCATTTTTGATACTCATAGGAAAACTTCAGCGGGGCCTTCCTGGGGTAGTATCACTCGCGGTTCTAAAGGCTAGACCATTGTCTGCACTGTAGAACCCGGCAGAATGTCCCCATTCATGTCAGAACCCGGTAACTGGGAATATCTCGAATAATACATCGTCTGCTAGAACAGGTCCGGATTCTTGTTGTACGAGAAGCAAGTGGGCCGCGGACCGCGGACAGTCTACAATCTTGCATAGACAGACATCTGTGGCCTTCTAACCAACACCATGCAATCTTCATTACCAACAGCTGACAAATCCTCCCAGACCTTTGCGTGTTAAATTGCGAGTGAGCCTATCAACTACATAGTCTCGTCAGTTGTTGTCGGACATTTGAATCAGAAAGAAGCATCACATAGCACAAGATCTGTTGTGACCTGTCATGTCTAATATCGTTCTTATCACAGGTGCCAGCCGTGGCCTGGGAAATGGCCTCCTCAAAAGATATCTCAAACTTCCTAACCACACCGTCATCGCGGCCAACCGCAACCCTGACCATCTCACCTCCAAAGAGCTCTTAAAGCTCCCTACTGCAGATAGCAGCAGACTGATCATAATCAAGATAGATGGTCGCATCTGGCAGGATGCCTTCACTGCTGTCGAAACACTCAAAACCCACGGCATTCAACATCTTGACATTGTCATTGCCAATGCTGGCGTGGCTTATTGCTACCCCACAGTTGCAGAGCTGAGAGAGATTGACTTCGCTGCCCATATGGAGACCAACGCATATGGCGTGGTTTCATTGTATCAGGCTGTACGTCCGCTTTTGCAGAAGTCGACTAGGGAACCCATCTTTGTACCTATGGGGACCACTGCCAGCAGTCTAACGTGAGTAAGGAGTATATGCTGCCTGCTGGGAATATTGTTGACAGAATTTGCCGATTAAATATATTTAGTGCTCGACTTCCGTTCCCTAACGCTGCTTATGGACCGTCCAAGGCGGCGGCTGCCTGGTTGACTATTCAGATCAACGACGAGGATAAATGGCTACATACGTTTGCACTGGTGCCAGGCTGGGTGCACACCGATATGGGGGATTGTGGAGCGGCGGCCTTCAACGTCGATGCAGAAACAGTGAAAGCATTAATGATCGATGTAGACACATCCTGCAACGGCATAATGCAGGTGCTATCTACGACAACTAAGGCTGAGCACGGCGGAAAGTTGGTGGTGTACGATGGAACCACACTTTCTTGGTGAAGTCCTATACTTTTTCAACTATGTTAAATACGGATAGATATAGTTACAGTATTAAGAAGTGTCAGGAATGCCTCGAGGGCCTCCTGGCAAGCATATAGCTAATAGGTCCGAGATATCCTCGTATTTTCGTGCGAGATTCTAGACTTTTTGAGCGGTCCTCAAAGGCTTACGGGCCTATTGCCTGACAAAATGGCTCGCGGGTTGCCGAGCCCAGCCTGTTGCGCAGCCTAGCCAAGAGGTTGATTTGCGCCCATTCCTAGGCAGGAATCCCCGATCGATCACGCAGTCTCTCTTGCAAGTTACCAATTGCCGGTATACACTTGCCCGTAGATCATCTACTCCACTTGTCGACGTTCATCTCCTCAGGCCTGACCTGACCCTCAGAGTTAGGTGGTTTCGGCCAATGTCGAGGGTTACGCTCCTAATATGACGAGATTCCAGTTGAGATTCCTGTTAAGGATCCCGAAATTCGGATTTTAGACGTGCAGCGGCTTACTCTTGAGACTGTTAAGGGGTGATCACAGAGCGATCAGCATATTCCTCTTCCACGAGCCCATACTGTTCTGTCGATGCTGGCATCGGTCTTGCTGACGGCGTTTGAATTGAAGCCATCCCAAAGAAAATTGCTTTTACCGTAACTCAGATATTGTTCAATACATTAATTACATAGCTAAATGGCATCGATATTTCGTCTTTTCGATTTCTGGTCGCAGCCAATGCAAGGTAGCCCATATGCAGCTCACCGTCTGATTCCCTAGGCAATCCCAGTAGTCACATATGTGACAGGCGTTCGGTGGCTAAGTATTCGATCTTACTAGTCGATGCAAAGAGGTTTACGGATAATATATATTATAAAGGTCAACTATAACATCACAATCGACCATAGGATGTGGAGAACAGGGCTTCCCGTTCGCTCAGCCGTACTTAAGCCACATGCCGGTCAGTTAGTACTGAAGTGGGTGACCATTTGGGAATCCTGGCTGTTGATTGTTTTTGTTTTTTGGGAGCTCTTTATGTCTCCCTCGGAAATACTCTATATATTGGTGGAATCTATGTTGATAAAACCCAGACCTGTGACCAGTCTGCCACGATGTCTCGTTCTTTAGCTGCAAGCCTTGAGCTGCAGTGACTGCGTGGACATCGGAGATTGGCTTGGGCCATCATTGGGACGCCTACCTCGGGAGATTTGCGGACGACACGAGTTTTGCCTGGAATAAACAGGCACTGTGGTCTTTGGTACTGGGTCTGAAGTACAGCAGCTGTTAGCAGCAGATTGTTTTGCGGGACAATGCAAACTCCTCAGGCAACCAGGGCCCGAAATACGAAGAACCAACCGGTATCAATAGCCTCACTAGTGTTGTAGCATCAATGTGAAAAGACAAGTTTTGACCTGCCTACCTTGGGCTGGGGAATGGCAAAAAACATTATATTTACTATCTTGTCAGAGCAGCGTTGGCAAGTCTTGGATCAGGATAGGATCAAGTTATCGATATTGAGATTACTCGGATCATGATCCAGATTATAACCCACTTAGTAATATCGCTTTCGCCTTGGCAGCAGGATGAGAAGGAGTAGAATCGAAACTCTAAAGGCCAAAGATACGATCTGATTGTCACTGCCGATCAGTCCGATGTTGTGGACAGCTTCTGGATGCGCGCCATCCCGCAGACAGCCTGTTCCGACAACGACAGCCTCGACAACATCAAGCGAATTGTGCATTACAACGGCTCGACAACCACGCCGACCACCACCGGCTATAGCTATATCGATACTTGCACGGATGAGGTTGTCGCCAACCTTGTTCCCGTTATTTCCAAGACCGTCAACACGTCGTTGTGGGACAACAACGAGCTCTTCACTCTGGGCAGAGGCAGTGACAATCTGTTCCGTTGGTACATAAACGGCAGGTTGATGGATGTGGAATGGGAGAGCCCAACTCTCTTACAAGTGTACAACAACAACACCAATTTTATGAGCTCGAGCGGTGTTATCGAGCTGCGAACGCCAATGAATGGGCATACGTTATTTTCGAAACCACGCTGCCTATTGACCCCCCCCATTCACCTTGACGGTCATGATTTCTTTGTTCTGGCGCATGGCACCGGTACTTACGACGCCGATCCCACGACGTTGAACCCTAACCCTCCAACAACAGATACAGCAATGCTACCTGCTTCGAGTCTGGCAATCCTGGCACCTGGCTTATGCACTGCCACATTGGATGGCATACTTCAGAAGGATTTGCCATTCAGTCCCTGGAACGGTACGACGAAGTTCGAGACTTGATCAATTATGACTCGATGGATTCGGCTTTGCAATGCCTGGGAGACCTACGCAGAAGAAATTTAATCGAGGCTGAGGATTCGGCTGTTTAAGGCGTTCGCCGCATGGTACCTTGGGAGCGGTGGAACTAGGATTCTGGACACTCGATGGTGCTATGAACTTAAGGAGTCCCTTCAAATAGCAAAGCAGAGAGCAATACGGTGAGACATTTCTGAAGACTGGAAGGTTCCCAATTAGAGTGCCCTGAAGTGGAGGGGGGGGGGGGGGGGGGGGGGCTATAGCCTCTCACGAGCGTGTTTCGCAGTCGCACGAGGGTGTCCCAATAGGACAACCTGTGGTTTCTTTTGCCGTTGTGGAGTCTTGGAAGACTAGGACGACATTGTAAGCATATGATGGAAGTAGACTAAATTATTACTTTTGAGAAATACATGTCGATTTATAGTACTATTTCCCGGAACTTTTGCAGGTAAAAGGACACAAAGATACGCAGCGTGAGGCAAAGCAACATTGGAAATCTGGATGCTTTGCAAGTATAGCGACTGACAAGGTCAAAGCATGGCAGTTGCCAGGTACAAGTTACGAGTATGCCATGGTTTCGTGTTCAGAGCCCGTAGCCTCGTTTTGGATCCCCGTTAAAGATTGAATTCTTGGAATCGGATCCGACTTCCTCGCTCCTGGCGGTCATCAGGGTGAGCAGAATGAGCAAAAGCGGCCTATGGTTATGTAGAGCATGAGGGCGGCCCAGCGTCAAGATCCCAGTGTTGAAATACTAGAGTCTCAAGTCTATCAAATCCCATTTACAATACGCTGCATGATGCAAACACTACCAACACTGATTTGAGCATGGATGCACCGACCTTAGCTCTAACAAGGCGGCTGTTTTCGTGGTACTCTTAGAGGGTCGCTGGTTTCGATCATGGTACTGTCATCATCTCACAATATGAAGAAGCGTTCCGGGACTTCTCATGCCGAGGACGACATCTTTTCCAAGCTTTTGAAAAACGGCTGAGGCGTAGTTTTAGAGGTTTTCACCATTGGCAAATCGAGAGAGTATAATTCTGACGTGATTTTGGAGGACGCGCCTTGGGGGATTATTAATAGGAATAGCGGGAATGTTATCGATTATTATATGCTCCTGATTTCCATAAGGTAAGTATAATACACGTATTGGGGGGGCGAACGTAATCAGTGTGAGAGTCGAAGAGGAGTAATCAGGACGAATGATTAGATATGAACTCTAAGCAGATCGTTCCTTTATCAACCTCCCCTGGCAGTTACTCTAACTAGCCCCTAAATTTGCGGGGTAAGCTTCACGATGTGATACCACACCAGTTTTGAAACCCCAATTTCATCATTCTCTTCCAAAGAACGACGCAGACCAGAGGTCAACGGACACCATGGACTCTGTTTTGCTTTCTCCATTTGCACGAATCTCCACGACGAAATTTGGACGGGGATGTCGAACAAATTACCACGGGAAAAGCAAGGTTGTTCCTGCCAGGCAAGATACTATAGGTTCAATATGTGAAAATTTGTCATGGGGCCCTTCAAGGCTGTCGATAGATGCTCACATATAATGGCAAAGTTACATCGTTGAGGATTCAAGTAAGTGAATACTGGAACTTGCTTCCTCTCAAATTGCAGAAGTAATAAGTATCTTAACTTATGGGTTTCAACAGGCTTTTCTGACCTGGTCAACCAGATCACCCACTCTTTGCGGCATGCTCAAGAATGGGCTATGGCTCGCACCACAACGCTCGACATGAACCTGAACACCTTCTTTTATTAATCTCTGATCATCATCTCCTGAACAAAAGGAGGTAACCCTCGATCGCCTTCACAAATCAAATACCAAATCCTACCACTCATCTCCCTCCACGATACCGATGCTATTGGACTTAACTGAGCCGTGATCGGATGCACCACTTGTTCTTTGATCCCATGTTCTTGTTCACTCGGTGAGAGGTCACTATAAAAGTGCATCGCCGGGTCCTCAACTCTAATAAGCCCTGTCGATTCGTCTGGAGTCAACCATGGCGGCAATTTCCCGCCAAAGATGCCTGCAAGCGATTCCCCTTCGAAAGGAATAAGGGCTGACATGTATACCATCGCGACAATACCTCCATCGTCAGGCTTTGCAGGATTTGCCATCAGTCCCGACAGGGCACCGGTCCCTACTACTCCACTATACGAATGCATGAGAACGATGACAGATTTTTGCTTCGCAACTAGACCCGTAGCCACATGTCTGATATGCGCCAAGTCGTCCCCGAGTGTCTTGTTAGGTAGATTGGCGTTGTTGCACGTCGGATGCATTGGTAAAGCGACCTCAAATCCTCGTTGTTCAAGATTCTTCTCCAGCAAGCGGTAATGACTAGGTACGTGCCATGCGCCATGGACTATCAAAACTGTAGGATTATTTGAAAACATTTCGAGAGAAGGTACTGACGGAGGAAGGTGTATGTGGATTGACACTCCTGAAACAATAAGATATTGAGGGAAGCATGCTTTACACTCTTTATATCGTTATATGCATTCTATATCAACACAAAGACCCAGACTTCGAATAGGATCCATCCCAATGCACTGATCAACTTATGATTTGATTCTTCACGTGTTAGTTTCTTCGGAATCTAGCGGATGTAAGACATAATAGTTTGTTATAGTAGTGAATGCGTGGCTCAGATGTGAAAGTATTTATAGAAGCGTATTGAATTTGTGTGTTATGGCTGGCTGCATCGCCAGGATCCTAGCAGGAAGTACAGATATCTTAATGGCCAATGACGGCATTTTAGTAAGAAGTGGCCTCCAACCATAAGCTGGGAATAGAAGGACTATCCAGAGAGTGGTTCCACAATTGTTCAACGTATTTTTGCTCAACTTTTCTTGGTAAAAATTCTCTCTGTAACCCAATACCAAGATCAAGATCCTTGAACATCAACAAGGTAGGGATGATTAGTCTTGTTGACAAGCAATCGGTATTGGGCTAGAATCGGACCTAGCAGTTTTAGAGACAGCTAAATTAGAGAAAATACACTTATTAACATAGCTCTGTTGCTGGCTTTTAAATAAACAGTTTACTTCTCAGCAACAAGCAACATTACAGATACTATTAACCTAGTCATTTCCAATTCGAATAAAAATGGCGTCTTCCTTAAAGCGTGTTCTCATCATTGGAGGTACGGGCGCTCAAAGTTTCGCCGTTGTACAAGCTTTGATCGAGGAGCATTACACTGTTCGAGTCTTCTCTCGGAATCCAGACAGTCTATACGTCAAAGCTACCTTTGCCAATCTTCCTCAAGTTGAATTCGTGAAGGGCTCGTTCCTTGACTTCGATACTGTTGAGCAAGCGCTGCAAGACTGTTATGGTGTCTATTTCAATACCGATGGCATTATCGTCAAGGAGTCGATGAGCTTTGGGCTGCGCCACGGAAGTTGGGATACACCATGGGAATTGGGATACAGCACAGAAGTTGTCACCCTTTAAATATCGTACAGACAAGTCCAACTACTTCAACATCGGCTGCATAAAGGCATTGGGCCACTAAGAATTGGGCTCACATGGACGATATCTGAACTTCATTTGACATCACTATATCAGTGGACGGCTAGAAGTTCTGACGATCTTATGGGGACCGAACCGAAGGATGAACGAAAGGTAGTTATTCTACGAGCATTACGGAGCAGAGGTTCTATGCTAGAATCAGTTGCGCCATACCCCGTGTGGTCCACCTCGAATTCTTCGGCAGCTTTGATCGCGACTGTTAGATGCTCTGTCATCTATATGGTGCTTCAGTGCGCTCTTTGTAGAGCCAAACTCATTTTGAATGGTCGAACACCGTTATTCGTGAAGCTTACAGTGTGCGTGTCTAAATCTACAAAATCTTTCCATACTCAGCCGCATATACGGCTCTTTCAGCCTCAATTTGGGGCCATTTGGACTGATTTTACCGTATAAATTAGACCTTCTCGGTACTGGCGGAGCTGACGGTGGCATGCTCACTTTTCAAAAAAAATCTAACAAGAGATTATTACATTTATAATCAAATTGTCGAAAAGACCTGAAAAGTATCCAGCGTTGACACGAAGACATTGTCAATAACGAGTTCCCTCTGTCATGTCCGTCGAAACCACGCAGAACATCGCTTCTTCAATCGGGGTTTAAACACCTCAGTATTACGCATTCTAGACGCATGGAAACAATGCAATCGTGGAAAGAAAGGAATGGCTGGTCTGGCAGAGGGGCTATTACGTGGAAATTCGTCCGGCTCCCTACAGTCCCACCTCCAACGGGTGGATCCACATTCCCATTCCGACGCCTGTTATCATGGGAGGGAAACGTATGAAGCCAAGAATTGCGAGCCTGCGATTTGAATCCGGACCCGATACCGAAATTGATGCCGTGAGAATGCTGGATACCGAAAAGATAGTATTTAATAAGGAAGGCTTGGAACTGCGCAGTACACGTAGCAAGTTCCAGAGTGAGCATTTGAAGATCGAAAACCCGGCCGGAGCAATTTACGGCCTTGAACTCCATCTCGTTGTGAAATTTAATGGGAAAGATGGATTCCTGAGGCTCTCAGCTGCGGGCATTGATTTTACCGAGTGATTTCTGTCGACTGATTGCCTGTATCAAGCAACCAAGCAACCCAATCTTTCTTCCTTGACCTCTACATTAGTGCTCGACCCTACTTGCTCGACAGTAGCTACGGCCTTCTTGTCGGGCAAAACTCTCCATTATTTTCAGCAACACCAAGGGGGAGCCTATACTGGGCCTTAGCGGCGTGATAGATAGGGGATGAGCATAGTTCTGAAACAAGAGAAGGACTGAGCATAGACTGGGTAGGGGTAGATATGGAAGTAGGTAGAGTCTAGTAACAGGGTATATAGGCCTCTCTTATGCCACTACTTCAGATAGAGAGCTAGAGACCTTCTTTAATAGTAATTTAACGTCTAACACAGTAGCCAAAAGAGAAACTAGATAGATACTCCTTAATTGCACGCAGCTGAAGTATGTACGACTAGACGAAAAGAGGGAGTGGTTTTTCTGCCTAGAAACAATACATACTAGTAAAAGAGTGACGTAATAACCTTTCTCGCCCTCTGTGAGTACGTAGAACAGCTTTTGCAGTAGGCTAGGAAAATAGATTCACGCCTTCACGCTGTGTCTGGTGTAAGTGCGGGCGCTAGTACTAGTAGCGACTGTTAAGTAGACTACTATCGTCCTGGCAACGGGAGTTTGGCTACTGTAGTCGCTATGTAGACAGGCCAGGAAACTAAGTGAATCTACCAAGGTGCGTACACGGAACAGCGGTAGTGTAGTGCGGAGAGTAAACACTCAGTGTTTACTAGAGAGGTTCAAATCCTCTACCTTACAGAGATAGGTTTAGCAAGCGAAGCGAGTGCCGTCGTAACACCTTCCTTTCTACACTTCCTACGCCCGTTAGAGAGGGTGTTCGCTCAGCTAGTAACAGCCCTTCACCTATACCACGCCATTTCACAGTGCGGTTTGAAAAATCTGCGTTGTGTGTGGGTGCCAAGAACTTCCAAGATTGTAAAGGAACACCGCTCGTGGCCTATCTGGAGGACGCCCTGGCTGTACAGGGCTTCTACCAAAGAGGCAGGTTCACCTACCTCAACACAATCGCAGGCTATACGCCCGCGAGTTAGAACTCCTCTATATAGAGGGGAGCACAAATGAGTTTCACAATCCCAGCAAGAGATTGGATAGTTGCTACGGTGACTAGCCTATAACACTATCCTGAGTGCTCAGGCAAGAAGTCCTAGCCAGGTGGAAGGTTAAGCTCCCCCAGACAACCGGCCTTCAAGCACACTTTCCTATATTGTTATGCATGGCGCTATGTTGTCTAGGCAACCTAGGGGGTTAATTAGCAGGGAAAGAGCCAGAAGGTAGGTTTTTTCATCCCTAGAGGGTTTTTCCTGGATGGCAATAGACCTAATATCTAACTATATAGGTTAACTACTACTGGTTTGTATAAAGAGTGTAGGAAGGAATGAAAGGAAAGTATATATAGATGCGCGTGGTATTGAATTAGCTCTGACTGTTGGAGCAGAGATGGGAGCAAGTCCCCTATATATAGAGATATCTCCTGTTGGAGGAGATGTTGCTATCTGCCTTGGGTGCGCCTTGCGGTGCACTTTTGTAAAACTTGGGTGGTGAAGTAGAATAGTAGAGCAACGTAGTGGGGGCCGAATACCAACACTCCTATTCCTTATTCCTGGCAAGGCGTCAGTACCCCATTGCATGTATTACCACATCCCCAAGGGCTTGTCCAGAATCTGAAACTTCTGAGTTTATCGAACTCGGGTCCAAGGTTATGATTGCTTGTATGACTCCTGACTCCCCACGCCGTGCTCATAGTTAGAAGTCCTGAAGAGCGAAAACCAATATGATCTGGGGCGGTTGACCCAAAGCCTGATCCGTCATAGTCCTGAACGAGAACGTCGTATTCAATGGTATCAGTGGGCCGCAAGGCGATGACAGGTCCAACACGGCCACAGGGTTCAATAACGTCGGCCAGGTTCAAAAAGTTACTGTTGGAATACGGACCGTATACCTGCTGGAAGATTGTACCGCCATTCTTTTGGATCCGAAAAACAAACATTAAGTCGTTCTCACCTTGGAACGGGCCCTCGGATTCGTAAGTGAGGAGACTTTGTAATTGAACCTTCCTTGGCCCCACAAATTCTATCCTTGCCTCATTCAGTATGTTCACCAGAGTACCGTGCTCAAACTCCATATATATTTGGCCGATTGTGGTCGCTATCGCCGCACTTACTGGCATTCCCATTTCGTCATACCATCCAAGATAATGATGCTGTGGGAAATCTTTGCCAGAAATCCACTGTGGCTCTAGACCGCTGTCGGGAGCATATGTAAGATCATTTATGACGTTATCGACTGGGTGGATGAAAAGCACTTTCTGGACGTTCGAGTACCCATATGCATCTATGATGTATTCAAGATCTGGAAACCCGTATTGGGAAGGTCCTTCGTTGCTGAGATATTTGTTAAGCACCGGTCCATTACTAACGCCTGCGACGTGTAGACCACCGGTAGTATTTGTAGCGAAGAACATGCCGTTTTCAAAAACTTGCTGCTTGCCCCAGAGAGCATTCTCCCATTCCTTGATCGGATTTCCCCATTTTTCTGAGCCTCCAGTTCGGTTGTACTCATCCTGAATCTCGTCCATGATCGAAATTTGGGCTGTGACTAGAATTGCCATATAGCCTATCATTAGGCCTAGGGTAGAGATTTGCATTTTCCCGAAGGATTAAATGAAGTCAATGGTAACAAGTAATAATAGAATAGAATATAACGATGAGTGTTAAAGGAAGATCTTCTCATTAGAACTCACCTATTTATATACGAGAGGAATACTTTTAATGAAGTTCAAATGTTCATATTTTGAAGCTACAGTTCGCTGCAAAGTTTTGTAGCCAATCAGCTTTGCCAGTCAGCCTCGCCCAGAACAGCTGATAGACGGAGGGAGGGGCATAAATCAAGTCCAACTTTTATAACGAGAGACGAGGAGCTAGTGAATACTAGGTACGGAGCACATGTGCAGGAGGCATTCTCACCGCTTGATTCTCGACAGTTCGTTTAAGCTCAATGATCAGATGTCAAGTTCTTTCGGTGAGTCTTTCGACTTGTCCACTGATGCAGATACGGCTCAGCTTGAAGACTATCTTCCGTCAGGATGATGACAAAAGTCTCAAATTTCGTAACCTCGTAAATTTCCATCAATCGTTTCTAAAAGGCTGAGAGCCAGTAGACAATAATAGAAATGATGATGACCAATGTTTTGGCGGCTCGGCATGCACAAAGTCACAGGAGCTGAAAATTTCCTATGACCTGAATGCTTCATACTCCAGCTGAGACATAAGAACACGGACGAAAATGATCATTGGTAGTTTCAATGCTGCTATGGGCATGCAGGGGTCTGAAGATGCAGTCATGGCGCGTAAAGATCTACACAGCGAAGACTCCAAAATAATTGCCAACCCAACCCCAAAGGTACTGTAAGAGAATACGTTTTAGTTGGTCGGTTCTACTACAGCTAATAGACGAATGACATTGCTCTCCACGACTTGTCTACAAACACTAACGAACGTTGTTAAATATGGCCCCCCACCCTCCCCCCAGTCATGTTGCTAGCTGCAGATTTACGCGTTGAAGGTCTCAGGGCGGTGCCTAAGGCTGTTGAAGGTATATCTTAAAATATAAGATTAGAGGTCTAATTGGCTGTTAGTTCTACCCGCGCCTCTGAAGCTGCATTCCGCATGATTGTTTAGTAGCTCGCATGAAAAGCCTACAATTCTCATAGTTCCAGGTTCCTTCTGCCCCGTTGTTCTCTATCCCAGAGTGATCGGCTACCTGAAGCCGATGGCTATGAAGTTGAATTTGCCCATTATCCTTCAATTGGGCGTCGCGACCCGCTTCCACTAGCCACCATGGATGGCGATGCAGCATACGTAAGCTGTGTTGTGGAGAGACTGGCAGACGCAGGAAGTCGATATTCATGGTCTCCCATTCCTATGGCGCTATCCCCGGGACTGTGGGCAGCAAGAACTTTTCCAAGAAGGAAAGAACAGCAGCCAGCAACCCTGGAGGTATTTACATGTCCAGTATGGCACGTCACTGGTGGCAAGAATAGGGGAGAGTCTGGTGGATCTGATGGGTTTTGAGGTCACACTTTTCATTGTGCATGAGGTGAGTCTCCCCAAGCATGCTCGTCGCCATTTTCTCAGCAACTGGTGAGTCTGGAAAGACGGCTACATGGCCCGGTAAATACACGGCTCAGCAAAGATCCCTTATAGTGACGTGCCCGAATCAGAGGGACTGGAATGCGTGAAGTTAACAGCGCAATCTCCTTTACCAGAAAAGCGACGTTTGAAGGCTACAAAAATTTCGCAATATCATACCTGATATGCATGGAGGATAAATGTGTGTTTCCAGAGCTGCAACAGCGCATAGTCAACATATTAGTCAATGAAGCTGGCGTGGATGTTGATGTCCACAAGATGCAATCAGGTCACTGCCCGAGTATAAGTAGAACAAAGAACGTTGGTTTCCTCATTAGGAGACTTGTGCGAGAGGGTGTTTGATGCCGCAGCTCGACGTTGTATTATAAGAATTAAGATATGCGTTCAGTTGACCATTTCCTATACGTTTCTACTGTCTCTCTCCCACAGTTCCTTTATCTTCCACCTTCATATCCGAGTTTCTGTTAGCTAAACACGAACAGCGGCATACGGCTAAGGTCGCATTGATACAGGTTTCAGATCTTTATTACCGTTAATATAGTATCACCTTATAGTTTATATAGCAGAAAGTACAAGAAATGGCGGTAAACTTCCATTCGTGCTTAAGTACTGTGTATTGGTGGATAGAAGAGGGGATAAAGAGGGAGAAGGATCGTGGCTCCTAGAGATCAATCACCTAGTAAATTCTATATAAACTAGAATAGAGACTATAGAGTGGCAAGAGATAGAGATCTCAATCATCATCCGCGTTGACTCGCTTAGGTTGCTAAGTATAGATCAAAGAGAGCCAAACCAAACCCTGGCTGACTCGCATTGAGATTAGCCGAAATAAGGGTAAACCATACGTATTGTAACCGTACAAGACAAAGTCTTAGTCTCCTTGAGCATGAGATGTTGTTTCCATCATTCGACTCGAAGGAACACTCATCTCATCTGAGACAACTAATAGTATCTGAGAACTATGTATCTATCTATCATATCATATAATGCTGTCACTATTTATTGCCTCCTCAGTCTTCAACAATCTGATAAACCAATTTTTCGGCGCTCACTTTGTTGTTCTTCAAATCTTCCAAACCTTGCAATACCCCATTCAGACCACCCTCCCTCACCGTACACTTGTGAGGTTTCAGCTGCCCTTTAGCAAGAAGCCTCTCCGTCAGCTCCATAAATTTCGTGCCCCATTCGAAATCTTCCCTAACAGCGGGCCACTCAGTGCATCCGGATCGAAAGTCCTCTCCCCAAATAGTGTACAAGTTGGTCCCGATGCTCTCAACTTCGTCTCTGGGGCTGCAATTCCCTAAAAAGGATGCATACTTACAGCTTTTGGAACCCGAAGAGAGCGCTTTTGCGCAAATTTGAGCTGATGCTTCGGTGCTAATGATATCCCAAACTAGAAGCAGGCGATCGTTCGTATAACCACGAATTTTCAACCCCACATCGGCATCGTTATAGTCGAAAACCTCATCAGCCCCTAGTGCTTTGACATACTCTGAGCTCCTTGGTGAGCATGTTGTGAGAACTGTATACCCAGACCTGCTTGTGTCATCAGCTATGTATGGTGACCTCCTGGCGTGATGACCTACAGCTTAGCATATTGAATACCGAGAGCTCCAGTTGCGGTTGCTCCACCATATATCAACACGAAGGACTTCTCCTTGGCCGGTGCATCCGGCAAATTCATCACCAATCCCTTCTGATACAATCCCTGCATGACCGTTCCTACCCCAAGTGGTAGAGTTGCAGCCTCTTCAAAACCCATGCTCCCAGGAATCTTTATCAAGAGATCCCCTTTTGCCACTATATATTCTGCAAATGCCCCATCTTGGGGTTCTACACAGTTCCCTCCGTGCGCTACTCCCGCCACACGATCGCCCCTGGACAGGTCTTTTCTAACGCCTTCACCGATTTCAACAACTTGACCAGCAAAATCGCAACCAATCAAGCATCCATCGTCCACTAAGTTGTATTCAAGATGCTTCCAGTCTGTCGGGTTGAGAGCAACCGCCGCGACCTTGATGAGCACGAAACCATCGCGAAGAGCAGGAACGGAGCGATCTTCGACGAGGGTTGCTTTCCTTCCATGGACTGCTATTGCTTTCATGGTGATCGCAGAGGATGAGCTCTTGAAGCACTAGTGGTGGGTGGAGCCCTGGTAGATTGTACTTGAGTGGTGAGTGGAAGTAGCTCAATCTCAAGGTACTTTTCGTTTTAAGACGTCTTGAAGGGATGTCAGTACCTTTCCCTGGATGACAAATGCTGACTGCCTGACTACCTCGAACGTGAAAATTGTGCAGAATGGATCGAGCACATTGAGGATGAGGAGTTGCCTGCGTTTTCCATTGTCAGACACCATACATTCATAGGCGCTACGCACGAGGCGAGAGGCTCGAGGCTCATTAGGAAGTGCCGAACCGATTTCTCAGACTTTCCATCTCTATGCTGAGTTGCGGTTCCTTCCGGTGGTCTAGGTGAAGATCTCGGTCATTTCCGTGTGCAATCACGTGCCAGGAAGGAGTGTGTCTATCACAACAGTGTGCAACACGAGGCTTGTTCCCTCCTCCTATTTCATTGCTTCGTTTTATCCGTCTGTTGTCTATCGATTCAAACACCCACGGTCATCAAGGTCTCCTTCCTCAATATGATTGCCAAATCCAAGGTTACAATGGACGACCCAAACGTCAAGACAGTCCACTGCAGTGGTAGTCCTTTTGAGATCGGCTTGACCCACGGGAGCGCCGCTTCGACTGAAATTCATCATAATGTTGCAACTTACACCTATTTCTTTGGAGAGACAGCTAAGATTACGTGGGACGAAGCACGTCGGCGAGCTGTCCAGCGATTTCTTCCCACAATTGAGAGGCAATGGCCTGAGATTGTCGAAGAGATGAGAGGTATTGCAGAAGGAGCCGGACGTGGATTGACATTAGCGGACATTGTTACGCTCAATGTCCGTACGGAGATTGCTTTTACAAACTACACTGATGGATGCACGTCCGTCGGCCAGATAGCTCAAGATGGCAAGATGTTCCTTGCACAGAACTGGGACATGATTCCAGAGTTACAGAAGGGCATGGTGTTCCTTCACATCCAGCCGGCAGGGTCTGATATCGCAATCAGGTTCCTAGGTGAGGCTGGGATTGTTGGTAAAATCGGCATGAACAGTGCAGGCTTCGGATTCTGCATGAATGCACTCCGATCCGGGGCCCTCAACCAGAACGGCATGCCTGTTCACATTATGTCACGGCGTCTACTCCAGTACGCCTCTAGCTTCAGCAGCGCTGTTGCGATCATCGAAGAATTCGGGCTGGCCAGTTCAATCAACTACTTACTGGCTGACAGAAGTGGCAATTTTGCTGATCTCGAATGCTCCCCTCTTGGCGTCTTCACGATCTCTCCGCAAGGTGGCTACGTGGCTCATGCAAACCATTTCTACGGACCAGGCCGGCCGGTGAAGCTAGTTGACCATCCTGCTTCGGATTCATTCAAGCGATTAGCACGAATGCAAGAACTGACGGAAAGAGATCTGGATCTCGCATTACCAACGACATTTGAGTCCCTGAGGGCAAGGCTCTCAGATGAGCAAGGAAGCCCTCCAGCAATCTGCAGGAGCGTTCCTCCTGGTGCGGTTGGAATTGACCGCATCATAACGTTGGGAACTATTCTGATGGATTTGACAAGCTGCACGGGTAGAGTGGTAATCGGAAGGCCTTGCGAAGACCTTCCTGTCGTAGATTGGTCGTTCTAACCTAGCCAGAAATTCGATGAATAATTTTGTGCGAACATTTGCGAGATAGTGCTTCAGGATCGAGTGTTCGAAGATGGACTTGATCCAATTCGAGTTGCTCCTCTACTCGGTGGATCCATCAGAGGCTAGGTGTCAGGTCCTAGTATCCAGACAGTGTAGATATCGATCAGGTAGCCCTCCAATTCTACAGCTACCAAGTTTGATTGGTAATGGATCAAGTTGCGATGCCGACGCTGCACAAAAAAGGGGCTGTTTGATGTCATCGCCTTTCGCCTAGCGTCTTTGCCTTGACGAAGGCGAATGCCGTAAACGACTGGTGCAGGGAGCCACCGAGGAGGTTCAACGATAGCATCGAGGATTCCCCGCACTTCTAAAGTGGGGTCAGCGGGGCTTCCCTAGCGTGTGTGCCTTGTCAAAGGTTACCTCCGTTAAGTCCAGCTTTCGACCCGTCACTCTCTGGTACACTGTGGCAAAGCCCCAGGCCCTGGTCCTTCCATATCGCAGATGAATGTGATTATCGATACATATGAGATTGCGTTTGTGTGCGTGTGATCAATTTCGTCTTCTGTGTGTGTGGCATTTATGAATTGATGAATACTGCACAAATCGAGTTGATGCGGATTCATGACTAAGAAGTGCGAAGCCCACGAAGCATCGAGTACCCGAGATCGCTCCATGCTAACGCTGTGTTTTTCGCATGCTGTGGACTGATTCGAAATCCTCCTAGGGGAAGCGTGAGGCCTTTGAGGACATTCGTACCTGTGGTCAATCATTACAAAGCAGCATCACAGGTCTTTTAAAGCAACGCCTTGACGCTTGGAGTTCTCGTTCAACCGCCCTCTCTTGAATCATCCATCATGTCAACAAACGACGCATCAACCGCCGGGGGCTCGACTGTGACGATGGATGATGGAGTAAAGTTACATGTGAAGATACTGGGGGATGGCGACGGATCAGCTTCCAGGCCTCTGCTCATTTCACTTCACGGCGCACCAGGTCTATCAACTCATCTAGAACCAACAGCTTCGTACACTTTTCTATCGAGCGTTTATCGAGTGTTGGTGTATGACGGTCGGGGAAGTGGCGCCTCCGACCACGTTGGACCATATAGTCATGAACGTTGGATCAATGACATTGAAAACCTCAGGTAAACCGAACGATCAGAGTTGCCAGTCTCGTGGCTTATATCAATTCCAGGAAATTTTACGGTGCAGAAAAATTTGTGCTTGCTGGAGCCTCCTACGGAGCATTTATTGCCCTCGACTACGCCATCAAACATGGGGACAGACTGGACGGGCTGATTCTTCGAGGGGCTTGGGCAAACGGCAAGGTTGGCCCAATGGCTGTCTTGTCGAAGATTTTGACGTCCGACAAGGTGCAGGTTGATGCTGCTCGTCAAGTCCGTCTGTGGTCTGGAACGTTACTCAATGACCAGGATTTCGAAGATGCCATCATGGAACTGCTTCCTTTCTACGCACCACCTCCAAATCCAAACATTCCTGACGACCAAGATATTCCAGAGTCGACAGAGTTCCAAGGGACGGTGAAGTATCACTCGTCCACCCAAAATTATGCTTTTAACGTGAATATGCCACGATTTGACGTACGAGATCAGCTCAAAACAATAAAGGTAAGCCGAATGAGCGAATATCCAGATTGTTACGGCGATATCTCTAACAGATCATCAAGGCTCCGACGTTCCTCGTCGTTGGACGACATGACAATGTGACACCTGTGGAGGCCAGTCAAGACATTGCTAGTAAGATCCCACGTGCAACATTGGAGATCTTCGAATATTCAGGCCATAGTCCGCCGTCAGATGAACCAAAGAAATTCGAGGCGAGTCTTGCAAACTGGTTGAAGGCTGAGGGATTACCTTCTACAGATTGAGGGTGGCATTGAGGCTCAATAGCTCCAGACTGACTGAAATCAATGCTTGCTCCAACTCATAATGTTTTAAGTAACTTCTTTCTCTGGTGTAGCTTGACATCCACTGGTTTACAAAGTGCGTAGAGGAGAAACATCATAAGCAGGTGGGGTTGGCGCTAGCATTTGAGGGGTTGGACCGATATTTATCCAGACCCAAATCGCAACGTTTGACGGGGGCTTCGACATCCAGCGAGTAGTCCTTTAATTTACATTTACTACGTCGACATACTGGGCACCGTATTTGTTCTTAGCACTCGTCCTCAGTGTGCAATTATCGCAGAGCGCTTGGTGCACAATCCCATCACCATAGATTTGACGCTCACCTTCTATCATGAGCCCTGACGGACAAAGAAAGCATAGGCATAGCAAAGCTTGCACGCGTTGCCGTAGGCGCAAGATTCGTGTGAGCATTTCCTTGACGTACTAGTCCAGTTGGCTTGCTAAGCATGTTGTCAGTGTGACTTTCAGTACCCGGTATGCGGCGCTTGTGCGGCAGCTGGGGCAGCATGCCTGGGATATGATTCCATCCAGGGAGTTGACAGACCTCGAAGCACGACTTCACACCTAGAGCAAGAGGTTGCTCGTCTAGAGACTGAGCTAGGACTCATTCAGAGCCAAACTAGGACCGATCTCGATATTTCGCTGGAATCTGCAGAACGACTTGCTACCAGACTTGCCGCAACTATTGCCATCCCACACCGCGCTTTGCGAGGTCAAGACAGCCTCCTTCCGCTAACTTCAACATTCTTCCTCTCTGGCTCACCTGAACCGTATCTGAGTACTTCAATGGAGGACTTTGACATGCCGAAACAAGCCGAGGAGTCTGCATCGTCAACTAATAAACTCTCGTCGATTCCTCGTCATGCTGTCGATACCATGTTGAAACACTATTGCGAGATTTATCGTCCTTTATACCCGGCGGTTGAGGAGTCGGACCTGTTCAATGCGTCTGATAGAGTCTATAACAACACACAGCCATCTGCTTTCGATATCTTTTGTGTCCATGTCACCTTAGCAATCAGTGTTCGGAGCCCTACCTTCCCAAAAATCTAAGCGTGTCTACTAATTGGTTTTCAGATGCAAACATTGATGTACTGTGATGAAAAGAGAGCAACATCTGCCTCATATGGGTTTTGGACAACAGCGGTAGATGCACTAGGTCAGGCTGGGCCAATCGACCCATGGGAAAGACTGCAGGCGTTACAGCTTCTGACACATTATGGTTTTACGAATCCGAAGCATGTCGATTGCAGTAGATGTGCTGCCGCGGCTACAAGACTCTGTTTGCAGCTCGGACTGCAGCATGAATTGCCTGTTTCTATACAGAATGATTTGGATGTCGCCACACTAAAGAAGCGAAAACGGCTTTTCTGGAACTCATACAACATTGACTGGTAAAGTTCGATCTCCACTCGATGATGTCTTAGTACTGGCCTTGCTGACAAGGTGACTAGTGCTGTGCACACGGTCCAGTGTAGGCCATTTATATGGCCGAAATCTGCATCAATAGGACCAGTAACTTTCCGGATCCTGTTCACACCTATTAGTGCTAACCGCTGATAGTTGACCGATACGGACTCACAGTCTGCAACCAGTCGTCAATTTTGTTTGCTCCGAGAGCTTGAATCAGAAGTTACCCGTGGAATGTATTACCCAACAATACCATTCGATGACATACCAAGAGATGATTCTTTCGGTGAATGGTTCACCCGCATACACCAACGCTTAGAAAATTGGTATCAGACGACACATCAGAGTATAAACCTTGGTGAGAAGATTGAGTTCCATGAGCTGCTATTTCAATGCCAAATTATGAGGCTTAACCGGCCTTCGCCTCGACGCCTTACGCCTACGCAAGAAATGCGCAAGAGAGCTCTTCAAGCTTCTATTGCTGTCTTGAAAGAACTTGGCATCATAGAGCGAATGGGGAAGCTTTTCAATATATGGCACGCTTCTTACTTCCTTATAGAAGCGTCAATATGCATTCTTGGGATCGTTCTGGTTGGGATCGCGTCTCGCGAAGACGCCCCTACCACCCTAGAGGGAGAAGACATCCCCATTATCTGTCGTTATATACAAACAGCATCTGTTCTCCTCAGAAAGATATCGCGTCGCTGGCCAAGCATGGGTGTGCGTGCATCTGCCCTTGAAGCAGTATCACGTGCAGTCGTCGAGAAATTGCACTCATGGTCGAAGTCGGATCCAGCGGGGCCGTTTGACCTGCAATCATTGAAGGCACAACTGAATCACTTTTCGCTTTTCTCGCCGCTACCACCAGAAGGGGAGCCTTCCGTTGGGAACTATGGACCTTCCATGACACCTGAGCCTTTTGCCGTACTCGCGGATACGGGAGTGCCTTCCACGAACCAACCACCTTTCCATCACCTTGAAATACAACTTCCCAGTGCTGGCACAGCTACGATTAGCGACTGGACATTCTCGCAGTCGACGCTGGACCACAGTTCGTCAATCTTACCTAATCCGTATGATTTTGATGGAGAAGCTGATCTTCTCTGGGACTTTGATGGAATTGATACTGAAGAGATCCTCGCAGCTTTTGCTTGACAGGAAGCGTGGAGTCGACATTGATACGGGATGATAAAGCATATCTCGACGGCATGATAATACGGATGGATGCTCAGTCAGCAACGCTACTTTCTGAGAGCCATTATAGCATACTTTCCAGTTTCTGCACCTCTTTTTCATGCTCATCTACTTAGGGTCGTAAGCCGCATGTGACCTCCCATATGACCACGATATCTATTGATGGATCATCGTTAGACTGGTCACTGAGTGTCTTACTTCTGCAAGGGTCCGCTAAAGATCTCAGTCGGGCCAGAGATTAGAAGGTAGATCCTGTCAAACCACGCTGAGGGGAAACGAGCGACGAGGGGTCGATCAAAGCTGGATCCAGGAGCGTTACCCAGGCCCTTCAGACCCTTGTGGCAAGATAACGATAGACAATAAAACGGGTATAAGCGCTCTGGAGCATCAAATATTTACCCGAGGCTAGAATATTCCGGATTTCGTGAATCACAGCACGGAGCTTTGGACTATACCTTGCTCTATGCCACGCATTTCAGCGTGAATCCGACCGCTGGTAACGCGAAGTTACGGGCCAGACAGACTAGACTCTGCTAGTGGCTTATGTACCCCTTTTCTCGTATTGAGGAGTTTGTTATCACTTCCCCACAGTCTCCTTGCAATAGGAACAGTCAATTCTGCGGGAGGTACGAGCCTTATCAATCCGGGGAATCTATTGTGTCTAACCGCCAATATAAAGAGGCTACAAATACATCCCCCGGCCACCGTCGCCCCATTTTGCTATTACTTTTCAGTTCTCCTTCTCTAAGAGATTTGCACTTATTACTGTGTAGAATCCTCCGATAATGGGCTTCAAGATTCCGGGTGTGCCGGCATTCCGCCTCAACTCACCATGGTGGCAGAAGTGAGTTTCCCGCCCATATGCTTTCACGAACACACCTAACACTCGATCCCACGCTTCAGTTTCATCATGGGCACCATAGTCGGTCTGACCGCTGGCCTTTACCAAGCCCTCAACCTTCTCGGAGCAGCAGGTGGACATCCCAACTCATTCCAGACCATTCAGGTCGTTAATGCCACACTCTGCGCTGTCTTTGCCGTTTCATCGTGCTTCGCAGGCAGTGTGTTAAACACCGTGGGCCCGGCCATTACGGCTGTTCTTGGAATCATTGGCTTCGCGCTTTATGTTGCAGGACTTTGGTTTTTCGATAAAACCGCCCACGACTGGTTTCCCATCCTTGGTGGTGTTGCGATCGGAGTAAGCATGGTCTCCTTGGACGCGTATGGAGACTTCGATCTAACACAATCCAAAAGATTTCTGCTGGTCTGATATTCGTTGTCATGGGATCAATCTCCATGGCGTACTCTGAAGAAGAAGAGCGAGGATCTTTCATCGCCATATCGATCAACCTGCAAGCTGCTGGCTGCGCTGTTGGAGACTTCATCGCCCTTCTCATCAACCGGAACTCTAGAGAAGCTGCCGGTGTCCCTGTGGCATTTTACGCCATCCTTATAGCCATGATGGGCTGCGGTTGCCTACTCGCCTTGACCTTGAAGCCTGCTTCCAAAGTATTCCGAAACGATGGCACTCAGGTAGCCACCCTCCAGGCCCGAGGCTACTGGGAGGAGCTGAAAGCGAATCTCGAAATCTTTAAGGACTGGAAACTCATGATCATGATTCCGGCATTTCTCCCCTCTGAATGCTTCCTAGTCTACAATGGCTCAGTCAATGCCTTCCACAACAACTTGAGAACGAGGACTCTCCTCTCATTTTGCGCCGTCACCTTACAGATTCCTTTCGGTTACGCTCTGCAGAAGATCTTGGACCACAAGACATGGACTCGTCGCACTAGAGCGTTCCTGGGCCTCGCAGCTGTGAGCGTGCCGCTGCTAGCAGCCTGGCTCTGGGAAATCGTACGCACTCGTCATTATAACCGCGCGAGCCCTCCTAGCCCAATGGACTGGACCGATGACAATTTTGCCGCCACATTCGTTCTCTTTTGTCTGAATTGGATATCGAGTATCCTGATGCAATGCATTATCCTTTACTTCCTCAGCTGCATGACAAACTCTCCTGCGAAGGCTGCTAACTACGCTGTAAGTCAGAGCTAAGTCCTCTTCCCCCCAAAACGCCATTATTCATCATACACGTTTCTAACAGCTGCCCGTCCTTAGGGCGTTTACCGCGGGTTCCTGGCAGGTGGCGAAGCCATATGCTTTGGGCTGGACTCCATAGCCGTACCGTACATCAAGGAGTCTGGTGTTCTCTTCGCCTTCTACGCCACGGGTGTGCTGGTCTTTATTTACCTTGGGACATATCACATCACCGAAACTCAGTATCTGACTGGAGAAGAGGGCGTTGTGGTGCCGGTTCACGTTGTTGAGGAGTACGACCTGGTTGGCAAGGGGGACTTGGAGTCTCCGGCTCCAAAAATTGAGGGCACCACCACGACGCTGAACGAGATTGGCCAGAAGGCATGAATTATTCAGTGCTTATGAGGTTGCACTGAGGGTGCCCTGGCCGCACCCGACTTTTGCATCGAAGCAACGAGTTTCTCAAGATTTGCAAGAGCCAGTGCCCGGACAGAGCTTTCGTATGAGCTTCAGTGAGGCGTCTACTAGCGGCCGTACAGTAGAGAGTCAGCTGGTGCAAAATTCACTATCCATCGTATGCATGGTATTAGTAAATGCTTGCACAAGTATGCCTGGTAATTCCGTTTGTCGAATCCTCACAGTCTAAGTCTCAAGGTATTCGACATATCCCTTGCTCAGCCATGTCCTCCAACAATAAGAACTACATTGGAGCAAGCGTCTTGGCCTAACATTGGTTTGTTCAAGATGAGACCGGCCCACAACTCGTCTGCAGACACAGACGTCGTCGAAGCGGAGCGGGCGCCGCTTTCACTGAAAAGATCGGGGCTAATCAATAAATCAACGATGTTATTATTAATCAGATGCATTGAGGAGTTTGGAATATGCACAGGAACGACAATCATTATCGTCAGGACATGCGAGAGATTCTTTCCCATTTGATCGGCGCTAATGCCTAGGTACTTACGTGCTCTGGAGGGTGGGGACGAGGTGCAAGGCTAAGCCACCAGCCCTCCTGCTGGGGGCAAGGGTGGGTCCAGGGCTGCCCACGGATGATAGCATGAAAGATTTCGTACCGCTAGGTGAATGCCGCAAAAGTCTGTTACCACCTACTCGCCTTTCTGGCTCCAGAAATTGTGCCTTTGTTGAGCAAGCCTCCCTCCACACAGAATATCGTATTGCAATCTCTAACTAATGGAATTATCACATGGAATGATGCATTTTGAGAGGCTTCTGACTCCTAATTTTTCTTGTTGCGCCCTCCTATCATATTACTTGGTTGGACGAATGAGCCAACACTAGCTTGAATGGACTTTCAGGATCAGGTGATGATCAGGATCTGCTAAGCTGAAGGGATAGCCCCATTCTCGGGGTTAACAGCTAGGTACTCGGTGCTGTATGAGTAGTCAGTGTACCCAGTTGGACTCATCTTAGTATAAAACGTGTGGCGGATATAAGGGTTCAGTGAGATGCCCTTACAGACCCTGTACGGCAGATCTGGTGTGCTGATGTAGAATCGCCCGAACGCCACACACACATTGCGGTGTGGGTGTCTTTCCTCGGTAATCTTCTTTGCTGTTTCGGGCGTGAAGCCGCCAGCAAGGATGATCGGGGCTTGAGTTCCCCAGAGTTCAATGAGGGGGTCATTGCGCCGCGTTAGAGTGTCGTACTCTGCTGTCCCAACATCCCCATCATATCGACTCTCGACGAGATGTAGATAGGCGAGGTCGAGCTTCTTCAGCTCTGAAACCATATAGGAGAACTGTGGGATGGGATCTGGTGATGTACTGTTGGCATTATTGGTAAACTCGAACCACGGTGACAAGCGGATGGCGACTTTCTTGCTGTCGTTCCCCACAGCAGCGATGATAGCCTGGACAACTTCACGGCCAAACCTAGCACGGTTCTCGATGCTTCCGCCGTAATTGTCGGTGCGCTGATTGATACTCTCCTGCAAAAATTGGTCCACAAGATAACCGTTCGCGCCGTGAATCTCGACCCCGTCAAAGCCCGCGACGATGGCATTCTTCGCGGCGGAAGCATAGTCCTTAACATATTGCTGGATTTCTTCCGCGGTCAACGCGTGGGGGAGAGGTCCTCCTTCTTCGACAGATACTGTGCTGGAACTGACTATTGGATAAGGCCCCCCTTCTTCTCCTTTGAGGGCCTCAGGTTCAGCTCGCCTACCGAGAGCCCAGAGTTGGAGAAAGATGAAACACTTTTTCGCATGGACAGCATCAGTGACCGTCTTCCAGGCTGCAATCTGCGAAGAATTCCAGATACCAGGCACATTAGCCATGCCGCTTGCCCGAGGACTGATGAGCGTGGCCTCGGCAATAAGAAGTGTACCAGGGGTCGAGGCCCGCTGAGCGTAGTATTCTTTCACGTCTGCGATCGGGACGTGGTCATCATCCGCTCGGAATCGTGTCAGTGGTGCCATCACGATGCGATGACTGAGTTCGACATCCCCCAGCTTTAGGGGGAGAAAGAGTCGGTCACGAGCCATGATAGTAAGAAATGTAACACTGAATCGCTTGTGATATGCTGATGGCAGTGAGGTGAGTTGTCGTTGCAATCTTTGCGACTCGCTCTCCAAGACATTTTGTACCTATAGGCAGTATTGTTGGCCATTGCTAGCTTTCCGAGGCTTACAAATACGAAGGCGAGAAGGGAGGATTTCGAAACGGGGACGGGCTAGCGGCACATTACTTGTAGATAGATAGTCAGACTGGAGGGTATGGCGGTGCCGAAAAGTAATGTACATCTGTACAGGTGGATTTTCCCGAGGCCGTCGGAGCCGGGAAAAGGCTGATGAGCAGCAATCACGTGTCAGAAAGCAATTTCTTCCATTTGTTGCTGCTTTAACCAGACTTGGCACGATCCTGGGGATTGGCGAGAAGGCGCGTCGGTTATCGGTTGCCGGGCGCGACCGCCCGTAAACAGAAAGAAGCCGGAGACGCGCTGGCACATTCCCACCCTCAAACTAGAACAGGATCTCGATTGACACAAACTCGTAAAACTCCAACCTCCATTGATTCGGTTTCATATTGATCAACACCATGCCGCGTATTACACGAGCTGCTTTGAAGGCGCAAGCTCAAGACCAAGGTCAAGATGAGCTTCAAGCGCAGCCACTCATCCACGAGGATTCTGACGCCGACGCGGAAGTCCCTGTCCTGCGACACCCCGAAACATCCCTAAATACGAACCAGGATCCAGCTAGCCGGCCTGCCCTCAAAGACATCACCCACGAGAATCAGCCAACCTCCGATGATGTCTTCACCGATGAGCCTATTGTATCTGTAAAGAAAACTAAGAGCAAGAGAAAGGGAACGCAAACAGAGAATAACATCGAGCAAACTGCTCAGGAGGCTCAAGAGACTCAAACCGCCCCCATCCCAGGGGAATCACAACAGACTCCCCAATCCACCATTCCTTCCTTCAAAGATGGCAACGACACCACCCACGAAGGGGTAAATGGACAAGAGAGCATTCCAGAGCAATCTTACTGCGAACCATTTAATACACCATCTCAGGTAGTCCAATCTCCTGAACAGGAAACTTCCTCAACCCGGCAACCCTCCAACACTGCATCTAAGACACCAAAGTTCAACCCTGTTGTTCATGTGCCTGAACCTCTTGCCACTGTAGCAATTATAGACACTGTCGAAGATTCTTTTATCGATAAGATCAAAACTCGATCGCCGTCCAAAATGCAGTCGTACTCTGAGGGCCACCATTCTCCTGTCTCGTTGGCTGAGCAAAGCACATCACAGACTCCACGCATCGAAGACTCGGTTGAAGCGATTGATGCACTGGAAGACGCAATCGAGAGGATCTCACAGGGACTTCCTAGAGTCGATGGCCTCAACATCAATTCCCCTGCGAAGTCGACCAAGAAGCCCCCTTCACCAGTGACTCTCGAGCCTCGTTCTAGGGCACCCAACACATTGAAGAAAGCGGAACGAACCTTGGCAAAGAACACAGGACCATCCCCTCCAAAAGCTGTCAATCGCCCTAGACCGACAAGTCTCAATGTATCTACCTCTAAGACAACAAATAAGCCTGCTGTGGTGGTGAAGCAACACAAAAAGCTAGTTGTTGATGGCTCAAAACCAAAAGAAGCCGCTGTGCCCCAGCCCCCTTCGCTCTCATTTTCCAGTTCACCAGCGAAAGCTCTACCTAACATGACCAAGAAGCGAGTACCTAGCACGTCTCTTTCTACAAGCAAACCAGGTTTCGTTCCAGCAAAGTCATCCAAGGCTCCCACTAAATCTACATTCTCTCTTCCAGGGGAAGTGATCTCTGCGAAGCTGAAGGTTCAGCGAGAGGAGCGGTTGAAAAAAGAAGAGGAGGCTGAGAGAGCCAAAAAGAACTTCAAGGCACGCCCTGTGCCCTCCAAAATAGCCGATCCAAGTGTAAAACCCCGAGACAACAAAGCTAGCCAAGGGAGATTGAGTATTTATGCTGGAGGATTGAACAAGGAGAATATTGAACCACCGAAGGTCATTGTACGGAGGTCACGCCCAATGTCGATGATCGAGAAGCCAAGGACCGATCCAACCAGAGCCAATTCGGGCGTCCGACGGACCACCAGCGTTGCCGCGAGGCCCAGCACTTCGAAAGTCAGAGAGTCATCGATCCAATTATCGTCCGGGCAGAAGTCGAGTGTATCAAAGGGTGAGGTGATCCAGCAGAGGGCAACGGGCAAAGAAGTGTTCGGACGTAACAAAGCAGAGATCGAGAGATTGGAAAATGAGAGAAAGGAGAAAGAAGAAGCGGCACGGAAGGCGAGAGCTGATGCTGCTGAACGAGGACGACAGGCCAGTCGCGAATGGGCAGAGAAACAAAAGAAGAAGTTGGCCGTACAGGCTGCTTCAAAGCAGGCTGCAGAGAAATCGGGTCGAGGCCCGTCTACTGCTGTTTCCGCCGCTTCTTGAATCTTGGTGATGATCGACATCTGTTCCTACGTTTTTGTGTGGTTTCTAAAACGTCGGTGTTGGTTTGCGCATCGAGAAGAAATTGGAGCGAGCGAAGTGAGTGGTTGGGTCAGCATTTTGCTGGAACGCCAGACACGGTTGTCATTCGTTTTATCATAAACATGCTGCTCATCACAACCAAAATCCCAGGAGTTTAGCCTCGTCTTCCTTCTCTATGGAATCTGTTCCGGTACGTAGGTTTGAGGGCGTAGCAAAATATCCACCCATTGTGCTGTGGCATAGCATGAAGCTAGTTCTGCCAGTGTAGACTCAATCATTTATGAGTACAATCGAAGTCTTAAGATCTCGGTGACAGGCACCTCGATCACCCGCCATCCTCTGTCTTTTGTGGTATCGGTATCCTCACAAGTGGAACGGGCAGTTCTTGTTCTGGCGCGGTATTCTTCTCCCTGGATCCCAACTTGCCATCATTCGTCGTGCGTTCTCCCTCAACCTGCTCGTCTCCGGTCGGTCTCGGCACTTTGACTGGTCATCACATTATCAGCAAATAGTCAAGTACGACATCTTTCACCCGCCACTCCGCTAATCCAGAAGCAGACATGCGACAAAGACATGCAGACGGTTGTAAATAGTTCGGCGCAGGCGCAACACATACCAGCAGCCATAGATATCGCGCGCAAGACATTTTCCCAGTTCGCAAGCACGAGGGCAACGCTCTGCGTGCCGTCCCGCAGTGTCCCAAGCTTTGCCTCCAGGGCAGCGAGTTGCGTGGCTAGGTCCGCACTGAGGTCGCGCAGTTGCCGCAGGTTCTCGAGCTCCGCTCGTTTGCTGGCGATGCGCGAATGTAGGTGAGACTGCGATTGCGTGTTCGACATCGAGAGTGATCCAGATACGGAGGTGGAAGGAGGGTGTCGTAGGAGGGACGAGGCGCTCCCGACAGTGTTGGATACGTTCATTGTGTGACTGTGGGTGTTGGTGTTAGTGGCAGGGTAGTTGCCTGCTGCACGCGGTGCGTAAGACATGTCTGCTTGTTGTGGTAAAGGCAAATCCAGGTAGGCGCTTATTAAACGGACTCATTTGCCTGCTGGCGAGATGGAACCGCTATTTCAATGGCATGGACTGGTGTGGTCCTTCGTACAATCAATCGTTGAGTCCCCGTACCCATGCAAGTTCTTTGGAAAGAATACCAGACCTTTCCTATTGTAGCAGTGACGCGTCCACGATGGGCTTAGCGCCCCGGCTCCCACCCGTTCTAATCCCGAATTGGTCATTTGTTGACCTTCCGTTTTTCGAACCTGAAATGTCCAGGGCTTCCTGACAAACGGCGTTGATTCAACTTCATCTACTAACAACAACTCCATAAGCCTATACCAGCACAGAGATTGCACTAGAACTGCACAAACTGTGTCGATTTGGAGATTTTATACTTTGCCGAGTGATGACATTGAAGACCTGTTTCAACCGGTGACAAGACGAAAAAGCACCGAAGACAACGAACAGCCGGTCATGCGTTAGAGTATGGCCAGGCTTAACGACCCCCCTGCACCGCCGCCTGAGAGCATCGATGCTTGTAAGTCTCAAAGTGCTACCCCATGTGGATGACCGTGTGCCCTTATCCCAGGACACTAACATTGGTATAGTAAAACGAAGATTCATCCGCCAGAACCGCGAAATAGCACGGGTGAACTCGAACCAGTCACAGCGTATTCGCAACCTTGAGATTGAGATCTCCCGGGTAATAGCCGAGAATGCTACACTACGACAACAAGTTATTGCGGCGCAGGCCGAGGCGGAGCGATGGCAACAAACGAACGGCGTAAACCACGAGATCCTGGAGCTGAAGGACCGCTTGGAGAGGAAACTGAAGGATGTGGTGGAACTCGTTGGTGAGATGACCGAAATTCCAGCAAAATCCATGACGAGCAGGCACAGCCGGAGGAGAAGTAGAGTGGATAATCTAAATACGCTCAGTGAGACCGATTGGAAGAACAGGTCAGCTATGAGGGAGCTTTCAGCCAAGGAGAGAGGCGACGGACTTGATGGGCGATTGCCCAGTATACTCGAAAATAAAACGTACCCGAGACGAAGTCTGGAAGTTGCAGAGGTGGTGGCATTGAAGGATGAAGCAGTCATGCAGGACTCTACCGAGTCGCCGGATTTGGGTCCACCACCTGTTGCACACTTGGATGTTCAAGAGCCGATCACATTCAATGCATCGAGGTCGTCTGGACAGGAAGTCACGGACGAAGTCTCGCAGCTTCCTTCCACATTAGAGAGGAGGAGAAGGCGAAGGACAAGCGCTCTGCTACAGGACATGCCAAGAGAGGACGAAGCTGCCGAACAGCAACTTGTCGAAGCAGCCCCTCCTCAGCTACTAAAGGTTGGAGCGAAGCGAAAATTAGAGGCCTCGGAACTTGAGGAACCACTCAGTCGACAATCTAGGGAGAGTGATGAGTTCATTTTTCAACGGAGGCGCGAAAATGTCAGTGGGCTCGCTGGAGGGAGGAAAACATCCCGATTCGCACGGCCACCAGGGCGCGAAAATGATCCCGCAGTAGGAACCACAACGTTGTCGCCAGAGAAGATCATCGCACCTAGAAAGATACTTGCACCCAAGACCACAAACTCTCCTGCAAAAAGAAAGGTGCAAATTCCCGAGAAGCTCGTTGCCCTTGAGGATTCTCGAGAGGTCCGCATGGATCAAGAACCCGTTAAACCATCCAGGAGAACCAAGATTCCCCCAGCACTAGGAAAGCGAGTAGACTCCGACCCTTTGTCACAAGATCTAAGGACAGACGATCTCCAGCCTAAAACGCCTGCATTTTTGAGCGAAGATATGTTCTCACCTGTCTCGACAGAACCATCAGCCCGCACTACACTTCAAAAAACAGAAGCGGCTGTCCTCAACTCTGTGGAAGATGTCCTTAACGGTAGCATTGGTCGTGGTTCACGTCGAGCAAGAGCTGCCATTAGCTATGCCGAGCCTAGCCTGAGAGATAAGATGAGAAGGCCCGGCAAAGAGTTGGTTGGTGCTGTAGAAGGACTGGACAAGAATAGAGAGATGTCAATTTCTCATTCTAGAGCAACCAGCCTGGACCGAGCTCGATCGGATGGCGAAGGTGAAGACCTGGCAAAAATCCCTGTCAATGTCAAACGGGAAAGTAGTGGTTTGGCAGAAGACAGGTGGAAAGAACTGCCACACGCAAGCAAGAAAGAAGAGCCTGCCAGCCCGCTGAGAGATAAAGAGCGAGGTGAGAAGGTCCGCGAGGCACATTGCTACGCCAATTCCAGGAGAGACGCTGCTTACGTTCGAGACAGCTCTAAGAAGTCTCCCTCGTCGGCCTCAGTCACAACCCAAGATAATATATACGCAGAGGACTTGGAAAACGCGGTCGACAGGTTGAGCATTTTCGACCCACCGGTATCCTCTCCGCTAGATGATCCCAAAAGCCCGGCCGGCAGAGAACAGATCAAAGTGGTAACAACCGCAGCAGGCTCGAAACGCAAGACTCCTGCCACTGCTTCATCGGCGCTTCTCAGTAGGAGGCATTCCATCCAGCCTTCTTCGTCCTTGTCCAACCTCAGCGAGGAAGCTGGGAAAAGCGGCAGGCTGACGGGAACGTCTGTCCCTCCACGGCCAAACTCAGCCGCTACTCTGCGCAACGAGTCTTCCGCGGCTGCTGGTGTTGGAGGAGGGCTCAAGCGATCTGGCAGCGCCGTTGGTTCCCTGCGAAATGCTAGGAGCAATGGGTCTCGGCACGACGGTGGGAATTCAATCGCTGATCGGGAATCCGCTGGTACTGCCGCTGTTGATGGCAGAGCTGAGAGAACCGCGATGACGAGACGGAGAAGTATGATGGTCTAAAAAACCCTCCTGCCTAGATAAGGCATCCCCTTTCCATTCGAATCCGAAACCAGGGCGCCCGGATGCCAGCATCGCCTGTAGATACAGCCCAGGACCGCAATGTTGGCTAATTCAAGTACTTCGTAAGATTCTGCGGATGTATAGAGAGGCAAAATGACCGTAACGACCGGAACAGAACGCTGTACTTTCCGCCTGTTGAAAGGTTAGCTCAGCTAGGTGGTAGACTGTAACTAGTCCCCCTTTCTTTCTTTGGATAATTGATACATGGAGAAGCGAGCGGACCGAGCGAGAGAATGATATGTTCTTCCCGCTATATTGTTATCTGTTCTGATGGACTTCTTTCTCATCGCGTGCCTACTAGACTAATCCGGCTGTTGTGGTCCTCGGTCCGAGGATTCTGAACGCTCGTTATGTAGACAGATCGCGTTTCGCATGCTGCTCACAGGCACTTGCAAAACAAGAGTGTTAATGTACTTCCCTGCTAGAAGATCCAAACAACGAACTGACGAACAATATGCCGCGCTCCCTATTTCCATTGCTTGTCTTCATGATGTGCTCTCAGAGGCCCGTGATCATAGAGCGGATGCCAAACAGGGGGGAGCATTGGAGGAAAACGTGGCTTCCGCACCAATGGGATCTAAGAACGGACATGCACGAGACAGCTCGTTGCGGTAGTAAACGTCGCAAGGCCATTGCAGCAATACGCACTCGGCGATGGAAAGCATACGCCTATGATCCAACAGGACATGCAATATAAAGAGGTGGGTCAATCATCACAATATCTGGCCAAGTTCGATCGTTACCTACCTAGGGTATCTTTACGTTCGTTAAGGAAGTATGTAATGCTCCTCTATTACATGCTCTTAATCAATTAATTTATTCCTACACCTAAAAGCCTCTTAGTGGGCTTATGTCGGGAAAACTATCTAGCTCTATAGTAGGAAAATCCTCTAGGGTAGAAAAACCTACTGTCTATAAACACTACCTTATATGTCACGGGATGCCATGGAATACATATATATAGTAGATTGCCTGAGATATCGACACTTCGTGCCGATACTCCACGTCTTTTTAGCTTAATCGCTAGGAGCTATGGCATCCGCTCTGACAATTGTATCGGCACGAAGTGTCGATATCTCAGGCAATCCACTATATATATGTATTCCATGGCATCCCGTGACAATACTTCTAATTTAGAAGTTTTGCTAGTATTACACTTCTAGTAAGTTTCCTTTTGTTACCTCCTCTCTTAGTTACTATTAGTTACGATAGCGTGCTCCCGCTACCCGTATAGCGGCTTAGAGATCCACTGATGGGGAGGAGAAGTTCTAGGCCAAGGAAGACAATTGTGGGTTTCCGTACCCTTCTTTCTCCTGACTATTTCCAGCACGTCCATCCGAAGATAAGGCCTATCTCATCCAGACTAGAGGTCAAGTTGCTCCAGAGGATACTGTGCTCCATCTATCTACAATTCTTCGTAACTGACTAGTTCTAGCTTACTTTAAGTGCGCTTCCGGCCGTGGTTCAAGCTCCCTTATAAGCTTTTCGAGGCTACTTCTTCCCTAGTACTAGGGCCTCTTCTCCGTCCTTTTCAATGATCTCCGTAGAGTTCATAAGCTTCTTCAGCTCTTCGGTAACTTCTATAACTATTCTGTTACGCTTATTTTGCTGGTGGTCCCGGGGCTTAACCCCCTTTTAACCTCTAATCTCCTAGGGCATTTTACCTTCCCCTTAGGTTCCTCCTTCTTTTTAATGCTTTTCTTAACTTCTTCTAGGTCCCTTGGACCCTTTATAATGTCTCGTGACTGTGCGCAAGCAGTTTTTTCAATAGATAATGTTTTTGTATCATGCTCTTAATAAGTTCTTTTAAGGCATATATTTCAGCATTGCCCGATACTCTTCAACGATTCAACACCCCAAAGGGCCAAGCGAAGAGAAAGCCGCCAGCCCTCGAAGCGATTTAGCTTGTTGGTTCGACCCGTATTTCAAGCCTCCGGGCAGCTACCGTGGTCGTTGCAACTCAGCCAAAAAAACTCCTTCCTCAACTGGGGATTTTCTTCGTACGGTTTCCCGTGCAAGTGTTTGTGTTTTTATCCTTTCCGTGACGGGCTCTCCTTGTGCATTGCATCAAGAGGGACTCGAACACTTCGAATATTGGAATTGTGACTGTTGTAGTTGGGGTGGCTACTTGGCGAGTTGAATCCAGTGTCGGTACTCAAGTCAGGTGAGGCGGACAGTGAAGTTTGCGCTCGGAAGTTGGCGTAAATAGAAGCTTACCAGGTTTTGGTGCACCCCATTTGATTGACCACAGTCCTAGACAGTGCCTTGTCGTGCTGTGCCCAGAAGAACCCCTGAGACGGTAGGAATTCCACATGACAAGCGGTACAGGTGGGCACAACGACGTAAGTTCTCCCATTCGGATGATTTTGATTTTGATTTTTTGTGGGACTTTGGCCGGGAGATTGCAGTTCTGGTGGTGAAGAAATGAGAAGTGCTCGATTTAAGGCAAGTCGGCTCCTCCGCGCTTGTTTGAGGTTTTCCAGGATAGTGGTTATTGCATACGTGCTCCGTGCAAGTCGATCCTGATGATGAGAATTCTAGAAGTGGACAAGTAGATGGAGCTTATGATTGCTCGTCAGATGACGGCATGTGTCTCACTAGAGTATTCGCAAAGTGTTCAAGGGGTTGGTCGATTGGCCTCATGGTAATTAAGGCTTTGAGACATGCCGAGGATTACATCGTCCAGCCTCTTTACGTAGTCTCTCATTTCTCTTCGTTTAGCCTTTCGTTTCTCCTCCATGGCTCTGACCTTTTGATTCAATATCTCGATCTCGCGTCGTTGTTGCTCCTCATCTCGGCCAATCCCCGGCAGCCGTGAAATCAACGTGTCTATCTGTTGAGCTTTCTGCACAAGATCCTCGGCCAGTTCTCGCTGTGCGGCAGAGAATGTAGATGGTAACACAGGTCGAAGCGGATAAGGAGCGCGCTCCGTATCTTCTCGACCAGGTTGAATAGCGGACATTGGCGTGCCATCGGGATTGGGCGTTTGCGAAGGCCCTCCTGTCGCAGGTGGGTTGGTGTAGGGGTCGTTGGGATCAGCGTCTGGGGCGATGATTGGATGGCGTTGAGAGAGGTAGGAGATGGTCGAAAAGCACTGAGTGAGAAGCTGGTCGTAGCAGGTTTGTAGTTGGGTGAGGATGTCGTTGGACATGTCTCTAGAGAGGAGGGAGAGTGACCTGGTGCTGAAACGGGACTGGTTGTAATTGCAGTAGCAAGCAGAAATTGGTACGGAATCCCTACATAGGTAGATGGAATCGAGCAATCGCTTCACGTGAGTTGCCAGTGACAGGGAAGGTGGGGGGGGTTCGGAGAAATTCAGAAGTGTCGGTGGAAGGTGCAATAGAGATGGATGTTTCTAGGCACCACCAAGCCTGCGGATAGTTGTACGAGGATGACGAGGGTCGTTAGTTCAGCCTTATGGGATTAGTTGCTAGCTTACTCGTCCTCCCCTGCCAGTGTCACTCAACTGCTCGCAGACCCACGGGCCACGGGCTACGGCAGCCTTGTCATCGGCCCTCCATTGGCATCATTGCATGCGGCGGCCTTTTCCATATTATTCCTAATCCCAACTCACTTTCATTCCCATTCTCTTCCTTTCCGCATCGATAACATAACGAGCCGGGCTTGTCACCTCTCCATTCCCTCCATCTCAATCATCTGCCCTCCCCTTCTGCCATCCGCAATTCTTTCTGCACAATGGCATCTTAGTCATTCCTTGCATCTGCCACGTCTCATACCCTACTTCCCAGCGATAACGCCACGCTCCGCCCGCTGCCCGCATCGATTGACGCAGTCTTTCATCTCCTGCTTCCCCTCACGATAGCCCTCCGCCGGCCATGCATACCTCCTTCACAGGTAGCACCCGCAAGAGCCGTCAAGTCAATCTCTCTGGCAGAGGCCCAACGAACCCATGGGCTGCGCTGAACAAGTCAGCCTCCGCGAAGCCTTCGGCAAGCCACGACGCTGTTGCCCAGGCCCAGGCCGATCGTCTCAAGAGGCAGCAGGACAGAGAAAAGCAGAATGCTACCAGAAGAATACAAAAAGTGTGGCGGGGCCATGCGAGTCGGAGGGAGATCAAAGCCACGTGGAGAAAAGCTTGGGACGACAACGAGCAGAAGAGACTGGGTGCCAGCCACACACTGGATTACACGACTCTGATCCAAAGTGATGGTGTGGTACCTGCATATCAAGATGTCACCCAGTTATCCTGTCAGCTATGCCTACTTCTGCGCTTTCAAGAGTTTCGAGGCAATTCCGTCAGAGATGCCCAAGACACTCCCCGCTTGATCTATTTTGGCCAAGCACTACAACAGACAATTTTGGTATCACAGGACATAGATCTCGATCATTCATGGAGACAACGTTTGGCTCGACTCGGCTTGGTTGCACTGCGACATCTGAAAGTTGTTGCCCAGCATGACTCCTCCGCCTCTCCGACCTCATACAGTGCTTCATTAATCACTATCCTTTCCTTAATCTGTGAGACAGTCCCCGAGGAAACCGCCCAACAATCGGAGATGTACTTTGATGCCGTTGTATTCGTCCTCGAAACAACCGACAGTCAATCCTGGCATGATCTTGCCTTCAAGTTGACGAAAACCCTGCTGACATCTCCGCAAAGAGCAAGACTTCATGCATACATCGCTTTCGCCAAAGTTGTCTTGAGTCAGGCCATCTTGGCTGGCGACCAAGGGTTCCTCGGTTCAATCGCGACCACAGTGGATCTCTCTTCGTTGTCTAGTGCACTCACGTTTCAAGTGCAGACCTTGAGAGAAGTCCAACCGAAAGCTCTGAGCAATAATCAACTTCTATGGCAGCTCGCATACCTCATCTTCATAAATGAATCACAGAACCAATCAAGAGTCGTGCAAAGGTCGTATATCGAGGCACTTTCTGCCCTCTTAGCCTGTTGTGCCCCAGATGTCGCAACCCGTCTAGACCTGGCCGACTCGCCAATGTTTGCGAGCGAGCCTCCTCCCACAGAGCCCCTACCTCCCTTCATTCGCGAGATGCTTCTCAAAATACCTCAACAAGACAACGTTCGGCGAACCTTGGATGCAATGGGCGACATCCTCAATCCCGGCACCAATACCCCAGGTTCGGATTTTGACATTGCTAAAAGACTTGCAAATTATGCACTGGCTTTGTTGAATGCCTATCCTTCCAAGGCACAGAATACGAGGATGCTCCTCCATCAAGGTTCTTTTGCCTTCATCGGCGGTGCTAACATGTCAATAACCCAGTACTTCTGGGCTACCACGCGAAAAACCAGTATTTTCAAGAAAATTGTCCAGAGCCACCGACTTGTCCTATCATTACTCCGCGAGGCAGCTCCAGAAACCAATCAGATTGGTCAAGCGCCGCTCTCACATTCAGAGATTGCGCAATGGCGTGATGAGTGGAAACTCATTATCCTTTTCTTCGAGTTGTACGGCTTCATCCTCAGACTCATGGATGATAGTGAATTTTTCTCGCTTTCTAAGGCCAATACATTTGGAACTTCTACCAACACTCCTGCTTCAGTAATATCGAAGAAGGGCGCACTACCTCTCGAAGACGTTTCACTGATGTCCACATTTCTCAAGAATCTAGCTTTTTCCCTTTATTGGTATGCTGCTGATTTAGCAGAAACGAATGAGAATGAGGAAGAGGCTGACATCTCCGCCCTCTTTGGGATGCAGTCGCAGGCTCAGGCATCTACTAAAACTACCGAAAAGATGCCACAAACATTGACTGGGAATGGCCTGTCTCAATCATATCTCAAAGGACTTGTGACGGGTCTCCTGCGTCAGCTGCACGAAATAGATTCCAGGCAGCCTTTTGTTCCCGCTAATCACTGGTTGATGACCGATCAAGTAAATATGACCGGGTTCATTCCTGCAGTCGTAGCGGAAGAGGAAAAAAGGCACGAACTCGCTGGTGATGAAGAGCAGGAAGACGAGCAAGATGGACTCGACGCCGACCCTGCTGACTTCGACATGTCGATGGGATCGGGTGCGTCAGAAGCCTTGTTGAGTGCAATGTTTGGCATTCGGCAGCCACATATGCCCCGAAGTAGAGGCTCACGACAGGCCGACATACTTGAGCGTCAAAGGCTGCAGGCAAGGCGCAAACGACAAATCGAATCCATCGCTCCACGTCTCGAAATTCTGCGCAACTTACCATTTTTCATCCCTTTTGAGACGCGCGTCCAGATTTTCCGCGAGTTTATCTTTAGAGATCAGGTAAGGAGAAGAGATGGGGCGGTTGATCCAGACACATGGCGTATGTCTGTCGCTGCCAGTTCACAGGGTAGGGCACCGGATGGACGACGGAGGGGTTTCGATATCCTAAGTCGACATCACGCTGAAATCCACCGAGAGAGCGTCTTTGAAGACGCTTACGACGCGTTCTATCCTCTTGGGGAGGCTCTCAAAGAGCCCATCCAGATCACATTTATTGACCAGTTCGGTGCGCCGGAAGCTGGCATTGACGGCGGAGGCGTCACAAAAGAATTTCTCATGAGTGTCACAAGCGAGGCATTCGACCCAGATTCCAGCCTCAGTGCGTTCAAGGAAAATAATCAGCGATATTTATTCCCAAACCCCCTGATCTATGAAGAGACTGTGAGGTTTCTGGTACGCATGGGCAGATCACCCAACACCGAGGGCTACACTCGCCCCATGAACGAATTTCTCCGCCGCTTCCAGTTTCTAGGCAGGGTAGTTGGAAAATGTCTCTATGAAGGGATTCTTATCGATGTCACTTTTGCAGGATTCTTTCTTCTCAAATGGGCATTGACTGGAGGTTCCACGGTTGGCTCTAACGAGACGGCATACCGCCCAAGCATCAACGATGTTCGAGAATACGACGAGGAACTGTATCAAGGCCTCCTGAAATTGAAGAACTACCCTGGCGACGTGGAAAGTGATTTTGCGTTGGATTTCACTGTAACCGATACGTTTAACGTGCTGGACGTTGATGGGAAGCAGATTCCCGAGACGATTACCACGGAACTAAGACCTAACGGCGCCAACATCGCGGTAACGAACATCAATCGATTTGACTACATCAATCGCATAGTCAGAAGGAAGTTACTTGAACAGCCAAAAATGGTGACTGATGCCTTTCTTTCAGGTCTTGGGCAGATTATCCAACCAAGCTGGCTTGCCATGTTCAATCAGAAGGAGCTACAAAAGCTTGTTGGGGGAGACAGTTCCGAGCTTGATATCGCGGATTTGCGGAAGCATACACAGTATGGCGGGCTTTACCAGATCGGTGACGATGGGTTGGAGCACCCAACTGTGCAGCTTTTTTGGGAAGCCTTGCAAGAGATGGACAACGAGGACAGGAGGAAGGTGTTAAAATTCGTCACGAGCACACCACGAGCGCCCCTCCTAGGGTTCAGCCACCTGAACCCCAGATTCAGCATTCGTGATTCTAGTGAGGATCAGGAACGACTGCCAAGTACTAGTACTTGTGTCAATCTTCTCAAGCTACCTCGATATGGAGACATCAAGACGATGAAAGACAAACTGTTGTATGCGGTCAACTCAGGAGCAGGATTCGACCTTTCATGAGCAAGACTGGAAGAAAGGGTCGCACCTCTGCCTCCCCAGTCCTGCACACCATTACCATGAGACTATCACGAACATCATTGGAAGGGCCATCTTCTGGGGAACAAGGAAGCAGCGCATAACCATTACCGTGGCATTGGAATCACCTTCCCAATCGAGATAGAGCTGATAGATCTCAAAGTCGGACTTCTTATTGCTTCTCTCACCATGGAGCATGGCCTACCATTGGACACGGCTGATTACTTTTCATTGATCTATAAACAGTAGAAGGGATACTGTTACTCCTAGGGCACCTACCACGTAGTCGAACGGGTTCATAGGGACCGGCAAGGCTGTTGTCATGAGTACAAGTACATCGTAGCCGTAGTGCACCCAACAAGATGAAGATCGTGCCTAAGTTTAGAAATTGAAGCTTCCAACGAGTGACACAAACACGTCATGGGACCAACCCGTGGACCTGTGACATCCTCTCATGTGTACGGAGTACTTCAGGGGAGCTACACGAGTTCGACCAGAGAGCATGGACAAGTCTTGCGGAGAGTAGCCACCTAACTTAAACAACTTAGACCCTGCGGATGTGGACTTCGTTATTGGTGCGGTACCGCGAATGGCCTTGCTTGTCGTCGGCACGCCCTCCCTCTGCATCCCTCTGTGTCCCTCCGCGTCCCTCCATCCCCACGTCCATCATCACTCCTATTCGTATTGCCATCACATTGCATCCTTGATCTCCACCAACCCAGGCCTGCCGTTGCTCACTGGCCCTCTCTCGTCGCCGTGATCGCCTATGGAAATACTGAGTTCTGACACATGATTGCAGAGCCTTAGATGGCAGCAACCGAAAAACCCACCGCCATCTCGCCACGCAACCCCCAATTCATCGGGGACTATCATCATCACCAACCCGTGCTTCTTTCTGCCCACCATTCCGAACGAAATTAATCTGGTGGTCTGTTCAAACTTGCCCACCCTTCTTATGTCTGGGGAGGCCGCTCCCTTGATGTCGAATGCCAGTGCCTGGATTTCAGCCTCGCAACACTCCCGGTAGCCAGTCCCAGTTCAATCGTCATCCATCCCTTTTATCGCCTTCCAGCGCCGCAGCTGGTCCTTCCATCGAGCTAGACACCTTTCAGCCCGACCGTGGTAAAGAAAGAGATCGCAGAGGGCGGGGGAAAAGACTTCAGAAACTTGAAACCCTCGCCGAACGAGAAGCCATGAAGTTCTCCCACAGTATCCAGTTCAATGCGGTGCCGGACTGGAGCAGCAACTACATCTCCTACAGCAACCTAAAGAAACTCATCTATACTCTCGAAAAGCAGATCAACAAGCCCCCAGGCGAGGTTCAAGATGAGGAAAACACCACTTTGCTCAATGGGCAGCTGGACCCTGATACCACCTTCAAGCGCATGCTCGACTCCGAGCTAGACAAGGTCTGCTCCTTCTACCGCTTGAAAGAACTTGAGATCTTTGGCGAGCTCGATCAACTGCTCAAGGATGCTGAAAATTACAAGAACGAAACTAAAGACATTGATATGGAGGATGTGGTCGACCTCGAAAATCGAAGGAAGGTCTCGAGGTCACAGAGCATATTCAACGTGCCTTTCCGGCGAAAGAGGAGGACTTCCACTATGAGTATCAGTGTGGAGGAGGAACCTGAAGATGATGACAGCGACAGCGATGCCGAAGACAGCGCCCATATGATCAAGAAGAAACCCCCCACGAAGCCGAGAAGCAAGAGCGTTTGGGCTGGCTCAGAACACACTTCTGGCGCAAATGGCGCCATGTCGGAATCTCGAGAAGACCTGCGCTCCTCAGCCGAGTCGGCTTTTCTCAGGAGGAGGCCTAGTCTGGCTCTGGAATTGGATGCTTCCGACCCTGGCCAGCTATCCGCTCTATATGACTCGGCCATCAACTTGAAGAAGAGGATCATCAGCCTGTACGTCTCGCTAGCTGAGTTGAAGTCCTTCATCCAGCTCAACCAAACCGGTTTCAAAAAGGCCGCCAAAAAGTTCGACAAGGTGTGCGACAGAGATATTCGGAAAAGCTACATGGATAAAGTCGTTAATCGTTCGTACCCCTTCCTTGATACCACCATTAAACGTCTCGACGAGAACATTGATAAGGTGGAAAAGGTCTACGCTGAGATCGTCACGAAGGGTGACCAGAATATGGCTCGTAGAGAACTTCGTCTCCATCTCCGTGAACATGTCGTTTGGGAGAGAAATACCGTTTGGCGAGAAATGATCGGTATCGAGCGAAAAGCACAAGCTGCCAATTTCGGCATCAGACAGACTCTTCTGGGTGGCGCACAGGACCCTTCCCAAGCCAGATTACAAGGAGATCGTGATACAGTGGATACCAAGGAATTCCAGACGCCTGTCGGTCGATATCGCTGCCCGAGGTGGCTGTTCAGTTCGACTTTCTTCGCCCTGGTCTCCATCTTGGCCATCTTCTTAGTCCTTCTGCTCGTTCCCATTATGAAGAAACCAGAACAGCAGAATTGCCTGGCCATGCTAGTCTTTGTTTCCTTACTCTGGGCCACCGAAGTTATCCCTCTGTTTGTCACGTCACTTATGGTTCCGTTCCTAGTGGTGGTGCTGCGAATCATGCGGACCGAGGAGAAGCCATATCAACGGTTGGATTCAAAAGCAGCAACCAAGGCCGTCTTCGCAGCCATGTGGACGCCAGTCATCATGCTACTCCTAGGTGGCTTTACTATCGCCGCAGCTCTCTCCAAATACCATATTGCCAAGATGATGGCAACTTTCGTTCTCAGCAAGGCCGGTACGAAGGCGCGAACCGTCTTGATCACCAACATGTTTGTTGGGATGTTTCTGAGCATGTGGATTTCCAACGTCGCTGCTCCTGTATTGTGCTTCAGCATCATCCAGCCAATGTTACGCAATCTCCCCGCCGACAGCAACATGGCTAAAGCTCTCATTTTGGGTATTGCATTAGCTTCCAACATCGGCGGCGCTGCTTCTCCCATCGCTTCGCCTCAGAATATCATCGCTTTACAGAATATGAAGCCCAACCCAAGTTGGGGAGTATGGTTCTTTATCGCGCTTCCAGTCTGCATCATCACTATTATTCTTATCTGGCTCCTCCTCCTTGTAACATTCAAACCCGGCCGAGGCATCACCATCGTTCCTATCCGGCCCATGAAAGACAAGCTCAACGGATTGCAGTACTTCATCATCTTCGTCACCCTCGTGACCATCGTGCTCTGGTGCACCTCGCACCAACTGGAAGGTGTCTTCGGAGACATGGGCGTGATCGCAATTATCCCGATGATTCTGTTCTTCGGCACAGGCATCCTGACGAAAGAGGACTTCAACAACTTTCTCTGGACAATCATCATCCTCGCCGCTGGAGGCCTGTCTCTCGGCCGTGCCGTCAGTTCGTCTGGTCTTCTGCATACGATCGCCAAGGGTATCACGGACAACGTCGCTGGGATGAGCGTCTATGGGGTGCTCATTGTTTTCGCTTCTTTGATCCTCGTGGTTGCCACCTTCATCTCCCATACCGTCGCCGCACTTATCATCTTGCCCCTCGTCCAGCAGGTTGGCGCCAATATGGCCGAACCTCACCCTAACCTGCTCGTCATGGGTAGTGCCCTGATGTGCAGTGCCGCAATGGGTTTGCCAACTAGTGGATTCCCGAACATGAGTAAGTCTCCATTTCCCCCTCTTTAATCTATCCTTTCTCTTTTTGAAGGCGTTCAAAAAGCAATACCCCTGATTGGCGTTCCATCTCTTTTTCTCTACTATCAACAACCGAAATATTCACTGACCATCTCCTCAAAGCCGCAATCATGATGGAAGTCCCCGAGACCGGTGTACGGTACCTGCAAGTCAAGCACTTCCTAACCCGAGGTGTCCCCGCGTCTATTCTCGCGTTCGGCGTCATCGTCACCGTTGGGTATGGCTTGATGATAGCCGTTGGACTGTAAGGAGAAGGAAAAGAAGACACGTGTGTGAAAAAGGCACTAGGGAAAGGAATAGAATAAAGGGAGTAAATGCCCTAGTCGTCTGAACGCGTGATTGAAGGAAAGACGTTGCTCGAATTATTGTACAATTTATCTGATGTGCTCTCCCTAAATGCCTCCCAATTCTCGCCCTTTTTCGTGCGTAGAGAGAATGGATCGGCGAGGTATATTGACATATAACCAAAGTGTTGTGTAGTCGCATTTTTGTGTGCATCTCATTGATGCTTTACTCGGTCGGTTTGATCAGGATAATATTTTGGAAGGCTCTCCTATTCCCATTGGATGCAAAAGGAGGTTGTATACACGATATTACAAACGTATGCACAACGTGATGGGCTCTCGAGTCTTTTTGACTTTTGCTTGTTTCAGCTGAGGCAGACGAACCGCATGGCGAATATATATCTATATGTATACCTACACCTGAGATTTTGGCACATGAACATGCTGCGGGCGCATGGTTTATCTGGTTGAGACAAAATGGGGAACAGAATTACAAGTCCTACTGACGGCAGTTTGTTTCTGGTCTCGGGGTAGTGATACTGATGGTGATGGTGATAGTTAGTGCTGCTGGCATGGCCGCAAGATTTATTGACCGCCGCCGATTTGGCCAAACCTTCCTTCCTCTCCTTCCGGGCTGGATTTGTTCCCAGGAAGAAGGAAGCGCCGATGCGATTTCATTTCGAGGCCGGGCTGGTACGGCCTTGTGGAATAGTGTAGTAGCATTATTGTCGCCAAATAATAACGTCGATTTGTGTTAATGCTCGTGACGGTTGCGTGGTGTCGCGATCGCATTGCGCAAGAGGTGTTTGCTCTGCTTTACCCTAACAACCCAACAAGGCTGTGCCTGGGAGTGTGCTGAGGCTGGTGACTGCTGTGATACGTCCTCTACCTGTAAGAATGACCGCTCAGTGCATCTCAATAGCAGATCTGTTGTTCACGCCCGGAGCACTCAACCCGTTCTTGGAGGGGTTTGGTTTGTCCCCCCCACCGGCAGGAGTAGAGAGCACAAGACTCAAGTTGGATCAGCGCACGTTTCGACTTCTTCGGCAACAGCAGCCCGGTCCTGTTTCTTCGACCTCTTGACGTAGAAATACTGGCCGATCCGCCTCCCCTGCTCGGAGTCTCCTCTGGACATGGAGAACGGCTTGTCGACGATATCATGCGCTTTGGCCTCCGCACCGCGATTGCCAACGAGAGGAATGTTTTGCTTCTGTCTCCTCCTGATTGTGCCATTCACGCCGACCTTCTCCTCCTGCTTGAAAAACTCCTCCAGCTTCTCCTCCGTCATCATCGAGGCCCAGACATTGTCGCGCGTCTCGTCGCGGATCGACACCAGCGGCTGCACGCCCGTGGTGTCCACCTTTTGAATCTCCTTCACGAAGTGCACCTGTGCCCGCAGCGTTGAGAGCATTTCTTCCTCCTCGGCGTCGTCTTTCGGCGGAGGCAATGCGGATAGTTTGAGCAGGTGCCGCAGCTTCTCTTTTGTGATCTCTTGTGTGTCTTCTTGGAATTGCACGAAGCTTGCCGTCGCTGCAGCAGCGGCAGCTGCGGTACCCGGCGGTGTAGAGCGCTGGTTTGTCGGCGGTGCTCGAGGTGGAAGGAGAGATGCGACGGACCAGGTCGGCCGTTCGAGAAGCTCGCGGATCTGTGGGTTGATTTTGATGTCTTTGACTATCGTCTGGTTTGGTCTCAAGCGCCCCCCTACATTCATGTAGCTGATTCGAGGCATTCTTAGAGCTAGGGAGGGGGATCGTGATGAGGAGGAGTTGGTGGTAGGGGAAGAATGGCCATGGGTGCTGGCACAATTGATCTCGGCCGCACGTGAAGCGAGCGGAAAAGTTGACGAGGCTCGCCCACAGCCTCGGCCTGGCACCCTTGCAAGCTAACGGCTATGAGTACGTACTGGCTTGCCAGTGCCACTAGTGGGTTTAGTATTTAGTTACGGTGCTTAGGCGCTCAATACACGTGACTTATAATGCGAGCTTGACTCCACCCGAAACTCTTCCAACTCCATGGAGATCTCAACTCTCCAAAGGCACTTTTCTTAGGTAATTGACCATTCTTCTCGATGCTCATCAAGATCATCGAGCCCTACAATATTATCCCTTTCACCCTAGGGAAGAGCCTCGATCTGATCCTATGGCAGACTCCTCTTTGGCAGGATATTCCGCGTGGTTGGTCCCAAGAGTCGACCGCTCTGGCTCTCACAATCGACTCATTCTTCGTATATATGTCTTGCGATGACACAGACGTGTACATCAAAGCGAGGATCATATGCCGGCCGACGAATATAGGATACATTGTACTATCAAATGTGATGTGGTCATGTCACATATCTCCTCTCCCTGGGGTGTCCATAAGACGACTTCATGGCCAGCCATATCTCCGCACGATCAGGATCACGCCAGTACGCAAAATATGCAAATATCTCTTGGACAAATACACCTCCTTCTTGGCCCTAAGGCCTTTCCACCGTTCTCTGTTCCTTCTTGCCACCGCTTGGGTCAAATGGCGAGATAAATGGCCATGAGTCCACATTGACGGACCAATAAATCCCGTGTCTGACGGGACCATACCCGTACTAGAGTTACCCCGAATCCACTCTAGGACAAATTCGGGATGCTGCTTCAAGGCCCATAGATAAGAGGATGGTACAATATTTCCTCGCTTTCATGCCCTCATTTACATCCCGCGGATCTTCAAAGCCACTGCAGCTCCGATCTGGGCTCGGTTTTATCTTTGACTGTGACAAGATATTCACGTCATACGTGCCATCGAGCCTATTATCGTTTTGCGATCCACCCACGGTAAGTGTACGACCACACCATGGGCGTGATGGTTCCTTTTTTTCTCCTTTGTTCGCGCATTTGCTTAATTTATTTGTTTTTGGACGCCTTTTTCCAATGATGTGGTGCTAGTCGGGCAAAACGTCGTCTCTTTACTTCGTGTAGAACCTAAAAGCAAGATGGATTCTACAAGCGTCAAGGCTGAGAATGTCCATATAAGCGAGGTCGCTGTGAAGGATACCATGCAACTTATCCGAGGAGTAGCACCCCCTTCACCACCAGCCACAGATGAGAGCTGCTCAATCGCAGAAGACGAAACAGTTGAGATTCCCCTGCCACCGCCCACGACTATTCCCACCGAGACTCTAGACATCGACCTCAAAACCCCCGACAGCCATGTGCCACGAGATCCCAGGCTAATTCGGTTGACTGGCGTCCATCCCTTCAACGTTGAAGCACCACTAACCGCCCTATTCAACGAAGGCTTCCTCACCAGCCCAGAACTGTTCTATGTTCGCAACCATGGAGCAGTACCACAAGTCTTGGATGAGGATATCCCAGATTGGGAGTTCTCTGTTGAGGGACTCGTCGAAAAACCGATTACCATAAACATGCGTCAACTCATGAGCGAGTATGAGCAGGTCACTTATCCCATCACACTGGTATGTGCCGGGAATCGACGGAAGGAGCAAAACATGGTACGAAAGAGCAAAGGGTTTTCTTGGGGAGCTGCTGGACTATCGACTGCACTATTTACCGGTGTGATCATGGGCGACGTCATCAAACGAGCGAAGCCTACAAGGAGGGCAAAGTACGTCTGCATGGAGGGAGCGGATAAACTTCCAAACGGGTATTATGGTACGTCTGTGAAGCTTAACTGGGTTCTTGATCCCAATAGAGGTTTCATGCTTGCCTACAAAATGAATGGCGAGATGCTACGGCCCGACCATGGCAAGCCACTTCGTGCCGTCATTCCTGGTCAAATTGGTGGTCGATCTGTCAAGTGGCTGAAGAAGCTTATTGTCACGGACGCACCAAGCGACAATTGGTATCATATATACGATAATCGAGTTCTACCGACCATGGTATCCCCTGAAGAATCGGCGAATGACCCCAGATGGTGGACCGATGAGAGATATGCTATCTATGATCTGAGTCCCAACTCCGCCATCTGTTATCCTCAACACGAAGAACAATTCTGCCTATCTGACGCCCCCAGCAGATACAGAGCCAGGGGTTATGCATACAGTGGTGGTGGACGACGTATCACTCGTGTCGAAATATCTCTTGACAAGGGTAAGACGTGGAGACTAGCCAATATTGAATATGCTGAGGACAGATATCGCGAAGTTGAAAAAGATTTATATGGCGGTCGCTTGGATATGTCATGGCGGGAGACTTCCTTTTGTTGGTGTTTCTGGTCGATCGATCTAGCCACAAGTGAACTTGCAGCTGCAAAGGATATGTTTGTGCGAGCCATGGATGAAAGTATGAACGTCCAGCCCAGAGATATGTACTGGTCCGTCTTGGGTATGATGAATAATCCCTGGTTCCGCGTTACCATCTCTCTGGAGGGAGACTACCTGCGTTTTGAACATCCCACACAGCCAGCTCTGCTGCCCGGTGGCTGGATGGAGAGAGTCAAGAAGGCAGGTGGGAACTTGGCCAATGGCTTCTGGGGTGAAAAGCTGGAAGGAGAGGATAAGGAAGTGACCGCAACTGAAAGTCCAAAAGAAATATCGATGGTCAAGGAGGGCTTGAAGAATACCATCACCATCGATGAGCTCAGAAAACACGGTGGAGAGGAACAGCCGTGGTTTGTGGTTAATGGTGAGGTGTATGATGGTACAGCATTCCTCGCGGGCCACCCAGGAGGAGCTCAGAGCATTATTTCAGCTGCTGGTCTTGATTCCACTGAGGAATTCATGGCTATTCACAGTGAAACCGCAAAGGCAATGATGCCAACCTATCATATTGGATCTCTGGATGAAGCTTCAAAAAATGTGTTGAGTGAAGGAGACTCGGAAACGAACCAATCGGGAGGTCCTACCGAGACTTTTTTGCAATCCAAAGTATGGAAGAAGGCCATTTTACATGGAAAGAAAACCGTTTCTTGGGACACACGCATTTTCACGTACAAATTGGAACACGACGCGCAGCGTCTTGGCTTGCCGGTTGGGCAACATCTCATGGTACGACTGCGAGACCCTGCAACTCGAGAAGCCATTATTCGAAGCTATACCCCTATATCGGAAATCAATGACAAGGGCTTCATGGACATGCTTGTGAAAGTCTACTTTGCAAATAAGGAGAGTCAAGGAGGGAAAATGTCTCAGGCAATGGATGCCCTTCCCATCGGCCATTTCATAGAGATGAAAGGTCCTATCGGCAAATTCGAATATCTCGGAAATGGTCGTTGCTTGGTCCAGGGCAAAGAACGGACTGTCAAATCATTTGTCATGATATGTGGCGGTAGTGGGATCACCCCGATTTATCAGGTCTTTCGGGCAGTCATCCGCAACCCGGAAGACACGACGCAATGTATCATCTTCGATGGAAATCGCCTCTTCGAGGACATCTTGTGCAAAGAGGAGCTGGACCGTCTCGAGCAAGACAATGGTGATAGGTGCAAGATCTTGCATACGCTCACCAAGCCTTCGGATGATTGGAGGGGTCTTCGTGGTCGAATTACGGGCCAGCTTGTCCAAGACAATATTACGAGAACTGAGGAAAGTTTGGTACTACTTTGTGGTCCTGAAGCGCTGGAGAAGACAATGCACAAGGCGCTGCTGGAACAAGGTTGGACGGAGGACCAACTGATGTTTTTCTGAGTTTCTGTACCTGTGTGTTTGGATTTATTGTCCGGAACTGGTACTATAAGAATGTTGCATAAGAGCCTGGTACGGCGTGGATAGCACTGTCGATTGACTATGTGTGTAAAGAGACTGGAGACTCACGAATTATGAACACATCAAATGATGAAAAACGTACGAGCAAATGTTATGGGTGCGTCAGTAGAACCCTAACGTGGCAGGCAACCTTTGTCGCCTCGTTGTTCGAAAATCAAATAAGAATGAAATTCATGACAATACAGCGTGAATTACAAATTACAATACCGTTCCAAAAGACCACCGGTGGCTGAGATCTGGGCCAAGCCTCGCGTTATCTCACCGGCCTTTCTCGGCCACTCAGAGTTTGTATCCACCATGATTTCCTTATCTCTACCCGGCATCGTTTCAACAACACAAAACCCACACCCAACCGACAAGTTGTTTCCCCGTGGAGAAAGCTAGATCGCTCGGGTCTCAACAAAGATGGACGATGCGCAGAATACCAGCCGATCGTCTTTTGCTAATACCATATACATCAGGGAATGGCAATGGACTCTTATCTATTGGCCGATCCTTTCCGCCTGGCTGTTGGTTGCTCTGCTGGTGGAGAGCTCAGATCTACATACCTCGTACACACCTTGAATCGTCGCCGGATTTTCGTGTGGCCTCGACGTCCCCGCGGGCGTGGCAGAGCCTCGTTGATAAGCCATCTTTGCTGGTTTCCGTTGGTCGGCATATTCACAATGCGATAGTATCCAAGGTCCGCGGACTCAATGGGTTGGCCCGCTTTGGGGCATCTTCCAAAGGAAAGTGACATGCTCCGATCTCTGCCATTTTCTTTTGGTTACTTCCTCTCTTTTCCTTTTCGTAGACTTCTTTTTACGCTTGCCTGTTTGTTTTCCTTCCTGCGTGAATACCACCCAAGGCTGTTTAACGTTCTAACTCTCAGGACCATTCCCTTGGCCGGCAGCTTGAAATTGGTGCGGGAAATCACGAACCATATGCGTAGGTAGTGCTGAGGATGTCTTGGGCGACATCATCTCCTGGTATGGCTATCAGTCGCGCCCCGGAGGCCGCAGATGTGACTGGTGACGTGCCAGCATCCGCTGGGCGGAGGAAGAAGGTCGTTGTTGTTGGACTGGGAATGGTTGGCGTGGCATTTGTGTGAGTGGGCGTTGTCAATTTTACAAGGTGAATGCTACTGATTCTCCAACCCAGCGAGAAATTGTTGAAACTGGATGCAAAGCGCAAGGAATATGATGTGGTGGTCATTGGCGAAGAACCCCATCTCGCGTACAACCGAGTCGGACTCACCAGCTTCTTCCAACACAGACAGGTCGAGTCACTCTACCTCAATCCCGAGTCTTGGTACCAGGGCCACGAGGCAAGCTCTCTCAGTTATCATCTCAACACGCTTGTCACCGAGATCAAGCCTCAAGAAAAAGCCGTGGTCACTTCAAAAGGCGACACTGTCTCATATGATATTTTGGTCTTGGCAACAGGATCAGATGCTCTTTTACCAAAGCACACCCCTGGTCACGATGCAAAGGGGGTATTCGTTTACAGAAAAATCGAAGATTTAGAGAACCTGATAGCATTCTCCTCTACTGTGAAGGGGACAACGGGATGCGTTGTTGGAGGTGGCTTGCTTGGACTCGAGGCTGCCAAAGCCATGATGGATCTTGAAGAATTCCAACAAGTCAAACTCGTCGAGAGGAACCGATGGGTGTTGTCACGACAACTGGATGGAGATGCTGGAGGCATGGTGGTTGAACTTGTCCGTGCCTTGGGTCTGGATGTCATGCTCAGCAAACGCGTTGGCAAGATTTTGACGGATGATGCAAATGCCGTCAAAGGCATTATCTTTGAGGATGGTGAGCAGATGGACTGCACTTGTATCATGTTTGCTATTGGCATCAAAGCCAGGGACGAGCTTGCGCGGAAGGCTGGTCTGAAGTGTGCCGATCGAGGGGGCGGTATCACCATCGACAACGACTTGAGGACAAGCGATCCTAACATCTATGCCATCGGTGAATGTGCGAGTTGGGAGAACCAGACCTTTGGTCTCATCGCTCCGGGCGTCGAGCAGGCCGACGTCCTTTCATTCAATCTCACCCAGGCCAAAGTCCACGCCCCAAGAACATTCAAGCGACCAGATTTGAGTACGAAATTGAAGTTGTTGGGCGTCGAAGTAGCCAGTTTTGGCGACTTCTTCGCCGACCGGGATGGGCCTAAAGACCTTCCTAAACGACATGTCAAACGAGAAGAGAAGAAAGATGTTGCAGGACAGGACAGGGTTAAGTCGTTACTCGATGGGCCACCAGCACCGGCTGTCAAGGCACTCACATATAAGGATCCATTCCAGGCTGTGTACAAGAAATATCTGTTCACTATGGATGGCAAATATCTGCTTGGTGGTATGATGATTGGCGACACCAAAGACTATGTGAAGTTAGTGCCAATGGTCAAGAACAAAAAAGCTCTGGATGTGCCTCCTTCTCAATTCATCATTGGAGCGGCGAAAGACGGCGACGACAACGGCGACGATTTGACAGACGACACACAGATCTGCTCGTGCCATAACGTCACCAAAGGGGACGTCGTCGGAGCGGTCAAGGATGGCTCTTGTAAATCCATCGGCGATGTCAAATCATGTACCAAAGCCGGTACAGGCTGTGGTGGCTGTATGCCGCTGGTTCAGTCCATTTTCAACAAGACCATGAAGGAGATGGGCAATGAAGTTTTGAATCATCTGTGCCCTCACATCCCATATTCGCGAGCCGATCTTTACAACATCATCTACGTCAAACGACTCCAGAATTTAGGTGAAGTCATGAAGGAAGTCGGTACCGATCCCAATAGTCTTGGGTGCGAGCTATGTAAGCCCGCGATTGGTTCGATCCTCGCAAGCTCTTTCAACAAGCATATCTTGGAGAAGCCCCTGCGTGGACTCCAGGACACCAACGACAAATATCTCGCAAACATCCAACGGAACGGCACATTTTCGGTTGTGCCTCGCGTGGCTGGTGGGGAGATCAGCGCCGATAAGCTGATCGTCATTGGCCAGGTTGCAAAGAAATACAACTTATACACGAAAATCACCGGTGGCCAACGTATTGATCTGTTCGGCGCGAAAAAGCAAGACTTGCTGAATATCTGGAGTGAACTTGTTGCTGGCGGTCTTGAGTCAGGTCATGCATATGCCAAGTCACTTCGAACGGTCAAGTCATGTGTGGGGACGACATGGTGTCGTTTTGGAATTGGGGACTCGGTCGGTATGGCAATCCGGCTTGAAGAGCGATATAAATCAATCCGAGGCCCGCACAAGATCAAAGGTGGTGTTTCCGGTTGCGTGCGGGAATGTGCCGAAGCACAAAACAAAGACTTCGGCCTGATAGCCACGGAGAAGGGGTTCAACATTTTCGTGGGAGGCAATGGTGGAGCGACGCCGCGGCATTCTGAGCTTCTGGCGAAAGACGTACCTCCTGACGATGTTGTCCCGATTCTCGACCGTTACTTGATGTTCTACATTCGAACAGCAGACAAGCTGCAAAGAACTGCCAGATGGGTGGAGCAGCTTCCCGGAGGCATCAAATATCTTCGGGAGGTGGTGCTCGAGGACAAACTGGGGATTTGCGCCGAACTGGAAAAGCAAATGCAAGAGCTTGTAGGGACATTCTTCTGCGAATGGACCGAGACAGTCAACGACCCAGAAAAAAGAAAGGCATTTGAACAATTCGCCAATTCATCCGAGACCCAAGAGCCTGCGGTGGAGAAAATTGAGGAAAGAGGACAACTTAGACCAGCGTACTGGGCGGCGGACTCGGTGCTCGACAACTTCAAGGGAACAAGATGGAGCAGTCTGTCGTGGCAGCCAATGGTCGAAGCGAAGAAATTCCAAGAGATTGACACCGGATCCTCTCAGACAGTGATCAGAGGCGACACGCAGCTAGCAGTGTTTAAGCTGAAGGGCAAATATTACGCATCTCAACAAATGTGCCCGCACAAGCGAACCTTTGGGTTGTCCGACGGGTTGGTCGGTGAGACCTCTTCCCTAGACTGCAAGGACAGCAAACTCTACGTCAGCTGCCCATACCACAAACGGAACTTCCAACTGAATGGAGAAGTCGACTTCGAGAAGAAAGACGCTGGCGCAGGATCATGCTCCAACGACGCCAGCATGTCGATTGCGACGTTCCAAGCCGAAGAGCGGGACGACGGCTGGGTCTATCTCAAATTACCACCCGTGCAGGAGATGGATGCGGTGCTGGGAACAAGTAAATGGATCGTCAAGAAAGAGGAAGGACCCAAACCATTTGAAAGTCTGGACAGGAAACTTGGACTCAATAAAGGGTTGAGGGCATCACGGACAATGGGTGCGATGCCAGGAACTGGCAATGTCAACGCTCGCACGGTGGCTGTTGCAGCGCAAAGGAGGATTGACTGGTAGGTAAGGACAGGATATAAAGTGTTTTAGCAACGTGTATACCAAATAAGCGTGGATCGGGCTGGGATGGGTGTGGGCAAGGTATGAGATAGCTCCAGTACATAGATGGATCATACGACTTCGAAATGACATAATGACATGATGAGATGATGAGATGATGAGATCCAAGCATTCCAATGGACTTGGAGGGCACAGCCACATCCCTGATGGCTTTGCTCGCCAGGGGCTGGGAATTCAGGAGGCGCCTCGTATTGATAACCTACAACATAGGGGCACGTGAGTGGCGTGAGCCCTAATTTCTGATTAGTGAAGACCATTAGGATGATGGGCTGATCAATGACCAAGTCTGCTCCCGTGCATCGGAAGACTGGAACAATGTGAGATGAGCATGCCATCTGTTGGTTTCAATAGGTGACACTTAGAACATGGGAGGATCGCCTTCGGGCTGATCTTCAATGATGAGTGGTGTACGGAGTCCTGCGTATACTGTTGAAGTGTGGCTGAACGGCCAAAGGGAACACGTTTCTATTTTCAGCCGCAGCCGATTCCCCAATGAAACTTGGATGAAAGAATGGGTTGAATAATAATGATGATAATAATGAACGCATGCACTATTACGGAGAACTTGGTACCTCCGTACGAGTAATTATGATGAAGCCAATCCTTTCCCTGCGTGGCGGCCCTGATCGCCTTTTTATGCGGAGGATGTGGCCAGTTTGTTCGGTTGCATCGACTTACAAACTGAACGCATGGACTGATCCATTCATTCACTCTTCTCACTCTTCTCACTCTTCTTACTCTCCCAAGCCTAGTCCATGATCCTCTCAGCCGTTCTTTTGTAAAAGCCATTTCGACCGTTCACTTGGTTCCCTTCCTGCTAAGCCCGGTTTGTTCTGTTCTGCTCCACGACATCCCAACGCCAGGCCAACATGCGCCTACAACACGCCTCACCCTTCTTCCTCGCCTTCTACGTCTTCCTCCGACCACATTGCGTTCGAGCCGAGCCGCAGTGCGCCATAGACCCCAATTCAATCGTTACCGATGCATGCACCTCATATTCCGACCTCGAGACTTTAAACGCCCAGTTGGCTCCCTCGCTTGAGGAGCTGACCCAACGAACCGACTTCTTCGCCTATTATAGATTAAACCTGTACAACAAAGTCTGCCCTTTCTGGAGCGACGAGAACTCCCTCTGTGGGAACCGTGCCTGTGCGGTCGACACCATAGAAGATGAAAGCGAAATACCCATGATCTGGCGAGCGGAAGAATTGAGCAAACTGGAGGGGGCGAGGGCCAAACACCCCCCTCGAGCCCTGCAACGAGAGCGGCCCAAGAACAGGCCCTTGCAGTACCAGCTGGGAGAGAATGTCGATGAAAGCTGTGTGCTGGAAGACGACGACGAGTGCGACGAGCGAGACTATTGTATCCCTGAAGACGAGGGCGCCGCCGGCAAAGGAGACTATGTCAGTCTGGTCAACAACACCGAAAAATATACCGGTTACTCTGGAATGGGTGCTCGCCAGGTCTGGGATTCCATCTACAAGGAGAACTGCTTTTCCACAAAGGCTCCGAGACATGCAACCCTGCAGCCGAAACCACTTCAAGCCGCCCAAAGCCTTGCGAACATTTTCCAAGAATACGGCCGCCACAAAGTCGATGCTACGGATGACCTGTATCCTCTGGACGACGAATGTCTCGAGCAAAGAGCATTTTACCGAATCGTGAGCGGAATGCACGCTTCGATCTCGACCCACTTGTGCTGGGATTTTTTCAACCAGACAACTGGAGAATGGGTGCGCAATCTCGACTGCTACAAGGAGAGACTCCACGGCTTCCCCGAGCGGGTGTCCAACGTTTACTTCAACTACGCAATCCTCACACGTGCGGTCGCGAAGGTCAGGAAGCACCTGGAGTCCTACACATTCTGCTCCGGAGATCCAGATCAGGACTACGAAACCAAGCAGAAGGTCCTCGCATTGGCCGACAAAGCGGCATCTGGGCCAAATACGTTCGACGAGTCTGTCATGTTTCAGGATCCCTCTGTGATCGATCTCAAGGATGACTTCCGCAATCGATTTCGGAATGTGTCTCGTCTCATGGACTGTGTCGGATGTGACAAATGCCGACTATGGGGCAAAGTGCAGACCGCGGGGTACGGCGCCGCATTGAAAATCCTATTCGAATACGATGAGAAAAAGAACGGTGAAAATCCACATCTGAGGAGAACCGAACTGGTCGCATTGGTCAACACTCTGGGCCGCGTCAGTCACAGTCTGGATGCGATCCAGAGATTCCGATATGCCGTCAACACCGGTGACCACAACGTTCTTGACTCCACAACACCGATACCCCAGGCAAAAGAGCCAGCCGCTGCAGAGAAAACAGAAAAGGCATCTGACACGGTGCATGACGAGGACGAGGACGAGGACGTCGACCTGGACCAAGACCCGTACGAGAGCTCCGAGCACCCGCAACGCGCTGCTCGAACCATTTCCGAAGAGTTCAGGGACGAGTGGAACCTCGTCTGGCGCACCTACGTAATGGTTCTGAAAAGCTGGTACGAAATGCCCTTCAAATTCGCCGCCATCATGGTCATGGAGCTGAACCGGCTCTGGAACTACTGGATCGGGCTGCCCGTGCCGCCTCGATCGTGGGATTTCCACTTCCCTACCAGGGATGAGTTGTAAGAACATGGGAAAGAAAAAGCTGAACATGTATTTATGGAGATGATATGCCAAAAAAAAAGAGGGGGGTTGTGGGGGAAGAAATTCACCTGCGCCTCTTTCTAAGATGGATATAAAAAGGACAGTAGTGAGCATTTTAGCAGTGGCTGTATCGTTGCATAGCGTGGGCGTTTTGTGATGGGGGCTAGAGACTCTGAATAAGACATATCGTTCAGATATGTAGATATATGTATATTTTTGGGGGCGTTGCAAAAGAACATTGTGTGTCCTCCATACAGAAAATACAATCAATATCTTGAACTGTCGATATCAATGTTCATGCGCAAATAACCCCTGCCACCGTCACGGATCTCGACCTGTGCAGACCGCGGACTCACGGCAGGGCAGCCACTTAACGCGAACACGCGAGCCAAGAACCGCGTTGCCCGGACAACGGGCCTCGCGTTTTGCGGGACCTGTACGCTGCACCTGAACCTGTACCTCGACCGCGCGATTTTGTAATACATCCCAATTGACGCGTCCATAGCTTGTCAAACCAGATCTTAGCAAAAAGGGGTGGGGCGGAATGAACGACGAATCTCAATCTCGGATCTCAACCTCAACAATGACACAACGACACAAATATAATCCCAATGGGACGCCGTGTCCGTTGATCACAGGATCTGCAGCGCCTACGAGGGCGGCAGCGACCGCAGGAAGGGCGCACGGTAGTTTCCCCGACGCCAATTGGCGGGACAATTCGATCTGTAGTGATGCCGGTGGTGGTGGTGACGGTGACACGACGGCGAATATTGAATTCACGTCGGCGTTTGATCGACCGTCGTTGATGACAGGCGTGCGGCCGAGGAGGCAAGGAAGGGGCAATGGGAAGGGGAATCGGACTAGGACTGGGACTAGGCTCGGCTTTACTATCTACGATGATGATGAACAGCAAGCTTCGAGTGGGAAGCGGGCTATCATCCCAGCCACTGCTGCTGCTGCAACGAACACGCTGGCCATGCCAGCCAGGAGAAGCGCGACTGCCCAGCCGCCGCAGCGCCCGACGCATAGAGTGTCGTTTGCGCCGTCGTCGAGGAACGTTGGTGTCCATGTCGAGGGACAGCCGGGAATTGTCGCAAATGAACGTGAAGGTGCTCCGAGGCCTCGCAGGCCCATATCACAGGCTCCACTGCGGCGGTCGCTCGTCAAGCCTGACGGTGGTTCGAGAGGCCACCAGCAGCAGCAGCAGCAGCAGGAGCTCTCGTCATTACCAGAGGACGACACGGTCATTGACTTGGGTATGACAACAAACACGACTCAAATCCTAAAACCCGCGCGGCGCGGCACAATCTACATCCCGAATGAAGACACGACGATGCCGAGCATGTACATGGGAATATTCAGCCCGATCAAGGACCTGGACACGCGCGCGATCGTCGAGGCCGCCGGTGTGCCCGACTCGGAAATAACTGGGATTGCCGCACAGATGGCAATGAAGAGGGCGAGGGCGCCTACGTCAGCATCACGGCGTCAGTTCACAATTGCTGCGTCACCAAGAAGACTTGGAGGGCCGTTGCAGAACGTGGCTAGACCGGTGCAAGAGGCTGCTGAGGTGGAAGATAGGGTTGGGCAGGGGAAGGGGAAGGAGAATGTACCGCCTGGTCTGGTTCAGGGTCGGAGACAGGATAATGATGGGAAGAAGGAAATGATGAAGAAGCCAGCCAAGCCAGCACCAGCGAGGAGAGCGTCAACTATTATGGCGACCATGCAGAGCAGTAAAGATGGAGAGCTTCGACCGTTGGCAGACGATATGGCGAAATTGAGCCTTGTGAATCTGGAAGTAAAGCGGCCCAGGCTATTCGCACCTACTGCAAGCTCCTCGGGCAAGGCAATGGACCAAAACGTACCCAGCAGCAGCAGCAGCAGCACAAGAGGTACGAGTTCGAGGTTGGGTCGGGATGCCGGCTGTTTCAAGCCCGCGGCCACTCATAACGATGCAGGTAGAGGTATGGCAAAGAAGCCATCTCATTCTCTCGGAACCAGGCTCCTAGCACCACCACCACAGGTGCAAGAGCGCACATCCGAAAAGAAACCTGCTGTGCCCAACCGCTTCGTCCTCCCAAACATCAACATCAAATCTGGCGTTATCCCACTCACTCAGGCATATCCTCTCCTGACAGAAGACCTCGCAACGCCAGCCATGTACGAGGAGAATTGGCTGAACCACCAGCAGATAGCGATCACGCAACTGGTGAACAACCTCTTCGAGACATCCGCGTCTGCATCAAAGCGAGGAGTGATTGCAGAAGGGATGCTGCTGCGTATCAGGCTGCTTGAATTGTACGGGAACGCCGAGAATGTAATGCTCTTCAAGCGGCTGCAAGGAGCTCTGTTGTACGGCGGCCTCCGTGTGCCCTCGGAGGCATTGGCGGGGGCAGCGAAGCTGAACAGTGACGTGGGCAAGCGCAGAGCGTTTGCGGACCTGTGGCTTACGACATATGATGTTGGATATTTGAGAGCCGCGCTTGAAGTCGTCATTGGTCGTCAGTGTGGAGGAAGAGCATCATCATCGCCGTCAGACTCGCCATCCGGTTCTCTGAGGAGGGACAGTCACGAGGAGATGCCCTCCACTACTAATCATAGTACTCGGAGGCGCCATTCGTTGCGAAGGTTCATCGAGGCTTTCTTGATACGCAATGAGGATGGAGCACCAGATGAAGCAGCGGCCTCAACGTTGTCTCACGCAGCCCATGATTCATGGTCGTACCAACGAACCCTACTACGGAGTCTCATGCTGATCAAGTTGCTGGATTACACACCCACTACCATTGGTGGTTGTCTATTCCAGTCATCATCAAACCACAAGTCATCGGCCAGTCTGCTGCAAGCGCTGTTTCAGATGCTCAGCCCAAGCGCAGGAGATCCCAGCCGGGCACTAGGTCATATTGGTTATACTGTACATCATGTTCAACACCCACTGGAGGAGTATAGCTATGAGATTGAGAATCTCGCTGTTGACCTGCGGGATGGGGTCCGCTTGACAAGACTAGTCGAGTTTCTGCTTCCTGCCAGCGAGAATTGTCTGTCGGATGAGGATGGGGAACGGCAACAGCAACCGCAACGAGATTGGCCCTGGCGGCCATTGTCTCAACAACTCAAACTCCCCTGTGTAAGTCGAGCCACGAAGCTACACAATGTACAAGTGGCGTTGAATGCACTACACAAGATCCAAGGCATGGCGACGTTGATGCAAGATATCTCAGCAGAAGATATTGTGGATGGATTTCGGGAAAAGACTGTCAAACTTCTTTGGGGGTTAACGAATACGTGGGGTCTGGGAGGACTGGTTGACTGGGCCGATGTTGAACGAGAGATTAAAAGGCTTCGTCGAGCGAACGAGAGCACAGACGATTGGAAAGGCTGTCTCCTGACTATCCCTGAAGGTGGAGAAGCGACAGGTCATACAAGGTACAAGGCGCTGTTGGTATTGTGGGCCCAAGTGGTTGCAAAGACGAGAGGCATCCTGGTCAAAAATATGACAACAAGCTTCGCGGATGGACGTGTATTCGAGAGCATTGTGGACGAGTACGAGCCGTATATCATGCCCATTGGTCAGAAATCGACCGGCCGCAAACACCTATCTGAACGACTCAGGGGGCTAGGGTGCAGCGAACAATTTGCTGGGTTATTCAGCCATTCGGACTCATCATCAAAGCGGATACACGTCTTCGATCAGGATTTTGTGACGGCTGCGTTGGCATTTTTGTGCTCCAGGCTACTTGGCCCGTCCAGAAGTTCGAGAGCGGCGGTGTCGATCCAGAGATCATGGCGTCAGCATTGGGGTCGAGTTATGGATGATCGGAAAAGTCAATTGAAGATGTTGGCTGATGAGTGTGCTGCGATGGTCTCTACCACTGGTCTTCATCAGGAGGTGGGCGCCACACGCAAGCATGACGAGGCTGAGCCCAAGTCCGATGAGGCGACGGCAGTACCCTTGAGTCAGAATGTCGATGAGGCTGACATCTGGTTAGCTCTTTGATGGTCTGGTTTAGGATGTTGTGGACCACCCAGTGAGACGAGCGTGTTTGGGTATCTTGGGTCAAATTAATGTTGCAGCGCTATTCTTCATATACCAGTACATAGGACCCTAGGTGTACGACGTCAGCGGTGAGTGACCAAACAAACAATTTCAGGTTCTGTAAACTATTGATAGTCTACCACGGAATCTGTTACCGAGTGACCCTGAACTGACCCGGATTGCACTCCATACTAAGAAGCTTCCACCGCACTTGGGTTGCACGGTTTGCGGCAGGGGGGCAGGTGGGCGAGGCGAGGTTCAGGCACCAGAGGCCTTTTCGAGTCCCACGACATTGAGCACATAAGGTCTCAATATCAGGCCTGGCACAGATTTGACGGATGCCGTGAGATTACAGATATGAGGCCACATGGTGAGGTCTAGGTGTGCCAAGTCCTCGTACTGTATACCAGCTGGAACACGATGTCTCGGACGCTCCACGCTTCAAACAGAAAGGAAAAGAAAACAGGGATCGGAATGATCCAGGGAATGGGAGGCGGTAATGGCTCACTGGCACTGGCATGGGAAACAGAGAACCGATACAAGCAAAGACAAGACATCTTCTGCCTCTAACCTATTTAGGGCAGCACGCACACGCGCCAAGGAAGGAGTGATCCGATGGAAGGAGCGTTCTGATTCTGAACTTCCGATGGCCGTCCGTTGTGCTTGCCCCAAAAAGACCTCGGAGTAAACAGGTCCAGTAGGTGAGGATTGGCATGGACGTTGAGAGTCTGACCCTGGAACAGCATACGGTACAACTAGCTGTACATCAAACTCCACTCCTCGAGCTTCACGGATGCCGGGCCGGTACATCTTGCGAGCTTGCGACCACTCAGAGATGCATCGGCAGATCACCCGCCCTCCAAGCCGTGCCCCAGAAATACGTCGTTTTATGTCAAAGAAAAAGGGTCTCGCTAAAAGGACGAGCGATGTTGGATGAGTTTCTCCGAGCCTCGTATGCATGGGAGCCGCCCATCCACTCAAGGGAGCCGCCTTGCCCTCCGAGATTCGAGGCTCGAATGGGAGGGGGGCTCTGAGGCTCCTGCATTCCGCAGGTGCAGTCGCAGGCCCAGGTGCAGGGTATTACATAAGTCATTGGACACGCCCCTGCCGTCGAAGCGATCCGTGAACTTGGGCCGCCCCTCTTTTGCTCTTTGGAGTTAGCCTGGGTGCCACCCCCTCTGGGCGCCCTCGTAGGTGGCCCCCTCGGTGCCCGCCCAGGTGCCTCCATGCCCATTCGCCTTGCTAAGTTGCGAGTAGGTCACTTCCCTCGTTGGTGGTACCGAGGTTTGGCTCGGGGTTGCCCTCCTTTGGACGGATGCACTGTATGCACGACACGTACGGAGTACTCCTCCCTACTGTACCAGTACTCCATAAGGCAAGCAAGAATGATATCCGGAAAGGGCAAGTGACAGCTCAAGCATTTCTCGCTATTTTGGCCTCTGTCCTCTATTCCCTGTTCCATCACTAGAATCAATTGGGAAGGCCAAGTCTCCCGCCTCAAACCACCTGCCCATCAGAGCATGTCGCATGTGCTCTGTACCAATTGCGGATACCTTCCCTTGGACGGAGCACCGAGTCCCCCTGTTCTCTCTTGTCTATTCTCTGTGCTCTGTGCTCTCTTCTCCATTCACTCTTGCTCGCGTACGGAGTACCTCGTACTCCGTACGCGCACCCAGTATCTTGTGTCTCGTGCAGAGTCTGCAGACCCTGTCGATAATATCCACGTCCATGGTGCATATTCGCCATCCCCTGTCGGCCTGAGCATCCCACCAGTGACACGACCACTGACACCACTCCTTGTCCCATCTCGCCTTCTCGCCTTCTCCCCTCTCTGTTCCTCTGCTCCTCCATCCCAACTCTGGATCGAGCTTCCCACCCACTTCCCTCCCCTTTCCCACGGCTCGGTACGAAGTACTCATGCCGTCCCATAGAGCCATGGAGCCATGGACCCAGACCCCATTTCCCTTGACCTATCCGCCCTGGCCTTGTCTCTAACCCCAGTCTCGTCGCCTCTTCTCAACCTCCCAAGTGGAGTCGTGTAACCAGTCCCAGTACTCTGGGTCCCCGGTTTTCACCCTCGTATTTATCCGTCAAAACTCACCCTGTTCGGTCGCCTTGGGTGGGCAAATCCATGTCAGCTTGTCGTGCTAGACCTGACTTGATGATGCCCATGATTCGTGTATCCCACTCAAGGGTTTTCTGGCTTGTTCTTGAGCTGGAAGAGCTTCGGCCCCTCGCCCCTCTACTTGCCACCCGTATTGAGGAATGAAGCGACCATACTTTAGACTTGTTTCAATTCTGATTCTTCTCACTCCATATTATGTCTTACAAAGACTAGTTCCTTCTCATATCCTCCTTCCGACTCCAGGGACCGGGAACGCGGTACGTAACCCGCAATGTCTCTGTCTCTATCTTCGCTCCCACCAGAGCTCCTTCATGAGATCCTCTTATGCTTGCCAATCTCGAATCTTCTCTCATTTGCTTGTACATCCAAAGAGAACTTCACCACTTCGACCCTGGCACTTCAGACACTCCATTTAGCCGTTCTCCCTCGCCGGATCTACGGTGTGCTGACATTCCTCAACTCGTACCATCTTGACGACAATGATGACGATCCAGATGCCTACGATGGCACCCCTTCACTCCACCAGGTCATCATTCCATCTGAGCTGCCCACCCATTCCCTTCAAGGTTCCAAGAAAGCAGGAGCCCAGATATCACGAACATCCAATTTAACTCCAGTGCAATATCGAGAACAGCTGTTCGCGTTACAGAACAAGCTTGCATGCTCGGTCCTTTCAACGTCTGCCCTTTGCAAAATCCAAACTCTCAGCCTTCATCTTTACGAATTGACTTCTCCCGAACTGGCCACTGTTCTCGCAACATCATTCGACAGTCTGAGAAATCTCCACCTCAATTTCTCGCATCCTTACATCCACGACACTTGCCTGCCGGCACACTATTGGACATCGCCCGTTTTCTTGAAAGGTAGCCCAGTCTGGAACTCATTGGCCGGCCTCGGCGATCTACACGCTGCAACCCTGAAATTGGGGACCTTGGAGACCCTGACCCTCGAGAGGGCTGGAATCACGAGCGTGCAGTTGCGGAAATGGATAGCCCAGAATCCTCGATTGAAGCAAATCACTCTCAGGAATGTTCTAGGTGTGGACCATGATTTTGTCGAGTGGTTGGGAGAATACTACTCGCCGAGGACTAAGATTGGCCGTGATGCCGTCCGAAGAACGAACGAGACTGAACCTCCAGCAAGACTGCAAAAGCTGGCCTTGGAGCACTGCTCGTCTCTGATCCTCAAATCCAAGGCCGATTTCACCTGGTTGGATTCTCTCTTCGACTTGGGCCCGAGTTCAGGTACAGGTACAAGTCGGAGGTATGGAAATGCATCCTACAAATCCTACTATACTACCACGCCGGAATGTCTGCAAAATTTCTCCCTGCTAGGCTCCAATTCCAACGCAGTCTTCACCAATAACCTCCTCTCATACCTGGAAGAAGGAAAACCGCGCGTCAAGCAGGTTACGCTCCCGGACGGACGGATCCTCGTCGCTAAAAGCGGCCAACAACAACAACAACAACAAATCCCGTCAAGGAAATGTCCTCATTCTCGCGGGACCGCGGCTCGAAATGCAAGCACTCGAAGTCTCAACGATGTTCAAGTCGATGACGATGCAACCGACAGCGACGATAAAGATGATGAGCGCATTGCGGCCCAGTCGTCATCCTCATATGACCGAAACTTGCGCTCTGTGTCGTTTCTCAGCGAGATGAAAACCCTTGCCGCGTGGAACGGGCATTGGGGTGCGAACACTAGTGGCGGACGCTCCCCCGAGGGCCGGTCGGCACTCGCGCCTGGCGATGCCACAATCGAGGTTGATGAACGCCATATCGCCGTGTTATACTCGGCTCTTGATAATTCAAGGACGTTGCGGCCGACTGTCAGGCGGATGAGGGCGTAATACTTATCAAGGGAGTCTTTTGGGTGAAGGAAGCGTTCGAGCTGGTATGACTGGTTTGGTTGATGGATGATTTGATCATGGTAGTATCGGATACGGCCAAATACGGGATACGGACAAATATGGGATACGGAAACATGCTTGCGGATACTCATGATGGAACAGAGCACAAGACGGGACGCGACAAACGACTGCAACGAAACGAATTTATCCGGAGGGCGGGGCAGGGAGTTCTTACGAAACTAAACACCTACACAAACAATGGCGCATTGACATATATCCTCAGCTAGGAGTTGGGAACGAATTCGGCAGGGAGATGAAAATCAGGCTTGCGATATCTCGTGAGCGAGGTTGCTGCCCGCATGAATGAAAGCGAATTGAGGAATTGGGTGCTCGCTGGCAGGGTAGATGGCCTTTGATTTTCAGCATGGGAACTATGTATATATTGGTTGAGTGTCTGGGTAGTGGGAACTGGCACCCAGGTGGACGATATCCCCCCTCGAGAATTAGACATGTACTTATCTCTTTCGTCTTTTCTTCCCTTCTTCTAGCTGTCGTCAAAAGAACATACAACAAACAGCTTGCGAAAGAAATCAAGGGTCCGCGCTTTGACCACGTCGTCTCCATTTATTGAGCGTGACGAGTGACGCGTGCCCCGCATCTCCAAAAACGCGTCTCCCTTCGAAGTCGTCACTTATGTCCAAGTCCGCCAGCCACAACATCGCACAACTGAACTCCACATACTCTCATATGTATCTCAATCTCCACGTAACGCACCATAGACATGGACGACTCAATCTACGATACATCATGGACCCTGTACTCTATCCCGTCGCCAACGACATCACTTCGTGCTCTCCTCTCCTCGCCTCCATCGACATCTCAATCCCCAAGATCCAGGTCTCCCATTCTTGAGAAGCATGCAGAAGCCTTCCAAAACTCCCTCGTTGATCGGCATCGCCCACGCTACGAAGATGAAGAAGAAAGAGAGAAACTGGGTGGATTGCGAGCCGTCTCTTGGACGAGACTTGCACCGACAAGCCGGGATGAGGCATCGCCCCGCAGGAAGCAAAAGCGCAAACGCAACGAGACGACCCTCGACGATAGTCACATAGCACTGGAACGAGGCCTACTGGTGTCGTTGGTCTACGACAAGGCGACCTACAGATTCGCCATCATCAGCGCCCAGCAGCATGGAACCTCCAACAAACGAACCAAGACGTCCGCTTCTAGCGACTCCTCCTCATCACGAACAGCCGACGAGGCGGACAGCGCAGCCATCGTGTTAGCGAAAGCTTCGCCCGCAGTCTTCAAGGCCTTCCACGGCTATCTAACCAGCACCTTTGCGATCCAGGATATGCACGCACTCAAACTGCCACCTGCGTTCCTGGCATCGACGCTCGCGAGGTATATATCGAGTATTTACGCCGTGCTCTCACAGACCACATCAGAGCGCCAGCTACCGCAGGACATGAAGGCGATTCTCGGCACGATCAAACTCTCGATCAGCTTCTCTGCGCCCATAGCGCCGAGCCTGAAGATGCTCGACGTCGAGGTACCGAGCGAGAGCGTGCTGGTGGCGTTGCGCGATTTGGACACCGACAGAGACGGTCGAGACGGTAGAGAACGCAGGGGGCGGGACGATCCCACCGCACAGAGCATATTGAAAGTGCTAAGCAGATGGGTCCACGAACGAACGGGAATCAGCCTCCCTCTCGGCCCCGACGAGACCCAACGCACTGCCCCTTCTCAATCTCACGCATCATCCACAAATCCAAATCACATAGACCCCGGTAACCCGGATCCCGGCAAATCCTCAGCAGACGCAGCACACGCGCCGCGTTCAGAACCCCCGATGCGGGTATCACGCATCCTCTCCGCCGCCTACGCGATCTCGAGCGAAGGCCGGCTGAAACTCTCCTTGAAATCCGCACAGACCTGTGAGGATGGGCCTGCCGACGGCGACCATGGTGGGGATTTCGCACGCGACGGTTCATGGAATGTCGTGCGGAAGGCGAATGAGACCCTCCTCGCCGCTGCAGTGCAAGAGGCCGCCCGCCAGCTGAGTGAGGACTCGTGAGTGCAACTCCCGGACAAGAGCGCGATGCGAGAATCGTCTGGTCTTCTCCCTGCGCCATGCGTCATGATGTTATGATACCTAGACGAGGTGATGATACGGGAAAGAGACTGTGTTTGTTTGGGTAAAGCATAGCTGTGCATGACGATAGATAGCCCCTCTGATGGCATTTTAATGCTCAGGGCGAAATGCTCAGCTCCCACCAGTAATTTCGTTGCCGCCTTTTACTACTGCCATGATGACAAAAGCGCTATATATCTACCAAAGGTAAATTCCCCCCCCC